GCGGTGCCAAGTACTTCACGAAATTCGATGTTCGCTGGGGTTACAACAACATCCGGATTAAGGAAGGAGATGAGTGGAAGGCTGCGTTTGCCACCAACCAGGGACTCTACGAACCACTTGTCATGTTCTTCGGCCTAACCAACTCCCCGGCGACATTCCAAGCTCTCATGAACTCGATCTTCTCGGACCTCATTGCTGGAGGAAAGGTTGCGGTATATCTGGACGACATCCTTATCTTCACGGCTACACTTGACGAGCACCGACAAGTTGTACACGAAGTTCTGCATCGCCTCAAGAAGCACGATCTGTATCTCCGGCCAGAGAAGTGCGAGTTCGAACGTCAGGAGATCGAATACCTCGGGCTGATCATCCGTGAGGGCGAAGTCAGCATGGACCCCGCCAAAGTCGAAGCCGTCCGCAACTGGCCAGTTCCCTCGCAACCTCCGCGCCGTTCGTGGTTTCCCTCGGGTTCGCCAACTTCTACCCGACGTTTCATCAAGGATTTCGCCACCATCGCCCGGCCGCTCAATGACCTCACCAAGAAGAACGTCCCCTGGCAATGGAACGAACCTCAGCAGCAGGCTTTCGACACCCTCCGCAACACCTTCACGTCTGCCCCCATCCTGGCACTCTGGGACCCTGATCGCCCCACTCGCATTGAAGTCGACGCCTCCGGCTTTGCCACTGGAGGAGCCCTCCTCCAGAAGCAGGACGACGGCCTCTGGCACCCCGTTGCATTCCGGTCCGCCTCCATGCAGCCCGCCGAACGGAACTACGAGATCTACGACCGGGAGATGCTGGCCATTATCGAGGCTCTCAAGGATTGGCGCCACTTCCTGGAAGGACTCCCCGAACCATTCGAGATCGTCACCGACCATTCCAACCTCGAATACTGGCGCACCGCACAAGACCTCAGCCGTCGACAAGCTCGTTGGGCCCTCTACCTTTCCCGCTTCCGGTTCTCGCTCACCCATCGCCCTGGAAAATCCAACACCCAAGCCGACGCCCTCTCCCGCCTCGATATTCACCAGGTCTCCGACGCTGAGGACAACAAACAACAGGTGGTACTCAAACCCGAGCTGTTTGCCAAGCTCGCCGCCTCGAGCATGGTCGTCAACCCCTTGGAGGACCGTATCCGGCAGGCCAGCGCCCGAGAATCCCAGGTCCTGGATGGACTCGCCCAACTCCCGCAAGACAGGTCCCCGTCGTCTCACCTCTGGTCTCGCTGAATGGGAGGAGGATAACGGCCTTGTGTACTACAAGGGTCGAGTCTACGTTCCCCCAGACGATGAACTTCGACGCGACGTTCTCAAACAGTGCCACGACGATCCTACCTCTGGACATCCTGGCGTACACGGAACCCTCGAACGAGTTGAACGACAGTACTGGTGGCCGACCATGCGAGCCTTTGTCAAGAAGTATGTGGAAGGTTGCGACATCTGTGCCCGGAAGAAACACGCCCAGCACCCCCGCGCCTCGACTCAGCCCTTGGAGGTACCCGATGGCCCCTGGGAGACCGTTGGAGTCGACCTTATTACCCAGCTTCCTGATGCCAATGGACATGATGCCATCATCGTCTTTGTCGACCACTACAGCAAGCTCCTTCACGCCCTTCCCTGCACTTCCGACATCACCACCGAAGGTGTCGCCGACATCTATTACCGAGAAGTCTTTCGCCTCCACGGCCTCCCACTCCGGTTCATCAGCGATCGCGGTCCTCAGTTTGCCTCCAAGGTCATGCGCACCCTCCTCAAGCGTCTAGGTATCGAGTCCAACCTCACCACTGCCTATCACCCTCAGGCCAACGGACAGACTGAACGAGCCAACCAAGAAGTCGAGAAGTATCTCCGCCTCTACGTCAGCCGCCGACAAGATGATTGGGACAAACACCTTCCTATGGCCGAATTCGTTATCAACTGCCCGAATCCACTCTGCCCACGACCGATCACCCTTTGAAGTCCTCTACGGCTACATCCCTCACTTCAACATCCCTGTCGGTAAACGAACTGACATCCGCCCCGTCGATGAACGCATCCAACAGCTTCAAGAAGTCCGCAAGGATGCCGAAGCCGCCTTACGCCTTGAGAAAGCGCAACAGAAGGACTTGTACGAATCCGGCAAGCGATCAGCTCACCAGTTCAAGGTTGGAGACTACGTCTGGCTCAACGCTAAGGACATCCAGATCAAAGTTCCTACTCGGAAACTTGGCGACCTCCAACTCGGCCCTTACAAGATCATCGAACGAATTGGCGACCTCGACTATCGTCTTGAACTTCCCCCATCCCTTTCCCGCATTCATCCTGTGTTCCACGTTGACAAGCTCTCTCCCTGGAAAGGCAATGATGTCAATGGCATTCTGCCACCTCCGCCTGAGCCTGTTGAACTGGAGGGGGAGCTTGAATACGAGGTTCACGACATCCTCGACAGTCGTTGGAAAGGACGAGGGAAGAATCGCAGGCTGGAGTACCTGGTCAGTTGGAAGGGCTACGGATCGACAGAGGATACTTGGGAACCAGAAGAGAACTTGGAGCACGCCCCCGACGCCGTCAAGGAGTTCCATCAACGTCACCCCTCTGCTCCCCGCCGCATCTCAGCCACCACCTTCGCTTCTCTCCCTTGGCGCTCGCTTGAGAACTTCACGGATACACCACCTACCGACTTCGACTGGGAGCTTGGACGACGCCTGCCAGTGATCATCGAGGACGATGAAGCTTAGAAGGGGGGTAATGTCGTGAACAGCAAGTACGAGCCCCTATTTTTCCTTATCTTATCTTATCGCTTTCATCGCTCTTATCACCTTTTCTTTATTCTCATTTTTGCTCTTATTCTCGACACGGACACTTTCTCCCATGGAACACTGCCTCGTTATGCCCTTCGCCCTACGTCTTATTGTTCTCTCCATTCTTGCACTGCCTCGTTACTCCGTTATTGTTTCTTCGCTCTTCGCGCAGCCTTCGCGCAGCCTTGTGACTCTCCTTATTGTTCTTTTGTGTCTCGCCATCCGTTCGTCACCTTGACTCATCGCGGCTATGTAGACTGTAGAATAGGTATATAAGCTAGGTAGATTCCTCTGTATTTCCTCAGCTTGACCTCTCTTCGTCAATACACCGCTTTCAGCATTCATCTGCCTCAGTCGCTCATCGCTCTCTATCTCGCTCTCTGCTCTCATCTGCTCCGCTCTTCTGGTCTTTGGTTTGGTTTAGTGTTCGCTCTTCGCGACACCAGTGGCCATAGCCAGAGAAAGCCCAGAGACACGGTATAAGCCGGTAGTCGACCAGCAAGGTAGCCGAGATCCAGAAAGCCACAAAAGATATTAGCCCACAAAGCCCAGTCGGACGCGCCGAAGATCATCGCTGCCGTCGCCAGGAACAAGGAACTAGGTGGGCAGACCCAAGAGCGTCGCCAGAGCACAGTGAAGGAGACGACGAGTCACAGAGAAGACAAGATAAGCCCACGTAGTTGTAGCCACATCCAGAGAGAGCCTGACCCAGAGAGAAGGAGCGAGCACGAGACCCAGAGAATCCGAAGACCAAGTCAAGATCAGGTTGTCGGTGCGGGTGTCGAACTCGTCAGAAGGGTGGTCGGGACGAAGACACAACTCTACAATCTTTTTTTTCTCTATCTTTTTTTCTCCGACACCCTTGGCGAGTGACTGGAGTGAGATCTGGTCTTCGTCTCGACGCACCTCGAGCTCGTCGGTGGATAAGCAGTCGGGATGAAGACACATCTCTAATTTTATTCCTTTTTTTTATCATTTTTGCTCCGACACCCTTGGCGAGTGACTGGAGTGAGATCTGGTCTTCATCCCGACGCCCCTCGAACTCGTTGCCAGTATTCGCAGTCACAATCGATAGTCGGTGTCGTCGTCAGCCACAAAGCTCGAAGTCGAAAGAGGGAGAAGAGGAGAAGGGAGAGGAGGGGAAGGGAGGAATGCAGGGGAGGAGATGATGGACGAAGGGAAGAAAGATGTGGGACCCCAACGAACCAACCCCCGCCCTTTATATATGTTTTCCACACTGTGGCACAAAGGGCTGTCGAGTGGCAATGACGACATCCCAAAAAGGAAGAACACGAGCCAATTTGATCGCTGATGCGAATGATTGATCTCTCTCTCACAGAAGCCATTCTCCCATTGCCCAAATGGAGACAGAAAGCCCACCTGTGACCTGCCTGGCGTCAAGAAGCGCACCTCGAGGTCGACACACACTCGCCACTCGCGAAGTCCATCGCCATTATCCAAATCGAGCGTTCAATGGGGTCGTGCCGCCCATACCGACCCGGCACACTGCTTGGAGGGCTGCAATGGCAGCACTCGTGTATTACTTATCGATGCCCGAAATTTGAGGGCACTGTTGAGCAAGGCTCTCGACACCTGCAATACTCGAAGCTTGGATTTAGAGCCTAGCTTGAAGTTGACTTCATGACCTCGACAAGGACGACGACACCTGACATTTACTCAAGCTACTGTAAAATCTCCATTCCAAGCGCCGATATAACCTGTGCCCTCAGTACCACCCACATTCTCGGTCTCTATCTGTGGGCGACAGACAGTTATTAGGCTCCATTCTTAGGAAGAGTACTTGCCACAGACCCGATTTTTGGAAGCTGCATCTTCGTATCCAAGCAGTCGTTTAAGGCAAGCAACAGTGCTGTCTACTCAGACTGCTCATACTACCAAGGTGCTGTTTGATTGACTCTTCATTCCAGAAACTAGAGGGCACCGCTTTCGATGGTCGAGATAATAAAGGCGAGTCGCGGCAACGGTTGCTCTGTGGGCTGATCGGAATCCCAAGTTTAGACGCGACGCGACGCGTCGCGGTGGTTTACGCACCCCTATCTACGGGCGAGTATAGGAAACCTATCTGAGGTACGGGCTACTAATGACGTTCAATTCAGCCTTGAAGGAAGTACGCAATAGACGTACCTGGTCAACGAGTTGGCGGTTCGATCCACCCTGAGCGTCAAATACTCGACCAAATAAATGGTTATTATGTACTAGGTTAGAAGTACTGAAGGTAATCTGCAAAGTCACTATCGTCACCGTAGCAGTTAATACATCCCGGCAAACCACACCCATGATCCTCATCCTCCTCCTCCTCTTCATCCGAATAATACTCAATCTCGTCGCCATCCCAATCGACATCAACAACCACCTCTTCAATCCGCTGTACATCATCCTCATACAACCTCACGCAACCATACAACTTGACCGACTCAATCTCCCTCCCCAACTCGTACCTCATCATCAGCCAGTCCAAGAAATGCTCGATATCGATGCTCTCAAAGTCAGCACATTCAAAAACAAGGCGCTTGACGGATGCGAAGCGGGTGAGTTTCGGAGGAGACGTTTTCGGTTTTCTCTTGGCCTTGTTCTTTGATGTTCCTCCCTTGTTGGGCTTGGTTGGGACGAGGTTCAAAGCAGGATCCCGTCGGGCGTACGCGAAAAATTCTTCCGAAGCAAATCGGTCGGTTTGGACTGTGCGGACGGATGGTAGTCGCGACAAGGTTCCTAGGTCCTTTGCAGTGAACCCGGTCATCAACCCGAGGTTGGTGACACCGTTCAAGGGAAGAGCGGCGAGGACCTCGGATAGGAATTTGTTGGAATTGAGTGTCAGGTTGAGTACGGAGGGAGAATACACGCCGGAAAGACGTCCTGTGATCCTTGCTCTGTAGTGATTGTTGTCGACGACAAGATCGCGGATAACGCAGGGCGGATCCGAAAGCGGGCCAGAAAGCCAGGAAGAGGATAACGTCTGTCCGAACGTCGATGCATTGACATCGGTGTCTTGTACATCGTGGGTGACCTCGAAGGTAGCGCGGAGGGAAGAAGGAAGCGCAAGGTGCCTCATGACGTTTTCGCATTCGCGGAAACAGCCGGTTAGTTTGAGAGATTCGAGTTTCGGGAGGGGGATGACGCGGAACGTGGACAGAGGTGTGATTGGAAGCTTGATATTCAACTCCAACTCCTGAAGGTTTCGCATAGCTTCCATCCCTTGGAAAAAGACATCTACATCGGGACCCGGGAACCCATCTGCTTTCCTGGGCATAGAGTTCAACTTGAATGACGTGAGGCGGGAGGATATAGGTAGAAGTGTTGCCCAAGAAAACTGATATCCGGACAAGTGGAGTTGGCGAAGCGACGGGGCTTCGCCTCCCAAAAGGTTGTTTGGAATGCTTGGGCGCCCGAGGTCGACGTAGGGCAAGCCACCGTATTCCAGATTCAGTGTCTGGAGATTAGGGGCTGGAGACGTGAGCTTCTCGAGCATCTGGCGAATGAAGTCGTTGTAGCCGATGACGTTGAGGCCTTTCAAGCGATGATGTTGCGAGCACGCATCTTTGATCACCTCGGCGAGTTCTGGCCTGGTGCTCGAGTTCGAGGAGAAGGTGAGGGAGATCGGGGCTTGTTTTGCCCGGTCAAACATGACCTGGGCCCAGCGGGGGTTCGTGGTGGCCTGGATGTTGGACCAAAGCTCCGGGAAAGCCAGTGCTGTATCCCTCCAATACCGCGAAACGTGCGTGACTTGAGTCCATTCAAAGGGCCTCAGGATTCTCCCAAAGTCGGAGATTCTGGACAATGACGCGCAAAGTTGCTGGTAGTGGATGAAGACCCGACTGAGTACCTCTGGTGGCAGCCGAGCAATATCAGACAGCTCGTTTCTGTCGCTCTTCCATTTTCGAATCTCTTCCTCGAGTTCAGCGATGCGTAAGTCGATAAAGTCACGTCGAGCTGCTCGCTGGGCAAGTTCTCCTGCCACGTCGTTGGACACCGGTAAAACTGGGCGTTGGGCGTGTCAGTTAGTTACCAGACTGAGCGTCTCCAGCGCTTACCAGAGGGCGACGTTGGGTCCTCAGCAGGCATTTAGACCGGGTCGAACTGTCGTCGCGCTTTGAAAGCAAGAAGAAAGGACGCGGCAAGGCTAATTTATCAGCTGAGTTTCAACTTGGGTGCTGTTCCCACAATCCTGGCACGCAGAGACATGATATAACTCTACAATGACGGCTCAATCCATTATATATCCTATAACATTGGAGGGTAAGATTTTATGAACCTGTGACACGGCTTGGTGAACTTAGAGCCATTTGACTCAGAACCGATCCCGTTGAGCGTGACGGCGTCCCAGCGACGTGCCCAGCGCGAGCTCATAGGCTCACGGATTGCAGCCCTCGAGGAAGAAATACGACAATTCAAGAGTCTTCAAAATGAATGGGCAGAGATATCGCGGTTGCCACCGGAGATTCTCAGCCAGATTTTCGTCTGGTACAAGGAGCTCCGATCTGGCAGCGGCCGTTATCCGGGATCACTAGACTGGACCAATGTCTCCCATGTTTCGCGACAATGGAGGACGGTAGCCCTAGCGTGCCCGCAATTGTGGTCCACCATCTACACCTCCAGCAGCCAATTGGCCAACGCAATGTTCGAACGATCCAACCCGGTCCCCGTTTCCTTCACCTTTACACCATCGACTCAGGATCAAGATTTGCTCACAACCACAACGCTTGGAGCGCCTCGTAATCCAATGCGGTATGGACTTTCTCGAGACTGTGATGGAAAAGTTATCAGCTCCAGCTCCTTTTCTTCAACAATTGAAGTTGGAGGGCCTGGGCAGGCGCATTGGGGAGGAGGTCATCCTACCCGCGGCACAGTTTTTGGGTAATGAAGCACCGCAGCTCCGGCACCTGGAACTGGAGGGCTTCACATTGCCCTGGCAAGCTATTTCATTCAAGAGTCTGAGAACCATGAAGGTACACAGCACACGTTGGAGGGACTCCCCACTCCATCCAGAGCCGGACTCATTTTTCAACGCGATGGGCGAGATGAAGGACTCTCTTCGTGATTTGGACCTCTCTGGCGTTGATCTCCCCATAAAACCTTTACCCTCCAATCACACCATACTCTTCCCTCGCATGGAAAGACTCAAGTTACGAGCGTCATCACGGGAGTGCGAAAATGTCCTCAGGCACTTTGCTATCCCAATTACGGCGACGTTACAGCTCAGCAGCACAGACCGCTATGGAAACACGCCGAGCAGCGTCTCAACTTTAGGATCAGCCATTACTTCATCTTGGCTCGCATCTCCCCTCTCCAACTCCGGGACACCGCCCTCGCTCAAGTCCCTTATGATCTATGAAAGCAATTCCAGTTTCATGGAGGGGTCTTTTCAGGCTGTAGTAGACATGGAACAGCCAGCTCTCAAGATGCGAGTCGAGTTTCCAGGCGGCCCGTGGGCCACACACGTCGCCCCCACACTACCGTTGGACAATCTTGAAATCCTCAGCCTATTCAATTGCTGTTCCGTAACAACTCTCTTGTCAACTTTTTCCACTCTCCCCCGTCTTCACACCGTTTGCGTTGACAGATTCGACATCAGGGAGTTCTACCAGCACATCGCAGACGACCCGGCCTTTCAAAGTCAAAACTTCACGAACTTGACGCCTCGAGATCTTCCACCAGCCCCTTTAACACGGTTCCCTTCCCTGACGACACTCATTTGCAGAGGTGTCCATTTCGGGCACTCCTCCTCCTCTCTTGCCATCCCTTTCGGGTACTCCTCTCTTGCCATCTCCATGGACGCTTTTGAGCAGCTCTTGACGCTACGATCGGAGAGGGGGAGGCCACTTCGGTCATTAAAGCTAGAAAAGTGCATCGGGTGGAATGATTATAACGTCAACGAGTTGAGAAAAATCGTGGACGATGTGGAATGGGATGGGGTTATTCGATTCTCATAACTCGAATGAACCGGATGGTTCTGGGATGTATGGTATTACAACCATTTACGGGTATGAGTTGGGCACTTTTGATGTTTGAAATTGAAGACCTTTGAATGGGAATACTGGTATAGCTATCATTTTGAAGTGCGTCAGCAGGGCAGCTATTGATCATGTATTATATATGCCTCCCGTGTAACGTGTCGTGTTCTGATTTACGGTGATACTATATCTGCCAAGAACTATGCCTGGAGGGACATTGAGCGCGTCCTTGACCATGTCTGCGCAAATTACGCGCTCACAGCTGGTAAGGACGCCCTAAACTTTCAAGTAATAACAATGGGATCAAGTTTCAAAGGTGATGCGCAAAGTAGAGAAGAAAACTTGGCCCCGGAGAATCGAATCGCAGTCGCCTTTGGCAAAATCCGACACCATTCAAGTCAGCGAACCGACCGACCCCTTGCGAAAGCGGAGTCAACCATATGGGACGTACGACGGCAGGCCTTGGAGTAGTCTAGCGGCTAGATCTACTTATAGACGTGCAGGCTCAGATGGACTAAGTACCTTTCCTCAGTTCCAATCATGAATGGGTGTGCAAAGTGATTTCGATCATTAGGCGCCATCACCAAAATATTAAGCGCCGAAGCGGCTGCCAGCGTCATGATTACCTCAATCAGCTGGGTCCAATACTATTACTGTGGTTCAGGCATGCCAAAGGGAATATGATCATCATCGTCCAGAAATTACGAATGTCCTACGGTGGCCCTAAAGCTACCTGCCTGACAAAACACGACTAATCAATCTGCCATTTCCCTGAAGAAAGACTCTCCTTATCCAAGGGAGTCGCAACGACGACACGCGGCTCCAAATCAAACTGCTTGCTAGTGTGGCTATGAAGTGGTAGAGCAGCCGTGAATTGACGGTGGAGTGGTAGAATCTTCATTCCCCTCGTCTCGTATCCCGTGTCCGTGTTCAAGTTGTATGATGAGTATCCCCAGGTGCCATGTTGACGATCTCGATTCCGACGCCGCTGCCGCACGACGAAAACGACGAAGGAGAATATGATAGCGAGGGTTATGGAGCCTGCTAGTACCGCCGGGAGGATGATTTTGAGGTCTGCATTAGGGCGTGTCGGTATTGAGGCGGAGTTGGAGGGTTGGCTTTCCGACGTGGATGAAGACGGAGCGATCCGAGAGGGGTTGGGTGATGGCGGGTTGTCCGTCGAGTATCTGGCCGGAAAGAACAGACGAATAAGAAAGGCGGTGCGGACGAAAAGAAGACAGGGACGGTTGGCTCACATGAAGCTCCCAACGATAGTCTCCCGATGATCCGCCTCCCTCGAAACAACAAGCGTATGCTGGGCATCCAGCATCCCAGAAGCAACCAAAACGACCACCTCAGTCGTCGGAACAGGAACGGCATCTTCTCCACCTAGCCTTGCATGGTCTGTAAGGTCCAACATGACAGGCGCCCCGCCATCCACACGAGCCGTGAGGTACGTCGGCGCCGTCCAGAGCCACGCCTGATAATAAACAGCCACTCCTAAGTAGCACTCCAGGTCAACGCGCCAGGCCCACTACACCCAAGTGTACTAAGCAATGGAAAACGCACCAGTAAAGTTCATCGTAACATTCGCTCCAGCAGATTGCGAGGTCCTCACACCAGGCCACTCCTCCCTCCATTCACCCTTGGGGATATACACCAACCCCGGATCATCCCTCTGCACCGTCACATTGACTAAACCTCGCACCCCGATCAGAAATAGCGAAAAAAAGACAAAGATAGACGTAAGTGGGCAGCAGAACGAGAAAGGACGGGGCGTCATCGGCATCCTCTGTGCTGGCGAATTGTCACGGAAAGCGGGGTCGGAGGGACATGTAGGAATATGTCGTTCGAGGGGATGGGAAGCCACCGGGTCCTGGGGGATAGATAATATATATAGCCCGTCGTCCCACTAATACCGTCCATTACGCTTTCAAGAACCCTGCGGAGTATCGATCCTTAGCAGTGTGAGAAGTGGTCAAACCCAATTCAACTCCTCGAGAATTGAAGGCTGTGGTGAGCTCTAAATTTAGATCCAGGAACGAGAAGGAATCCGGGACCGGGGTCGTAAAAAGGTCTATTCATTAAATATTATACCTGTACGTACAAGCGTGAGCCACAAGGATTTTGGGATGAAGAAGAATCGCACTCACGCTATGTACTTAGATTAGAACAACCGAATACTTTTCACGTCCCGGCTCTGCCACTTATCTCTTTCTCCTTTCCCGGCAGGCTCTAGAATACTCCGCCACGTCCTGTCCTCAGGAGCGAGACCCAACGCATCCAGAAGCCGTTCGGACGTCTCGGGGACGAAAGGCTGCAGGCAGATACCGGTCACCCGCAGGGTGTCCAGGGCAGTTCGACGAGTCTCGTAAACGAGCGCCGGAGAGCACGTCTTCGACCATGGGGCGATATCGGTGATAACCTTGTTGGCCTGAAAACAATGAGTCAGAACAAACCGAGAGAAAGTGGCGGTTGATAACAAGATGCTTACCAGCTTCAAGACGTCCAGGATCGAGGAGAGGGCATCAGCTACTTCCAGATTGTTCATCAACTCTTGAACTCGGCGGGGCAGGGCGTCCACTTCGCGAGCCAGTTCGAGGTTGAGGGCGTGAGGCGATGCTTCGCTTTGTTGCTCGTACCCAGCGGCGGCTGCCGCTGTTATACGTGCAGAGGTGATTCGAAGCAGGTAGTTGCCCAGCAGTGACTGAAGTTCTTTGGAATGTTTCTCAAGCTGCTCGAAAGACCAGTCTAAATGCGAGCATTAGCCGAGGTCCAGGGCGCAGAGAGCAATGTACGAACCAACATCATCCCGGAACCTCCCTCCCACTCGTGCAAGGTAGAATCGCACAATGTCGAGTCCGTACTTGTCAACCGACTGCATGGGATCCACGACGTTGCCGACGGACTTGGACATCTTCTGCTGGGAGACGGTCCAATGGGCGTGTGTCAGGAGCGTTTTGGGAAGGCCGACTGATTTCTCCAAGATTTGGGTAGCGGAGAGGTCTTTGAGGGCAGCGTGAGATGGGGCACCCAATGCCATCAGAATGGCCGGGAGATACAGGGCATGGAATCTACGGCAAGGTTAAGTGAGAACCTAGAATATGACGGTCGTCACTCACCTGAGGATATCCTTTCCAATAACCTGCAAATTGGGTGGCCATCCAGTGACAGCCGGGGGTCCGGACACCTGATAGCCCACTCCGGAGAGGTAAATCAACAGGGCGTCGAACCAAACATAGACGGTATGTTCCGGGTCGTTAGGGACAGGTATTCCCCATGTCAAACGCGACCTAGGTCGCGAGATGGAGATGTCGGCGAGCTCGACTCCAGAACTGTCCTCCGTCGCTCCCAACATCTGCAGTACGACCGAGTTGTACTGCGATGGCTGAACGACGGATCGGTCTGAGTAGTGTTTGACGAGGGCATCCCGGAACATGGACAGGCGGAACATGTAGTTGTATTCCTTCGACCATTCGACCTTTGAACCGGTTTCTTTGGAGACGTATTCTGGGTTTTCGGCAGTCGATGTCGGGGACTGAACGATTTGGGCAGAGGTGTAGAAGCATTCGTCTGTTATTGAATACCAGCCTTCGTACTCGCCCTTGTAGATATACCCTTTGTCAAGCAGTGTCCTCTGAAACGCGGTAAGCCACACGCTAATTAATGGGTTCTGAAAAAAACACATACCCAGACTTGGGCGACTAGCTCCTTGTGGTTGTCGCCTGTGGTCCTCGAGAACGTCGTATAGCTAATATTAGCCTTCTTCGACAAGTCCTACTTAAAGTTTAGCATCTGAATTTCCAACTGGAGCATATGACCAACCTTGAACACCTGGCTCAGTTCATTGCAGAACGTGAGGACTTCGGTCGAAGCCTTCGCTGCAGCCTGCTGAATCTTCAGTCCATGTTCGTCGGTTCCAACAAGGAGTTTAACGGGACGACTGGGGTCCACCAGCCTCTGATAGCGAGCAAACACGTCGCCTAGTACCAGAGTATACAAATGTCCAATATGCGGAACAGCATTAGGGTAGAAAATCGGCGTTGTAATGTAGTACGGTTTGTCGGACGCGTATCGAGGCGCCGTCACGGTGTAGCAGCGTTGAAGTCGTTGTCTAGTGGTCCATAGTGTGCTTGGTAGTCGTCCATGACGATGACGGAGGAGGCTGAGCATCGTCGAGCGCGATGAGCTGGGCGTTCCGGATGCCGGAAAGTCGCGGGATTCTTTGGACTCAACCCAGCTCCGCGTCAAATGCCGGCATCCACGCCCCTATCGACACCTTGCTCTTCCACCACCACGAAATGAAACATCCCAGAGTTCTTATCTCCCTATTCACTCATTTACCGGTATTTGAAGACCCGAATTTCCATAAAGGCGCAGAACTTGTCATGGAAACAGTCTTCTAGACCAAGACGGTGTTGGTGAGATGGAAAACGCATGGACAGCTGAATTGCCAGGAATTCTAAACTCTGAGGTTCTCAGCGAACCCGAGAAGCCTTCTCGGAACAAAGGGCTCGCTCTGAACAGGCTTGAATCCTCCATGAACACAGAGGTAAAGTTGGCGTAACGATATCCCTGTTTGGCCACATTCATCGATACTAGGGGTCCGGTGATCAAACACGGGGAACGTGGTCCTTAAAAGCCAGAGCGCCGTGATTTCAGCGCTCCCAAATGGTTCCTCTCTTCCCTCCAGGCTGGATCTCTGACCAAACGGCGACCGCGAAAACATGAAAATCTCCCGGACAACACCTCTGGCAGTCTTGGGCTCTTCACTCCTTGGTGCTCATCTGTCCAACGCGTCCAACGTCACCATCCACTGCGACGACGCAGATATCCAGTATCTCCCGGAAGAAAAATGGGAAATAACTACTCATCCAGCCTCTGAGCAACCTTCTGGCTCGAGTCACTGTGTTCTGGCGTCTAGTCTGCACGAGGATGCAACAGTGGTCGTAACTTTCACTGGTAAGCCTGCTACAAGCGTCCATTCGCAGATGCTAACCCTCTATAGGATCCTCGCTATATTACATTCCTTCCCCTGGCCATCACGACAACCTCTTTCTCAAGACTCAACTCGACAGTGGTCCGGAAACGCGGATACACGTCCCTCCTCCGAATCCCTCCCTCTCACCTGTTCTCCTTGCACACGACCTGTCACCTGAACAACCACATACCGTCGTCCTTCGTTCCGAACCTCCAGGGCACCTTTCTATCCATGAGCTCATGTACGTGGCGCTCAATTACTCTACGACTATTACTGACGCCCTTGCAGGTATACAACACTTCATCCGACGCGCCTGGCACCCCGGGCACCCCAAACGACCGACTCCCTTCCCGACCAGACCGCCCCCATCCCCCCACCATCCCAATCCCCAACTCAGGGTCCCCAGCCTAAACCGAAAGACGAAGTGAAATCCGCCAACGGCTCCCTAGCAGCCCAAATCGCCGTACCAGTCGTCATCTTCGTCTGTCTAGCCTTGATGGCCGGATTCTGGTTCGCCCGAAAGCCAGGGCGGTGTTGCTGCCGCGACACCACCACCACCTCTTCACCGGACAATGACCCTGAAAAGGCGTCTCCCCAACAGGATGTGGAAGGTATGCGTACAGAGGGGGTGGTGCCGGACGAGAAAGGGAAGGGGAAGGCACCTGAACGTCCGAGCAGCTACGCGAGGAGCGAGGGCTCGCTCCACCCATCATCGACATCGCCCCGCCTATCCCTGGTTGACGGCGGCCAAACACAGAAGAAGCGTATATCGAAGGACCCTGACGCTTCGTTTTACCGGCGCAGCCGAGACGAGCCTACCATCATCGTCAAGTCACTATCCTCTGCACCTGGGAGTTCAATCCAATTGCCAGCGGCGGTGGCAGAGGATGGTACATTGGTCCCTCTTCCTCCATTATCGAATCAGCCGCACAACTCCTATCCAGCTACGCACGCCAAGGCATGACCGCAGCCTACCGTTGATGACAGGCTTTCGTCACCGTATTATCCAGCGATTCGGAAATGAAGAGTGTTCTACCTCGAAGGTGCATTTCAATTCCAATTGACCCAGGTCATTCCTGCACCAATTGAATGCGCTGGGCCTCTTCACCGTCACCTTCCATCTCCGGAAGGCCAGATCACTGCACTCCCGCCTTGACTGAGCCTCGAGGCCACAGAAAGTCACTTTAGTCGCCTCGTGTCCTGGCCTGTTATGGGTCTTTCAAAGGGAAGCCTAAACTGAGCGCGTATATGTATTATGACGGAATTCATTCCCTTCCTTTACCTCATGGACTCGAGTAAAATATGACCCGCGTTGACTTAATTTTACTATACGATCGAACATTCCAGCCTTTTTTCGAAGTGTCCTAGCTAATACTACATTGTCCTACATAATATACATTCAGCAAGAAGTCGTCGAAGCGTCCTAGTCATATGTACAATCGATAGTCAGGAAAAAAGAAAGGCCATTTACTACAGATACACGAATCGTCCAATCCGAAAGTAAAGATAAAAAAATAAAAACAAAAGGGTTATGTATACGTGCAGTCCGCACGCTACGCTACAGCCCCTGCGAAAACGGCTCAGGCTGCAAATGCGGGCTCATAAACGCCATATTGATCTCATCCGACGCAGACCTGTAGTACTTGTGCGTATCGTACTTGGATTTTTTGAGCCTCTTGCCCGCTGCGGGTGGGGGTGGTAGGGGTAGACCTTTCTCCGCGTCCATCCCATTACTGGGATACTCCCCGTTGGTGTAATATCCACTATTGGCACTGTATCCTCCCGGGCGGCCTATGCCAATGGGCCCTTGCCCTTGCCCATACCCGTACCCCGGCCCATACCCACCAGCTTCCCTCCCCGCACCAAAATGCCCATTTGGATCCTGCAAAACCTTCGACCCTCTCCCACTATCAGTCCCACTGGCATCTGATCCCGCAACCTTGAAATCAACACCACTCCCACCCATACCCATACCCGTACCTATACCCGTACCCATACCAGTACCCGTGCCTATTGCCCCACCCCCAGCCGCAGCAAGCTTCGCAGCCTCCCTCTCCATCTTCTTATCCTTCCTCCTCGCGCGCCAAAGCTGTACGAAACACAAGAAGAAAAGAAAGAGTATCCCGCCTGATATGCCCAGTGCGATGATGAGGATTTTTGTTTTGGACAGGCTTCGTTTTTCTAGGGAGCGAGGTTGGTGGAGGTGGGCTTGGAGTGTGCCAGATTGCGAGTTGGAAGAGTGCGAGTTGGAAGAATGAGGGCATGAAGACTGGATGGTGATGTAGGAGGCAGTGGCTGCGTCGGGCTGTTGGTAGTCCGGTCCAGGCATGAGGCATTCCTCGGTGTATCTGATAGATAATCCGGGTCGTCGGATAAGTTAATGAGTCTCTTCAGGGGCAAAACGAACTGGAGAACGCACGCACATTAAACTTTCGAACGGCACACACTCAGGAGGATCTACCGTGTCTCCTTCTGACGCTAAATCTGCGCAGGAGTATGAGATGTGCACTTCGTGTCGCCTGTTCTCCAAGTCCGTCCAGGAGACCTGGGGCTGAGTTTGCCCAGGTTGATTGGAATTTCCATCTGGAATGCTTGAGATAGATTGACTCTCGCCATCTAGGGAAACATTTGCCGTGAAGTGCGGTATCGTCAGCGCAGTGTAGTATAGCGCAACGCCTGATCGTAGTCCTTGTCAGCACTCCGCCCCCAAGAAAGGCTAGAGACAAAGTTCAAACTTCAGTCAAGAACGTACCAGTGAATTCGAGCGCCACCTGCCCTCCTCTACTACCTCTCTGCCCTTCTGCACACCCTAATCGTTCTCCACGGGAAAGATCGTGAGGAACGGACACGTTCCTCCGACTCAGCGCCCCTCCCAAAACGAAGTCGACCATCCCGAGAAGCACGAAGCCAACCGTTAGTAGGAGTTGCATTCCAACCATCGTGGATGTCGAAGTCCTAGAGCGGTTCCGCCCAGAGACAAGAAGCAGAAGTAATAGGCCTCAGTGTCAAGCAGCGAAAGCGCTTAACCGACCAGAACCTCCGTGATTAGCAGCTATGCAGCTATGCAGCTATGCAGCTATGCAGCTATGCAGCTATGCAGCTATGCAGCTATGCAGCTATGCAGCTATGCAGCTATGCAGCTATGCAGCTATGCAGCTATGCAGCTATGCAGCTATGCAGCTACACCCTCCAGCCTCGGAATACACACCTTCAAAGCAGCGATATAGATAAGAATGGTAGTCGAACAACAAGACCATCCAAGCTGAGCTCTGAAGATCTGACGCCCGACACGACTACACTTCCTTCTTTTCCTGTGCTTGGACCCGTGGCCGTGAGCTATACCTTCCCGAACCACAACTTCAACTTATGGTTGGCCTAGAAGTGGATAGGGCGGCCTATAACTTGAAAGGAGCAGATAATGTTTGTCATGCGGCCAGACGAGTGTATTTATAGAAGACACTTACCTACCACTGCGGTCATAAGGTTTGATATGATATGATATAATATGAGATGTATACTTACGGCGGGATGGGGTTGAAGCTTCCTTCCTTCCTTTCAAGTCCCAAGTTGTTCCTGGAAGTGCCGTTCGACTGTCTAGAAGAAACACTAGAGCGCTAACTGAGATGAGAGGCTGTGGGCAAGCCGTGACTTTCGAACGATAAAAGGTTCGGGAAGGGGCGGGTGGAAAAAGATAGAATGTAGCAGAAGCCCTGCATGCATCTGCCTCCATACCAGTCGGCAGTACTATACTTAGTCTTGACTCGAAGACGGTCCACGGAGGCGATAATCATAAATCACGGGAGCAATACTTATAAATAAATGGCAAAAAGTAATGACCGAGGCAGGGGTCGAACCTGCAATCTCCTGATCGCGATGTTTCTGAATCGTAGTCAGACGCGATGCCATTTCGCCACACGGCCGTTGTATTCCGCTTTCCTTGCTTTTGTAAGTCGCTCTGGGCGATGGGAAATAAGGGGAGTTCCTCACGTCGACGTCGACTCTGTTTACCTCTAACCACCACGACAGGCTTACAGCAAACCAACGCGGCATAAAACGGTCTGTCTATCCTCAAAGCCAGCGATTCTGGCGGCTCTAAGGATCACATGCACGACACCCTTCACACTATGTACCACAATGGCCCCTGGATTTACCTAGATGAATGTCACGACGCGACTTGGACACGGCATGACACGGCAGAGCGATGAACGGACTGAGGCTCAGGCTGTCAGGCTAGACTGAATGCTTGGAGAGGAAGGCTGCTTGGAGAGGAAGGCTACAGGCTACACTGGAATTGAAACCCTAGTCACGATCTACATACCAAAAACCCTCGATCATTGCTAAAAAGCTGGGGCTTCTCGTCGTCGTGGCATGCATCCGACCCCCGATTTTTCCTCAGGATCAGGTCTGGTCACTATCTCTTCTCAGGTTTTTTGGGACTATGGACCGTGACGAATCAGGATGCCTGGAAGTGGAGACGAAAGTCGTTCGCGCAAGGGACTGGGAGCGTAGTCGGAGTCCTCCACCGGAATCAGCAGCACAGCGAACACCCAAAGAAGTCCTGCACCAAATCATCCTCCTCCTCCGGCCCTCCTTCAGCGTGCACCACCAGTCCAACCTCGGTATCTGGGTCTTCAACGCGCGCCAATATGATTTCTCCGTCTACCTCTCCAACATGCGCGCGTTCCTCCTCTTGAGGCTGGTTTCGAGGACGTGGAACTACGTCGTCGCTGCGATCGCGTATAGGGAGTTTGTCATTCCTACGAGGTTCCCTGCGAATAAGAGTAGTCCGAGGGGGAAGGCCGTTCGGCAGGGTGGGTCCTTGGCGTCGGGGAGTTCGTGGTCGATATCGGCTGGCGTTAATACGCCTAGTGGGAGGGTGACCAAGACCATCCCGTGCAAGGGCGCAGTTACGGTCAGGAAGCTGGTGTCGTTCCTCAACGCCCTCCCTCACCCATCCCCATCCTCGAACTCATCGTCGTCGGATTCAAACTCGACTCTCCAATGCAGTCTCCCGACCAACATCCGCTCCCTCATCCTCTTCGACTTCTGCCACCCCTTCGGGCCCAACAGCTACTCCCACCAACAACAACTCATGAACTCCATCATCTCGAAATTCGCCAACTCCGATATCCGCTCGTTGCATTGTTATGGGCGGGAGGCGTACGCTTTTCCGCGAGGGAATTGGGTCAAGGACAACCTCCCCCGCCTACCGAGTACGATTGAGAATCTGTCGTTTGACGCGGTGGATAGGAGGACAATCTCGTATGGCCTCCTGACGCTAGGTCCCTACATCAAGTCGTTGGAGATCAGGAACCGCTCGAGGATTTCGGACTTCGATTACTTCGGGAACCCCGGGGAGGTATTCGAGTTGCCGGAGGAGATGCCACACTTGAAGACGCTGAGACTGGCGAACGTCTCTGCGACGGTGGACGAGTTCAGGCGGATCTTCCAGAAGATTGGTGGCAAGAAGGGTGGGACACCTGGGAAGGGTGGAGGTGGAGTTTGGACGTCGACTCTTCAGAGTCTTACGGCTGTTCAGCTTTTTGCGTTGAACGATGAGCCGCCGGCGCTTACTGCCCCGTTGACGGACCAGGATTTCCTTAATCTCATTTCGATTCACGGGATCTCGTTGATGCTCACGCATCTCTGGATCGAACCTGGTGTCCCGTACGCGTCTGAATTCTTCAGCATTTGGAGGCCAGAGGTCGTCACCGAGATCGTCAAACACTGTCCTCGCCTCATCACTTTCGGATATACATCCTACATCGACGAAACCCTCGTCGACCATCTCCCCAGCGGGCTGAAACGGCTCTCTTTGGCGTTGCGACCCGCTCTCAGGTTGGTTACCGCGAATAGCTACTTGCAGTCATACGGGAGGTTTACCGAGTTCGTGGAAAGGATGTTGGAGAAGGGTGAAGTGAAATTGGACAGTTTCACAGTTCTGTTGAACGGACAGCTGCAGCAAAACCCGGGGTTTTGGAGGATGTCGTTCGAAGAGGTTGGAGAGTTGTTCGAGGTTGGCAAGGCGGAGCTGGAGGCGAGATGTAAGAGTAGCGGGATCGACCTGTCATTCGAGATGGTGTAATAATTGGTCGTGGAATGCATGGATTGCATTTGACTGATACCAACGAATGAACATTCATTTCAACCGCCGTTTCTGACAGATGCCAGACTCCCCCCATACCTGACGAAATAATAAACCCCCTTGAATCCACCTGAACTGCCTTCTAGCAGCTCTCTAAGCACGCTTTAGAATAAAATATAGTAGGCGCTTGTGGATATACCAGAACACGAGCCAAGCCCTCCGCGGCGCTAGAAGAGCGTGGCAACGCGCAGATCGCCAAATAGGGGTTGCCAGGCTGATACTGGCCATCTCGACTGCGCTGATGGTGGATTTTAACGCGCGACGGATGCTCTAAACGCCTCTTTACCTTCACCTTCACGACCCCCGTCACCCCACGGGGCCAGTCTAGTCTCTTTTTTAAAGTTTCAAGCTCCTGGTTCCTTTTCTATTTCTAACCACCACCACCACCGCCCATCGACGACGACGACGACCTAAACGAATCGAACGACTCTAGGATTCTATATCCCCCTCCTTTTTGAAAGACGCTCTTTGTGTTTTTTTTTTTGTATTCTATTGGATCCTTTTTCTGTATTATCAAACCTCGAACGAGAAGCTCGCGATGGCGATGGCAACAGCTGAAGTCCTAGTCCAACAACCCACACCAGCGGGCGGCGCAACCAAACCTAGTATCCACAGCGGGGGCATCGGATCCCGTGTAGGAGGGCTGCTCAAGTCCAAAGGGAAGAAACCCGAGGAAGTCAAAGGGGCTCCTTCTCCTTCAGACGGTGGTCAGACTAGCGAAACCGCTTCTGCTGTCGCTGCTGCTGCTGCTGGCGAAGTAGCCAGCCAGAAATCAGGTGCGTAGATAACCATTCTCATTCTGTGGCGGATTTACTGAAAGGAAAGGAAACCCCTATCTACATCTAGACGATGTACCGCGCTATAAGCGATACGCGAACACAGCTGTGAAGGCGTTTGGGAAGAAAGGTCGCAGCAAGGAGGCTAGCGAAGCCTCGAAGGATAGTGCGGACGCTCAAACTGAGGCTGTCGTCGTTGTCGAGAAGCCCGCGGAGACCCGAGAGGGAGAACAGGCGTCTGAAACGGCTCCTGGCGACGCTGTAAAGGTATGTTTCATCTCTATCAACACAGTTTCTTACTTACGTTCTTTACTCGGTATCAGGAGGCCGACGGCGAGAAACCCTTGCCTGAGCCAACGGAGAAGGAAACTGAGCAGCCGACTCCGTCAGACGATGCAGCTGCAATGTCGCCTAGCTCACCGGCGTCCCCAGCTATCAAGCTTGCTCGTCGATTGTCCCACCGAGCCGGCAACGCACTCAAGAGGTCTACCTCCAGGACTCGCTCAGCCTCCGATGGACAGGACGATGCTACGACCTCCCCGAATGCGGATACAGCAGCACCGCCCGTGTCCAAAGCCAGCCTCCTCGCCAAGCAAGTTTCCTCTCGCGCTGGTGACCTCTTCACCCTCAAAGGCAAGGCAGGCGACGCTACTGCGAAGGAGAATGGTAAAGACGAAGGCAAAGATGAGACGAAGGAGGATAACACAGCTGCAGGAGCTTCGACCAGCGAGACTGGGGACGCCAAACCTTCCGAGTCAGCTGTGACCGACGACACCGAACCTCCCTCCACCTCCCCCATCGACAAACCACTTCCCCATCCCCCCACGCTAACCCGCCGGCTCTCCTCCCGCGTTGGCGATATGGTGGCCAAAGCCAAACTCAAAGCCGCAGACGTCGTCGAACACGTTCACGTTCATTCGCCCAAGTCCCAGGCTGACGCCGCCACATCGACTGTATCGGCACCTGCTTCTGAGCACCCGACCAGGCCAAAGCTTACCACCCGTCTCTCGAGCAAGGTCGGCTCGTTGATCAAGTCCCCTGGAGGTCACGCTGCTGCGAAGGAGGGAGAGGTGGTCGCTGTGAAGGCCGATGGCTCGACTGAAATCAAGTCTGCAGACGAAGCACCTAAGGCGGACGATGTCGTTGTTGTAGCTGATGATACCAAGCCTGATACCCCAGATGCGCCCAAGGACGCGGACGATAGAGCGGAAGAACCTAAAGTCGAGGAAGAGGCGACGACGGCTGACGGAGTCAAGGTGGATGACACCAAACCCACCGACGAGACTGAAGACAAAGCCGCCGCAGCGCCTGCTGACGCAGTGGAACAACCCGCAGACGCCCACCAGGCGACGGGGGGAGGAGGTATATTCGGTCTTGCATCTCGTATCGGAGGATTCGTCAAGTCGAGGATCGTGTCCGACTCTGAAGCACCTCCGCCTCTCCCGCCCAAGGAAGCCGACAAGGAGAAAGGTGACGAGGGAGGTGTCGTCGAAGGCGAAGGCGAGGACGGGGACAAGGATGTAGACAAGGCGAAGGAATCAGAAGGAGAAGGCGAGGCAAAGCCAGCTGAAGCCTCCGAAGACTTCAAAGCCGATGCCCAGTCTGCAATCGAGGACGAAATACACAAGGAACCCTCAGACGAGACCAAACCACCAGTCGACGATGTACCTACCGCCGCGCCTCCAGCAGAGCAAGCCCCTGCCTCTGCACCTGCGCCTTCCCCTGCAGCGGCCGCACCGCCCCCAGCACCTCCCACCTCCTTCCAACGAACCCACTCCAAGACCGAAGGCGTTCAGAAGCTCGGAAGACGACTTTCAGCCCGTGTCGGCGACGTGTTCAAGGCGAGTTTGAAGGCTCCCAAGGCACCCGCTCCGCCGCCCAAGGATGATGTGAAGGGGAAAGGGAAGGAGGTTGAGGAAGGTGGTACTTCAGCACGGGAGGATGCCGAGCCCAAGGTCGAAGGTCAGGAGACCCCAGGGGACGGTGCTGAGGTGCCCAAGAAGGATGGTACTGAACAGCCCGATGCCAACGCTCAGCCGGACGAGTTCGTAGTCGTCGATAACAAGGACGCTCCCAAAGCTTCAGCCGACGAATCCACCACCGCCACCACGACTGTTCCCGCCACCCAACCCCCAGCCTCGACTTCTTCTTCGGCCCCTCCTTCGAGCTTCGCCAAACCCCGTCAGACCGCCAAGAAGATCGGGCGAAGGCTCTCCGCGCGGGTGGGGGACATGTTCAAGAAGGACCAGGCTAGGGAGAGGGAGAAGGAGAAGGAGAAAGAGAAAGAAGGGGCTGTTGTGGCGACGCCAATTGAGAACCAGGTCGAGCAACCTGCAGCCCCCTCTGAAGCAGCGCCTCAACCCGACGGCGAAGGCACCGCCGATGACGACAAACCCCAACCCGCCGAGGACGACGACACCGCTACCCCACCCCCATCCTTACCACACGCACCGGTACAAGCGTCCGACTCGACCGAAGCCGTCGAAAACCACTCAGCTCCCTCCACAGCGCAGGACAAAGGCAAAGGCAAAGACAAACTTGCCACCACCACCACCGCCGCCGCCGCCGCCGTGAAAGACAAAGACGCCGCCCTCCCCGAAAAACCGCTCCCCTCCAAACCCTCCAAGTCAGCGCGCGCGAGGGAGGCGGCGTTGGATGCTAAACGCCAGTTATCGATCAGGGCGAGCGAGTTGTTGAAGCCGAAGCCTAGGTTGGATGTTCATCTTGCCGGTGGTGCGACTAGTCCCACTAGTCCAACCAGTGGAGATGTTAAAGGGAAGGGCAAGCAGAAGGCGGCGGCCGATAAAGACGAGTTTGTTGTCGTTGAAGGGTTGGGCGTGGATGCCGAAACGGGCGTGGTGGACGTGACGACTGCGCCACAGGGTGTCACCGTCGAAGGAGAACCTGCTGGCACGTCGACCAACAACGACGCAGGAGGGGGAGCGACTGGAGCCACGGCAACAGGCTCGACTTCCCCGCCGGTTACCTCGGCGAGGACGCGCAAGACGAGTGTCACTGAACTCGGTCGACGGCTTTCGACGCGTGTGACGGGTGCGTTGGATGGGTTGAAGGCTAGGGCTCATGCGGCTGCTTCGTCTTCGAGAGGTAGTGCTGTTCCTCCACCTACGCCTCCCAAGGACGAACCTGCAGTGAAGGACGAGGGGAGGCAGGAGGATGGTGCTCCTGAGCCCGTCGCGAAGGACGAAGACACTGGTACAGAACCATCCGCTGAAACTGAAGCTGCGACGTCACCTGTAAACGAAAACGAGAAGACCGAAGCTCAAGCCACCGACGCTGAAGCCCCCGTCCCACCTCCCAAACCCACCGAAACTGCCGACTCCGAAGCCAAAGACCCCCACTCGAAGCGCATCTCGACTCGCGTAACCGAGTTGATCAACAAGGCGAAGCACAAGTTCCCCAGCGATTCGTCACGACGAGGCGACAAGGAAGCTGAAACCGTAGATTCGGAGGAATGGAACGTCGTTGAGGGTGGTGGGGAGAGCGAAGCTCAGGTTGATGGTGCTGCTCCCGCTGAGGGTGTTCCTGCAGCTACTAGCACTGATGGCGCTGCGACGCCAAATGGCAAACGCAAGCATCGGCTGAGTCTTAAATTCCGTGCTCCCAATTTGAAGGGGTCGAAGAAGAAGAGTGCGAAGAGTGAGGGTGGGGAGGGGTCGAAGACCAGTAGTAAGGCGGGTTCGCCTGAGAAGGAGCTGCCTGAGCCTAGCCCTGAGGTTCCACCCAAAGATGAAGTGGCGGCGGGAGAGAAGGATGGGGAGGGAAGGAAGGACTCGGAGGATGTCGCGAAGGAAGACGTGGTGAAGGAGGAGAAGGGCGCTGTCTCTCAGACTGAGACAAAAGACGCTGTCGAGGAGAACAAGATTGTTAACGTGGGGGATGACGTTGAAGCTGATGCTCCTGCTGTTCCCAAGAAGGATACCGTAGAGGGGTAAGCCCTGGTCTTTACGACGATTCTGAATACCCTTTATTATTCGTTACTTATTGGGTTTCACTGTGAAACCTCCTACGATACCCCATTACTTATGCTGCTCATTCTTTCTTGTTGTCTCATTAATCTCGCCGCGCCAACCACATACCACTATTACTACTCGCGGTTCGAGCTATCCATGTATACTTCGTCTTCTCTTGGAACTGTCTTTGTTGTTGTTTTAATACGTTCGTTGTTGTACTACCTTCGTTATTCGAGCTGTAATTTCTTCTTGTACCATTCGATGCTGTCGTTACCAGTTGTCTGAATCTTAACTACCACAACAAGCCAATGAGAGACATGGTAGTCGTCGACATTGACCTACACTGTGGCCGACTTTTGTAACCGTTTGCGACTGTCGTTGCGAGATACCGTGACACCTTCCCCTATTCACTTCCCTCTCGTACCCAATCGTCAACCTCGTCAATACCTCTATGTTCTTTACAAACCAAAACGACATCAGCCAACTCGCCCTCCACATGAAGAACCCACAAACTTGCAGACTCACCCGCCATCGACAAAACCTCAAGCCTCCCGTCCCTCAAGAGCTCCCATTCCCCAAATAGCCCCTCCCCCATTCCCTTTATAATCTTCCTCTGCTCCGCAGAGCCATACGAAGACTCCGAAGGCAGGGGCGCAACCACAATCGTCACCTTGCGCAAATTTGGAAACCTCTTGCCCCCATTTGGAAGTACAGCGGTCAAAGCACGATCGATCCAGTCCAAGCCCATGGTCCTCGCGATGCCGGGTGTGAATCGTTCTTGCGTTAAGAGCTCGATCGCTTCGTCTACTCTGTCTTGACCGAGTAGGGTGTCCACGGCTGGTATGGACTCGTGATTGCCGACGTCTTTGAAGTAGATGTGGAGGGTGACTTGGGTGAGGGCGGTGTGTGCGGTGCTTAGGTCGTCGTCTACCCTGTTTCCTGACCGTCCATGGCCTATAACGTCAGAAAAGTAAGTGACAACTTGTATTTTTTTGAAGGAAGAACCTGAAGCTCATACCTAAAAAGAACCTCGAAGATAATGCTTCGAATATCTCCGGACCATGTGTACAATGCACCTCCGAGATGCAGAAACCAGAATACCAAGAGGTCTGTTCGTGATTGGGTTTATCGACGACGGCGTACAGCCACGTTTCAAAATGTCGCAGGTTGGGGAAAGAGAGGATGGATGGACATCGAGTCTTCAAAAACGAGAGTGTCGCGTCCGAGACGGGGAAGGCTGTCGTATCGATATCGGGGAAGAGTTAACACTACTCATTCGGAAATCGAGAGTGGAATAGCCAAGGAATAGAACGCACCGGGGTTGGCACGTAGCTCCTCCAATGTCTCCCTAGACGATATCAATATCTTGAGGAAGTCTTCCTGTGTCTCTTCAGTAGCGGCACCGAAATACAACCTTCTCAACCGAGACCAATCGAAGTACTCGTGAACCCAAGAAACATCCTCGGGATCGTAGTCTTGGAATGTCATGCCAGTAGAGCTGTGTCCGTCGAGAAGGACGAGTGTATCAAGCCGGGCCCTCTCCTTCTGCTCGTGCACCTGGGATCTTTCCTGGGCTTGTAGATCATCGGAACTTGCGGTCGCCTTCTTCCTGACCCCACGAAACGTGACGCACTTGAGGGTTGGAACACCTCCCTCGCTCGAGCCCGACAACGGGAGCAAGTGGTGGATGAGCGCGTGAGGCATCGAGTCCAGCTCGAGCACCTCCAGCCCAGTACCCCCGCCAATCCTCCCTGAGGTATTCACGCACAGAGATCTAAGCGACGCCTTCAGATCTTCATGAAAGTCGCCCGGGCCTGGGTCACAGTCCCGTGGATGGCACGCCCGAACAGTCAGCTTTCGGAGATTGGGCAGAGCCAACAGCAGTCGAGGCAGATACTGCGTGTCCCTGAAAATCCAGCATTCCTGCCCCGCGTCCGCAGTGGCCCCTGAGGACGATGGTGTTCGCTTGTAGAACGTCACCCAGATGGTCAGCGTGCGCACGTATACCCCGATGTCCCTCCCGACTGGACTCTCCTTTCCCATCTTGACTCGCTTCCCGTTCTCGATGACCTCCAGGAACGCCTTTGCAGGCAGTCTCTCCGGATCGCTCTGAAAGCCTGGCCATAGTCCGATCGAAGATAGTAGGCGTCGCTGGGCAGGGTCTAGGAAGATCTTCGACGTGAGGGTGAGAGGTTCGAGGCAAGTGAAGGTGGCTGGAAGGAAAGAGACGATATTGTCGATAAGCTCTGGGGCTAGTGTCTCAATCGTCATCCTACACGGGGAATTTCGAAGGTAGGTCGATGGAGGGAGATGAGAATCTTGGGCGGTGATTGGGCCGGGGACTTTGGGGTATAAATAGCAGAACTCAATCTCTGATGGGCTGTGGGCTTTACGACATTATAAGCGCCCGGGCAGCGACTGCAGCAACTGCGGCCACGAGGTTGCCAACATTGACCACCTGAATGCAGATGTGGCTGTTACATGCCAATCGCCACTGATTCACGTCGTCCCCTCTCTCCCCTCTAACAACCATGCCCCCCACAGGGAGCTCCCATCAAATACAAGGGAATCGGTGACATCGTCATCGCTGCGGTCCTGACCGCAAAACCAGAGATCATCTACCAATCCCTCGTGACTCGTACTCTCTATGGGCTCACAGGCTGTGTCGTAAGTTCCCCGAAATCAGACTAACGAATTCGTGTTCACGACTAGCCACGTTGGCATCTCTCGTATGCATCGGTAGCCCCTGAGTCCAACCAATCCATCGCGGAGTGCATGGTCGCACCTGTCGGGATCGCCCACGTCGTAGCCTCCAGAGCTGAACCTTCCACATTCCCTGTAATCTGTGAGCGAGGTTATTCATTGGTGCTGTAGGCGCTCGGTCTGGTAGTTTCCAAATAGTCACAATGAACGCAACATGAGCCACCTTGGGCGCTCTCACCTGCGCAACTCCCAGGGAATGGGATCTCCGGAGCGCGACGTTGTTGATGAGCTCAATCAACCACGCGTTGTTTACGGGAGCGTTGTATCTGATAACTCGAAGTAGTAATCAGAGGAACAAGCGGGAGTAAGATCTATGAGCCCCTGTTGAGCCCAGTGTCACCTTTCCGTACGTTTCGGTTTCGACCTGCCCCTCCTGGTACCCATACGTACATAACGCACCTACACGAATGATAGTGAGCCAGTATGGGTCAGCATCTCTGGAAGGCTGTCTGGGCATCCCGACTTCAGGATTCTCCGAGACTGGCCGCCCACTTCGCTTGACGACGATACATCATTCAAGGTTCCCGACGCGCACCTAGTCGTCGGGAAGCCCTCTTGATTCTTGAAGCCCTCTCTAACCGACAATGATTGATAGTCGGACAAAGCTGAAACTCAATAACGACGCCTAACAAGCGTCCGGCATCTTATTGCACAGGCCTCGAGCAATGAGTGGAGTAGATTTGCAGGCACGGGCCACCACCTAGTTCGATATCGTCATACCTCCTTGAACCATTCCACCCATGCTTGAGCCTATTCCAGCCATATAGGCGCCAGTTTGTCTCTACATGGCCATATGTCGGTGACGCTTGCAGCCTCGAGGCCAACACGAGGATCATCCTCATTGACAGGGGCTATGCCAGGAGATCATTCTTCTCGTCCGGCGATCTTACTTCCAAGGACAATTGCCTTGAAGCGCGAAGCCGCTGTCCAGTATTGAAGTCAGTCAAATGACGTACCTAGAAGCTGCACTTGACCTGTACCTAGAGGAAAGGGGGCTAGTGCCACTGGAGAAAGTCTAGCCTGGCGGCATTCTTGTGAATTTACAAGGAGACCATACCAATCCACAAGGGCATTCGAGCCGAACACCGATTTCTTGGAACAATACAGGTGATGATACCAATAGGGGTCCAGGTTGGCAGAACAATGAAGGCCAGAGAGGGCTTGGAGGCGTCGGACCAATCCCGTCTGCGAGAACACGAGGCAGCCTCGAGGCAACGACGAGGCCCGGGTGTCATCGCCGTCAAATTCCCGGGAATTTTTCTAGGGTCATATCGTACCGTTAGGGATATATAAGACTCTAGGTGGCGGCATCCTGGGTTCTGCACCAATCTTTTCCTTCTCCTCAAGCCCCAGCAAGTCTCCCGGTTTCGACGCCCGCCAACGACCACAACAACCTTCAAGGTGAGGCTCAATTCATTTATCCGCATCGGGAAGGTCGGCATCATCCCGCCGTCACACCACCCGCGCCCATCGCATCCATCGTTCGTCGTCGTTGCACGAGGTAGTCGGTGTCGCTATCCTCGACGTCCTCGATGCACCTCTTCATCGTCGGACAAGGTCGGGGACAACAATGACGGATATGAAAATGGCAAAAGCCAGAATGTGATGGCGGCGGCTGTAGAAGGGGGGCGATGACCAAAGCCCAACGCCCTTGTGATGCATGACAGCGATGATGCATGATTTGGCCCATTGTTCTCGAATTTCGTACAAATAATTCGAACGCACCCCCAATTCTTTCCCCCGTCCCAGTTTCTGACCTGTTTCATCCCACAGTCCTTCTTTCCTCAACCCCTCAGCAAAAATGTCTTCCATCACCACCACCACCTACACCACCGAAGAGTACATCGCTGTATGTCGTTTCTCGTTGCCGTGGGAGGGTTTTAATTGACGATTTCCGTAGCCCGGCGATATCGTCGCTGTCCGCCACGGTCTTAAGGGCCGCCAGGAGGGTCTCGTTGTCGGCTCTCACTACGACTACGCTGGGCGACAGATCATTGAGGTCCAGCTCGATGGCGAGCCCGTCATCTACAATGCCTGGTGAGTATTCTCTGTTGGGATGGGGTGAGAATGGAAAGGATACTGGAGGTCGAGTGGGGAGCGCTTTCCTGCGGTCAGGAGGAACTGGATGGTCGCCGTGGTCATTCGCGGGGAGATGTGGGAGTGCGAAGATTGCGGTTCAAAGTCGGCATGGCGAGAAGGCGAATGGAGCCCAGGCGCAGCATTCGACCCTGAACATGAATATCAGGCCTCCATCGTGCAATCTCCCTGTGCTCCAGGCCATTTCTCTCTCCCTTTCCCTTCCCCTCCTGCAACCCTGTTCTGATTTACTTATCCCTCCTTCCCCCAGGTACCCGACCGTGACCCGCGTCAAGCGCACCATCTACACCCGTCCCCTCGAGACCAGGCGCCGAACCGTCGAGCGAAGGATCTACTGGTAAACACACCACCCCCACCACCCATCCACGCACGCACACATCTGTCGTTTGGTTCCTCGCTTGACCCACGGACATCCACGCACAACACATACTCCACACTCACCCCGACTGGACAGCAGTCGCATCGACGTTCCATTGACGCCAGACGAAACGACTCACGATAGACTCAACGGAACTCTCCTTTTGTGTAGACTGAAGGGACCATGGACTTGTAACGACTGATGATTCTTTCTTCCTTCATCATTTCATTTTCCTCTTTGTGGTCGGCTGGAGCGTCGACCGCTCGGTCTGTGACTTGGTAGTGTATTTGTATCTGTGAAATATATATTTGTCGTTTTATCCATCATTCTTGAACCACATACATACCTTGAATACCCTGACCAAGGCTCCTCCCACCGAGAAAAATCAGGATAATCAAGCAGTTGCTTGATCACCTCTGTGCCCGTGAGCCGTCGCAAGGCCTCGTTCTGAAGCGCGGCATGAAGAAACCTGGACTGCAGAAAAATGAGAAAGAATATGCAGGTGATGCGAGGGCCTACATTCCCGACGATTTCTTCAGTACAGCCGCAACAACCTCCCACTGGGCACCTGAACGTTGCAACAGATCCCAAAAGCCTGGGGTTTGCTGTATCTTTTTGCGTAATGAGAAGCTCGATGTCTTCTTCTCTGGAGAAGATGTGAAAGAAGACGGCGTTGGGTGCATATCGTTTGAGGAGGCCCAAAGGCCGCGAGGCGATGACGAAATTTACACCAATCGAGGAGAGGACGACTAGGAGATCGCATTGCACGTCGTCGCTTCGCCTAAATTGTCCAAAGCGCCAAAGACCTTGAAGCGGGAAACTACGCCTTCATAGCGTCGACGAGCTCAACCTGCGTAGGCCTGGTTCCTAGACGCTGGTGCTGCGTGCAGGGATAAGAACGGGGCGACAACGCAGGTAAGATGATCTACAGCTTGCTTGGCCAAGGCGGCCAATATGCCCTCCACAGATAAAGGATCAATGCACCGACAGAATGCACAGACGACCAGTACCCCAAGAGATGTGGTCGCAATGGTGTCTAACCACTTAACCAGTACCGACCTTGACTCGGATACTCGAATGCGAGTTCATCCATCGGACAGTGCTCTTGACGATAGAAACATAGACAGTTTCTGGACAGAGGTGGGAAGAACATCAGTGGAGAGTACAGTACATTCGATTTGAATAGAGCTTGCGCATCCCTTTACCCCAGATGGTCACTCGAAAAGTGACGAAAAGTGCCTCGAACCCGTTCAGTGCTAAGTGCTGATGGGGTAATCGCATGCGTTAGGCGGTCCTTTGGACGACCAATAGACTTGTGCTTCAAGAAACCGATATTTGCAAGACGCCATTCGACGGCTGGTCAAAGGCTGAGCTACGTCGACCACGCTCGTTGCGCGTTCTCCCTTTAAAATACGTTACCGAGTCTGGTTCATCGAGAAGAGCATCGAATCGGTTGTGTGTGACACGCACCGTACATGCTAGCGACTGGTCTTGCCGGCCACACGAAACGCGTGCCAAACCCCGTCAAAGCCACAAGCTTAACGACCTCGCCTAGGTCCAAATTACCCCAGACCGCTACAAATCTACCTGAGAAGTCACTCTCTGCATGGCGAGCCGTTTCAATGCAATGTAATGGTTTGACGAAAGGAAGTGGATGGAGAGAGAAATGCGCGACGCGTCGTCGGAAATTGGGGTCTTTGTCACAATCACCCCGCTCGGATAATCCCGAAACACCTAAAGCTGGGCGGTAATTTCAAGGTCGACCACAAGCGCCCATGTTGTTGCCGGTCCAGAGCCTGATTATAGGTGCTCAACTTAACAAGGCGGAGATTTGGCTCAACTCCATGCCTCTAGGTTGCTGATTTACTGCATCATGAGATAGAAGCATAAACTATAATCATGGAGTAACCTGTCGTTTTTATCATTAGCATCGCTTGAGAAGTCCCCGTCCATCCCCATCACACTCGATATGTGCACTTCTCATCAACAAATCACGGGTAATGACGACTTGGGTACTGCAGGATATCCATAACCGGCGCATTGAAGTACACAGTACAGCGATCATCAGAGGACATCACTCCTTTGCTCCCAGAAGGGGGTTCGGACCTCAGGTGTCGGTGAGAACTTGAAATAGCGCCGGGGTGGGAAATGTCTATCAGTGGTGTACTTCGACAGACGTACATTGAGGCGCCGCCCATCCTCTCTCAGCCAGGCCTCCTTCTCCTCGCCCAAGATGTCTTTACAGGAAAATATTCGCGAGCGCCTCATTAACGCTCTGGGATTCCTTAAAAGTTATAATGTGAGGACTAGTTTGTGGGTAGATACTAAGTGCGCTCTACTCACTCTGTTCTCTTCACCAGCAAACACAAGGTGAGGAGCCATCCACCCCCAAAACCGAACGCCAATTCAATTGAAACGGACTCGGATGTACTTGAATGATAAGTGGCCTGCATGGTAATGCTGGTACGTTAACCTCATTCGTATCAATTTGCGATCGACCGCAGAGTCCGACACCACCTTCCTAGATTGCCGACTACCTGGAAACCCTTCCTACGGAGGTACGCACCCAATTGCTCTGGGGGCCTCTGGAGACTTACGAGCAGTGACCACAAAGGTCAAGCACATATGGTTCGGGGAGATGAGCAAGATCAAAATAGCCTATTTCGTAACACGCTACTCGATATTCTTGCACTACATCCTCACCTTCGTTTGTACGTCAAATGCAATCACTCCTCTGTTCATCAGCGGAATACTCAGCTATTTGCAGACTACGGGTCGAAGGACCTGACAATTCCTGTGCGTCCAGTTTCCTTCTCAGTTGCAAGGGGCACGTCTGTTAACCAGTGACGGCAGCAATGTCACGCCTGGTTCGGCGCGAGCATAAGTACGCCTCGACCCGTCTGGATATCGAATCATCCCTCACACCATTGGTCATTTGACTCCCAGTCGTGCTCGTCGCAAACGCCGCCTTCTCCGAAGGTGAATTCCAACATCACCCATTCCAACGGTGCCTTGATACCCTTCCCAAAAGCACTGCTCTACCTTCAAGTATACGCCATTTCCGGAAGGAGGAGATGGTTGGGAATATACCTAATCTTTCAATGCGTGGTAAGTATTCTGTCTTGTATCCCAAGCGCTATATCCGAAGCTGATAAAGTCGTCGAAACTTATAGACAGCCTACGCTATCAAATTCGGCCTCCTAGCTCGATACCTGCAGAAAACCGTGATAATCACGATTAACCTTCCAGGGATGCACTGCACTCCAATCAACTTCCCGCAGACCTCGCGGTACACAGCGGCACTATTCATAGTTCAGATCCTGGCACTGGCAAGTAAGTATCGCTTTGCAACCACCATCAAGTGACGGGCTGACCTTTACTACGTAGTCCTAATTGGAATCACATTTTGGATCCTCCGTTCCAGCTACAAGGGTGTAGGGAACTCCTTGCTGGTCGTCCTCATTCGAAACGGGATGATATATGTAGCTATAATCGTCGGTAAGTTCGTCATATTTTCAGTCGAAAACAACTTTCGACTCATCCCACCCTCAAGTCCTCGGAATAATAACCGCAGCCATCAACTACTACTCCGTACGCACCACTGGTTCTCTCTGAAAATTTAACAAAACCTACTCACACCTCCCACCTCCCTTACAGGATAGCAGCTCGCTCATATCAAAGTACGCCTCACTCCATCATTTATTCCCCTTATTCCACCTTTACTAACATCCAGCGATATCACCCAGTTTCCAAGGTGCAGCCCACCCCCTCTTATCCACTCGCTTGATACTGCACCTGCGCGAGAGGGGTCAGAAGCAATTAGAATCGACAGACTCTCAAGACATAAACAACAGAGTCCGGGAGAAACTGGAAACCCTCAAATTCGCCAAGCAGCCGACTACAGTCTGCTCAGGATCTGCTGTAGCATCGGGGGAGAGGACGGCAGATACTAATAATGATAATACTACTCGCCCCCCTGTGTAGCGTTAGACCGTGGTTCTCGATGTTAGAGTTAAGCTCATGACTCATCAGACGCAGAGGGGATAGTAAAAAAAAAATAGCACGCTAGTACATAGTAGTGGGAGGCGTCGTCAACCCTGTCTAAAATTTTGTCAATACGTCCGTTGGTTACAGCTATGAATTGTACTACTGACCAGGCGCTTCACCGTGACCGTCAACTGGCCCCTATTTCCAAGTCCATCCCATATGGGCTGCTGCAATCTTGGCGACAACACGCGTTGGCCGCGTGTCGCGCGCTTTACCCCTTTGGGTCAACAACCCCTATCCACTTTCCTTCCCGTCTGCCCAAAGTCAAACCCACCGCAAACGCCAACCCTCTGATCTCAGAGCCATCCTTACACTTACCAAGGTTCACTAAAACATACTCTTCATAGCCATAATCACTCAAATCCCAAGCCCGAACCACAAAAAAAATCCCATCCTATTTCACAAGCCACGCAGTCCCATTGTCAAGAAAACGCGATCTCAACAACGCGGCGCGTCCATTCCATTGTCCCTCAGGCCTCAACTGATCATTGATGGGAGCTAGCAACCATTTTCGGATAAACCGCCTCAGCTTTTCCCTTTGTCTCCCGCACACCCAATTTCCTTTGTCTCCGCCTCCCAAGCTCCCCGCCGCAACGCAACGCAACGCAACAACGACAACGTGACTCAACCACGGACACGGACACGAACACCAATATCAAGCGGAGTTTTCCTTCCGACCAACCATCATCACCAACCACTCTTAAACTCGAACCACCACCATCGTCTGTGCCACTCAACTTCAACCACCCCTCAACTTGCTTTTCACCGCATCCTTTTGGTCGTCGACTGTAGTCATACCCACCCCCTGCATTCCGCGACGACTTCGCAACAACTAGCAAGCGAGCAAGATGTCTTCGAGTCCAGCTCGTCCAGAGCACTCGTCTCCCATTCGCTCCTACCACATGCGACGATCCCGGAACCGCGCCAGAAGGTCGAACAGCTATGCCACCAACCGCTTCTCCTCAACCCGCAAGTCCACCAACCTCCTGAATCGACCATCCGAGCGAATTCAAAGCGTCCTAGAGGACCTAGTCGACGAACTCGGATACCCCAGGTCCATGATCAGAAGTATCGAAACCAGGAGGCAGCAGATGACCCTCGGCACCATCCTCGATAAGATCCAAAGGGAGTCGGAGAAACCTCGAGACTTGCAAGAGGAGGATTTCCTGACCGAGATTGAGGAGGCGATTTTGAAGAGTTACATGGAAGGAAACAATGGAAAGTTGATCGACGAAGAGTGAGTACCTCCTTATCCGATCTTGAGTATCCGTTCGCTGACGATTCACAGTGGTAATGAAGTCGAAGTTTATTTTGGCGACGAATCCGATGATAGCGACGACGACGACCAATCGGAGGCTGAAGAGGTAGATGAGCAAGGTGCCGAAGAACGTGAGGTTGAAGGGGTACACGAAGAAGAATCGCAGCCAATCTATCCCAGCATCAACGTCGTGGAGCCAAACGACACACCTGTTGTTGAAGCCCTCAAGGCCGCCGTCGAGTCGACCACCGCAAGAAGGAACAGCCTCGTCACCCCATTCCCAGTCAATCGCCGAATGCGACGAGAGCAGCAGCCCCGGGACCTCCTTCGAACCATCCTCGAGCGAACCGAAGGACCGACTCCCCGCCCCGAGTCCAACGCGATCGAGACATACGCTATGGCTTCACCCATGATTGTTTCGCCTCTCAACATTGCAACCAACGATACGGCCGTGAAGGCCACCCCAAAGACCGAACTGGTCGAGATGGCTTCTCCATCGGCAGAATCGCCAGCTGTGTTCAGAGGCGAGCAACAATTCGGGGGCCTGCAAGTACCCGTCTTCCCATTCCCCACCCGAACTTCCAAGGCCGGCTCAACTCCATACCCCAAGAGGGCCAAAGTCGCGTCGCCCGTGCCCATGGACATTTCGCCCATCCCTCCGACTCCAGCTCCCGCCCCAGCCCCTGCGGCGAACGCCCAGCCTCACCCTTTCACCCAAAGCGCCCCGGCCCCTCCCACCGCCTTCACATTCACCTACCCATCCAACTTGACCATCCCGGCCCTCTCGCGATCGACCAACGAAGTCCCCGCCAGCCACACCGAACTCAAGCTCTCCGACCTCGAGCCAATCGCCCGAAAGCCGGTCGCTGCCGCGCCATCCATCGCCGAGGGTCGAAAGTTGGGCAGGTGGGATAGTTTCCAGAGGGAGATTGGTGAAGTTGGGAAGACTGTCGATAATAAGCCGTCTGGAGTCCAGGGGAGCCCAAAGGCCGTGCGACCCCTTGGTCGAGAGGAAAGTTCGTTTGTTGAGGTCGATAGGGCGTATGAACGGCGTGCGAAGAATCCGAGAATGGCGGGGGTGGGGTATCAACCGTATCAGGCGGCGAAGGAGAGAGAAATCCAGCAGAGGATGGAGAAAGCGGCGTTGATGCAGAAGGCTTTGAGGCAGTCTAAAGAGTTATTGGAAAGGGTGAGTCTTTAGATCCCGGTTCAACACGAATGTGTGTACTGACCACGTTGCTCTTCGACAGAAACGATCCATGTCATCGCTCGACGGCAGCCTCTCCAGCTCAAGGAAGAGACGGTTGGACAACAAGCTCGAACAAGGCGACAACGAGGAAAGCGCGAGGTCGATTCGTCGCCGATGCAACCCTCTCGACCAGACTGGCCGCAAGCGCGCTGGTGCCAGCACCCAGCAACGCTGGGTTCCGAGCGCCCGTTTCGACTCCCCTACCACCAGCAGCGGATGGGCTGGCTTGGGCGGTATCGTTGGGAGATTCGTTAACTGGGCTACCAAGGCTTGATTCAATGTCAATAGCGAATGGACTTGTATTTATAGTGTTCCTGTTAGCGATTGTGATGTTGTGTTATGATTCGTAGGGTGGTACTAGACGTACATACCTGGTTTCTGTGTATCCTTTTCCCCTGTATCATAGTTCCTTATTTAATAGAAAAAGAAAGAAAATGACGCGGTGCGTCGCCAAAGCGGTCTGAATCTTGAGTTTCCCGAGTCTTCATGCCGGCCCCTGCGATTGAGTGTACCGCTCGTTACTGAATTGCGTTGGTAGGTCGGGAAATTCATAGGGAAACCAACCGCTGTGGTCGTATACGAAGGCGACAGCGAGCCAGCAATGGGAGATGATGGTGGTCGGAAGAAAACAGAAAACGTCAAGATCACAAATTCATCCTCAGCTGATTTCAAATCAGTCTCGCCAAAGTCGTCGGTTCGATCCTTGCGCATTACAACTGTCCTACTACTACAGAATACTATAAAGCGTATATAAATTTAAAAGTACAGTAATATTGGAACTCAATAGTCAAAAATCCTGGCACGTAGTAGAACGATTACAGTCCTCACAAGGTAGCTACAAACCAAAGCAAGTTATACATCCTGGCAAACCACATCCAGCATAAAGGACATCATCATCATCATCATCATCATCCTCGTCCTCTTCCTCCGAATAACAGTCATTCACATCGCCATCCCAATCAACATCAACAACCACCTCCTCAATCCTCTGCACATCATCCCAATACAACCTCACACAAGCAGCCAACTCCACCTCCTCAATCTCCCCACCCATCTCGTACCTCATCATCAACCAATCCAAAAAACACTCAATATCGATGCTCTGAAAGTCGGCGGCTTCGAGCACGAGCCGTCTGACCGATGCGAAGCGCTTGAGTTTCTTCGGTTTCGCTGCGGCTTTCTTCTTCTTCGACGTCCCTTTCCTTGACCTGGTGGGGGCGAAAGCAGGATCCTTGCTGGCGTAGAGGATGAAGTCTTCGGACGCGACTCGGTCGGCGTAGACGGTGCGGACGGAGGGCAGGCGGGATAAGGGCGCTAGGATCTTATGATTGCAGCCGATGTTCAAGTCGAGGGCGAGGAGGTCGTTCAAGGGTAGAGCCGTGAGGAGTTCGGGTAGGAAACCGTTGGTGTCGAGGTGTATTGTTAAGATGGGCTCGGCACTGTACCAGTCATTATCCTCCTCCATCCCCGTAGCATGACCACGAATAGTCGATCCGTAGAGGTTGCTGTCGAGGGTGAGAGAACGGAGGACTCGACCCAACACATGAGATACCGCCTGCCCAAATGCCGTCGCATTGGCAGCAGTGTCTTGCGGATGGCGGGATATCTCTAGGGTAGCGGAGAGGGATGAGGAAACCGCGAGATGCTTCAGAACATTGTCACATTCGCGTAGACAACCGCGAAGGCCGAGAAATTCGAGCTGCGGGAGTCGAACGACGCGGACTGTCGCCAACGGGACGATGGGGAGGGGAATGTCCAGCTCCAACTCGCGAAGGTTGGGCAGAGCTTCGAGACCTTGGAAGAAGGGTTCGGGGTCTGGGAAATCACCCGGTTCCCGGGAGAACGCGCTCAAGTTGAGCACCGTGAGGCCGGAGAAGACAGAAAGAGCAGGCCAAGTAAACTTGTACCCATTTAAATGCAGAGTGCGAAGCATTGGCGCCTCGCCACCCAGAAGGCCGTCTGGGATAGATGGTGTCCCGTCTCCAACCATGATCATGTCGCATCTCAACTCCAGGCTCTGGAGATTCGGGGCTGGGGACATTAGCTCCTCGAGTCGCTGGCGAACAAAGTCGTTGTAGCCGAGTATCTTGAGCCCCTTCAAGCGGCGCGGTTGCGAGCACGCGTCCTTGATAATCGTCACAAGTTCCGGTCTGTCGGCCGACTGCGTCGAGAACGTGAGCGAGATTGGGGCTTGCTTTGACCGTTCGAACATGACCTGGGCCCGCCGGACGTTGGTGGTGGCTTCAACATTCGACCAGAGCGCCGGACACCCCAGCGCCGTATTCCTCCAATACCGCGAAACGTGTGCGACTTTGGTCCAGGAAAAGGGCTTTATCGCGGAGTAGAAGAGTGTGGGCGCTGATGATGAAGTGCAAAGCCGCTGGTAGTGAATGAAGACCCGACTGAGCACTTCTGGCGGCAGCCGGGCAATTTCAGACAGCTCGTTCCTCTCGCTTTTCCATTTGCGAATCTCCTCTTCCAGTTGACCGATGCGTGTGTCGATAAAGTCGCGTCGAGCTGTTCGTTGTGTGCGGTCATCCGAGTCTGCCACGTTTGATGCCGGTAGGTTTGGCCCTTTGGCTTGTGAGCTTGTTGTCTCAGCCTGAGCGGTTCAGGCGCTTACCAGAAGGTGAGACAGGGCCTTGTTCAGACATCTGGTTCTGGCCAACGCAAGACTGGAACGAAGGAGCGAAAGGAAGAGAAGGTCGACGCGATTCGCGTCATTTAGTACCAGCCCCCGGGAAAGCGTCCAAACTAGGACGCAGTTCCCACAATCCCATTGCCTGGGCGAGTCAGGCTCAATCCGAGTTCTGGTCATCCTTGAGGGAGAAGGTAGTAAAGAACAAGCATTCACGGTAGCCGTGATGGGGAGAGCGACGTGCCCCAGGGAAGTCAGGCATTACTGGCCATACATACAGCCACCGGGGCCTCAGAAGTTGGATACATATGAGCGAGCAATTGGGTCCGTACCTTCAAGGCGTACCGTGATACCAGGATCCCAGCGACTTTATTGAGGCAACTGCGATTTCCGGGTCTGTGGTGGGCAATAGATGATCGTAACTTTACGATAGGCAGCCGCAGAACAGTCCACCAAGGGCGAATCTCATGGCAGCAAGTATAACCCCCGAAGTGTCTATTGGAGGCGTCGATGTTGCACCAAGCCCATGTTCAAGCAGAGACACGGCCTCATATTCTCATCACCGTCGGTCCGGCTACACCTTTAAGTGTAGAAGATAAAATCCTGGACAGGATTCGATTCTCCAGGGTCAAGTTTTCTCCTCTGCTTTACACATCACCAAAAAATATTCCCACTGTTAGTACCTGAAATGTTTGGGTAAAGGAAGGGCGTCCTCACCAGGCGTATGTATTCCCTGATAATGGAATACTTATGTACCCGAGGACATGGTGGTCGAAACTATGTAAGTCGCCCACCCAGGTTCAAACTCAGCTGATAAATTAGCCTTGCCGCTTCCTTTGTTCTTGCTTTGGCGCGACTCCTACAACTTTGACCTGGTCCAAATGTCTGCTCAGGATACAGCGTCACCCTCTGGTACGCGCTGGTGACGTTCAGTCTGGCAAACTAACTGACACGTCCAACGCCCAGTTTTATCGGTGTCCAACGACGCGGCAGAAGAACGTGCCCAGCGAGCAGCTCGACGCGACTTTATCGACTCACGCATCGCTGAACTCCAGGAAGAGATTCGAAAATGGAAGAGCAATAGAAACGAGCTGTCCGAGATTTCTCGGCTACCACCAGAGGTACTCAGTCGAGTCTTCATGCACTATCAGCGGCTTTGTGCGTCGTCGACCAGAATCTCCAAATTTGGGAGAATCCTGAGGCCCTCTGACTGGACGAAAGTCACGCACGTTTCGCGGTATTGGAGGGATGTAGCGCTGGCTTTCCCGGAGCTTTGGTCCAACATCCAGGCCACGACGAGCCCCCGCTGGGCCCAGGTCATGTTTGAACGGGCAAAACAAGCCCCGATCTCCCTCACGTTCTCCTCGAACTCGAGCACCAGGCCAGAACTCGCCGAGGTGATCAAAGATGCGTGCTCGCAACCCCATCGCTTGAAAGGCCTCAAAGTAACCGGTTTTAGCGACTTCATTCGCCAACAACTCAGGCAGCTAGCGTCTCCAACCCCTAATCTCCAGATACTGGAGCTGGAATGCGACCCCTCGTACGTCCTCATGTGCCCAAGCATCCCAGATAACCTTCTGGGAGGCGAAGCCCCGTCGCTTCGCAAACTCCACTTGACCGGATATCAGTTCCGTTGGGCAGCACTTGCCCCCATATCCTCCGGCCTCACGTCCTTCAAATTAAGCTTGTTGCCTCGGAAAACAGACGAATTCCCAGGTCCGGATGCGTTCTTCCAAGTGATCGAAGCTATGCAAAACCTTCGAGAGTTGGAACTGGATATCAAACTTCCTATCGCACCTCTGCCAACGTTCCGCGTCATCCGCCTCCCGAAACTCGAATCTCTCAAACTACATGGCTGTTTCCGCGAATGCGAAAACGTCATGAAGCACCTCGCGCTTCCGTCTTCCCTCCGCGCTTCCTTCGAGGTCACCCACAATGCGGAGGACACCGGCGTCAATGCATTGACGTTTGGACAGACGTTATCCTCTTCCTGGCTTTCTGGCCCACTTTCGGATCCGCCGCGCGTTGTTCGCGATCTCGCCGTCAACAACAGTCACTACAAAGCAAGGATCACAGGGCATCTTTCCGGCCTCTATTCTTTCCCCTTCCTGACCATAACACTCATATCCAACAAATTCCTATCCGAGGTCCTAGCCGCTCTTCCCTTGAACGACGTCACCACGCTCGACTTGAGGAGCGGCTTCACCGCAAAGGACATAGAACGCTTTTCTAGCCTGCCATCCGTCCACACAGTCCAAGCCGACCGACTTTCTTCGGAAGCCGTTATCCTCTACGCCCGAAGGGATCCTGCTTTACATTTCGTCCCAGCCAAGTCCAGGAAGGGAGGGACGTCGAAGAACAAGGCCAGGAGAAAACCAAAAACGTCTCCAACAAAACTCACCCGCTTCGCGTCCGTCAAGCGGCTCGTTCTTGAATGCGCTGACTTTGAGAGCATCGATATCGAGAATTTTTTGGATTGGCTGATGATGAGGTACGAGTTGGGAATGGAGATGGAGTCGGTCAAGTTGTTTGATTGTGTGAGGCTGTATGAGGATGATGTGCAGCGGATTGAAGAGGTGGTCGTTGATGTTGACTGGGATGGCGAGGAAATCGAGTATTATTCGGATGAAGAGGACGAGGATGATTGTGATGGGTGTGGCTTGCCAGGATGTATCAGCTGCTACGGTGACGATAGTGATTATGCGGATTACCTTCAGTACTCTAACTGAATAATAGCCATTTCCTTGTTCGACTATTTACGCGTTGATAGCCTTAATCAATTGGCGTACTAACAGGACTTGTACTGCGTATACCCCTAGGAGTTCTGAACTCCATCAGAGATCTTCGCACTGATTAAGCGAGACCTCCCGGGGAGATGACGCTCATCTGGGATGCCAACATGGCTTGTGACAACAGACTGGAGAGAACAGTTGAGTGAAGGGGAGTCAGGACTGGGGAAGATGGCCTGAAAAAGCGCACCAGGACGTTCTCACACCTTCGTCGCTGCTGACTTGTAGATCTCGGCTTTCCGGCCGTTAAAGTCGGGACTTCGAAGTATATTATAAGTATTTGCCGAAGACTTGAGGTCGACAGTTCGATCCAACTCAAGTTCCTTGCGTCTTGCAACACAGGTATGTACATGGGTTCCAGACGCTTCCAATTTGGCGCCAAGTAGTGATACACCCCATGGCAAGTAAGTACTCACATTCAATACTAAGAGTCCGAGTCGTAATAGTGATTCCCAGTCCCTTCCACATGGTCCACAACTTTCGCCAACCTGTCGACTTCCGGACGACGCAACCCCAAGCACCCCTCCAGTCGTAACGACCGAAGTGGTCTCCCCTTCTCCGATCGTAGCATCAAGAGCTTTTCAAAATCGGCGACGGAGATGTCCCTCCTGAAATCGACGCGGCTGCAAATGAGCGTAGTAAGGGAGAGGAAACGCGTTAATGGGGTCGGTGGTAGTTTCTCCGCCGTAGCTCCAGTGGCCACGGGTGCCTTCTCAAATGGCTCGCGAGGCTTTTGGCCTTGAATGGCAGGATCTGCTGCGATGTATCGACAAAACTTGGTGGCAGCTGAATCTATGCAGACAGTGTGAAGGCGAGGTAGCTGGGAAAGTACTGCCAGGGTCATCTCGGGCATGCTTGTGGATAAGCCGAGCATTTCAATCTTGTCCGAGGGCAGTGCGGAGACGAGGTCAGAAGTCCATGGCGCTGTGTCATCACGACAGTCTTTGATATATATCCCGAGACCTGGGTTCTTGAAATTTACAACGGCCTGCAAGTATATCTTGGCGCGTTCGTACCTGTCGAACGCGAGGGATTTGACCGGGGATGGTGCCACCGAGTTGGAGAGAGGCGAAGAGAGCCAGGATGAAGTGGCGGCCGATACCAAATCTGAGACACTGCTCAGCCTGTCGTCAGCAGTGGTATGGCACCAGATGTCCAAGGTGGCAGAAGCCGGGATGGCCAAGTGCTTAAGGACATTTTCGCACTCCCGTTGCGACCCTTTAAGCGTAAACGTTTCAAGGCGGTGGAGGGATATGATACGCTTGGTGGGTAAAGGTGCTATGGGGAGTCCAGCGTCGAAGAGATGCAGACAACGAAGATCCTCCATCTCTGCAATCGCTTTGAAAAATGGTTCGGGCTCCGGATGGAATGGCGAGGTTGAGGTTGAGCGAGATAGCTTCAGGGTTCTCAAATTTTTGAATGAGATTGCATGCCACGGTACCACGAAGCTTGTCAGCTCCAAGTGCCGTAGCTGCGAGGCGTTGTTGCCGAGAAACCCTGTCGGAAGGGGAATGTCATGCTCCTTGTCAAAGTCAGTGGCACGGGTGCGGAGTTTCAGCCGTCGAAGAACGGGGGTTGGAGCTGTCAACTGTGTTACTAGTGTATTGAAAACAGTCAAGGTATTGTCGATTTCGAGGCACTCCAAACGGTGCGATTGTGATAAAACTTTGTTGGCAATGTCCTTCTCCAACGACGCATGCCATTCGCAAAGAGAACGGTTCCAGGTGAACGAGATTGGGAATGGATTGGATCGATCAAGCATCACACTGGCCCAACGACGGTCAGCGGCGTCGATGATCGACCACAGTTGCGGGCACGCTAAGGCTACCGCTCTCCAGTTTCGCGAAACATGCGTGACCTTGGTCCAGTCCAGCGATTCATGTTTGTGGTAGTGATAACGCTCTGATCTTGGCCCGCAGGAAAGCCGGTAGCAGACGAAAATCTGGCCGAGGATCTCAGGGGGTAATTGAGATATCTCGGCCAGCTCGTTTTGACGACTCTTCAGTAGTCGTATTTCTTCCTCGAGGGCTGCTATCCGCGAGCCTATGAGCTGATGCTGGGCACGTCGTTGGGACGCTGTCGCGTTCATCGATTCTGGATCAAATGCCTTTCAGTTCACCGTGATGAGTCGAAACGTTTATGAGACGTCACCTGCCGATTGTGTATGTTGTAGATTGGATTGGACCGTCATCGTACTCCTGCGAGGGCGAGTTTCGAAGCAAATTTGCTGAGTGGATGAAGACAAAACACACAACGCGGTTGTGGGCAAGTACCCAGTCGGAGGTCGTGCCAGTGTCGGTGTTTGCCGAAGTCCAGCGTCGAGGGTTCGATCCACGCCGAGTGTCAAAGATATGTATAAACAATCATTTATCCGGCCAGAAGCACTGGAGATAATCTGAAAACCCATCCCTACCATAGAAGTTGATACATCCCGTCAAACTACATCCCCCATCTGCACCCTTATCTCTTCATCTGCAACCCAAACAATGTCGAAATTTATGCAGCCCTATTATCTGCCTCTCATTCCCCTTTTTGTCTGCTTTCGGTTTCAGCGCCGACTTTGGCGTCTAGCACTGACCATCTGCCGGGGAGCTTGTTCAGATGAATTTTTGGAATCACCTTCCTGTGGTATAGATAGGGGCGCTTAGTAGTATGGAAGTGACGCGTCACGTCGCGTCTGAACTTGGAACGCCACAAAGCAACCGTTGCCGTGACTCGGTTTTGTGCTCTCGACCCTCAAAAAGCGGTGCCCTCTTCTTTCCGGAATGAAGAGTCAATAGTAGCACGCTGGTAAAGCCGAGTCGAAAGCACTGTTGCTTGCCTGAAACAACTGCGTGGATACGAAGATAAGCCAGCTCAGCTCTGTGGCAAATAGGAAGATTCCATAAGAATGGAGAGCTTAGTGACTGTTTGTCGCACACAGATAGGGAGTCAAAATATGGGTGGTACTGAGGACACAGGTTTTATTGGTTGTCCTGTTTGCTTGGAATGGAGATTTTACAGCACCTTGAGTGAATTTCGGATATCGTCGTCCTTGGCTCTAAGACATGTAATCGCTTTCAACCTAGGCGCTGACTCCGAATTCTCAGTGACGCAGCTCTCGAGGGCAGCGTTCAACAGCCCCTCTCATTCCGAGCATCGATAAGCAATACACGAGTGTGCTACGATTGCAGTCCTCCAAGCAGTGCGGAGGGTCGGCATGGGCGGCACGACTCATTGAAAGCTCGATTTGGATAGTGACGCTGGACTTCGCGAGTGGCGAGTGTGTGTCGACCTCGAGGTGCGCTTCTTGACGCCAGGCAGGTCACAGGTGGGCTTTCTGTCTCCATTTGGGCAATGGGAGAATGGCTTCTGTGAGAGAGAGATCAATCATTCGCATCAGCGATCAAATTGGCTCGTGTTCTTCCTTTTTGGGATGTCGTCATTGCCACTCGACAGCCCTTTGTGCCACAGTTTGGAAAACATATATAAAGGGCGTGGCTGGTTCGTTGGGGTCCCGCATCTTTCTTCCCTTCGTCCATCATCTCCTCCCCTGCATACCTCCCTTCCCCTCCTCTCCCTTCTCTTCTCCCTCATTTAACTTCGAGCATTGTGGCTGACGACGATCATCGACTATCTATTGCGACTGCGAATACTGGCGACGAGTTCGGGGTGCGTCGGGATGAAGACCAGATCTCACTCCAGTCACTCGCCAAGGGTGTCGGAGCAAAAATGATATAAAAAAAAAAGAATAAAAATTAGAGATGTGTCTTCATCCCGACTGCTTATCCACTAACGAGCTCGAGGTGCGTCGGGAACAAGACCAGATCTCACTCCAGTCACTCGCCAAGGGTGTCGGAGCAAAAATGATAAAAAAAAAGTAATTTAGAGATGTGTCTTCGTCCCGACCACCCCTCTGGCGACTTCGACAACCCCACCGATAACCTGATCTTTGGATTCTCCGGGTCTCGTGCTCACTCCTCTCTGGGTCATGTCCTCTCTGGCTGTGGCTGCGACTGCGGGGCTTTGTCTGATCTTCAGTTTGACTCTTCTTCTCCGTCCCTGTGTTACTCGTCGGTGCGAAGCTCTTGGGTTTGGCTGCTTGTCTCCTGGCGACGAAGGCGAACGACGATCTTCATCTCGGACTGGGCTTTCTCTCTCGGATTGTGGACGAATATCTTTTGTGAACTCTCTGGCTGTACTCTGGGGCTCTCTTCATCTCTTCGACTGGCGACCAGGGACCTTGTCTTCTTTCCTTTGCTGTGACTCCCTGTGGCTCTCGTCGACACAACTTCCCGAAACCTCTTCGCGGGACTTAAGCTTGAGAGCAGACGGGTCCATCCGTGGATCGGCGGACGAGTGGTCTGAGAATTTGAGAACTTCAGCGCAGCGTCCAGATCGATTCAGCTTTGCTTTCTCCGACCTCTTCTACGGATTTCTCTCTTTACTTGAGTGCAAGTCTTTCACAGGAATCACAGATTCTCAAGCTAGCAGCGTTCTACTATAGAGCCTTATGGGTAGGGTATGGTGGGTCAAGACCAAGGCTTCAAGACCTTTTCTGAATGCGAATTTATGGTACGTCCTCGTCGCATTCGTAGCGCTCTTGCTGACCTCCTTGATTCAGATGGGTGATTGAGACTTCTTGAGATGAGGCGTCTTGAGTGTGAGGTGAGTCACTTCCTCCTCTATTCTCGATGGCGATTTCACTAATTACTTCACTTTATGCTACAGGTTCTGAGAGATGAGCTGTGAGATTATGTGAGAGCATCGTGAGGTAAGTCTTTAGTATTCTCTTACTCGTCTTCTCCTGGCTCATATACGGATAGATCTAGTGAAGTCAGACATTTGCGTGCCTCAAGACTGAGCGTTACTTTGAGCATTGCTTTGAGCTCTCGACGCTAACTACACTGCTTGGTCTACACTAAAAACTTCGACTCTTGCTCCTCCGAGTCACCAGTATCGAGGACGGTACGCATTGGTAGCTTGGTCTCATGTCGCTGATCTTCCGCCTCCAGCCCTGCTTCACCTCAAGGTTCTCAATGTCTTAATCTCCCTTCACCGTTACGGTTCGGTATATGGCTCGAAGACTGCGGGGGATCCTGGGGAAGGTGGGGGGAGATACGCGCCATTACGCGGCGGGTGATGCTCTCCCTTTCCTCGTGCTCCCTTGTCGTGGGTCCCTGGGCTTAAGACCCGGAGAGCTTTCTCCGGTGTCGAACCAAAGCACGTTAAATCAGAGGTGGTCTGATGGATTGGTGAGCGGGTTATTTGATTTGGTCTGTTGGCTGATTGGAGGGTTCTTCTCCCAGGCGTTCGTGAACTGGTCTCCCGGGTCCGGCAAGGCCTCGAGATTCTCTACGTCTTCGAGTGCTCATTATCTTTCCACCTCTGGTACGTCTCTCACCTCAGTCATCTTTTCTGACCGATTTTTCCAGGGATCTGTGCTCTCTCTTCGCGCCGAGGTACACCTCTCGGAGGAGGCAGGTGGGTGTGACGACTCGGAGGCCCGGGGTCCTCTGAATCGTGAGTGCGTGAGGTACGTCCATGGTGTGTTGACCTTCGTGCCTTGTCAACAGACACTCTGAGTGAGCGAGGAGCCACCGAGGGTCCTATCCTGCGAACCTCAAGCATCGAGCAACAGTGGCCTGAAAACTGCAAGAGACCGTGAGTGAGGGAGCTTGGGATGATGTGAGACCCTGAGGTCGAGATGGTGCGAGAAACTCGAAGAACTTTGGTCGTGAGGCTCTGAGCTGCACGATGAACGTTGAACTCTAAGGGCTTCTGAGTTGATAGCTCTGTCTCGGCCTGAGCTTTCGTGAGGATCGTGAGGTTGTAAGGTTGGGTTGCGAGGTATGTGAAGATGAGCCCAGTGGTGCCTCCATCTCGTAAGACTTGAAGACCGAAAGGCCAACAGAACAGACCTGAGCTCGAAGCCTCAGTGAAGCCTCAGTTAAGACTTGAAGCTTGAAGACTTGGAAGTGTGATCGCTCGGTGTGACGACCTTTTCAAGTCCAGAGGTCAGAACTCGACCTCTTCGGGGTGACCGAACGTTGTGAGAGACGACCAAGAGTTGTTTTTGAACTTCGAAGTGAGCACTAGGTAGGAGAGTTCGAGAATCAGCAGGAAATGCCAATCCCAGGCCTTCCACGGAAGCGGAAGGACGCCAACTCCCCAAAGCAGGCTCAAAACCCCAGAAACCCCAGGCCAACCCGAACCCAACTGCTGAGTACTGCGTGTTCATAAAAACGAATCACATTCATCTGGGCTCAGGCTCTGCACTAAAAAAACAAAATTAAAACTAAATGTTCGTAGTAGAGTTCGAGAGTTCGTCACAAACACAAAACGTACTACGTATACTGGCATGACATAACATAAGGATTCATCATCGAACGAAAAGGTCGTAAATCGTGGTACTTGTGAAGAAAAAGAAATAGTTCGTAAATCATGGTAGTAAACAAAGAAACAGTTCGTAAGCCGTGGTAAAGAAAGAGATGCTGAAGATGACGAAGAAAAGAAAAAGAAAACTACGTATATGCATAAAAAAGGATGGAAGGCGATTAGAAGAAGTGCACTGTGCTATAGTAGAATAGAATACGGAACGAGGACAGAGGCTCGTAGATGCCGATGGAAGAGATGAGGGGAAAGAAATTAGGATGAAGATGAGAAAGGGGAGGCGAACAAACGTGAATGAACCACGAACACGAACATAGAACATGAAACATGAAGATGATAGTAATAATACAAATGTTTCCATAACCAAAGAAAGAAAGAAAAGAAACAAACTGAGAAAAAGGGCACATACAAATCTGAACGAACGAAACAAAAAAGGTCGGAAAAAAGAAGTCACCATAAAACCCGAAAAACACGATTTTCAAACGAAAAGAACGACAGAAAAACAAAAAAAAAAAGGGGGGGGGGAACACAGTCTAAGGGACATCTCACCAACCCAACCCGAGCCAGCATCCCCCTCTCCACCCTCCTCATTCGCCTACCGATCAAAGAACAACCCAGCAACAGCAACACCCCCACTCCCCGCCACACCACCAGCCACCGTTTGAGTCGTCAAAGCGGGCGGAGGAGGCGGAGGCGTAGGACTCCTCAAACCCCACCCCAACAGCACCTGTTCCTCCTGTCCATCATACGAACTTGAACTTGGACTACCACCCAAATCGAACCCCAACCACCCAGCTTCAGAACTCCCAGTTCCGACTCTCCAGGGGGCTGTTATGGGTTGCTGGCGTCGAAGGGGCTGGGTGTGAGACTGTGCATGAGATTGAGGTTGAGATTGAGATTGACGTTGGGATTGATACGGAGATTGCGACTGGGACTGCTGAGATTGAGATAAAGGCAGAGGCAAAGGCGAAGGAAGCACAACAACCGTCCTCGAAAGCTGAATCGTCTCTGGCGCCGTCGTCGTCGCGGTAGCCGAAGTCGTCGCAGTACCATGCGTACTCGTCGTACTGACCGCATCCAAATTGGAAATCGCATCCGCATCGTTATAGTTACCGTTCTCGGTAGCGTTGTCAGTGGAGGTAGAACCCCCAACCTCCCGCGGGTGATTCGCCCTCCAGGTATCGCGGCTCCCACCAATACCACTACCCCCACCATTCCAACCACCGCCCAACCCGAACCCCCACCACCCGTGCTGTTGCTGCTGCCTCCTCAACCGCTGCCTCTCGCGCTCCCAAGCACCCAGCACCTGCTGCTGGTAGAATGACATTGGCTGAGGCTGCGGGTGCGTCATCTCGATGGAGCGCGTCGTCGTCGTTCCGGTAGGTAGTGGTTCGTCCGTTGGTCCGGTAGGTCTGTCGTTTGTTGTCTGAGTAGGTCTGTCGGTTGTTGGCCCGGTAGGTCTATCGTCCGTCGTTAGAGTAGGTCTGTCGTCTGTTGTCGCAGTACGCCCGACGTCCATCGCTAGAGTAGGCCTATCGTCGTCTGCTGTTCCAGTAGCTCTGTCATCCACCGACCCAGCAGGCCTCCGAGCCCCACCCACCCTCAACGTCCCCATCACCACATTCCTATCCGCATCCAAGTTCCCATCCTCCTGCCCCGCATTCAAGTCCACATCTTCCAAAGGACGACGAGGAAGAGGTAAGAACGGCTCAGGCGACGACGTAAACTGCCGATCAAACAACGGCGGTGCAATCATAACATGGCTCAACCTTTGCTGCCATTCCCGGTCAAAATCCGTCCTCGTCACCACTTCCCTCGCCCCCGCACTTGCACTCGTATTCGCAGTCGAAGACCCAATGGTACTTGACGCACTCCCATCCTCAATATTCACCTCCCGTCCTCCCCTCAAACCCCTAGTAATTCCCAACCCCAAAACCTCATCGAAATTCACCCTCTGATCATGATCATCATCGTCACTGCTCCCACTCGAAACAGAAGCACGCCACGGCCGTCGAGTGCGGGGCGAAGACGGCGCAAACGTCGGCGACGAGAGTGGGGAATTAGGCTCGGTAGGGACGACGACAGGCGAATTCGGCTCCGTAGGGACAACAGGTAAATTCATCTCCGTCTCAACCCGCGGTTTAGGATACAACTGAGCCGTAGGATCCACGAATGCCGTTACTGCATTTGAGAAAAAGGTGTATAGTTCCAACGGGGGTTCGGGTGGAGGTTGGTAGAACTGCGTTGTCGAGGAGGGGGAGGAAGATGATGAACTTGCAGAGGCGGATGATGATGATGATGATGGATCGGTTATAGGACACGGCTGTGCGTTCAAATCGGACGACTGTTGCTGATACGAACTCCGGGTCCGCGACGACGACGACGAAGTGGACGGTGCTCCACCCCAGTACGGCGGACCATCCGGACCCACCAAGCCCCTCTGCTGCTGCCGCTGTCTCCACCGCCTCGCCAACCCCTTCCTCCTCCCCTCCGCCATCCGCTCACAAAACCTCCACCTAGTCCCCAACGGATTCCCACAAACCACACACCCAATCCCCTCCTTCACACACCCACACGCACTCGTCTCGAAGCGCACCCCGACATACGGATGGAAGTACTCACTCGCAAGAGGTACGACCACGTCCGTCGCCGGCGACCGTGCGGTGTACGTCCTCGTCGCATGCTGTGCCGACGGGGCACAGGTCGCTGCGAAATGTACATACGCCCCGCAACCGTTGTTTGATTTCTTTGATCCACCATTCCTCGAACTGGATCCTGGTTTGGGCGGGGTAACGGGGAGCAACGAGGGTTTGAACGGCGTCGAGGAGGATGGATAAGTGGAGTCCACATCGACTTCAGCTCCACACACGAGAATATACGTCGGATTCTCATCATCAACGTCCAGTTCCTCGACCCACCGCGAATAAGAAGGATACTGGTGCTGATGCGACGTAAACGCACGGTGGTGCCGGTCAAGCATGTCGCTCTGGCCATACGCAAAGCTATACGGCCTATTTTCCTCGTCCGAATCCGAGTCCTCCAAAAACAAAGGCGGTCGGCCAAAGTTCCGGGGAAGGACTGGCGGGTTGTGGTGGATAGAGTTCCGGTCTAGTCGTAGAGCACCCCGGCGTCGCAGTCTGGAAGCCTCGCCGGTGCGCACGAGGTCGGAGAGGACAATCGAGTCGTCAGCGTCGGTGATAGCGGGCTGCGAAGTCATGCTCGACGAGCTGGACGATGCTGAAGACCTTCTCCGTCGTCTGAGTACAAAGCCTGCGTCGTTTTGCATAGGATTGAAATGAATAGACAGTCAGCTGCCCGTTGCAGCTGGTCAAGTCGTAAGTCTAGACGTAATATAAACGTGTTAGTGATGAAACAAAACTGAATAGAATGTGTTAGATACCGCAGATGATAAGTATAGTCGCCCAGACGATCGAGGATAATGGAAAACGAAAATGGTTGGTGGAGGAACGGAACCAAACCCTGAACATGCCTCCCCCTCATGCAAGTCTATCCCCTGCTTATGTCATCGCGTGGCAGTGCACATCAGGGGCGGTGCCAAAAAAGAAACAACTCCACTTTGAAGGTGCTACCAGGGTTCGAACCTGGGTTTCGGGAATTTGAGTTCATAGTCAAAATCCCGAGTGATAACCACTACACTATAGCACCACTGTCCATTGAGTCTCGGCCTGGCTGCCAGATGCCGCCGTGCTTCCATTCTACCGGGGAACGGCCTTCCGCAATAAAAAGACAGTGATCCAGATTTTAGGAGCTGCACTATGTGCTGGGAAAAAAGAAAGTTATGTATAGGGTTACCTACGAAGGCGCTACCAGGGTTCGAACCTGGGTTTCGGGAATTCCAGACCACAGTCAAAATCCCGAGTGATAACCACTACACTATAGCGCCCATGGGAGATTTGCTGGAACGTTGCACTACATTCACGTTGCCACTTAGTTATCCCTTGAATCTGACGCGAGATTCATGATCGGACTGACTTTTTCTTTATGTCCCTTTAGTCAAACCCAGGCAGCCATAGTCACATTGAGCTAATGGCTATCGAGGCTAACGTGCTATGTGCTTCTTTCAAACAAGCTCCCTGTTTTCCTCTCAGGCACTGGAACTCGACTTCTCTCAACGTTCTGTGACTCACCTCTACTCACTCACTAACTGCTCTTCCATTCCGAACGAAGACTCGCGCTGGACACTAGCTGTGAGTGGCGCTGGTGTATTCGGTGTACCGCTACTCTCGCGCAATGCGCAGCCTAGGGAAGATTCAAGAACTCAGATGGTACGGATTTTCTGTCACGATGATCGTCACAACCTCACTCTGAATCGTATTCTGATTCCGATTGATGATCCTCGAATTAAAGTTCCTTTTGTTGCTCAGTCTAGATCTGACGGTCGAGGGCTGATGTAGTGACAATCGCTGATGTACTGGTAACGGCTGTACTCCGACTTGACTCTTGCCTCGACTCATTCGCACTGCGCAGATCTTCCGCAGTAGTCTGCACGGGTGACGCGCATAGACGGATGAACCATTGAAGATGACCTTTACAGGAGGAATACTCATACAGGTGGAAGAACTATCAGTCTTATGTACGAACAAGTTCCATCATCCAGGAGATGGTCGTCGTCAATCTCCGAATATGAGGGGACCCCCGAATCAATTGCCACGAGTAGCAGAACCTCACCTGGCACTTGCTCACTTACCCGCTCAATCAGTCCAACGTGCATCATCAGCCTTTGTTCAGAAACCGGCCGCCTGAAACCAAGTCGAAAAACCGTTAATCATTACCCCTTCCTTCCATCCAACTCCCATCTTCATCGATATCCAATGATCCTGATATATCCATAGTCCCTAAGGTTTACTCTCGTCGCTACGCCGACGATGATTTGCTAGGCTCGTTGATATGTACGTTGATTTGCTCTCGAAGGGTTGATAAGTGCGTTGATTTATCTACTATCCACATAACCGCGCTGATCTATCCACATCGCTACCTACTAGGCGCATACAGAACTCACTACCGCCCACCCTAGACTTTGTTTGCCCAAAACCAGTACCTCCCTTGTTCTCTTTCCGTTCATTCTATACCCATACCATACGACGTTGTAGTGACACCCACCACACCTCGGGGGTCCCGGTAAGTCACAACCTCATGAAACACTTGCACTATGCGGTACCGTCTGGCAAGAGAACGCCAACGCCAACAATTTACACCCGTTGCTGTTGAGAGCCCCGGCCCCCCATCTTCCATATTTCTTTCTAGAACATGGCTGCGTACAATACACCAGTGCATCTGCCCAAAACGGATGCATATTAAGCGGTGCTCTGCCCTTTGATGGGACGCGGACGTTGGGCGCTCATCGGACTTTGGCGGCTGACAGGACAAAGTGTGGCGCAAAGTACTCAGTGGGACGCGCCTGGCTGAGGCTCTCCCACAAGTCGTTGCTGCTGCGCATCACGAATTCGGGTTAGACCTTCATCGCATTGAGTTTCTTTACAGCTTTTGCATACCACGCGCCTTAGCTTTTTGTCTTGTCATGGGAATGGAGGAAGCGAGTGTGGAATTCGAGAGAGAGATAGCTTCCTACATCGCCTCGATTTCTTGGGCGAAGAGGGTCGTCGCGTTTTGCCTCGATTTACTCAATTCGCGCGGTGCAACACCAACGCCGAGCGAACATTTCCCATTCTCAGTGTCGGTACGTCGGTGAACGAAGCGTCGAAATCACCTGCGCCCGGACTCAAAATTCGCTTTCACCTCTTTGAGAAAACAACAAATAGTAAGAAAAAGAGAATCCCCTTTCAAACAGCCTATTCGAACTTCGAAGACGATGTTCGGAGGATAGGATCCAAACTTTCAATCATCGGTAGTCATAGTGCACCAATACACCGCATCATGAATATACGTCCATCATCATCCTGATTAGTCTATTCTTCCATAGGTCTTTCCAAGAGTTCCTTCCTAACACCACTGCCACCTATCAAAACCCAAAACGAGGGGACAATACTTTATTTAGAAACCGTTATACTCCTCGCCTACGCCCGAATTTCAAAAACTCCAAATAAGGACGACGGACGATTGATTGTGCACCCACTAGTACTAATATCCCAAAGCAGCGAATTTCGAATCTTGAGAGTTGCAGTGCAGTGCCACTCGTCTCTTGTAGGTCGCGAGCTAGAACCAGATCGAGTCAATAGAGTAGCCTTGGGACGGTAAATACTGCCGTCCGATGAAAGGATTTAAATACGAGTGGGATTTGTTGGAGGAATGGGCAATCCGGTGTCGAGGTTTCTCACTTTCCTCGATCGAACAGCCAAGCTTTGCCACATTCCATCCCGCATCTCGCATCTCGCATTTCCTATCTCACATCCCAAAGCTTCCACATTCTTCCGTTTAACACACCCCCTCGTTGAATCTTTACGATCGACTCCGAAGCCCTTACAAAGGAAAAAAGAAAAAATGGACCAATTCCAGATTTCGAAACAGGTCGCTGAACAGTGGAGAGCCGAGTCGGACGAGACGAGGCGGATGTACATCCAGCAGACGATGCAAGCCCAGGCTACCGGACGCTACCCCACTCCCCATCCTAATCCTAATTCGCGGTACCACCACCACCCCTCTCGTCCCTCTCCCCCTTCCGGACAGTGGCTTGAAGGACAAGGCCAAGGACAAGGGTTCCCACCCTCCCAACCCCTCGCGAGCGCTTCCCGCCGTTATCACGATCAGACGCCCAGTGCCAGTCCCAGTCCCAATTCCGATCCCGAATCAGAATCAGAATCAGCGGTACTAGACCCGTACACCCTCTTCGACAAAATCTCCTCCTACCCACCAGGCTTCGCACCTCCCAACGGGGAAGGGCTCCCCACCCCTCCGCCCGCCCCTCCGCACGACGCTACGGTGGCGATGGGTCGGTATCCCGAATTTCACTATAACCACCAGAACCAGTATCAGCAGCAGCAACAGCAACGTCATCCTGCGTATGCAGGAGCGCAGAGCCCACATTACCCTTCTGTGGGCTCGCATTGTCCGTCGGTAGGCTCAGCATACTACCACCCCAGCTCCTCCCATGCCCATACCCATGCCCACTCCCATTACTATTCCAGCAGCGGTTCCCCCTCCCCAAAGTCGAGCGGCTCGTCATCGTCATCGACGCATACACGCTCTGGCACGCGGCGCAGCAGCCCCTAGGAGGATCAATGATGCATCATGGTAGTGGTAGTGGTGGCCATTCGAGGAGTAGAAGTGGTAGTGGATGCCCCTCCCCGAGTCGATGCATGGAGATGTGAGAGGGTTGGGGAATTGAGTAGGAGGTTGGTTGCTTATAACTATTTATTGCTGGTGGATGGCTCAGCTTTCGTCGATCGTGAGCTTGACTTTGATGTCATCGTACGTTCCAAACGGACAACTAAAATGGATTCGATTATGGACTCTATCTATAGTACTTCTCCTCCTTGTACCTAATAGCAGCTATGGCTAATGGACAACTCGACGGACAATCTGAATTGCTGTACTTGCTGTAATATGCCCTCTTAATGCACTTCGATTATCCGATATCTCGAGCTCCGGCGCTTAGATTAGCGCTTCTGAATCAGTCCAATATGGCTTATCACACAAGCGCTTCATGTAAACTCCCAAAGCAATCCCGACGAAAGTCAACAATCCCAAAAGAAAGAACATTTATACAAGCATCGATACTGTAAAATTAACACAAATTTACACTACAAGAGTAAGAGATAACAGAGGACAACAGGCGAAAGCAACGAAAGCAACGAAAAGACCAAGAAGACTCCAGGCTCTACAGCATGTGCATCATCGACGGTCAATAGCAACATCAGCCTGCCAAACATCTTCAAACGTATTATGGAACCCAACAAGAACCAGGTGCTCGAATTGAATACCAGCAGGGCTGATAGCGTATTCCACCGCGTCCGGGCGCTCATTGCGGGCATGCTACAACAGCACTATGTCAGACACAGTCATACGAAGTAGAAAATGGGAGAAGACGTGCCTCAACGAAACGCGCAAAGTTCTGGGCGATCAGAGCGGCAAGTTGGGCTCGAGTGATGTGTCCACTCCCCGTAACCACGTTGATGACTCGGTAAAAGTCGAGGTGGGTGTATCCAGGCCACTAAAAACGACTTCATATCAGAATACCATTCGAAAAAGAGGTGGGCGGGAGAAACATACCATAATCCGTAGAGTCACAGACTTCAAGCCGGTACTCGCAAACACAGGCTCATTAGCGCCCGCCAGCATCTGGCCAAGCGCAGAGATACTCCGCGCCGAAAGCTCGCGCATCGGTACACCCTGCTTCGAGAATCCAATGTAGTCGAACGAGATAGCGGGGAGGTGGCGGTAATCTGTGGCAGTCGCCTGCCTCCACTTCGAGGGAGGCACGTAGGGCTTCTGAGGGAGCCACCGCCGGAAGGGAGACTCGAACTTGTGCGACGCGGTGATGAGCGCTCCGGAGAGCGAGCTGTACGAGGAGTATTGGGCGGAGGTGACTGGAATGTGGAGAGGGTTAACGTGGGCCATTATGTCGCGTGCTCAGAAAGAGGGAGGTGGTTTCGAGCTTGGGATTTGGGAGTTGCGTTGGGATGCAGAACATACCTTCATCTCGCAGAGCTTAAAACCAAAGTCGAATTCTTTCAATTCTTTCACCATCTTTGAGCACCGTAGTGAAGGACGTAGTGTACTTTAGATTCTTTGGAGGGCCCATTGAGCTTGCACCCCTTCAAAGGGGGAGGACACAGAGCAGGAGTGTGTAGCCATAGAGCCTCCAGCACCAAAGAACCTTAGCGATCCGGAGAACCTTTGTGAACCTTTGTCGATTCTGATTAGCTAAGAACCGATATGAGATAATCCCCTTTGAGTCTCTCGTTGACCCCCTTTGAAGGTGAACACGTTGTGGGCCGTCCGATCGAGTTGTCCACGAGTAAGCAAAGCAAGCAGGCCATGTGTCGCCTGTGAAGCCGTCGCCAAGCCACTGCCCCCCTTTGAGAGTTAGACCTAGGGAGATATAGCCACCAGAAGCGTTTTCTGCCATTTCGAACGCCGACATCACCACCGAAAAGCAAGGGCGCAGATTGCACGCCAGAGGACAAGCCACGAGGAGACCAGTAAGCAAGTTCGTTGAAATCGGAGAGCAGGACGACATCGCGCAAGATCGAGTGATTCAAAGTCCAGAGTAAAGCTAGTACAGTCAAGCAAGGAGTCAATGAAGCCTGAATTATCGGATAAATTCAAGAATCGACGCAACGACAGAGAGGAAAAGGTGCAAAGTCGAACCCCGAGTGACACGGAGACGCCCGCTGGCCAAATGAAGAATGGCGCCGCTCGAAATTGGTGATCCGAGCCCCTATCGGTCTGATCTACCTCATCGTCCCCTTCAAGCCTCAGCGCTCCGTGAGCGTCTTCGGCAGATAACGTTAGTCCATAGAGCCCCCATTGTGCAATGGACCCATGGTCTATGTCGCTGTCCATGATTATGAATCCAATTGCAAGCTGGGGCTCGTATAGCTTGAATAAGCTGTGGCGCGATCCATCATCTCAGTTGAAGAGCGCTGGCGCTCGAACGTTAACATGCTTCTATCTACGCATCTGGTAACGCGGTTGTGTGTCATTTAGTGGTGATTTTGGTAAACACGTTGCGCCGCCTACCACTCGCAAGGGTGAAATAGTGCTCGCAAAGGTGAATGTGATCATCGGCGGAGACAGCTTCGTGTTTCAAGGGCGATGGTTTCTCCGCCCCGTGAAGCCCCTCAAGGCAAACAACACGATATTTATGGCATAGATGCTGTTAAACGCTGTAGATGTGTAAGCCTGGGCTTTGTAATTCAAGAGCTATAAAAGCATTATTTAACCCAGAGACTGCTCCTCATCCCCAATCCTTCATCGTCTATCAACTCCTAGTCTAATCAACCAAGCCGACAAGAATGATCACCCTCTACGACTCCCGCCTCACACACCTCCAAGCCGCCAACCCCACAACCTGGAAAGCGCGCTTCGTTCTCAACTACAAAAACCTTCCCTACAAAACCGAATGGACACCCTACCATGACATCGCCTCCGTCTACCACAAACACAACCTACAACCCGTCTGCAGTCGTACAGACCCCTCGACTGGAAAAGAAGAACCTTACTACACCATCCCCGTGATTTTCGACGACTCCACAGGAAAGGCCATAGCCGACTCTCTCGAGATCGCAAAGTACCTCGACGAAACCTATCCTGATACACCCAAAGTGGTGCCAGAGACGGGCGAGGACGGGGTAGACGCAAAGCAGCAAGTGGACACGTTCATGGGCGTGATGTACGGCGCCCTCGGGCCTTTGGTCCTCCCAGTCTTCCAACAATCGTACCAACACGTCGAGGAGGAGAGTAAACCCTTCTTTGCGGAAGCGCGGACGAAGGATTTTGGTGCGTGGTTTGGGAACCCGAAGTCCCTCCTCGACCTACTCCCCCTGAAGAAAGAGGATGAGGATAAGGGGTGGGAGGCGGCTGAGAAGACGTTTGCTGGGCTTGATGCGAGGGTTCCGGGGAGGGGAAAAGAAGTGGGCTGGTACTTGGGTGGTGAAAGCCCGACGTTCGTGGATTTCGTGTTGGGTGGTTTCTTGATTTATTTGAAGAGTATTTACGGAGAGGAGAGTGAGGGGTGGAAGAGGATCGTTGGGTGGAATGAGGGGAAGTGGGGTGCGTTTTTGGATAAGTTGAGCGCGTATCAGGCTGTTCATTAGGTTGAGAGAGAAATTGTCGTCCACCAAGTTGTATGTATGATCGAGCGTCTTGTGAGCACTAATATTATTAGTCGCCTCGAATACACCGGCTTCCTCCCTCTAAACTCCCCCTACTCTCTCGCCCAGCTTCGTCGGCCTGACACGACCCCTAGTCATAGTCAACACCGTGGAGGACATATTCAGCCTGAGTGATCCGGACGCGTGCATGAACCTGAGCGTCTGCATGCGGGCTGGGTATCCAGTTTCTCGGATACATACTTCATTTCGATTCAGTACTGTCTGCATCGGGATTCATGACTCGGATCGGAAGAGTAGAGGCCGACTTCAAATGAGTTGCAACAGAAAAGCCGGTCAGAAACATCACTCAATCACTGCGCCGCAGTTCTTGGAACAACCTACTATGTCGAATGAAACTGGCTCCGAAGTCTTCAAGCTTCAAGCTTCAAGGTCCAACCGCTTGCGAATTCCTCCGGCACGGCCAGCTTCCGCACGTCTTTGACGTGCTGCGGCACTCACGAGACAAGTCGTCTGACCCTAAACACCCAGAGTGTTGTGCTGCGCAAAGAGGCGCCTTAGTCAGGACACCTATTTCAGGCTTCCGGCTCAGGGAATAATGCGAATCGGGTGCAACGGGGGTTCTCAAATAGCTTTCTAGAACTTAGAAACGTCTTGAACGGCATATCACAGAATCCGAGGAACACACATTTGAACCCCGTATAATTTACTATAAAGAGACCATACAGAGCTCAACGTAAAACTATCCAACATTCACAGCTCGAACCACTCCAATCCCACATCTCCGTGACACACCCGCACACAATGATAACCCTCTACGACTCCCCCTGCACCCTCCCCATCAAAGCCAGCTCTCCCAACACCTGGAAAGCCCGTTTCGTCCTAAACTACAAACGCCTCCCCTACAAAACCGAGTGGGTGGCGTACCACGACATCGCCTCCGTCTACACCAAGCACGGGTTGTCGGCCGTTTGCAAGCGCCTCGACGGAGAGGAATTTTACTATTCCCTCCCTGTCATTTACGATAGCACTACGGGAAAGGCGATCGCTGACTCGCTCCAGATTGCGAAATACCTGGACGAGCAGTACCCTGATACCCCTCGGGTCTTTGGTGCTTCCAAGGCCAATGTCGATGAAGGTGAAGGTGTCCGAGATGAAGGTGTTGACGTCGACGTCGGCGTCGACGAAGCCATACTGAATAAAGCAGAAGAGTTTACAAACCTCACAATGTCACTCTTCCTCCCCGTCTTCCCTCTCCTCTTCAAACAAGCATACAAACATATCGAACCAGCGAGCCGACCCTTCTTCTCCTCCGCACGCCTCAAAGACCTCGCACCCTTCTACTCCGGGCCAGGACTTTCCTCCCTCGACGAACTCAAAATTTCCGAAGAGCAGGCTATCGGAGCTTGGAAACAGCTGGAGGTCAACCTTTTCAAGGGACTCGACGCGCGAGTACAATCACCTGGAAATGGAAAGGGAGAGGGAGAGGAAAGGCTTGTAGGCTGGTGCAGGGGTGGTGATAAACCTACATTCGAGGATTTTGTCCTCGGCGGGATGCTGATTTTTGTTAGGATCGCGTATGGGGAGGAGAGTGCAGAGTGGAAGGGTGTTTCCAAGTGGAACGAAGGGAAGTGGGGTGCCTTTTTGGACAAGTTGGCGCCTTACCAAACTGTCCAGTAATCATGCTTATATTAGTATTCAATCTAAGTGCTTTATGTCAAACTGGCCCGGGATACCTTGGAGACCTTGGGTGTTAGACGTTCAGACCCACCCCCACGGGCGCTTAGTTCCTTTGCAATACATATCCCGATTCGGACTCGAGCTCACGCGCCGTCAGGGTGCTGACCAAAGCCTTCGTCCTCGCCCCATCCTCGTCCCACCCTCCTCGTTAATTTACATAAATCACGATACTGTAATTCAAGTAGACGTCATCTGAATTAGCTTATTACCGACGGTACGAACTTACGGCCGATATAGTAAAAAGCATGGATGCCCCTACGTAGCTACGAATTCGAAACCCCGGGGCCATGACCTCACACCTCCCAGAAAATGACGTCTCCACTCGATATCGATTCAGATACCGCTGCCCTCTGCACGGGGCAGGATTGGTACAGTACTACTATTTCTCCGGTTGTAGTTTTGGTATTTAGGTACCTCCAGTACGCAACTTCCATTCCGTTCCACCTGCAGTACATGGTAGCTATTGGTACATTGGATAGCTACAATGTACTTGTGCAATACTTGTCACTCTAAAACTAAGGACAGAAAGGCGGTATGGTATGGAACCCCGTCAACGTCCTCCGAAGAACGCGCAAGGGTAAAATGAGAACTTCCTTTGATTTTTTGAATGAGAACCGAACACGAAACTTGACGTTGGAACCCAGTTATCAAACGAGAAACCAGGCAAGTTATCAAACGATAAACCCAAGTTATTAAACGACCCCAGTCATCGCCCGAGTAAACCAAGCATGAAATTGACAGAAAAACCTGGTATGCAAATAGAGTTCAACGTTGTGTGTGTACATACGTATGGTAGGTAAAGCAGCGCAGTGAATAGGTAAGTATAGGTGGATATAGATAACGATGGGAAGGTAAACCGACGTAACAGTGGCAGGGAGGCAAGTAAGTTGTAACAGTGGATGTGGGAAGGTAACAACAGTGTCAGGCAGGCAGGCAACAGTGGATGTGGGATGTGGGGATATCAAACGAGAGAGATAGCGAGCCAAAAGCGTCAGTCAGACCAGAAAACAGTGACTAATGACCAATGACGTTCGAGAAGCGTACGATGAGAAAAGATATGGGAAAGTGTGGGTGATGACGACGGCGACGGCGATGGTGAGATATGTACGAGTATGTAAGTATGTATGGCAGAACAAACAAATGTGGAAGAAAAAAGCGTCCAAAGTGAATCAGTGAATCAAGGAAGAGAAAGAAAGGAAATAAAGGTAGAGAGAAATAGACTTAAAAGATACTAGTACCATCTTTTCCAAAAAATCAAGAAAAAGAGATATTCGAAATCACCGTGTCCGAGGGTACATCGAATTCGAGAATCCATGGTTCCCATTCCCACTCCCATTCCCTCGACTACTGCTACTGCTTCCTTCCCCACTCCCACTCCCACCACCCCCAACCGAGAACTTCTTATTCCCGGACGAAGAGGCGGCGGCGGCGGCAGCAGCAGCACTCGAACTCGACACAGACAAATCCACCAACCCAGACCTCTCCTGACTCGTAGAATCGTCAGTAGCAACCACCTGCCGAAGTTTAGACGTCTGCTTTGCCGAGGCGCTCGGCGTGGTCATATTACTCTGCAGTGACATATTATCACTCGTCACTCCAGCCGCCGCGCCAAACACGCTTCCCACACCCGCCCCTGCACCGCCGACTGGGGGTAACCCCTCCTCCAGATACCCACTCGCGCGCATACTGTTTCGAGAGGGCACAGACCGGTACCGGCGCTTCGGGGGCGCGTTGATGCTATCGTCGACCTCGTCCATCATCGGCTGCTGCTGCTGTGCGGCGGCTTGGTAGTTCTGCGCCCAGATTTCGCGTTCTTTGCGACGCTGGCGCCGGCGCCGGAGGAAGTAGGCGAGGAGGGCGAGGAGGAGGAGGCCCGCGACGGAGCAGACTATGCCGATGGCGATCGAGAGGCCGGTGCGGGTCGCGGGGGTCGGGCTGGCCTTGGGGGAGGTCGCCTCTTCGCCCGAGGCGAGACGGGTGCGGGTTGTTGTTGTTTCGGTTGATGTTGATGTTGGTCGTACCTCGGTGTCGGTGTCGGGGTCGTCGGTGATTGGGTCATTGGGGTCGTCTTCCTCGTCGACACTGTAATTATTTGAGGGTAGGGATCGTAGTTTGAAATGATGAGATTAAGGTTTTGGGGGGTGATGTGAAAGGGTTGACGTACATGAGCATGTCGACGACGGCGTATGAGCCTCCTGGTGGGACATCTATCACCAGGACGTGCTCGATGTTCTCGAGCCCCGTTACAGACCACAGGACACTTGACTCGACTGTGGTCGCTCCGTCCGTCTCGGGCGGGACCCTGGTATCCTGCAACGAAAGAACCTCAGGAACACCGCCATCTAGCCTGACCTGCGTGCTAATCGTATCAGCCCACAGCGGCGCCATATAGTGTATCCCAGTTCCTATAACACAAACAGCCGCTCCCGATTAGCATCCCCTCGAACCGCCACCCCAGAAGGTAGCCTTTGACGTCGCGACGCACCTGTGAAGCGGAATGTCGCCGATGCAGCCGTGTCTGTTGTGACCATATGATGTCCCCCAGCGTCCATCGGGTTCGGGTCCTCGTTTCTGAACCAGCTGGCTTCGGGGGTGTACACGATATCAGGATCATCGTCGTCGACTCGTCGCTGCGTCTGCGCCTGGGCCAAACCCGCAAACAAGAGGAGGGCGCACAGACATCGTCTTCTCCTACGCAGAAATCCGGTGGGAATAAGTGTCATCACAGGGGGGTCTTCAAGGGGGGGCGTCGTTTCAATTTATCGGATTTCTGGGGGCGTCAGATGCAGCGGCGGGGGATGATTTGCATAGACGGATTTAGAGGAGCATTTAGGGAACGGGCAGGGGCAAAGGAGAGGATGTGAAGCAAAGTTGGCTACAAATAAACCGCACAAGAGCTTGTCCAGAGTGTCATCGGTCACGGGACTTCGGCCCTTGTTTTCCCCGTTGGGTCAAATCAAGCCGCCCAGGGCCGTCCGCTGCAAACCGCGCCCCGAGCCCCCGCCATCCCCGCCCCTGTCTCCTTTCCGCCTCCTTCGTCATGCCTCGTCCAAAGGACTCCTTCAGAGCTTGAAGGTAATCGAAACCACAGGAATGAGGATAGATAACTCGAATGACGCGATAAACCAGGCATCGTGCTCGACGCCACAGGTAAACCGCAACATCCCATATCTCGACCTGGAACATCTTGGCATCCGCATTGGGTAAACACCGCCAAGCTCACAGCCATGGGCGGCTTTCCTTCGTACCACCACCACGATGTCGACGGTCAATATTCATTCTGTGCTTGCGTTTCTGCCTTCTATGAGATTTATCGTCTGCAACTGAAAGCAAATGCTCTGCTTCTTTCATTCTCGGAGGTGTGTCTATGCCAACCCTCGCTGTTACACCGAGATTCTGATATTGAGGATTGAATGCTTTCAGCGCTCTCGCCTCCGTGTTTTTAGTAGGCGACATGAGGTGATGAAACGACAAATGAATTCCATGACGAGCGCTCATCACTGTCAGCGTTATCACACACGCGATAATAATCATGCCTGTCTTTTTGACAGAAGACTACTTCAGCAAGCGCCCAATGTTCAATGTTAGTTCAAGGCTTCTATGACGACAACAACAGATTCTAGCAGATCATGTCATTCCAAAATTCTATTCCAGAATCTTATCGCACCAGGTGTCCAACCGATCTATTGGTTTAGGACATGTCTACTTGATAACCTCGGGAATGTTCTTCATAGAATATGCACTTGCCTCCTCGCAGAGCCAAAGCCAATAAGTTGGCTCTGACGACGCCCTTGTCCCTACGCACTGATCTCAGCCCCCCATGGATCACACCGCTCCCTCCCCAACTGGCCACCCCCACCTCCCAACAGTCATCGAAATCATCTCCACACTAGGTCGAGAACTGCTAGAAGCAAAAGAACGAATCCAGCAGCTCGAACTCGAACTCGCTCTCGGTTCTTGTTCGCGTCCATGTCGCGAGAGCCAGGTCCCCGGGCTCCAGCTGCAGAGGGTTTCCCAGTCCAAACCTGGCTCACAGCTAATACCCGCCACTGGAACTGATCCAAGTTCATCCCGACCGACACCGAGGGTACCGGCACCGACAGCATCCCAACCAACATCGACTGTTCCCGCTTCGTCCCAAACGACAGCGACGTTACCGCTACCAACAACATCCCAACTCGAGAACCTCGAATCCCGCATCCACCAACTCCAAGAAGAACGCGAGACGCTCCTCGAGGAAGGATGGAAGTTAAAGCTCAAAGTTACGAACTTGCAGACGGAGATTGATACCATTCGCGGGATTAAGAGGGTGCGTATGTATTCGTATTGCACAGCGCTTGTTTTTATAATTGTTGGAAGGCCGGGCTGATTGTAGTTGATGGTTTATAGGAAGAACTTGCGGCTCAGGCTCTTTCGTCGAGTCTTCACCGTCAGAACGAGGAAAACGTCAAGCGAAAAACTAGCGATGAACACGATCGCGTGCTCGACCTCGAAGCAACCATCGCCTCACTTAAATCCGACCTCGACGAACGAGACTTCAAGATCTCCGAGTTGAAACAGGCCAACAGCCTCCTGGAACGACGTGGAAAGGTACGTACATACATCATCCCTCTTCGCCCTCCCCTTACCTCCCACCCGCCGCTACTACCCGCCTAGCTTACTCTTTCTAGGCCTGGAGTCTCCAAGACTACCTCCCCATCTTAACCCACCTCCCTAACGTAGCCGGCCGGCCTGGCCCGCGTGGTATGCCCTTGTGCAGCGTTATGGAGAGAGGGGTGTTGGAAGGGGCGTTGAAAGGGGTGCTGGAAGGGATGTTAGCTCAGGTACACATACACCCTCAGACCTCTTCACAACGCACTAAACGAAAACTAACGTACACTCTCCTCTAGCCTGAGAACGACAGAACGAACGGGTATGTACTACGTCCCCTCGCTCCATTCTTACTATGGTACTTACCAAGTTAATCGTCTGCCGCTATCCCGGTTCGAATAATCGTGTGACTTTCTGACACGCGACTACTTCCCACCACATCGACCCACCCTACTTTTCTACTACACCTACCCACCCACTCCTACTACTTACACCTACCACATCGACCACTGGAAGGCTAAACGTCAGCGTCAGCGCTAACGCTAACGCGACGCCCTACCTCTACCTCCCGCGCGCCCTCCTCTGCCTCCCAGGCGAGGCACAGCACAACCTCGCTCTAGCGCCAAAGTATAGGTTCGACGTGGAGGGTGGGGTGTGGATTGGGAGGTCGGGGTTTGAGGGATATTATAATTATGGTGGTGGTTGTTCGATAGGAGATGAATGCTGTTCAGTAGGCCATGGGCGTTGCAGTTGTTCGATAGGCGAGCCAGGTTCCGGTGCTCATGAAGGATCCACAAGAACAAGAAATGAAGAAGGCGGAGGTCATGGACTAAGGTGCCACGGTGGAGATCATGAAATAACGCCAAGTGCTGGCAGAAGCAGGACAGGCGTACACCTATTCTACGACGACACCCAAACGATCTTCTACGGCGGACAATACAAATGCGTGGATGTACGAAACGAGAACCCGCATGGATGCTGGAATCGCTTTATACCCGAGGTACGTGCCCCCATCTTCGACACATTTGCGAAAGTCTGGTGTACTCTTTGGCATTCTGTGGTACACTCTGTGGTACTCAGTGATAAGATAAAGCGTCAGCGCTGACCCAAAGACAACATTCAGGTTGCAGAACAACTGGCTGAAGCTACGATCATCAACTTTCTACACGACTCTGAGACTGTGAATCCCGACTCCGTTACCTCCGAGTCCGAGTCGAAAGAAACCACCCACCAAGCAATGACGACTGAAAGCACCCACCAAGCAATGACGAAAGAACGCACCCACCAAGCAATGACGAATGGGAGCACCCAACAACAAACGATGCCTCCGTACACCCTCCAAAAGGAACCAACGCCGACCTACAAATACACCCTTCTCAAGGAAACATTCGCCTCGATGTACGCTAACGGAGTTCTCAGAGTCGAGTGCATGGTTCTGCAGTGCGTGGGGTATGATGAGGAGCTGTGTCGGCGCATCGTGAAGGAGTTGGACGAGTTGGAAGAGTCGGAGGAGTAGGAGTAGGAGGAGTAGGGGGAGTAGGAGTTGGGGGAGTTAGGAGGAGTTAGGAGGACGGAGTCAAATAGGTATTTTGGGGAACCCGTCTTGTCGACCAGTCTTCTGCATCTGAGTGATCGAGCGCAGAGGGATATACATAGTCACCGAAGAAAGCTCAGATTTAGAACTTCATTGCAGCACCATGATAGTGGCATTATGAACGGGTCAAACATGTAATTAACTCTCAGCTTCTAATGTGCTAAATTAATATTTATCATATCTTCGATGGATGACACGAGTGGATTACAACCATCGGGACAGAGTCTGCTCCAGACGACAAAGACAGGTCACGCCGGGATGAAAACCGGATCTGTTGTTCAACCTGCCATAGCCCAGAGTTGACTTCGTCCGCAAATGGTTTGTAGTAGGCGTCGCGGAGGTTTAGGACGAGTCGGCTGCCGAGGACTGGAGATGCTAACGCAGACAGGAGGACCAGCGGGATTGAAGTGGATTGGACCTGCGGACACGAAAATTGGTTAGACTCTGCCAGTGTCGTCAGCATCTGACTCAAGAAGGATTGCATACCGGTAAGACATCTATCCATGCAAGGAGCGTGAAGATCGATATTATCAAACCCCTGCGGTACAGTCGTCAGAGAGGTTCATGGATCCGACAAAAGGAGAGGTGCTCACAGGAACGGGAATAAGATGCTATCGCGGAGGAGGACGCGGAGGAGGCTTCCATCCGAGAACAGCGGGCGCAAGGCGGCAGCGACTGTGGGTGCTCTCACTATTTCACCCGTCCTAGCGCAACGAGCGCCTCCCCTGGATTGGCGATAAAATCGAAGCCCTTCGACAAGGGCCAAAGAAAAGATGATGCAGTCAAAGGCTATGATGAAGACGAGGTACGCCCAGTACCAAGGGAGGGAGTTCTCCCAGTTGAACATGCACAGATTGAGCTCTCCGATGGACAAGGTCAGAGTGTCATCTGAGGATGAAGATATGGTCAGTCCAACAGGTCCAGGGTAGGAAGACCTGTGAATGAACGACATACGAAAGCTGGACCCCTTGTCGAGCGCTATGATAGTAGTGGATGTTGCCACTTGAGCCAGGAATGTGCAGACGAGCAGGGCCAGGATTTTCTTTGAACGTCGATACATGCACCAGATACGGTGTATGATAATGCCTAAGGACGAGGTTGGACAGTGAGGATAACCGTAGGCATTTAAGGATTGGACGCACCTTGCATCGACCAGAGACCGATCATGCTCAACCAGGTTTGCACTGCTACCCCACTCATACCTGTAAAGTATCAAACACAGTTCGGATGCTGCCAGAGCACGGTTCCTCACATCTTAAAGGGGTAAGCATCTAGCATGAGGCGTTTAAAATCTGGCGGCGTACCCCTGCAAGTATTGAGAATGTCAGTTCAGCGAAAGGTGGTCGAGCAATTTAACGTACTCGAGTAAAGACATCTCCCTTCAGCCATAGCTGGTCTGATGGACGGTTAGAATGTGCCAGCGGTGCGCTGACATGGTAAAGAACTCACAAGCCGTTCCGTGCCTTGGAAGGAGGGAAGTTGAATATCCGGTTCATAACAAAGAGCAATTTCATGTTGTAACGTACAGGAATAACGCGTCACCGGAGTATCGACTCTAGGGGAGGCAAAGATTAGTGCCCAGTGGTAACACGTCACGTTCTCGAGGCGACTCACGAGGATGAACAGGAGCTGGACCACAGAAAACTTCTTTTTCTGTATGGGTAACCACTACGGTGAATGGCTTTCCGAGGTAATCGAAGGAATGTTGCTACCCAAATTAGCTCGACCTGGGGACGTCAGTTTCGGTGAAGACGGGTGATAATCATCAGGGAGCCGCTTACCTCCAGGTCAAGAGTCGTAACTGAATTGAACGAAATAGTTCAGTGCTAAGTAGGTGACGTGGGAGGAGACGGCGGGACTGACTATGGTCATAAAGCGCGATTGAAGTGGCCGCCACTGTCGAGTTAATGTCAGATTTAACAACAAGGCTGGAATAATAGCGGGAGCCGCGGCGCACCTTGCCAGTACCAATGCCCTTGCTTTCCAAGCGCATATTGTAATTTTAAAGCTTCCCAGTCCATCCAATCCAGAGTCGAGAGATCGAAGTTCCGAGGTCAGCTTTGTTCCAGCCAAAGATATTCCAAGGAGCTCATGGACGTGCGGGGACGAAATAAGCGCAGTCCTTCAGGGACCAACGTTAGTATATTATTTATATGTATTGAATATGATGTATATTGAATTACCAGATAGTGCTCCCGCATCCCGGACACGACCACGACGACACCCGATGAACGCAGGAAACCGTCATACATATTCTAGTTACCGGTTCACAGATCGCCGTCGCGCACGCACCCTTTGGAATTTACTTTCCGGGCGAGCGGGGGCGCCACAGCGCTTGAGCACGGCGGACTCGGAGGGTGCTGCCATTCAGTCCACAGCACAGTGGGCAGGCATCCCGTGGGCCGTAACGTCGAAGGGCGGTCATTCAAGCACCAACCATATATTGTGCAAATTCTGTAAGCAGATACTTAGTGGGCGTGTTGGTTGCAGACGTGAGGTGATAGCCGAGTTGACCGAGCGGTTAGTTGGTTTGTTGGTCTACTGGAGTATATATTTCGTGTAATTGCATCACGGCGGTCTCCATTGGAACATTCAACTGAGCAGAGTGGATCGCGTAGCCGAGGAAACATCGTCAGGGGTTGGGTGCGATGAGCATGAAGAAGTGTCAGCCTCTGGGAGCTGGGAGATGTTCGTCGAGCTCTTAGGAGGCGCCAACAAAGACAAAGTACAGCGTCTCCGGAGAAACCCGCCGAAATGAGGCACGTCCGAGTCTTTGAAGGAAATGGTCCCTGAGCGGTGGAGCGAATTCAAGCGCGGAGTGACCGTGTCTGTTGTGGGCTCACTCTCAGGGACCATGGGAGATCAAGCTTTCAAGTGTCAAGGAGCTGGGAAGGAAGCGAGCTTTAAATTAGCGCCCGACAGTTGGAATCGAAGCTGGAGGATCTTGAAAAGGGCGTGGATTAGTCAGCTTGCCTTAACCGCATGAGGGCGGGAGGATTGCCTTTTTCAGTGTACAAGGGCGTCGGTGTCTGTTGATGCGCTCAGTGCCCCGACATATCCATCCGCGACAATCAAGGGGGATTTTCCTGTGTTTTCGTGAAATTCTAAGTACAAATTCTGAAGGTCCATACATTGAGGCGTCTATATACATAACATGGATAAAGGAGTGTTATACTTTCCGTATGGGAAATATCTGAAGTTGGACATCATCGATATGGGACCGCGAAACCTCCACTGATCGCTGGATTTCGATTGGTGTTCGAATCGTTGGGCCAGATGAGAGCTGTCTATGGCTGGGGCCCGCACCAGGGTTGACTTCTTCCGCAAATGGCTTGTAGTATGCGTCCCGCAGGTTGAGAATGAGTCGACTTCCGAGGATGGGAGAGGTGAGCGCCATGAGAGTCATCAACACCGCAACCGACGGATACTGGAAAGATATTCGGGACAGCATTAGACTTTGTGGGAACGTGGAGAGAGGGTGGGCGAGTTCATACCGGTAGCACTGAGCGCCAAGCGAGTAGCGCGAAAATCGATACGCTCAGGCCCCTGGGAGGTGTGAAATTGGAACTCGCACGGTCAGTATCATAATGGAGCGGATGAGTGGCGGGAAGTGGGAGTGGGAACTTCGGAGAATGGGTTGGAGCGTACTTACAGGAATGGGAAAAAGATGCTGTCTCGAAGGAGGATCCGAACAAGGCTTCCTTCGGCTAGTTTTGTTCTGCGGAAGTACCTGATACCTTCCATGAGTGCTAGAGTGAACGCGACGACGTCGAATGCGATGATGAAGACCAGGTAGGCCCAGTACCATTCCAGGAATGGCTTAGCAAAGCCCGGGACGCATACCGACATACCCCTAACGAAAGGGAATACTAGAATGGCGGTGTCACCATAAGCTCTGGCAGTGAAGAATCGACAGATCGTACATACCTGCGTTTTCGCTTTTGTCGAGGGCGATGATTGTCGAGGATGTTGTCACCTGGCCCAGGAAGGTGCACACGAGCAAGATCAGAACCGGCTTCGAGCGGCGATACATGCACCAAATTCTGTGTATGATGATTGCTGTGGGGACGCGTTAGGTCGCTCACTCGAGTGAAGGTGGGATGCCATGCTCACCTTGCATGGACCAAAGGCCGACCATGCTGACCCAACTCTGAACCAACGTAGCTGATAGACCTATCCAAGGGTTAGACCTATACTAGGATGGCATAACGACAGTCGAGGATGACTTACATCTAATGAAATAATGGAAAGTAATTTCTCGTCCTCAATATCATAGCATGTTCATCCAAGTAAAGAGAGTACGCACGCCTATTAAAATGGAAGGTTAGCCGGGGTTTCAATTGCGATTGGATACACATACCTTTTGAAATGCCTCCCCTCTTAGCCACAGTTGGTCTATCGGTCAGTGAGCAACGCGAACCTTGGTGCCACAGGGGGAAAGGACTGACACCAGACTCCATGACTGGATGTTCATGATGAGTTCGTCGTGCATCAAATGAGGGTTGTATTACACGCACATAAATAGGGCGTCTCCGGAATATCGATTCTAAAACGCGTTAGGTGAGGACGAAGGATCAAGTGGTTGGACTTCAGACCCGTTACTCACAAGAAGGTAAAGGATCTGAACAGTCGAGAACTTCTTTTTCTGAGGATGAGGGAGGTAAGAATACAGGTACTCTTCGGGCGAGTGTCGGTTGACGGGCGTACCCAAATTAATTCGATCTATCGGAAAGTGGAGCGTCAGTTATGAGCTCAGGAACGAGAGGCGCTTGTACGTACCTCGAGATCCAGTGTTGAAACTGCGTTTTCCCTCTTGGTTAGCGCGCTGTGGAGCATCAAATGAAGAAGCACCGACCATGGTCATAAAGAGCTACTGTGGTTGCCGCGACTTTGCAAAAGGTCAACCAAGTTTAACATAACCACTGAACAGGTAACTTACTTTGCCAGTAGTGCAAGTTTTGGGTGATGATGTTGTTCAGAATCGGGTCAGAGGGAGGAAGGGCACCCATGACTGCTCTTTGCACCGGTCACCGTCGCTCTAGAGGGTAAAGCGGATGCGACAGAAAGACGCATAAAACCAGCGACTGTGGAGGGTGAGCGGTAAATAAGATATGACTGTGGGGAACCCTTACGAGAGTATATGTATCTTTTGCCATTGCGCTGGTCTTCTCGCGCTCACGGTGTACACACACGGCTACCTAGAACAGAAATTCAAAACGGAAGCAGTTTCTGGCTGGACTTCACCACTCTATCGTAACTTACGGTTTATGTTCAGCTTTTAGGGCTATTGATTCCGGAAGATTCGGCACGAGGTGATTTAGGGGCCTTTGCGCTGATCGAGTACAGAGAGGAACGCCCCTCGAAGCGGTATTGGTCGTTCAGCGTAGCCGTAAATGGTCCGTAAATGGTTCAAAAACGCCGGACATGTGGGCTCTGGCTGTCCCGACTCGGCCGACCTCCTCTTTGAAGAGTAGCACTTACACATGGATACTAGGGAGCAACAAGACAGCAGCGAATTAGGCTTAGGTCGTATCAATGGTAGTTATCGCAACATAAGACGCTCTAACGTCCAAAGAAATGCTCTATAAACAGCTATATAGACTGAACGACCAGCGCCCGAAGAGTGGCATCCTCTGTGGGAGCGGAACTCTCCGGTGGTACGTAGGCCGAGGATTTAAGTAAGTACAATCAGAAATTCGACTCGAAACCTAAATATCTTAACGGAACATATGTCTCCCCATAATGTGCACAATCTCATTACCCTGAAGTGAAACTGAGGAAGCTGATTACGAGCCTTTCTTCTGGGTCCTCGCTTCGGTGCTCCTGTACAATGTTGAGATAAGTATCAGACAGGGAGACCGTGCCACATCAATACGAAGCGAGATACCTCCTCTCCATGTTTCCACCATTCCACCCATTCCTGGTAATGGTAGCTTGTTCCGGGTTCCAAGGTACGGGCGCTTATGTACAAAAGCACCGAAAGCTGACACCCACCATTTGATGTCTGTGCCAGTTTACGCGGTGCCATGGGTGAGATTTTGTCACTACAGCCTGAGTGCATGCAGAGAAGGATAAGGAGCTGAGATATCGTACTCGATAGGAATTTTTACGTTGTGTAACAAGAGTACCAGGACGGACGGGTCCCTTTCCCGACCTGGGCGGTGGAAGCTCGGTTTGCATTCCCGGTGGCTGATCGTGGAGTCATTTTGATGCGCCTGAAGGGTCGGGGGTCGGGTTCCCGCGCCCTCGGTCCCGACCTGGTGACTAGCGGCCGCACGGCGAACCTGTGCCGCGTCGCGATGGACACTCATATAAGAACCGCGTCAATGCTGGCAGCCGCGTCCACCACAGTCCACTTCAACCATGGCCGACGAGCTCGCTGAAATTAACGGTATTGCGCCCAATGTTATTCTTGAAGAGGGCGAAGAAAAAGAAGTCGGTTCATCGTCGAGGTTCGTTGTTAGTTTTCATGATGGAAAGAGTCAAATTGAACTGAAGGAACGGTGGCAGCAAATCCGTGTATAAAGTGAAAAGAACAGCCGACCATTACCATTGGTGAGCTCAGTTTGCTGTACATTGTCGGATTTGACGCTGAACGCGTGCCTTTTCCAGTTCCTGTCCAGTGAGTTTGAGGGATTCGGGCCATGGTGGGTGGGTGTGACTGACGCGTAATTTGCAACGCGCAGGCTTGGAGAAACCAGGTATGCGGTCACGAACGCATCAATTTAGGCGCTCTAACGAACTGTTGCCGACAGAAAGGTCAACCCGTGAATGCACGAACGTGCAAACACCTGAAGTCCCTGCTTGGGGATGACTACGAGGCCGCTAGACTGGAATTGAAGGGCGGCAGCAGCCCTCCAGTCAAAACTTCGAAGGCGAAGCCTGCTCCAAAGGCAAAAACTGCAGCGAAACGGAAGAAGCCTGCGGATGAAGACGAGGAGGGCGAAGAGGAAGAAGAAAAGCCGGCAAAGCGAGGTCGCAAAGCACCAGCGTCCGGTTCCAAGTCGAAACCAGCGTCGAAAGCGAAGCCATCTTCTAGGCGTGGAAAGCCTGTGGACGAGGATGAGCAGGATGACGACGAAGAGGAAGAGGAGGAAGAGAGACCCGCCAAGAGAGCAAGGAAGGCTCCTACCTCGAAGGTATCCTCCAAGCCACCTTCTAAGACGACCAAGGTCGAGCCAGAGGAGGCCAATGACGACGATGTTATGGTCGTTGATTCAAACGAGGGTGCGTATTCTCGAGCCACCTGGAAAACTCGAAGATGTAACTAATGGCGACCCCATTTCGAAGAATTGGCTGAAATTGATGGTATTAAACCCAAGGTCATCCTAGCCGATGGCGAGGTGAAAGAAGTCAAGTCAGCCACGAGGTCTGTTCTCAGAAGCCCTCTCGTTGCCATTCACTAACCTTTTCACCTGTAGCAAATCCGTGTACAAAGTGAAAAGGAGCTTTGATCACTTCCATTGGTAAGGGACACTAGTATTCTCGTCGAACTCTGAGATACGCTAACCTCGCTTCCCGTGTTGCAGTTCATGTCCAGTATGTTCAGTGCTTGACTTTCGTCATCTGAACTTCCAACTCACGTCGCTTCCAGGCCTGGCGGAATCAGAAAGGTGCTCAGGTTAACGCTCGTACCTGCAAGCATCTCCAGTCGCTTCTGGGCGAGGAATACGAGGCCGCTCGTTTACAGCTCAAGGGAGGACAGAAGTCTTCCGCGAGCAAGCCACCTTCCAAGAAGCCCGCGAGCAAGCGCTCTGTGAAGGCAGACAGCGAGGCCGAAAAACCGGCCAGTAAAACAAAACAAGCGCCCGCTTCTAAGGGTAGTGCACGAGTCAAGAAAGAACTGGAAGAAGTTAAAGAGGAGGACAAAGAGGCCGAAGGTGATGGCGACGAGGAGATGGCTTCCGTGAACGACGAGAACGAGGCCCCTGACGGAGATGGTGAGCATTTCGCTCCCGTTGGACAAAGGCAGAGCTGACTCAGGTTAGACGAGCTGGCTGTCATTAATGGTATCAAGCCCAAGGTTTACCTCAAGGACGGGGAACAGACTGAAGTCAAGTCAGCTTCGAGGTTTGTCGTCCCGAACCGTGTCTCCAAACTGTCTTTCTGAAATCCCTGTGCATAGCAATTCGATGTACAAGGTCAAGCGAACTTGGGATCATTACTACTGGTGAGCGATGCAGCTGCGTCGATACTGACATCGAGCTAATCGATTTACCATTTGCAGTTCTTGCCCGGTATGCCTTTTTCAATCATACAGTGATGATCCTCTACTCACAGCGATACTCTCGGCGATCCTAGGCCTGGCGCAATCAGGTCAGTCCTCCATCTATTTACATAGGAGCTTGGCTGACATCCCATCGTTCCAGGGTGGCTGCCCCGTTAACGCTCGCACTTGCAAGCATCTTCAAGGTCTTCTAGGAGCGGACTACGAAGCCGCGCGTCTCAAGTGGAAGAACCCAGACGGCCCCGCTCCCAGGACCGCTGCCGCGAAGGGTAAAGGCAAGGGGAAGAGTGATGCGCCCTCCTCTTCCACCAAGTCCGTACCGGATCTCTTGCTGGCTAACAAATGGGATTTTGAAACCGGCATTGACCCGACTGGATGGTGGATCTCCGAAAAGTTGGATGGTGTGCGGTAAGTTCTCTGTTCCAGATATAGCCGCTCTCTGCTTTCCCGTCTGCTTCGTAAGTGCTGATAGCGTTTTGATTAGCGCCTTTTGGGATGGAAAGCAGTTCTTTAGTCGGCTTGGGAATCCCTTCACACCACCTAAATGGTTCCTGGAAAGTGCGTTGATTCTGCGTTGAGTGTGGTACTGACAGTCACTGATAACCTTTCTGCGTGTAGCGCTGCCTAAAGATGTCAAACTGGACGGTGAACTCTTCGGTGGCCGACAGCAATTCCAATCAACCGTATCAGTCGTTAAAACTGTCAACTCACCGCACTGGAAAGGCATCAGTTTCCAGGTAGGCCCGCTGCATAACATAACAAGTGTATCTGATGAATTCTGATCATGATGGGCTGTGTGTACGGCAAATGGGAACAGGTTTTCGACATCCCTTCGAAGGCATCGGATCCGTTCGAGAAGAGGCTTGAGACGCTGGACGCCCTCTTCGGCGAGGGCGGGTCGCACAAGTGCTCGCATGTGTCTATCGTCGAGCATGTGCTTGCCAAAAGTCGGGATCACGTCCTTGAGAAATTGAAGGAGATTGAAGAGTTGGGCGGCGAAGGTCTCATGTTACGAAAACCCCAGTCGTAAGCCCAAAGTCTTTTCTTCTATCATCTCCGCCGGCTGATTCTGTCATCCCATAATCAGTAAGTACGAAGGCTCCCGTTCCAACACCCTCTTAAAAGTGAAGGTCTGTATACACGATGTTTCTCGCGTGTCGACCACGAGTAAATTCTAAAGAATGTTCTCTCAGACTTTTTATGATGCCGAAGCTGTCGTTACTGGCTACGAACCAGGCAAAGGGCGAAATGCAGGTGTCACGGGAGCCCTGAAGTGTAAAATGGCTTCAGGGAAGGTGGGTTATGGGTTGCTCCTGCCCACGACGACGTTCTAACTCAACTCTCCTCGGACAGACCTTCAACGTTGGTACGGGATTGAGCGACAAACAGCGCAAAAACCCTCCCAAGATAGGCTCAATCATTGTTTACCGCTTCCAAGAGTTGACGAGGGATAAAGTTCCTCGGTGAGCGTCTCCGCCGTTCTGTGTGCATGGATAGCCACTGACTTGTGTTGTGTGTATTTCACAGGTTCCCAAGTTTTATCGGTGAAGCGGCTGACAAGACTGAACCCAAGGATGCGGACATTCCTCCCAGCAGGATTGCTGGAGCATCCGGTGCGGATGCGTGATGGTATGAGATGATATCCTCTCTATATTTATAGCGTCGTTGGACGCATCTTGTTTTCGTTTTGCTGTCCCTTTCTCTTTGGTATCTACGGTGTCCGTCTTGAACGAGTCTTCATCACACCCTGCGGTGACTGATCGTCATTCTGACTTGATCCCGAATACATTGCATTCCTGCGTCTGTCATTTGCTACGCGTAATCGACGTGAATTTGCACTAGTCCTCCGGTTTCGTCGTGTGCCGTTCAGCGCTCAACACTGACATTTTGACGCCCAGGCCCAAGGGACGGTCTGGACTCCCCTTTTTTCGCAAAATGCCGCTCACATTGACGCAATGCCCCGTTTGCTGCCGCGTTCCCCTCCTCAAATGGCAAATCCTCCGAGGCATGTGGCCGCCGCAGCGAAATGCCATCAGCGCCTCATGACCGGGGATGTCCCTCTCAATTCAATCATGATGCCCTCATTGCCCTGTCTTCTTTTCCGCAACAAACGGCACGAAAGGCAAGCGCTCCCCAGGGGCGCTGAAGAGGGCCCTTCTCGCCACATCACAACTTGCCCACACTTGTCCAACACACAAACGCACTTGACAGAGGTGAGATAAGCAACCCAGTCTCTGTGCTTCGACGGCAACACAACAAACGAACCCCCAACAAACCTGTTTACATACACAACAGTTTCAAGTTCACGCTGCCGCTTGCTGCTATTCCTGTTCCATACAATTGTTGGGTGATGGGATGGGCGTATGGGCGGTGCTAAGGCTTCGATCCCATTGCGTTTGTAGGTCCTTGCGCCCGTCTTGCTACCCTTCTGCCCTTTCCCGCTTCCCTCCACATGCCCCTTCCTCGTCGTCCCGGCGGTCGTCCCCATCGTCCTGTTCTTGGCTCCACCTGCGCACTCGGCTTCTTCGTCAATCTCTTCGCCTGGCTTCAAGTCCTCGGCTCGGTGGTAGTGGGAGCTCATGGGAGAGCAGTGAATTGGACGATTCCGCACAATTATCCGACTATCGCGTATGTCCCGCTGGGCGGATGGGCTACGTTGGAGGCTGGGTTTGGAGGGGTGACATATAAATCTACGAATGCAGAGTTTGCAAGAGCCAGAGTTATATTTCGAGGTAAGTTCGCCTCCCCGACTTTTTCTTCTCTTTTTTATGGGCGCTTTTAATGCGGATATGAGCTCAAGCCCAGATATGATGCTTATCCTTTCATATCTACCCCGAATCCGTTCATTGACGATGTTCTATAACAGGTCAAACACTATACTACGAGTCACCGCTGTTCTTCTACGAAGCGCACGTTGTGATCGACATCGATGATACAACCAGCACTGAGCTCAATCTCACGCAGCCTGACAGCGCAACCTCCGGCCTGCCTCCTGATACGCCACCAATTTCGAAGGCGACGTTCCTCGTCGCGGAGAGCTTGGATCCCAGAAAGGACCATACAATCACCCTTCGTAGACCGGATAGACCGGTGGCGAATATCACTATGGGTACTTTTATGTGAGCTCTCGTCTCGCCTTTTTGTCGGTCTTACCCATTCTCACCGTGTTTCACCCCCCTCCCCGACCAAAATGCCCACATTGCATCGCCGTTTCACCCATCCCCATGAATTCCCGTTCCACATCGGCCTTTTGGTTTGACACGCACAACCCAGCTACACAACCGACGACAGGCCAGCTCGCGAACCAAACCCTGAATCAGGCCGCAGCGATAACCGAAAGCTCGTGATCCCACTTGCACTCGTAGGGTCCATCCTCTTCGCGCTCATCGTCTTCGTACTCCTGTTGTGGGCGGTCAAGTTCCCGCAGTACTGCTGTGCGCCGGCGCGGAGGGTGATTTGGAAGTTGACACCGTCGAATAGGGACCACGAGTTGGGCGGTGTTAGGGGGACGGATTATCGCGTTAGCTCCAGTGGAGGCAGGAGGAAAAGCTTTGGAGGGTTCGGCGGTAACGGAGGCGCTGGCGGAGGAGGGAGAGGAATAACAATGCCGAGATGGCTGAAATCGATCCCCAATCCTATCAAGTGGTTCTCGACACCCCCGATTCAAGACCATGCCCCGAATAGGAGATTCACCAATTACGACTCGAGTAACCATGATGCACAACGAGCGAGGAACTTCGAGATGGGCTCTACAGGGGGTGATGGGAAGAGGTCGGGACCTGGGTCTGCCAACGCGAGTGTGGTGCTTCACGACAACGGGCAAGGGAGGGACTCGAGAGCGGGAGTGGGAGTGGGCAGTTACGGCAATAATGGTGGAGCCGACCCCAGGGCCTCAGTTGCAAGCCCTGTCCTACAAGCGAGACAATTGGCGATCGACCTTCCCTACCTCCAGTATCTCGACTCACTAGCATCTCCACCTGGCGAAGGAGACCCTCGAAGAGATAATCCTACCATGAGTCCGCCTTTGAGCACCCGGCACCTCGCGGAACTGAACCACCAGAATTCGACGTCGACGTCTCTCCGCTCGGATTTGCTCAAGAACTTTCAGGCGGCTGGTACTGGGAGTGGAAAGGGGAGCAGGAGTGGTGGTGGGAAGAGTAGAGAGGGTGGGGGACAGAGTCGGGAGGGTGGGGAGAACGCCAGCGAAGGTGGAAAGAGCAGCGTCAGACCACATGCCTTCGGTCGTACACCTACTACCTCTATGCAGGTGACGGTCACCTCCGGCGTCGACAGGGAAGAAGACACTCTCGTGGGCGATACGAGTTCGATCATCAAGAAGCTGGAGGAGGCGGCTGCCAAGGGATTTACGTCGGATAACGGTGGTCCAAGGATGTTTGGAGACGGTATGGTAGCGTCACAGCCAGCACCAGTGAAGACGCTCCAGTCGGGTCCTTTGATGTCGGCGAGCAACAAGTTTAAAATCTTGCAGAGGAAGCCGCTGCCGCAGCATCCTGATGCGACTGGGCCAACAACGGTTATGGGACCAAGGGAGAACACGTCGGCAAGGCACGGGCAGTCGCATACAAGGCTACCTGACTCACAGGGCTCGATGGGTCATTCGAGCTCGGAGTATGGGCCTTTAGGGTCGGATTCTGGGCATGGGCACTCGACACAACCTACCACCCTGACTTCACAATCAACGAGCCCTGGTACGGGCGTCCGACCTCTCCCTGTCCTTGCGCCCAAGCCTTCGACTCCAACCCGGATGCACAGTGTGTCAATGGAGAAGATGCAGCAGGAGGCTGTGGCTGAACTCCAGCGGCAACATCAGCAACTTGAGCAGCAACAGTATTCCCCTCCATTTGGGAATGCGCGGACGAGGAAGGAATCATTAGGTGCTGGGAGTGTAGCGAGTGGAAGCGGCAACCATCGAGGGGCTCCGAGCAGTTATGGAATGCCAGCGGCGGACTCGTGGGGTCTGGGCGAAGGCCATGGACGACACCGGCACATCTCGATGGCGCCTTCAACTACGTCCAGCATCACACTCGCGCCTCCCCCGAATGAGACGATGCCGAGTACCTGGAAGGGCAAGGGTGTGGACTACGGAGATGGAGATGGGGAGTATGTCCCGCTCGTTCCTGGGCTACCGAGACCTGGAGCTGGGACGGGGAGAAGGCCGCTGCCACAGGTTCCGCCAATACCAAGCTCTGGTGAATCGAAGTCGCCGCAGTTGCCTACTCCACCACCGACAGCTACTGGTCCTCGACCGCCCTTACCTCCACCTCCACCCCCACAGGCACAGGCACAACTACAATCCCACCCGCCACCGCCACCGGAGGACGACATGAACGACGACTCGATGTACACCGATTACGAAGGGACGTGGCCGCCTTCGCCTTCAACACTGCAGCATTACTTGAACCAAAGCGAGAATTCAGCGATCATGAATACCATCCTTGGTGTTTCTAATTCGTCGAGTTCGGGTAATGCAGCTGCTAGAGGCTCGTCGTTAGCTTCAAAACCCTCCGTACGGACTGTCAATTCCAGCAGTACCAACACCCACCACACGTACCCCTCGACATCCTCGACATCCTCCGCCTATCTACAGCACACGTTCGAGCCAGTAGACGACTTTGGGAGACCGATTAAACCGCCATCTGCAAGTTCAAACCCGAGAGCGGCCACGGGGAAGAAACCCTCTTATGACCCAGTTTGGAGGCCGGATGGGTTTGGACCGAGGACGGCGGGTGGGAGTGATGACGGTATCGCGCGGTACACCACAGGTAGCTCGAGTGGTAATACGACAGGGAGCTCGAAGAACCGGTCGGCGCCGCATAAGAGGGTGGAACACCTCAAAGGTGCGACTGGGATGCGGTCGTTACCTCGTGTTGACGGGCATGGATATACAAAGGTGGAGTCGTAGGAGGTTGATTGGACACTTGTTTTCGTTCGCTTTGTGTATTAGATTGGGTTTAATGTAGGTTGTATTCTAATTCCACTGTTTGTTTTATGTAACGATGTCGCATTGGCCCGATTTTGAAGCCTGCAAACACAACTCGCAACTCGGCCGTGCTGAAGGTTTTCGTGATCATAGCGCAAAATAATTTCGTTCTTGCGAGTAGTACATACACTACAGATTGTGACGCAAAAAAAAAATATAGTGGGTGAACATTACTTCAACTCCCTCTCATCGCGTTCAACTTTGCGTGGTCAAATTTTCTCTCGCCCTTCTCGTGTTCTGACGATGCACCGGCAGGGAGAGGTAGTGGTTGAACATTACAGTACCAGTCCCCCTTGACACCGTTGTCTTCGAAAGGCCCTCCAACCTTCGCTGGATCTTTCAGCGTGACGGAATTGAGAGATTCCATCGAAACATCGAAGTCGAAATAATTCATTGGAGTAAGCATGAAACTGCGGGAAAGACGGTTTCCGTGAGCACAATGGCAATCTCGTCCTGACCAAGCCAGGGAGTACAGCTTACATACCTGGAGGATGCGACATTCGTTTTCGTATTGGGGGAGTCCTCGGCGTGGGGCTTTTGGTGAAACAATACCACTTCAACATCCGCGAACATTGCAGAGCCAAGGATGGCACCTACCAGGTGATGGGCGCCTAAGTTGATCCACAGAACCAAGTCTTCTTGCTCAATGCTTTCCCCGTCGAAGAACTTGTCAAAGTCGACAGGAGGTGCTCCAGGTAGTTGGCCGTTCCATATGCTGCTGGATGAAGGTTCAGTCTCTTTCCTCTTAGTGACGGCAATGTTATGTTTCGCCCAGTTGGCGTTCTTCTCGAGAAGCTTGGAACCAACGACGTTCTACAACAAGCCTGAATAAGAGAAAAGCTTTGTAGAAACATGTGAAGGGAGCGTACAAGGCGAGTGGGGGATTGGCCAGGTCGGATAGCGTATCCTCGAGGGTTGCCCCACGCGTTCAGGGCGTCCTTGTTGACAATAGCGTAATTTCCAAGCCCATTGGGAGGATAGTCCGATCTGGAATCGTCTTCCACCTCGACGTACTCTCTTATGATCTTTCCCTGCATCATGGTGTTCCCCCAGTCCTCGTCCATCCAAGGCAGCTCCACCTCCTCCTGTCCCACAGTCGTCTTGAGCAGGGAATTGGCCGTTCCAGCTACGTCGAAGTCGACTCTGGATGAAACAGATTGAATGAATTGCGTCAGTAGCTGATATTGTGGTAGAATTTAAAACTCGTACTTGAAGTTGATTACGTGGTCATGGAGGCTGCCCACTGTGAGGACAGAGTAAGTAGCGACTAGATATCTTGATAGACAGTCCTTACTTGTGGTGTCGTGAAGCCTGGTTCCATACGAGTCTTGCTCAGAGGTCCAATAGGTGCCTTGAAGGTATCCTGACGCAGATACCTTGACCTCGATCGTCCCATCGAGATAGAAAATATAGTCTGACTAGTATATATGAAGTCAGACAATTGGTTTCCTTCCTTGCAGCGGATACTCCGCTCACCACTGAAGAAAGAAGAGATTTTGTTCTTGAGAAAGTAGGTGGGATGAGGTGATGTTACCGCTTACCATAGTCGTAGCTGTGGTGCAAGAGATTAGCCATCTGTGGGTGTGGATCGTCCTAATTAACACAGCTATATGGCACTCACTTCCCAACTGTCGGTATTGAACGAAGCACGAGTACATATGAGTTTACCGCGCCGGACTCCCCTTCGACAGGCCCGATATGCGTCGTCAAGGGTATAGAGAGATCGTGTTCGAAGACACAGATCGCCCTTTCGATATGCACGTTTCCTGTCGCAACGTACGTATCCATCGGAAGGTACACCGCTCCTCGAGGGCAATCGTAGCCCGGTATAAGCTCCCGGGACCGAGCACCCATACTAAAATGACGATCGAGCCAAGCTGTTCGGGATTGGAACGGGTCTCCACCACCTGTAGACGTGGGACGTTAGTAACAGGGGCTCAATGCGACCCTTTAGAGTGAGCTAAAGGAAACTCACTGTAATGTCCGACTGCTTCTTGAGGGGACAGCTGAGAGTCATCATCGTCAGTCCTGAACGATGCACCAAAGTGCATATGACATACCTCGTAAATAAGTCTCTCGCCTTTGAACCCAATATCCCAAAGGCTGAGACCCATGTCCCTGCTAAACCCCAGATACATGCTCCATCCCATCCAAGTGACGTATCGCGTAGCAGGGTCAACGCGGAACCGAGGCCCTGCAAACGATACTTGTGTTGGTCCAGGAAGGTGATCAAGATCCCTCGGTTCTCCCTGACGCTGCCGGCTTGACCACAGGCGAGATTCCCTCGTTCCTTCAGGGGGAGGGTGTCGAATGAAGGTTCCGTTCCTCCATGCCTCGAGGAAAGACTCGACAGATGGGAAGAATTGATCGTGATAAACGACCTTCAAAGAGAACGATTCAGCAAAGCTTCGTGGAAATGCCTGGAGAACGTACCTTGACGACTTGCCACTGTGAAGTGTCTGTTCCGGACATATCGAAATATGTGTAGAAGTTGATTGGGTGAAGGAAGGAGCCAGGGACATCCCAACGCCATGTGTACCAGGCCTTCCTCCAAGAACCATCGTAACTCTTGGGACCGCTGGGTCCCACAAGGAGTGTATCGTTCGAATCGCCCAGAAGCTCTCCGCCAAAGAGATCCTGTAAGAATGTTGGTCAGAACATGCGAATTCGGCCCTCCGAGTCCTGCGCCTGAAGAGGTTTCTCACCTTGACCGCTTCAGCCAATGGAGCGGCAGCTTTGATAAAATAGTCTCGCTCCTCCGCCATCTCCAAGTCCACCAACGCGCGGGCGTTAAAGGGAACCTCATAGTTATGATAAATCTCCGTCAGCGGCCTAATCTCCGTCGCTTCAGAAATGGGCAGCGGCCCAACGAGGAAGTTCCCGACAGTCGGGTTCGGGGCCGCGCCTTGGTTGATGGCGACGTGAGCAAATCGGGAAGGAGGATGCACCGTTTGGGGATCGTCCAAATAGGCAAGAACTGCGTCTTTAGGAGGGATGTAGAGCTGGATATCGAAGATGACGTTGTCCGATGGTGTCGAGCGGGTTGCTTCGGTCAGGTTTAGACCGCGTTCTTCGGCCCGAAGCCATGTCCCGACGTCGCTCGCCTCTTGAGGAGTGAAGGGTGCCCAGACGTTGACTGGCGCTGGAAGGTCTGGTAGTAGAGCCTGTTGCGTTGACGGGCAGTGGCCGATACCATGAGGTATGCTGTTACGAGAAGAAAGGAATAAACTGGAATCATCAATCTCCTCCGAGGACTCGGAAGAGGATGAGTCCTTGTCTTTAGACTGGAAGTAAAACCAAGCCAGCACTACGATGAGAGAGGTCACGATGGCCAGACTGGCCATCTTCAAGCCTGTGCGAAGAAACCCTTTGAGCCCCCTTTGGTACCGGTGATAGAATGCTGCATTGTCCTGAGCGAGGGTAGAGCCTTCCTCCTTCCATGGCCTAGGCAGGGGGAGAGGAGGCTGAGCGCTCTCCACGGCTGGTTGGTGGCTCAGCAAAGCCATTTGGGAAAGCGGATGGTATGGGAGGTCACGATCGATTCTGGGGAGCGTTGGAAGAGAAGGGAGAACAATGGGGAAGTTTAGACGGGATTGAGGAATGGAGAAGCACAAATAGCTTCTCTTATAACCTGTTCTTAGTAGCCTATAGCATACCACGTAAACCGCTGTTCCGCCACACAATCAACCACTGCTTGTCTTTCAGCTTTGCGTTTAAAGACGACGTCGATGGCGTCACCTTTGTACTTCAAACCTTCAGCAGTCGTCGAGCCGCCACATCAACCCAGGTAAGAACGACCTCAGGAGGGTTAAGTCGTATGTACTGCGCACGTCGAACTTTGTCAGGAAGTTAGTTTGTAGGATATCAGAGTGGCAGACGTAAAAGCATACAACTATCTTCTTTGGCCTGCGGAAGGCCATACTGTGCCAAGAGAGTAGATATGCTGCCACAAGAGAATGAAAGCGTATATATATATAGGTATCTTCAATAAAGCATAGATGTGACACGGAAACAAGAAAAACAAATACATACATTAGATATTCAGATATAAGAAGCGATACAGAAAAATCCACCCTTGTTCGACTCTTCGACCTCCTCAACACACTTTAAGCGGTCAAACACAGCCCTGCCTGTCGCTAAATTCCAGTCCTGATACGCAGCGGGTGAAGGACAGAGCGGATCTTGTCATACGCCGCACCTATCATCGCCTTGTCGTACCCTCCACCTCTCCCATCTTCACCCGGCACACCCGGCACACCACCGCCACTCTCCTCTCGGTCTCCAAACACCGGTCTCTCAGCGTCATACCTAAACGGAGTAGGAGGTCTCGGCACACAATGGAAATCCTGCTTCACACCATAGTCATGGAAATCAAACGCTTCACCCGGGTCAGTGCTACCCGGCTTGGGCGGATGGAGGATGATCGCGTTCATCGATTCCATGCTTGGATCAGAGTCGAAGTAGTTGTACGGCGTTAGCATGAATCTGTGCGAATATGAAGTTGGCATGTCAGATGGCGTATAACTGGATGGAAAGATGATGACAGCACACCTACCCAGAAGTCGCGATGTTAGTCTTGGTATTCGGCGAATCCTCAGCGTGGGGCTACAAAACCGCGTTTGAAGTGGTCAGTCTCACCGACTCTTCCTCTAATCCACACCTTCACATCCAAAGCCTGCAACTCACCAAATGATGCGTCCCAACATTAACCCAAACCACCAAATCCTCCTGATCCAAACTCTCCCCATCAAAGAACCTGTCAAAATCCACAACAGGCGCACCGGAGAGGTGTAAATTCCACATGCAGCTGGAGGAAGGCTCAGTCTCCTTCCTACGCGTCACAGCTAGATTGTATTTCGCCCAATTGGCGTTGTTCTCGAGGCGTTTGGAGCCAACGACCGTCTGTCGGGTGTCGGGTGTCGGGTGTCGGGCGGCGGGCGACGGACGTGGGGAGTGACAGTGGACAGTGGACGGTGGACGCGAAGTTGACGGGCGAGTGACGGTGTAAATTGGAGGGGATTCAGATGGGATAGCGAGAGTGGTTGTCGTCGATGGATGATTGCGCGTTGAAAATTGGGATGAGAACGGGCACCATACGTAAACCAGTTAGTCACTGCCCTCACTCAACACTCAAAACCAAAACCAAAAAAGAAAACCCACATTCCTAATAGGCGAAAGCCCAGGCTGAATCGCATACCCCCTCGGGTTCCCCCACTTGTTCAATCGATCCTTATTGACGATGGCATACATCCCCTGGAAGTTCTTCGCATACTGCACGCGGGAATCGTCCTCCGTAGCCACATACTCCCGTGTGACGCGTTGCTGGACGACGGTGTTGCCCCAGTCGTCGTCTGCCCAGGGTAAGGTCACCTCTTCCTGCGCCATCGTGGTTTTGAGGAGGGAGTTGGAGGTTCCTGCGATATCTAGATCGACTCTGTGGAGATGGCTTGAGCGTGGCTAGAAGGTAATGAGGAGGAGGCTAGTAGCGTACTTGAAATTGATAACGTGGTCGTGCATGTTGCCCACTAGCGAAGTGAAGATCGCTTGGTCATCATCCCATCCAGAAGAGAATCCCGAATGGACTGCTACGTACTGCTGAACTTGCTCAGGTTGTACCCATAATCCCTCTGCTTCTCCGTCCAGTATCCACCTTGGAGGTAGCCCGAAGCAGCCACTTTGACTTCGATCGTCCCATCGAGGTGGAAAATGTAGTCGAACTGCCAATGCATGCATGATTAATCTTTCGTTCCAAAGCACTCTGGTACGCACCACTAGTAAATCATCCAAAACCGCCAGTCAAAGCGAAGCGTCAGCACTACTATACCAACAAACTCGACTGTTCTGCACCCACGATAATCATAACTACAAACAAGAAAATCAAGCATAAATCATCAGCTCCCAAGCCCAACAGCACGGCTATAACCAAAGGAGAAACAGACGTTCCACTCACTTCCCAACAGTACTAACACTCCTCACAACCAACACATACCCCTTCACAGCGCCCATCTCGCCCTCCACATCTCCCACATGCCTCGTAATCGGCTTCCCCGTGTCCATCTCGAACACACATATCGCTCTGTCGCGGCGAATATGCCCACCTGTAACATAAAAAGACGATGTAAGAAGGACACCAACACACGTCACGGTAGATAACCAAAGGTGGCATTTCAGGCAAATGTGCACGGAGGGCCCGAAAAAGACAAAAAAAAAAAAAAAAAAAAAAACAAAAAAAAAACAAAAAAGAAAGAAAGAAACGCACCCATAGCAGCGTGAAAAGTCTCAGCAGGCAAAAACAAAGCTTCGTGCGGACAATCATAGTGGGGTATGAGGTTGCGCACGAGGATGCCCATGCCAAAGTACCGGTCTAGCCATGCTGTGGAGGATTGGATCGGGTCGGCGCCGGCTGCGGGGTTCAGAGGGTACGTTAGTTAGGCGTATCGGTGTAGGAAGGAGGGAGAGAACGGAGGAGAAGGGACGTGGTTACTGACCATATTGAGCAATCGCTTCCTGCGGCGCCAACTACATGACAAAACCATCCATCAGTACCAATCCCCCAATTACCCAAAAACACGAGAGAACCATAATAATAATAAAAGAAAGAAACCCACCTGATAAAACACCCTCTCCCCTCTAAACCGCCCATCCCACAAACTCATTCCCATATCCCGATCAAAACCCAAATACACACCCCACCCCATCCAACTGACGTACTGCAGCTCCCGATCCACGCGGAATCGTGGCCCAGCGAAGGAGACCGCGCGCGGGCCTGGGAGGTGGTCCAGGTCCCTAGGCTCGCCAGTACGCTTTCTCGACGTCCACTCGAGTTGGCGTTTCACTTCGTTTTCCTTTTGCCTAGGGATGATAGGCGGAGGATGCCGCACGAGTGAACCATTGCGATACGCCTCGAGGAACGACTCGGTGGACGGGAAGATTTGGTTGTGGTAGACGATCTGGTGGTGGGGGAGTTTTATTAGTCACGGAGCCGAATGCAGAATCGAAGAAAATGGTTAAACGCATGAAGCTTGAGCTCACCCTTAGAATCTTCCATAGCGAAGGATCCGTACCCGACATCTCCACATAATTGTAAAAGTTGATAGGCACGAGGAAGGAGCCTGCAACGTTGTACCTCCACGTTACCCATGCCCTCCTGAACGAGCCGTCGTAGCTCCACGGACCGCCGGGTCCAGCTGTGAGGGTATCGTTCTCTCCATCCCAGACCCCACCAAAGAGATCCTAATTGCCCAAAGAGAAACATCACAAGAAAAACATGTCAGCAATACGTTTTACCGGAATTGGAGAAGTCTGGAAATGAAGGCGGAGAAAAACTGACCTTCATAGCGTCCCGAATAGGCTCCACAACACCCTCAATAAACCTAAACGCCTCCACCAAATCTTCCAACCCACGCGCGTTGTACGGGATGACAGGCCGATGGTAGATCTCCTCCAACGGCTTCACATCGACCTCTGTCCACCCACCGACGCGTCCAGATCCACGACTGCGACTCCCATTGCCAACACGCAGAGGCAAAGGACCCACAACATAATCCCTAACGCACGGCACCCGCTCTCCCCCATGGTGAATCGTAACCCTCGCGTACTTCCTCGGCCGCTCGACGTTCTCCGGGTCATCGAGGTACGCAAGCGCCTCCTCCTTGGGCGGGTAGAACGTCTCGATATTGTATACCGCATTATCCGAGATCGCCGCTTGACTAGCCTTTGTCAGGTTGAGATTGAGACCGAGGTGTGGGGGGTTCGACTCGAGCCACGCTTGGATGTCGGCAGTTTCGTGTTGCTGGAGGTATGCCCAGGGGTTGTAAGGAGCGGGCGGTGAAGCGGGCTTGGGTCCGTCGTGCGCCGGGCATTCTTCCAACTTTCCTGTCGTGGAAGCAGGGAACAGAACGGAGGGGGTGGCAGTGGACGGTGTACCGATGATGGATCCATAGCGATAGTGCGAAAGGCCCAGCGAGACCAGGGCAAATGTGGCAACGCCTGCTATGACGACTTTGAGCCACCAATGTGACTTGCGTTCCCGTTCTCGTGCAGTGTTAATCTTCTCTGCTACAGGAGATGACTTTAGAAGCGGCGTTATCAAGGGGACAGACATGTTCTCTCTGTAGGAGAGAAAGGCTGTCAGTGAGAAGGTCAAAAGCAGTGATAAGACGGGGCTCACCTGGAACTACATAAATATCCTCTCGGAGCCCGCAGCTTCTTATCATGGAGTACATGGAATTGGGGCACATTGTGAGTTCCATGACTCTTCTGTGACGAATATGGTTAACGGCATTGGAACACGAAGTAGGGTGAAAGGGGGTTTGACAGGCACGGCGGACATCGAAGCACTCCCTCGAAGACGAGGTACCACGCACTCATCCTAATTCGCCGTCGGCGATGCAAGCAAAAGGAAGAGAACATTGTAAAGGCACATATCAGCTGGACATGTTTCTGCTCCGTTTCTGGACCTCAGGGGTAACGCTGCAACGGGAGAAGCTATGCGCATCCATACTATATCCAAAACGAGGCGGTGACAATCCTTCGATGTCTTACATACTCAGTCACTGTCAATAGCAAATACGTTAGCACACAGTTGACGAAAAAGTGGAGGAGATTCTCATGCACCTTGCACCGCTCCCCATTCACCACCGAAAGCTTCTTAATGTCATGATCATAGGATTCACAGCGAATCATCGAGAGCCAAGAATCAAAAAAGGGAAGCAAAAAGGGTATTCATTGTAGCTGGGAAGGGTAAGTACGCAACATGGACGCGCAGGCTAATCATACCTCCCCCGCCTTCGAGGTGGCGAGCGCGAGCGCGAACGGGACCTCGACCGGGACCGCGAACGTCCACCACCGCCTCCTCGCCCACCTCTGGCTCCCCACCCACCGCCACTCCTGGGAGGAGGAGAGTCGTGTCGCCTGGGCGGCGGCACGCGGCGGTCATAATCAGCATCCCTGTCTCTATCCCTATCCCGTCCTCCCCGTCCTCCGCGGCCCCTCCCACCAAACAAAGGCGCATTCGACTCTCCCCTCCAATGCCCACCCCCACCCCGGCCCGCCGGAGGCCCCGAAGACTGCGATGGCCCCGACCGCCAACCGGGCGGCCCTCCTCCTCCTCCTCCAATCGCATTCGCCCCACTCCCCTTGATCGACAACTCCGTCGGTACATTCGCGCCTTTCGGCAAAATAACAGACACCATAATATAATCACCCGGGACGAACCGCAAATCATCCAGTGTGCGTTCCTCGCGCTCGCGTGGGACAGGGTGCTCGGAATCCCTGTTCGCTGCTGCGCCCCCGCCGCCCTCTTCGTCCTCGAGCAGCAGCCGCGGGGCGGTGACACCATGGGACCCGGGTTCGCCGAGGATGTCGCGCGAGTAGACCATGCCGAGGTCTTTTTGGGTGAAGCGACCTTTGCTGGCAGAGTCTGCGTAGACGGCTTTGAAACTGAATCGTGCCAGGGGATGTTTGAATTCCGCTACATGCGGGGAGGTATTCCGGAGCGTCGTTAGGATTTCTTTCAGTGTTGCGTCGCGCCTAGTCATCGTTTAGCAGTTCCTTCAAAAGATGAACGTATTCTATAGACGCACCAGGTGAAGATTTGGTGTTCGTCAGTCGTTGGAAGCGTCCCATCCTCGAACAGCGTCAACCGATGAAATCCGCCGATTTTCACAAATGTCCTGATCAGAAACGGTGCCGTCTACAAACTATAAGTTTCACAGCTCATAAAGATACTGCTCCAGGGCCCATACCTTGTCACGAGCAACCACAACCTTTCCAGCGCCTGGCTCACTGTCGACGTCCATGGTAGAGTTGAGATCGCTTAGGTAATCCGTCGGTCGCCGCCCAAATTCCCTCGAGCGTTTGGCCCAACAGTTCGCGGGTTCGATTCTCAACCGTGCTACTTTCTTTTGAAATCCATAGGGTGACTCTTCGAAGTCGCCTATCTCGAGACTTATTATTTCATACTGGGAAGTCTCCACAAAACAAAAAAAAAAAAACAATCGAACTCGCCTGGCTCGACGACGGCGAGGAGGACAACTCCGACTCGGGGTGGAGCCTGAGGAAGACTGTACTGCAAGGCAAAGTCCTCCTAGAATACATCAAAAGCGAAGACCCGGCGAGTGGTATTGGGAAAACCGTAACGCCTCATACCTATACTATCACACTAGCCACCCTAACTTCACACTTCACGAGCACACTGTTCCCTCTTCCGCTGCTCTTCCGAACGCATGTCGATCCTATCTCTCCCAAATTCCCCACTTCTAATCAACGTCCAACCTACTCTCCACCTCATGAATCATCCACCCCACTGCGGAAAAACCGATATACCAATTACAACGCGACGATTGTCCCTTGCCCCTGCACTCCACGGCAACTCTGAGTCCCCCCTCCCACCCCTCCCATCATCCAACTTCCCCCTCCACACATCCACACCTTCTCCACATCAAAAGTTCGAACCCATCTTCTTCTCCGCCACTCCATAAAATGGAAATACTTCTTCGGAACACCAACGAACTATGTATGTAGTACTTGCTTCCCCCTCCAATTCCTTCAAACTGTATCGCACGCGCTTAATTGCCGCCTCTGTTTCTTTTTAGGCTTACGAGTGGGGTTGGCTTTTCTTTTAGCAATATCTAGGATCCGCTTTATTTATAATTAGGGAGACACGGATTGGCCAAGTACATGCAGAGTGAGAGGTCAGCCACGGGACTAGAACCTTACACCGACCGAAAGTTGCACCGACTTCGCAACCCTGCCGTGAGGATGAGAGTGGGACTCTCCCTTACTCCCATTCCTTCCCTTTCTCATTCCTCATCCGACTTACCTACCCTTCATCTCCTTCTCCAATTCAAAGCTTCAACCCTCTCCTCCGAGTCTCTTTCCGTTTTCTACTCAACCTTTATCATTACGTAGAAAAACAAAAAGTCAACTAGCCGTACAACCCCCAAATCGAAAGACTGTACGTATATATAAAAATACATTGCTTGTATATCAAGCGTACCGCCTCGGAAAAAATGAAGTGGTAGAGTCGGTCATGGGTACCGGGTATGTATCAAAATCATCATCGACATCGAATCAAATCATGAACAATGCATGCAAAAACTCGTCAAAAAGCTCGTGGTCATGAAGGGCCGGTGAAGTAGGTGGACATCACGTTTTCACATCTTCTTCGACTCCTCATCCTTCCCTTCAACAACCTGCTCATTCTGCATAGTCTTCTCAACCAACTCATTCTGCTTCTTAATCTCATCCTTCTCGAACACTACGGCACCGTATCAGTAACCTCATCCTTCGCGAAACCAAGATAGAGAAAAAAGGGGAACGTACAGAATGCCAACTCCTCCAACGTCTTCCCATGCGTCTCAGGGAACATGAAGAAGATGAACAACACTTCAAACAACAAAAAGCCGACATAGCTGAGGTAGAAATACCAGCCTGTATTCGCCCAAAAAAATCAAATCATGAGCATCGCGTCATTCACTGGGAGCACGAGCTCAGTGTGAGACGAGTGACTTACCAACGTTCTCAATACCAATAGGGTTAACAAACTGATTGAAGAATCCAGCACATCGACTGAAGATCTGGAAGATGGTGATACCCTTGGCTCGGACGTGGAAGGGGAACAACTCGACGAGGAAAGCTATAACACGACTCCATTAGCCTCTCTTTCCCCATAAAAACAAAGGCCTCCCATAAAACACAGGCAGGCAGGCGAAATAAAAACAAATAAAACCAAGAAAACACGAAAATACGCACTGTACGTCAAAGCATTGAAAGCAATGTTATAGCAAGGGCTATACAAGAAAATGAATCTATCCACAAACCAATCATCAGCATCCTATGTATCAACAACGGTGATAAAAACCGAATTAAACATACGCAATGACAGCCTTGGACGAAGCTTGGTCTTCAGTCAGGGCATATCGGGCACTAGCCACCGTCCAACCGGTGAACACCAACAACAGGGAGATGGTGCAGACCTACACAGTCACACATATATTCGTCAGATTTGGTTCTTCGATTTCTTTCCAAAGCAAGGCACGCACCAAATACATAACTCGACGAGGGAATCGAGAAACGGTGAGAGCAAGGATAGTCGCGTTGAAGAAACCCCAGCACGTATTCGCCAAGTTGACAATATTCTTGGTGCGGTTGTCGGTGATACCAACATTGTCGAGGATACGAGCCAAGAAGTACCTAATCCAAACATCAGAATCCTTTCTTTCAAAAACCCCACCAACCGCAACAAAAAAACAAAACCACTCACGAAATCAAACCATTTCCACTCCACTGCGTGGCAAGACCAAGGAAAGCACCAATAATCAAACGCCTTCTCATACCAGCAGTCTTCAACAAATCAGTCCATCCAACCTTAGAAGTCTCCTTCTCCAACTCGAGGGTCGTCTCAATCTGGACGTATTCAGCCTTGACGAGCTCAGACTCATGGTCACCCTCAGCGTGGTACTTGGCAAGAATCGCGAACGCTTCACTGCCACGGCCCTTGGCGATCAACCAACGAGGGGACTCGGGGAGGAAGTAGACGAAGATGATTTGCAGGAGACTGGGGAATGCTTGGAGGACGGAGGGAATTCGCCAACCCCAGGTGGAGGACATGCTGAAAGTTCCGAGGGTAGTTCCGGCAGCAGCAATGGCACCTATAGTAGGGATCGCCGACATTCAGCCTTGAAGACCAACCGCATGGAAACGCGTGTACACACCGATGAACCAGCAGGCGTTGAACAAGGATCCCATGATGGCACGTTCTCTTGGGTACGACAGCTCTCCAATCAAAGAAGAAGCGGCGACGATGGCGAAGACGATACCAATACCCATGATGAAACGGGAAATGACGAACATGGCGACTGAGCGGGTCGAAGAGATGTCAGAAGAAATTCCAAACTAGGATCATGAAGACTCACAGTTCTGGGAAGCGGTCTGGATGACGGCACCGATAACCATGATAACACTACCGAAGAAGATGGCAAACCGACGACCCCACTTGTCAGTGACCCACGGGACGAAAGGAACGGCCGCGATGGCTCCCAACGAGTAGATGGCCGACATCAATCCAAGAAGGGCAGACCGGGGCTGGTTGAAGTCTGAAGAAAAGGACGTCTGTCAGGTTCAATTCTCTGTGAGGACTGTTGCGTTTGTGCGTACATTGGTCCCAAGAGTCAACAGCCTGAAGACCGTTCATCATGGAAGAGTCGAAACTGTCCTTGCGTTCAGTGGTCGTGTTCTGTAGTGGCGAGCAAGAGTACTCACCCTGAAGTCATCTCTACACCGAGACATGTCGGGATGAAGATGATGTAGAGCATGCGCAGGTTGGGTTTCTTGTACCATGGCGTAGGGTCTTGAGCCACCAGCCTGGTGACGATAGCGTTGGGCTCCTCCTCGGCCGGTACTGGGCTCTTCCTGTCCTCGGTTGCGGAAGCCATGGTAAGTGAACGGGAAACCGAAGGTTGAAGGAGAGATCAAGAAGACCTTGTCTGTTTTCCAAAACACTGGAGGCTTTTAAACCACCAAATCGCCCCATTGACCCACGACAGTCACTTGTCCGACTCCTGCGTTCACGAACATTGCCAAGTGGAGAAGCTTAGTCCAATATTTCCCCGCATTAATCGCCATATAGAAAGATTGACCACACAAGCTGGCAGAAGAACCACGTCCAGATCAAAGAAGCTCCAAGGGAGAAGCGTCATGTCCTGTCCTCCAGAGCGAAGTCGGGACAGAATTCGACGTTGTATGGCCCGAATTGGCGTTGTTTCTACCTGGAATGTTCTGCGCAAAATAGGCACACAGTAGCCGAGGTCAAACAGGGGGAGTTTGCTATGATAATAAAGACGTCAATGAGTCGTTAATGCGCGAGCGCCTGCTGAACACGCACGGAGAAAACCCGGACGAGACTTGCTATTCGTGGGAGTGCCGTGATTGGCGATACCAAGCCGAGGGTGCTAGTTGACGATTATGGAGCACGGTACGACCAGCCCGTCAAAGGGTTATTGACCTGGGGGTGAACATGTGGGGTCGACATGAAACCAAAGTTGAGGAGACTTGCTCAGCAAATATCTCTAGATTCGTCAACCATGATTCAGCATCCAATCCAGTGACATAGCGTCCACTGGTATAGACCCTTTCGAGACTGTGAGGACGTCTCGTGGTCCCGGAAGTTAGATGCCGCCAATAGAGCAGCCAGCTTCTCGAGGAAAGGACCACGCGTGTAGCATAAAGATCACTAAATTACGGACTTTTTGAGAACGTGAGCGCTGGCAGAGCTATTGTCTGGCGTACCTGTGACTCCCAGGTCCCCGAGCTGAGATGTCCGTCCCACTTCAGGTGCAAGCCATGCGGACAATAGTGAAACACAGTTCAAGACCCACATTTGCAGCCGCGACGGGCTCCCAGGTGACAGAAATCTCCAATGACCGCGGAAGCGAGCAACGCGCCAAGGGCGGTGTCGTGAGTGCCTCGTAGGCGTCTATTACGGCGGTCCCCGTCGTCTCAAACGTCGTCCTCGTCGCTGCTCATCGTCGGCAGCAGCGTCGTCGGGAGCGGGATGATGGTGGTCGGGACAAAGTTGCTCAAGGCGAGTCACGAGATCCCGACGCGGCGTGACTGGACTCATTATGATGTTAGCGGTGATTGATAAAAGTCATCAACAGCTTGTCCTCCGCCACTCACCACCACTAGACTCTAACCTTGTCAGTGTCTATACTACCTCCTTTTAATTTCTCAACGAACTCTAACGGATAACTGTAGACTTTACGACCACTAGAACGATCCCAGAATGCTGATCAAAGTCAAGGTGTGTAGTCATTTATTCCTATATTGAAGACGATCTGACGCGTTTTTGTGGCTTTGATTTATCTAGACACTTACTGGCAAAGAGGTATCATACCCTCGCTACAGGATCGTCACGATCCTCCGACACAGACCACTGAACTGACCCACCCGTTCTCGGCGCCTAGATCGAGCTCGATATCGATGTTGACGACAAGGTCCGTCCAAAATGCCCATCGCGCAGCGGCACAGGTTAACCGACACCCCGTTTAGATCGCCCGTATAAAGGAGAAGGTCGAGGAGCAGTCCGGCGTGCCTCCACAGCAACAGCGTCTCATTTTCGGTGGTCGTCAGATGTACGTCGCAGCCACTCACAATCCGCACTCGAAGCTTGCTGACTCAGGACTCTCCCCGACGCCTCCAGGCCCGACGACAAGACGGCAAAGGACTTCAACATCAACGCTGGCGCTGTGCTGCATTTGGTCCTCGCCCTGCGCGGTGGCCAGTGATTCATCATCGACACCCCACATCGACGACGACGATAACAGCATCCACAACGATAACAGCAGTCCGATAATACCGTCTCTAGCAGCTTTCAAACAATCTGTACTACTCGCTTTCGCTTTTGCAATACCATGAACATGAAATCGCACATCGCATAGGGGAGCCTTGGAAGAAGACAAAGGAGCACTGCATTTTGAAGACGAGGTGTATACACTATATGATGGAAAGATGCCGCACTGCACTCGGTTGGGACAATAGCCTACAGACCAAGGAGCCCAGGTGCCTCTGCGAAAGATACCACGAGAAGACTAACCATTCACCGCCCTCCTCCAGATCCCTTTGGTTTGACTCGGAGGTCTTAAGCCTAGGGACCCATGACAAGGGAGCAAGAGGAAAGGGTGATTTCCCTCTGATCACCCTCACCTTCCCCAGGATCCCCGGCAGTCTTCTCGCCCAATTGACCAAACTCTTATCTTTCAAGTGCGCTGCCCTTTCAGAAAGGAGATGACAGGCGATCTGGGACAAGGTTCTGGTTAACTCAAGTGGTGGCAAGGACTTGGAGGTGTCCGATGTTGAGCTAGCTTTGAGGGACGCGAAGTGGCTTTTTCGCCGGGACTAGAAACTAATGCGCGACTTTGACGAGTCTTGAAGCTTGAAGCTTGAAGCACGCCATCGAGGGCCTTGCTGACTTCACTTTGCAGGTGACCTCACTGGCCCATGTTGCCTCAGTGTTCCACATCTCCATCCTCCTTCGTCGCCTCACTACTGAAGTCCTTCCTCAGCCTACATAGCTTAGACTCCTCAAACCAATCTAACTCGCCTTGCCAACACGATCCTCGCTAACAGTTCACGCCATGTTCGCTCATGCCTTCAGAACTTCAAACCATCGTCAAAGGAGCGATCACGGTTTTAGTCTCGAAGCTTGAAGCTGACGTCTCGACGGAGACACTCCTCATCCTCACAACCTCACGGTTTCCACGGTCAGTTCAGAACGGGCGCACGCAGCTCTCACCTCGTCTCGCAGCTCAGAGCCTCACGATGCTCAACTCAGACCCAGACCCTCACGACGCTCAACTCAGATGCAGACCCTCACAGATCAAGGACCCTAACAAACCCGTGACCTCACGATCCCTCACTGGTCTCTCGCATCGTCTCAACCTCACATCCTCACATCCTCCCAGACTCCCTCAAGGCTCATTAACACAGGTCGGGTTGCTCGAGGCTCGCGGGTCGGTCTCTCCGAGTCGCGGGTCGTAGTTCCCAAACTCGCACTCAGAGTATCTCTAGATAAGCGAAGAATTGTCAGCACCCCGCATCCAAAGGACACAAGAAAGAAACCGACGTACCTCACGCACAGTATGTGCACAGAGGACGAAGGCGTGCATGTACGTACCTCACGAGTAGTCTCAAGTCAAATCGCGGATCCCTGAAGAAACCGGTCAAAATCGACGCATCCAAGTGGGAGACCTACGACGAATGAGGTATAGAGATCCTCGAAATTTCGCAGAGTCGGAGACCCGTCTGCAAGTTAAACATTTAATTGCCTGAAAGCAACCCCAATCAGCCAACCACTAAACCCAACGCACCCACTCACCCAATCCACTAAACCACCTCTAGGCTCTGAAAAAATCTGATTTAACGTGCTTTGGTTCGACCCGGAGAACCTTTTAAGTTCTCCGAAGTCTTAAGCCCAGGGACCCACGACAAGGGAGCACGAGGAAGGGGAGAGCATCACCCGCGCAATGGTCGGGTGCGTAGCTCCCCCCACCTTCCCCAGGATCCCCCGCAGTCTTCGAGCCATATCCCTTAGCGTGCCAATGCTGAGTCATGATCAGTGAGAACCTTAGAGTGAGGCAGGACTGGATGCGGAACTTGATCAGCCGACGGGAGGTCAAGTAACCGACGCGTACCGTCCTCGATACTGGTGACTCGGAGGAGCAAGAGTCGGACTTCTTAGTGTATATCAAGCAGTGTAGTTGGCGTCGATAGCCCAGAACAAAGCTCAAAGTGACGCTCAGTCTTGAGGCACACACTGAGATGTCGGACTTCACTTGATCTATCCATATATTAGCCAGCCGAACACGGGTGAGGGATGGCGAAAGACATACCTCACGATGCTCTCACACAACCTCACAACTCATCTCAGAACTAAACCTGTGGCACAAATTGGTACATTAGTGAAATCGCCATCGAAAATAGAGGAGGATGCCACTCACATAGCACCCAGACACTTCGTCTTAAGATGTCTTACGGTCTGAATCAAGGAGGAGGTCAGCAAGTGGACTATAAATTCGATAACGACGTACCATAAATTCGCATTCAGAAAAAGGTCTTGAAGCCTTGTTCTTGACCCGCCATACCCTACCCACAAGGCTCTAGAACGCTGCTAGCTTGACAAGCTGCGAAAGCCTGAGGGCTGCACTCAAGTGAGGAGAGAAACCCGTGGAAGGGGTGCGAGAAAGCAAAGCTGAATAAATCTGGACGCTGCGCTGAAGCTCTCAAGATCTCAGACCATTCGCTCACCAGTCCATCGTAGACCCATCCGCTCTTAAGGCGAAGAGAGGATGCCTCAGAATGCCGAACCAGACCCCCGCGAAACATAACACAGGGCAGAGCACACAGAGAGATGACCTTCCGATAGCAGTAAGCGGGGTGTCGGAAGCGCGGAGACCTAGACAAATGAAGTCAGAATGAGCCTATCAGTCGATGAAGGGGAATCCGAAAGGCAGAGGGTCGGCGTCGAGAGAGCATATCCAGAACGGTGGGTGCCGGGACAGCCACACACAGACAAGTGTATCGTAGAGTCTGGGTCAGACACGTCCAGAAGACAGCAAGCCCAGCAAAGCAGAATCGAGGAGAGCCACCGAGATAACTTGCCAACTTGAAGCCAGAACCCGAGAGTAAGAGTGAAGACAGACGTCAGAGAGCCAGATAGTCAGAGTCAGGGAAGTTGCGTCGGCGAGAGCCACAGTGATGATCGATGAAGGTCCACCGACACAGAGGCATAGCGAAGTGGACACAACGAGTTCGCCGAAAGACCTGTCCCAGAGATGAAGAAGTGAGCACCAGAGTTCATAGCCAGAGAGACCCCAGAGACCCGGTCCAAGAGTCGGTAGAGAGTCACAGGCCAGGAAGGTAGTCGTCCGCGATCCAGAAAGCCACAAAAAATAATAGTCCACAAGCCAAGAGGGAGACAGAGCCCAGTCAGGCAGGAAGATCATCGCTGTCGTCGTCAGGAGCCAGGCAGCCAGAACCAAGAGCATCGCTTCGACGTGAAACACAGTGAAGGAGAAGAAGAAGAGTCAAGCCGAATATAAGACAAGCCTCGTAGTCGCAGACACTGCCAGGAAGGCCTGACCCGGAGAGAAAGAGCGAGCGCGAGAGCCAGACACAGAGAATCCAAAGAGCAAGTCCCAGATCAGGTAAGTTGTCGGTGCGGTTGTCGAAGTCGCCAGAGAGGCGGTCGGGACGAAGACACATCTCTATTTTTGATTCTCTGTTTTTTTATCATTTTTGCTCCGACACCCTTGGCGGGTGACTGGAGTGAGATCTGGTCTTCGTCCCAACGCACCTCGAGCTCATCGGCAGGATTCGCAGCCAAGTCCAAGTCGAAGTCGTCCGAGACAGCCACAACGTCGAGTGAGGAAGGGAGGGGAAGGGAGAAGGGAGGAGAGGGAGAGGGTGATGGACGAAGGGAAGAAAGATGTGGGACCCCAACGAACCAACCCCCACCCTTTATATACGTTTTCCAAACTGTGGCACAAAGGGTTGTCGAGTGGCACTGACGACATCCCAAAAAAGGAAGAACACGAGCCAATTTTGATCGCTGATGCCATTTCTTGATCTCTCTCTCACCGAACTTCGAAGTCATTCTCCCATTATCCATATGGAGACAAATAGCCCACCTGGCTCGAGTCAAGAAGCCGCGAAAGAGGACGGACAATGGAGGGACACACACTCGCCACTCGCGACGCCCAGCGTTACTATCCAAATTGAGCACTCAATGGCGTCGTGCCGCCTGTGCCGACCCTTCACACTGGCCGCAGGCGCAGCACTCGCATATCGCGCATCGATGTTCGAAATGCGAGTGGGCTGTTGAGCAAGGTCCTCGAGACCAGCGTAACCTTGAATTCGGAGTCAGATCCTAGCTTGAACTTGACTACATGACCTCAGGGCAACGACGATACCCGACGATTTTTTAAGGTGCTGTACATAAAAGGCTCCATTCCAAGCAGACAGAATAGCCTTCAAAACCTACGCGCGTACGCCCTCAATACCACCCACACTCTCAGTCTCTACCTGTAGGCGACAGGAAGTCATTAATTCTTCATTCTTAAGAATCTTACTTGCCACAGATTGGGTTCATCTCGTATCCAAGCAGTCGTTTTCAAAGGCAACCGGCAGTGCTTTCGACTCAGGCTCAAAACCTAAGTAGCGTGCTATCAATGCTTCATTCCGGAAGGGAGAGGAGAGGAGAGAACACAGCTTTTGAAGGTCGAAACAACAAAAGCGAGTCACGGCGACAGTTGCCTCAATTGTGGCGCTGATCCCAAGTCCAGACGCGACGCGTCGTCACAATGGTGACATTTAAGCGCCCGCGTCTATGTATATCGCAGAAATTTGTTATCAAGCTCCCCAACAGATGGTCAGCAGTGTCAAAGCTAAAACTGAAGGAACGTAAAGGAGAAGACATCCAAAGTAGAGAAGAAAAGGTGACGTCAGGACAACGGCTTGCTTTCGAAAATGATCTCTTTGTGTGTTGAGTCGGTCATCCAACTCCTACCATACGCATATCATCATGATAATTCATTAAATTGAGCTTTGGTTACTGAGGAACAGTATGCGTAGGAGTCAGTGGATATAAGCGAAGCTCTGTAGTAGCAGGCTCTGCGGCGAAGGGCGCTCTTTTAGTTATGGCCGGTTCTACTGGTCTAGTCCGCCTTGTTCGGATCACTAGGTGCAATCAGTCATGTTCGTGGCACTCGTGGGTTGTCTTCGTCGTGCTCTTTCCTCTTTTTTGAAATCCTTATCGCATCTGTTACTCCTCCTATCCCTAACCTAATATTCGAAGATCGCAGTGCCATAATCTCCATCTAAGTCTTACTCACAAACTCACGCTGAAGCATCAATGTCGAATGTCAAAGTTTCGAAGACTGGCGCTCCAGCCAAAATTCACGATCGTGGTCCCCTTCCAACTCTTACCCAACTCTTACCTTAGATTCTTGACTTGAAGCTTTCAGGGCGAGAGAGGACAGCAGCTCGAGTCCCAGGCTCACCATTTTAGATCTCTTCACATAGGCAAGCTCGTGATCGCACTTAGACTTTCATTGTAGACTTTTGTTGGCTTTTGACACGGCACTACATACATCGGCATTCCGACTCTGGCTGGGAAGGGAAGTAGGCGAAGGTAAGTAGGTCAGTTAATTTGGCATCACACCCTGGTGACTATCATGTGGCTAACGTACAGCGCAACCTTATCCTAGACTCAATAAAGATCACACCCAAATCACACTGGGCGCAGGCGCCCAGTGACACGAAAAGAGAACGGAGAGATGGGCGCACGTTGCAAGTTGGATATCGGATCGTGACCGTGACCCTGTGGAGCTACCGCTATAATCAGTCAGTGAGACGACCGTTTTGAATCCACTCCCCCTATCCCTAGGTCGACGACCGTTCGCTCCGCTATTGGTTTCCCAGTTTTCTCCCTTTTTGGTTCCCTCCCATATGCCAATGGGTCTTGTGCGCACTGCCATTCACTCCTTCGCTGCCAGGCTCACATCGGATGGCCCCTATTAGGCTCTACCTTTCGCCTCCCTCTCCACCCCGTAAACAACTGACAACACAGATGTCGGATGGATGCACGTTCATTTTTTTTCTTGGGCTTGGGTTCTTGGATTTCGGCTTTTGGGTTACTTAAGAAGAAGCAGAAGAGGGAGACCCGCGGTTTAAGAAGACGATACGTCCCCCGTGTATGTTGTAGGAAGAAGGCTTCAGCGAGAAGAAGGGAGGGTACCTTCCAAGTCGCCGTTTGTCCTATCCAGGTCGCCTTCTACCTCTGAAGACCTTCATCCATCTCTCGAGGCGCTCGTCCTTCTTCAAGACCCTTCGTTTAACAAGTAAGCAAGGCACCTCGCTCCAACAAACACGTTTTTCTAAAGCCTCCCGTAAGGGCCCTTCGGTATGTATATTCCCCTGAGCCTCGTGTTTAACTGAAACTGACATGCGCTATTTCTGTTCTGTTTTTCCATTTCATGAATTCATTTACGATTACGATGAACTCAATCTCCCTTTGTTGTGATTGATAGGTTCCCTGCGTTTGATAGGTTTTCGCTGTGCCCTCGAGCCTCAAGCCTCGATTCTCGAAGCCTCGTGGTTGGAGGACCATTTAATATAGTAAAGGGTTCGAAGTTTGAACGTCGGAGCTCGGAGCCTCACCGCGTTCGCCCCGCAATAGATCCTTGGACACACCTCGCTCCATCCGCAGCCTGTCTGAAGTCCTAGGCCTCACCGCGTCCTCGATCCCGCGTCTGTTCAGTATCGTTGGTCGACATCGCCCCTCGCCCCCAGGCCTCACACCTTCCTCGATCCCCGTTTTATCCCGTTTTGGCTGGCTGGTTGGCTGGTGGATGATTAGGGTTTAATACAAGGTGGGTTCTATTAAACGCTGTTGGTTATTGCAACGGGTTTTTCCTTACCCTCTGTTTTGGCACTTTTTGTCTCCCAGCAACATCGACAATACCCGATAGCGAGCACAACGCATACCGCCGACACAGACAAGCACCACGAATCACGATGAACGCACATCGCGAACTCAGTATCCTCCCCACGAGCGAAATCACGCCCCTCCTCCCACTCTCGTATCGCAGGACGCCAACGACGAGCGACTACGGGACTGAATCTGAATCGAAGGAACGCGATGGCCCTTCAACCTCCTCCTCTCCTGCCCTCGCTGACCCAAGAACTGAACCCATCCCACCTCGCTGGACGAGATCACTCGAGTCTTTATATGAAGGATTCGACAGGTGCGTTACTTCCCTACTTATCTACCTCTCTCTCTCTCTATCCATCAAGCAATCTACTGGATCGAGCAATACGCTAATCATGCGATTCGTGATTAATAGACTAACGGGACGCCTCGGCTGGACACCACCAACGTTCATGGCATTCTTCATCCTCGCGATGATATTCACACTCACGTCGTGCACGTGCGTGTGGTATGGGCCTTTAGTGGGGTTTCCGATTTTGGGGAGTCCTTACTCTGCCTCGTCTTCGTCTTCTTCCCCGTATTTCCTACCCTATCCGTCTTCCACTTCCTCTTCCTCGTCTTCCGCTTTCTACAAGACGCATACGAACGAAACGAGATCAACCTTCCTCCCGCCAATAGAAATTTCGAACTTTTGGGGCGCGTATTCGCCGTACTTTCCTGTACGCGAGTACGTTCCGCCTCCTAGAGAATGTAGGATTAACCAAGTGAGTTCATTGTTTCTTTATCTCTTGTGGGTCGGAGTTGGTGGTTGCCTTTTTTACTTGGCCTGGTTGGCGCCGGTGGTGATTTGCATACCGTCTGTCACCACTCGGTCGATTTTGGGATTGGAGGCTGATCGAGGACCTGTTGTACTGATTCATTCTCTCCTTTCTCTTTCTGTCTTCACAAATGTCTATCGATCTGCATGATTGCTCGGTTCGCTCGTTATCTTCAAATTCCACGCCTTCGATATCAACATCCTCGACATCAACTTGAACATCAACCCTCGATATGTACGGAACGACGATGGTCTTTTGGGATGGGTGGATATAGGTCAACATCGTAAGTCCCTTCTGCTCTTCCCTTGGTTCTTCTTCTCGTCCTCGTTTCTGTCTTCGTTTGTTGTTGGGGTTCTTAATTCCGATTTCACCCCATCTCTCGTCCATTCGATGCATCGTGGACTCCGCGTTTTATCTCCTCCTTCGAGCCTCGTATTCATAATTCTAAACTCACCTCCGCCGGGTCGATTTAATTTTGAGTCCTGAGTCCTCGAGTCATTAACCACGTTTTTGCGGTTGTTATTACTCACTCCTCGAGGAGACCCACGTTGTTTGTTTCTTACGGATCTCACCTCCGTTCGCTGCACCTTTCACAATTCGACTTCACCCTGCACCTTATCACGTTATCACGTTATCTCCCTCACCGTCCCTCCCTTCTGCCATCATCCATCTAATCACTCATCTCATACACTTCATTCTTTCTTACTCATCCTTCCCATCCCACTCGACAGATCCAACGCCACGGCGCGCGCTTCCCCACCGTAGGCGCCAACGAACGAATCCAGGGCGCACTAAGCCGTTTACAATCTGCGCATACGTATCTAGATCCTCGGTTGGAGTTTTTGAAGGAGTATGAGTACCCCTTGGGTGTGAATGAGTTGGTTCCGTTTGGGGCTTTTCAGTGCGTGTCTTGATCTTTGGTTTTGTTGCCTTTCCCTTCATTTAGTTCTCAGTTCTTTCCTTGATATACTGACTTAAAACCTACTGGCGCACCGAACAGATCTGCGGAAGCTGGAGCCAAGACATGGGAGCGCTATCGAAAATTGGTGCGGAAGGGTAAAGCCGGGCTCCCATTCGTGCGAGCGTCTGGGTCAGAGAGGGTTATTGATTCTGCGACCAACTGGACTGCTGGTAAGACAACCAACCCCACGATCACTTTCTGTCAGTGCAAAGATGGATTGACGCCTATCTCTCAAAGGCTTCGCGGACGCTAATAACAACATCTTCGAACCTAAACTGGCTGTAATCATCCCCGAACACGTCCGTTCTCCCTTGCATTCTTCACACCTGCCTTTACTCAATCCACTCCAGCTCAACGACACCCTCGAAGACCACATGTGCCCCAACGCCGGTACACCCGAGCCTCAAACAGCCATCTGGACCGAAATCTTCGCCCAACCTATCGCAGACAGGCTTAACGCCCTCGCACCGGGCGCCAACCTCAGCGCAGCGGACGCCGCTTCCCTTATCCCCCTGTGCGCATTCGAGAGCGTGGCGATGGAGCGTCCGAGTCGGTTTTGTGCGTTGTTTAGTGGGGAGGAGTTTGAGGGGTACGAGTATTTGGCTGATTTGGAGAAGTATTATAATCGGGGGTGGGTTATTTTCCCTCGCTGTACCGTAATTGTGGCTGAGTATTCCAATTCCCTGGTTATACAGACACGGCCAACCCCTCGGTCCAGTCCAAGGTGTCGGCTACATCAACGAGCTCCTCGCACGACTCACCAACACGCCCGTGCACGACCATACATCCACCAACCGCACGCTCACCAGCTCCCCACACACCTTCCCCCTCGACCGCACCATCTACGCCGACTTTAGCCATGATAACCTCATGGTTGCCGTGTTTAGCGCTATGGGGCTGTTTAGGCAGGACCCGGAAGGGAGGAATGGGGAGGTGGATGGGCATTTGGATCCGGAGAGGATGGATCGGAGGAGGACGTGGGTGACGAGTCGGATTACGCCGTTTTCGGCAAGGATGGTGGTGGAGAGGATGACGTGTCGGGGGAGGGTTGAGGGGCGGGTTGGGGAGGAGGACCAAGAGGTGTTCAATGGATTCATCGATGAGGAGGAGGATGAAGATGATAGGGTAGAAAGAGTGACGAAAGGAAAAGCGAAGAGGAGAAGGAACTATGTGAGAGTCCTCGTCAATGACGCCGTGCAGCCTCTGGAGTTTTGTGGAGGGGATGGGGATGGGCTGTGTACGTTGGAGAGGTTTGTCGACAGCCAGTGGTATGCAAGGAAGAGCGGTGATGGGGATTGGGAGAAGTGCTTCGAGGGGGTGGAGCGTGAAGGAGATTTTTGAACAGATATCGCGAAGGTAGAGGATACCAGCGGGCGAACCAAGCCATCACGAAGATTATGCGTAAATTATATCCTGGGGTTATTATGTAGATGTATGTATATGTGGTACCTTTCTGTTGTCGTGTGTGCTCTCGCATTGTTCTCCAACTGGCTCCTAGTTCACAAAGGTCGTCTTCACTCTTACATGACAGGTGAGTTTGAAATTGAGCCCGCTGTAATTCCTATTCAATGTCTAAGGGCAACCTAGGGAAGCCATTTCAAGTTCCCGCACGACGTCCAGACAACCATGGAAACGACTCCCAATTAGCATTCTGCAGCTACACCAGTACCGTTACACTAGCGTCGGCCACCGTACAACAGATTATGATTATGAATACAACAACAGAAGAAACTGCATACAAACACAACACGAGGACCCTGTCCTTCAATATACAACACGCTGTACGCCGGTGGGCTCCATGCCCACATCCCATCACGGCTGGAGAATATACCGCTAGGTCTTGCGAACCCACTGGGGGAAACTAGAGCTTGGCGGCCTCACTCCTATCCACCCGCCCCTGTATTTCTCTGTCTTTCCGCTGTTCAGCCTTTGCCCACTCCCTCAACTCCTTCCGAAGGATCTTGCCAGTAGCGCTACGCAACAGCTCGTCAACTCTCCAAACTCAAGGTCACCGAAAGGGTTTTCCTCACCTTTTTGGAACATCTGGGATGGCAATAACACCTAGGAAACAGAAAGAACGCACATGTGTTAGGGACGAAAGGAGGATAGGAAAGGAGGTTAATAACGTACCACCACGCAAGAATTTGTAATTGGAAACATGGCCTTCAAACCATTTTGCGAGACGGAGTTCGAATGCCTTCTTCAAGGTCGGCGATTTGAGGATGTCAGCGTTTGCAGGACGAACGTAGGCTCTAATCGAGTAGGATATTGTCGTTAAGAGGTCGGCAGCAGGCGAGGTCATGGACGAAAACGAACCTGGGCAATTCGTTCCCGCTGTACACGTCCATAATCCCAATCACTCCCACATCCCCCACCTCTGGGTTTTCCATCAATACGCTTTCAAGTTCGGCAGGTGCGACTACAAAGCAAGAGCGTGAGCGATGAGCGACGAAGACGATCGTCGAAACAAGACGTACTCTGATGCCCCTTATACTTCAACATCTCCTTCTTGCGATCCATAATGTAGTAGTAGCCATCCGGATCCCGTCTCAACACATCGCCAGTCCTAAACCACCCGTCCCGAGTGAACGTCGAAGCGTTGGCCTGGGGGTTGTTCAGGTATCCTTTGGTGATAGTCGGGCCTTTCAGCCACATCTCGCCTTCCTCGCCGTCATTGGCGTCGCGGAATAAAGACCCATCGACGGAGGCCGTGGCTGTCGAAGTAGCGGTGGGCGAGAGCTCGACCATGATCCGCGCTTCGATGTTGGGCAGTAGTTCGCCTACACTGCCGAACTTGGAGAAAGCGTTCTCGGGGGCGACGATTTGGCATGGGCAGGTCGTTTCAGTCGAGCCGCAACCTGAAGGGTGGGGTTAGCAAGCGATAGCGGAAGCCAAGACTGAAGGACACGCACCTTGAATCAGGATAACGTTGGCCCCTTGTTTCTTTAGTTGGTCGAGGAATTTGTTGGCGAGGGCGAGTGAGAGAGGTGCAGCTCCTGACGCGATGTTGGTCAAGCTTCCGAGGTCGTATTTCTCGAGATCTGACGAAAGGATGAGTCAATCCGAAGAAAGTTCACAGACATTGCAGATATTCGTACCAGGGTACTCGCTCAAAGTTAAGAGAATCGGGGGAACAAGTAGGAGAGAGGTTATTCGATATGTTTGAACGGCTTGACAGAAAGCTTCGGACGAGAAACCTTGGTTCATCATCACCACTGGCTTGCCTCTCCGGAGGGGGTAATGGAGTTGCATTGCCAGGCCTGTTTGGACAATCAGTTGGTTGTCTGGCGGTACGATGCCAGCACGAGATCTCACCAAACATATGATACGCAGGGAGGACGGCCAAATATACATCATGGGACGTTTCACATCCCTTCCAGAGGGCCTGCGTCATTGGAAGAACCGTACAGACATTCTTGTGCGTTGTTTCGACACCTTTAGGTTTTCCCTGATAATACAGCGATGTCAGTAACCAATCAAAGTTACATTCGCCAGGGAAACTCACCGTAGTTCCAGAGCTGTAACAAATATAGACGGTTTCCTCAGCGGCGTCTCCGTCGAACCTCTCTGCGCGCTCCAGTTTCCCTCCCCGCACGAGCTCCACACAATCGTTTGCATTTGTCGCGAGGTTGGACTTTGAAGTGGAGGTTTGCGGTGGAGGGCTGACATAGTCGCCAAGATCGTCGATGACCCAGATGCGCGGGTCCCGTTCCCCTTTTGATTCCTCTCCAATCAGAGCAAACATGTCCTTGACGACGGGCACCAAGTGCGAAGCGACAAGAATGACCCGAGGCTTACTATCGAGATACTGCCAGGACAGCTCGCGCGGAGTGGCGCTGCATCCAGCGAACGAAATCTTGAGGCCTGCTGCAACGCATCTGGGGAGAGGGGCCGGTTAACGCGCACGGGGTCTCAGAGGATCAGAAAGAACGCACCCAAACAAAGCGAGGGGCCAGGACAGAGAGTTAGGGCTCATAAGCATCACCGTGTCCCCTCTCCGAAGCGAAAGGCGGTTTCGCAGACCCCATGCGAATTTGAGGGAGTAAGTTTTCACTTGTTCTCGAGTAAGAGTTTGACCGGTCGAGGCGTCGATGTAGGCCGGTTTGGCTGGCAAAGCACCTTCATTCATGTACTGGTCTTCGAAGAGATAGGTGAAGACAGATTTCCGAACCACCGGCACGGGAGGTGCTCGAGAGCGATATACTGTGGCAGGCGTCATATTGTTGGCCGAGAGATGGCGAGTTTGAACAACTGTAAGTGCGGGGAAGTATGTGAGCACGGGAAGAAAGACGGGGAAGAGTATTGAAGCGAACCACAAACAACTCAGAGATTTTATATCACGTTGGGTAGCCAGCTGAATGAAGATCCCCACATACCGCTTGGCCGACTGGTCCCGGTAGGTGATTCCGGGCTGAGAACCCTGATTAGAACAGAATTTATGTTCTCTCCTTGAAGTCTTGGGTATTAGTGAACACAACATGAGGCAGCGGGAAGCCACGCGTCCCCATTATGAAGTATTTTGGTCATAGTTCCATGAGAATGTCCGCCTCGCTTTCGTTATGTAGGGGATGGCCGGAACGAGATGGTTTGTTGGGGGAATCGTAGGCGAAGTGTAATCACCACGTGCTCCTGGGCCTATTTTTTGATTGAGAGCAAGGTAGAGATGTCGTGGAGCTCAGTTTTGCGATGCTTGAAAGGCACTCGACAGTGGTGAGAATGAGTTTCGCAGAGAAGGCGGTGGTCAGATAGAGGAACGGATACTGATCAAAGGCACCGTGCGACTTTCATAGTCTCCGTTGCTGACCTAATCGCCAGAGATGAGAAGTCGATCTCTTGGCTGAAAAGGTCAGCTCAGGACTGACGGTTCCCACGAGAAGAAGGCCCCTTAGCCTAATTATGTTGGCATGGCCCAACATGCCTAACCGGGAGGCTTGGCACCGGCGAAACACACCAAAATCCCGATTAGGAACCGGCAGCAGGTGCCACCGCAGACAGGGTGGAGGGTCGGGAGGTGGGTAGACGGTCGGTAACCTCTCGACACCAGTCGGACGGTCGGTTGAGCGGCCGGTTGCATGGTGCACCAGGAGGTACTATTATTAGACTGGTCCTGTCATAAGTCATGTCATCCCCCTTGTACAAACTACCATGTGACAGCGCCAGTTATATCTTCTAGACAAGAGAGCTTCCTTAAATGGACCGCTATGTCGTGGCAAACCGCGTATGTTTTTTTCAGCCTAAGTCAAGAAAACGGGTATATTGCGAACGGTCATGACAGCGACAAGGTAGAGTAAGGTACAGAGTGTGTATATGTGATGTATGCGAGAGCAAAGACGGTCAGAGACGACGAAAACTTAAGAAACACGACAGGGTTATAAGACGCAAGAATCAACGAGGCGGAGAAGATGAGGACACAAGATAAGATAAAGAGAACGGGATCAAGATGACGGGCCGGCCCCCGAGCCCCCAGCGCCTGGGCCAAACCCGCCGCCGAAGTGTTGGTTTTGCTGGTGGAACATGTTGAGCAACAACAAATTGGGGTCAAGTCCCATGTTGGATGCTGCCTGAATGAGTGAAGGCTGCTCGACACCAGGGGTCAGGTATCCGGTAGGCAAGCCTCCACCTTGAGAACTCTGTTGTTGGAGCAGCAGGTGCTGGAGAAAGCCGAGCGCCACGGGGTTGATGGAGGCGTTCGACGCGGCCGACGGTGTCACCACGTTGTCGGTGGATGCTGGAGTAGGGAGGGGCGCCGATGCCTGGGGAGCGATGGGAGCCGGCGGGATAGGTCCCGGTGCGACGCCAGGCGTTGCGTGAGTATTGGGAGCAGGCCAATGCCAGGCGGGGTTGCTCGGCGCGGCCGACGGTGTCACCACGTTGTCGGTGGATGCTGGAGTAGGGAGGGGCGCCGATGCCTGGGGAGCGATGGGAGCCGGCGGGATAGGTCCCGGTGCGACGCCAGGCGTTGCGTGAGTATTGGGGGCAGGCCAATGCCAGGCGGGGTTGCCCTGGTGAGGAAGAAAGCCCACAGGAGCGGCAGGCGTTGAGGCGAAAGATTGCATCGACAACGAATTTTGGAGAGGTGGCGGCAAAGGTGTGGGGGCAAGGGTAGGGGTCATACGAACCTTCTTGGCGTCGCTTCCCTCGAACCCGACGCTACCGGAGCGCTTATGGTTGCCGAAAGGAGACATTGCGGCGGGGACGGAGGCTGGTGCGGCGACTGTGGAATGGGCGATCTGAGTGACAGGTGGAGCCGACACCGGTTCAGGCGTGGGGGTTTGAGGCGGCGCCAGTGTGGGAGCAGGTGTGGGGACGACAGTAGGGACATGCGTCGGTGCTAAACTCCCCGACGCAGGAGCTGGTTGAAGTGCCGGTGTATTGGCACGTTGTTGGATGCGAGCGTGCTCGTTTGGCAGTACAGTGGACTCCGAAATTTGAGTAGGCGCTGGGAGGGGAGCTGTCGGCGCTGTGGTTGTTGAAGGTGGAGCTGGCGTCGTGTGGACAGGGGTCGGCACTGGCGCTGAAGAGGGTGTTGGGTTCGGCGCGGCGGGTGACTCGTCATCGGAGTCCTCAATCTCGACGATAGTACTCTCCCGCACGATGGCATGAAGGCCGTCCCAATCCACGGACAAGTCCGCAAATTGGCGGCGACCCCTCGCCAGAGGCCAGGTGAAGGGGTCCATTTCAGTGACGCGGAGTTTGGAAGCTTCGACCGCGACTTTTTCAGCTGGGGTTAACAGAGGGGCGGCGGTGATAATCACAGGCTGCCGATTTGCTTTCATTTCTGTCAAGGACGCCATCAGAACCAAACTCACAAGCCAAGTAAAAACAAAACGTACCGACGGGATCCCCGCGCTCGAGGATCAAATTCCCCCCAGGCATCTGGACGCGCTCCATGAAAATGTTTCTCTGGGCAGCCGGGACACCCTTCAAGCCCTGCCCGTTCTTTCCACCCTTCTCCTCCTCCCCCGGCAAACCCAGAAACCCAGGCGCGGGGTAGTTCCTCAAGCACCACCCAGCCTCGCCCAGTTTTGAAGGAAGTTGCTTCCACATAACGTTCGCAGAAGGAGGGCAGCCGAGGTAATCTAGAAAGCAGGGTCAGTCGGACATATGAGCTGCAGAACGAAAGGACACTTACTCTGTACAGCAGTGAAGACGTCCCTCATAAAGTCGTAGGAACCGGCGGTGTTTCGCGGGTTCTTGATCACAATGGTATTGGGCATGACGTCGAACTTGACTTGGCGAACTAACGGGGTGGGCTGGTGGGCGGTGACACCTTTTGTGGCGGGATTGACCGACGAGCGGACAGGCTTGGCAGCTGCGGAAGAAGGATGCGAACCGACGGACGAGGACTGGGGCGTGCTGGTCGGCGGCTTCAGATCCGACTTGAGCGACGAGTGGACTGTTTTGGCGGCTGCCGATGAAGCAGCCGACCCCACAGACGAGGACTGCCGGGCACTGATGGACGTCTTTGCCGATAGAGAACTCCCCTCTGCCTTGGCGAGGGCGATAATGTTCTCTCTCACGTTCGTGCGAACGACACCCTTGAGGGACCCTGTGGACTTGTTATTGTTACTGAACCCAATGAAAGACGTAAGCCACCACAAGTCAAAGCGAGACAACAGGACAATTCACTTACCAGACGTAGAGGCGCATCAGACCTGTAAGCTCGTCCTTCGAACAACCCAACATGTCTTTGAAGAACTGGGGACAGGGGTAAGTGGGGTTTGTCGGGGCTAGAATAATAGCACTCTTACCCCTTCCAGAGTCGGAGTAACCGCGATGTGAACGATGCCTTGGTCTTGATGGATCGAGGTGCCCACGGTGATGAACATAGACTCCAAGTTATGCTTCTCGCCTTCCGCGACGGTCTTATCCGCGATGGCAGTGAAATTCTCGAAATACTTCTCGCGGGCCTGAAGGGTCTGATTGGGCCCGTCAATAGCCGACAGGGTCTCCCAGATCCCGAGTTTCCGCTCGAGAGTTCCAGCCTTCTTCGACTTGCGATAGTTTTCGTTAGCTACGGCTGTAGTCAGTTTTATGGTGTCAGAATACGAACCAACTTCACTCACCAACATCCGGGGAGACCGTCACAGGTTTCTCCCTGTTCTCCCCCTGGAACTTGATAAGCGAGCGGAACTGGTTGTAGGGGTTGGGTTTGCGAGGGGTTGCGAGATATTCCGAGTGATAGCGGGAGATAAGGTTTTCGACTGTGTTCCCGGTTTCCAGCGCGCATTGTTCAAAGCAGTCCTTGAAGACGTTGAAATCGGCAACGAGACGCTTGTCCTGCCCTTCCACCACAGGGATGGTGATGGACCCGTCCTTTATCCACTTCTGAAAGGCCAATCCCATCTCCTTAGGCGTGTGGCCATGTTTAACGCCAATCTCGGCAAACGCGGCCAGTGATGACTCGAACAACTCGAGTACCCGTGCGCGACTCTCCTCGGTAGGTCGGCCCTTGCGCGGCGCGGAGGTGGACTTTGACGAATCACCGCGAGTTGACGACTGGGGGGCTTGAGGTGCTGGCGTCGACAAGGAGCCTGATGACGCAGTCGAAGAGAGCCGAGAGGAGGGTGTTGGCGTGCCTGGAGAACCTTCGGCAACCGAGGAGTGGGCAGTTTGGCTCAAGGTGGTGCTTGGAGAGGGAGACGGTTGGAAGAGAGGTTGGAGGAGAGGTTGGAGGAGCGGGTCCAACCGCGTAAGGGGTTCGACGATGGCACCCAACGGTACCACCGGCTTTACCAATGGATGAGGGGGTGGGAGCTTCCCTGCAAGAGGTGGAAAAGACTTGGGGGCGAGGGGAACAGCTGGAGCTGGTGGGGTGGGGACGTCGACCTGCATAGCATCGTCCTCGTTGTCGATTGGGTTGATGAAGGGATCGACGTTAAACGGGTCGTTGTCGTCAGGTGGCGCACCCGTTGGACCAGGCGTCGCGCCAGGTAATGCCGACGGGGTTGAGGGCGGGGAAATGGTAACAGCCTGGTTGAGCGCTTCAACCAGGCCCTCTGGGTCGCCTCCTAAGTACATGTCGATCATTTGGGCACTGGATGTGTGCTGGGGCATTACGGAGGCCGCCGGGGTCAATGGCTGCGTCGAAACGTCGGGACTCGCGATGTCTGCGGAGGTTGAGACTGTCGCCACAGGCGCTGGTTTTTTGGGTTTAGCACGCCGCTTCGTAGGTAGTTCCAGAGCCGTAGGCTCCAGAACAACACCCATTTCGCGCATGGCGGAACGGGTTGGACGCCTGTCGGGCGTCATGGAGGGAGGTGCGTTTTGGGTCATCTGGTATACCACCAGTCAGTTGGCACAAGTTCACAGAGCACCTTCAATGAAACAACATACCAAATTCCTTCTTTCAAGAGCGAAGTTTGAGAATTGGGAGATTCACAGGTAGGCTGGGAGAGATAAAGACTGAACGCGCAACGAGTCGAGGGTCCCAGTGTCTCCAGAATTCCAGATGTGTGCAATGAGGCGTATGACATCTCAGCCTGGGTCTTCGGGAAATCGAGGTTAGAATTCTCGGTGAGATGACGCCTGACTGCCCGATAACTGGAGGACACTACTCACCTGGCTCGGGGAAGGTATTCATAACCGGCCTATTCTGGAAAGGTGTCTCGTTTCCCCTTCATATAACCCGCCCAACCCTTGATACTTGAAGCCATCTGTTGTCTCCATCTTCCTCAGCGATGACCTCGAGGAACGACGTGACCATTCGACTTTTTCATGGTCTAGAGGACCTCTGGAACATACTACTTCCTCCACACATACACCCAGGGCGTCCGATGTCGAAGACAGATTGGTTGCTGGCGAAGAAGACGGCGAGAGAAGAGCGGGGCATGATAGGCACCGGTGATGACAACGACGACAGATATTTGGCTATTCGTGGGTACGGCGTTGGAAAAGCGGAGGAGATCGAGGAGAATCGAGATGTTGAGCGAGCTGTTGTCGTGGCCGGCGACCTATTCAAGCCTTACGATTACCATTACGACGTTCTCGAAGTCCTGAAATTTCTCATGCCAACCCTTGCGTGCCTCCTCGAAGACCGCGATGCTGCCGACGGAATTGTGAATCTGTCACCAAAAAAGGTTATATTTTGGGCACGAACAGAAAGGATTCTTGACCTGTACCTGACAGAGCAACTGGTTGGACCAAAGACTTCCTACGAGGATCGAATGGTGGTGAGTCGCTTGTCGACAGCTTGCGCGGTTGGGATTTACGTGTTCACGGGCCTCCCGATTTTGTCTTCGCAGTACTACAAGACATTCCTGGAGGAGGGCGCGCGAAACATGATCATCGGAAGAGCTATTCTGAAGTCGCACAGAAAGAGGTCGATGGAGGAGGACACAGAGTACATCGTCCATTACCGACATAAGGTTTGTGTGGCGCCGAATCTTGCCACGTAAGGTTACTGACTCCATATAGAAGTTCATAGATCATTACCTTGTTGATGCAGAGTGGCGGCTGGCTAAGCGCCGGGAAGAGGTACGCCTTCGCCTCAATTGGCATTCCTACGCGGCTTCTCTCGGGAGCAGCAGTGAGTTGCCATCATGCTCCCGTAGAACGTGCCAGTGTGTAGAAAAGATTGGGAAAACTCGTTATTGACAGGTGTTTAAATGATGTATGGACAAGAAGATATCATTATTACAAGAGGGTGTTACAAAATTAGGTATATGGGGCCACAGCTACTTTGATAAGCTTATCTACTCGAGGACAATGGGAGCGCCACGTCGGTCACCAAGTCCATCGTACGGCTCGTCACCAAGAACAAAGGGGTCGTCCTTGGAACCGGACCCGGTGACCACGGTGGGTGCAGAAGTTCCGGCGGTCTTGGCGCGTTTGATGTGATGCCCGTCTTCACCATCACTGTCCTCGGAGTCGGACTCGACCTCGATAGAGACCCGCTTGAGGGAGGTGGCCGACACCCTATCCGGGTCGTCGAGTTGACCGAGAACATCGGCCTGAGGTTGACGAGTAAGCCCAAGAAACAAGAATAACAACGCAAGGATAGAGTAACACTTACCGCAACAGTGCCGAACTCATCCGACGGCCTCATTTTGATAATCTCTTGCCACGCAATGGGGAGATTGATCTTTTGTGTGGTCATGCGCAACCAATTCATTTTGTTTTTGATCGTCTGCGTAAATGTGTGAGTTAAAATAAAGGGGAAGCAAGTACGAAGGCAGGGACTTACAATTTCGAGAAGATCGTTCGCTGTCTCCCACTCCTCCGTCGAGGCAAACCGTTCACGAGCATGTCCCCAACGCGCGCGATAATGTTGATAGAGCTTGAAGAGGAACCAGGGACCTTCTCCCGCATGAGCGGCCACTCGGTAGAAGGGGGCGTGGAGACGAAGAAAGTCGAACTGCTGTCGACCAACTGTGCGTCCGGGGAGGTCAGGGTAAATGCTGGGATGGGCCATGGAGGTAGTTGGTGTCTTGCGAGGGAAGAGGTCGAGAGTTGAGTCCAAGGACGCCCCTTTTAAGTGGAAGCAATCGCCCCAACAGGACGTTGTCATCCCGCGACCTGAACTTTATCGAGATTTACCTTCGGTGAGCTGCCTTGCCTGTCCAAAACCTCGCTTGACGTGGAGACGTACGAATGCTGTCAGGCGCACGAAGTCGCCTTCCCCTTCTAGAACACTCATGTCTCTGTTAGGAAGGAGGGACCTCTGGAACGCAGAAAAACATTTGGTCGATTTCTCCTCCTCTGTCCAGGGAGGACGCCAAGTGACTTGCGGATTTTAAGACAGATTTAAATTCTCTTTCGAACGGTACCACTCGCGCGTTGTAACTCCTCCATCTTCCGAGGTCCGACGAAGGACTGGGTTCCGGGCCATTCCCTTTAAGTCGTTAACACTGTAAGCTACGAGGGTTCCCTTCTTTCCCTCCATCCTCCCCGCCCATGTCCAAGACCAAAGCTCAGCTGAAGGAACAGAAGCGAGAGAAGAATAGGAGGAGCTATCACAAGTGTGTCTTCGTTGTTCTAACTTCTTTCCCTGCAGGATGGGGCTCACTCGGGTCTAGGAATAAAGATTCCATTAATGCTCGAAGAAGAGAGAGATACAAGGACAACAAGGGAGCTACAAAACAGGGAAAGCTCTCTAAACCGAAGAAATCAGAAAGCTCCCCTGCCGCAAAAGCTACGCCCGTCGTAAACCGTCCCCCGGAAACGCCAGTGTCTAAAGAAATGTGAGTGTCGGTCTCGTAAAGATAGCGACCCCTAATTGATGTGACTTAGGCGCCTGTCCAAACTTCGCGTACACCATGCATGTGAGAAGGTTCGGGAACTTGGGAAACGGGTCACGTACCTCTGCGGCCGCTCACCATTGGAGTTTTTGGAGACTGTCTGCACCAATTTCATTAGCAATCGCACCGTGGATGCCAGCGCTGCTCGAAAGACCATAGCTATCCACTACGAGAAGTTTGCCGCGATTCGGGACCAAATCGCAGCGCACCAGGCGACTGTGCTGGAGCTGGAGGGCATCTCAGACTCGTGGAGGGCCATTGAATCGCTGATGGAGCCGGTGCGCAAGATATGTAACTCGTTGGACGAAATTGAGTGCGAGGCGGGCATCGACGCTGATCTTCTGATTGACGACTTCAATACAGGCGAGCTCGGTTTTCAAAAGGATGTTATTGAATTGCCCAAATATTAATTTAGTCCTTGCTTAACTGTAATGCTATTGAATGCGAAGGTTACATAGGTTTGCGAGGTATCAAAAGCATGTGGTGATAAACGAACGCGCGGAACGCCGGCAAGTGCACCTGTGCGAGTTGCGTTGTGTGGAACCCCCTCAAGATCGCAGCAATCTGCGCAAGAACCCATAACCCCCCACTGATAGAATCCTCCTGCAGCTCTCGAGTACTGGCTGGGTTAATTTCCCAGTGCTCCCCTGCCCCAAGACCGATGCGATGTTGATGAATCTCTGCTGCGTGCACGAGATGATTGACGAAGGTAAGTATTTCCTAAGGGAACATTCGTCAGTCGTTGCCGGGGAGTGGAAGGGGGGTATCTACCGGTATCTCTCTTGTCCAGGGCGCCTTAGCAGCTAGGCTATCGAACAAGATTATTCGTCGATGGCTGGGGTAAATGGCACACACAACCCAATGATCTTGTCGATGGATCGGGAGTATCCATACCTGTTTGCACCAGTATTTGGTGTGATTTGTCTGGTCCCACGTATACAGTAGCGAGCACTGACTTCGAACTGCAAGGATGTCAAATGATGAAAAAACGGCGCAGTTACTGCTGTAGCCGGCGCTTGGCGTGTTGGGCTCGGCGAAAATGTGTTGCAGAAGTGCCCCGCCAGTGTTCACGGTGTCATCGTCCAATACGGCAGAGGGTGACGCCATGAGGTCAAGGGTTGCACGGCTCACCTCAATGAGCCCTTTCCGAACACCGATGCGAGCGCCGGTTTGTCGAATACAGTGCTCTGTGTCTGGGATTGAGGCTGGTAGAGAGCCGAGCAGGTCGAAGACGTCGTCGTCGCGAAGGATACCGGGCTGCGGAACATGGTTAGGTCTAGATAAGGCGGATTGATATGTGTCCTCTCACAGGACTGGCCCATAAGTACGTGAACTTGGGCTTGGAAACCTTGCGCGGTGGCTCATATCCTCCATAGATCTCTTCGTCATCAAGGATAGGTGTGGTATCGAGCGCAGGTTCGTGATCTGGAGGCGGCAACGGGTCGTGCTGAGTGGCTGGCTCGAATGCTGAAACTGTGGGCGTGATCCATCGAAGAGGGGCCGGATGGTCAACAGGTGCGACGACTTTGGAGGCCGCAATCTGCGCGTCAAACCGCACGGTGCTAGCGAAGGTGTTGGCCCAGCTCGCCTTGAGGGAGTACAGGTGGTCCCGGTAGATGACGAGCTCGAGTGCAACACTTTGCCCTGCGGGATTTTTTTTAATTAAAAACCAAACAAGTTAGCTTGCGTGACTGTAAAAGGAATTCGTGAAGGTGGACGTACCTGCTGGTTGCGTTAGGGCAAACTCGATATCTGCCAGCTGACGTCCGTACCACCGACAAAGATTGTCGGCTTCTATACCCAGGCGGTGGACCTCTTCTTGGCATCGGTCTAGTTTGAGCATCGCACGGATACCCTTGCGCACTTCGGCACTTGAGAACCATTTGGGGACCGGGAGGGGACTGTGAGTTGTCCAGACATCCTCCATGATATCGGAATGATCGCGCAGCTCGTCGAGATCGGTCGGAAGCTCTCGAGGCATGGGTATGTTGTATTTCCGGTTTGTTTAGTTTCTTCAGGTTCACAAGCTGGGTGTTGAACCGGCGAATTGCAGATTGGAGGGCCGGCTGGCGTTTCGCAATGGCCTTACGTGTCAGCTGATGTAAATTGGTGCCTAGGTCCTTGTCAAACGGGGTGAACTGGTTGAACAACGACATTAGCTACTTACCGAGTGGGTTGGCCCGTCCTTGGGATGGCTGTTGAAGTTTTTCCCGTTCGAAAAATTGTGCTATTGCGCGACGGCGTATGTTGATTTTGAGATCACGAAGGAGAAGCAACGCCTTGACAAACTCGTAGTCGAGCCCCTGAAGGTCTGGGTGTGCGTCACCCACGTTGATGGCCATGTAAGTGGCCTCAATGCGATCCTTGAGGGCGGCGTGGGCAGCGTTCAAAGCGGTGAGCAGCCCTTGTTTGTGTTCTTCGGGGAACTCGTCGTCGAGCCCATTGACGACTTCTTCGATGCGTCCTTCGATGCGGTCGAGGTCGGACTGTAACACCAAAATCACGTCCATATCTTTCTTGAGTTTGGACGGTCGCACTGGATGGAGGTTGAAAAATGACGACGGCAGGTGGGAGGCTGGCACTCACGCGTTCGTATCGACTTCCCTGCTTTCTGTTGGTCCGCCCATAGGTCGCGGAGTTCTGCAACGGGGACACCACAAGCTCGAAGCTCTGTGGTGGCCTCGACTCGGAATTTTTCTACCACCTTGACCCTGGCTTTGATCCACGCTCCAAGTCCATCGCGTGCCTGAGCCCCAATAGCGGCCGTGTGGCGGTCAATTAGCTGTAGACGTTTCTCCCGCTGTGTTCGAAGTGTGTGATCTCAGGTGATCTCTTCAAGGGCAAATGCAATACAAAACACATACCCCTGACACCCGCATTAGGGGTATTACCCGCCGATGCTTAGCCCAGAACCGTTCAACTCCTTCTCCGTCCGTGAGCCCCGTGAACTTGCGCAGTCGAGGGTTGTAGTAAAGCTGGCACGACCATTGATGGGCGTACGAATGCATGGCGCTGGTGATAAGGGATAGTCGGCTCGTGAGAGCCTCAGGTAGGATATCGTACTGAATATTCACGAACTTGAGTTGGAGCACCATGAGGGTAAGGGAGTGGAAGGGACTTACAGTCTCGAGGCTCCGGTCAAGGACACAGGCTACATCGTAAAAAACATCCACGGTGGCATCCTTGGGCAAGAGCGAGTACAGTTTCTTGACTAGGGCGACGCCGTACTTTTGCTGCTCACCAGGGGTGTCGATGTTGGCCAGGAAAAGCGGGACATCGTGTCGGCATACGAGGGCCATCGTACCGGTGTCATCGTACATTTGGGTACTGGTCTTGACATTCGTCCCTTTCCCGGCGATATGCCCGTCTTCGCATTCATCGACGGCTTCGTCTGGCACTTTCGGGTCACGAGCTTTGGGCTGGTTGTCGCGGACGAGATCGATGTGGTTGCCGACCTTGTCAACATAGGCCTTGGGGAGGTAATATTCTGGTGGAAAATGTTGCCGCTGGTGGTCCGTATCCCGGCGGATGTGACGGTGGCTGAAGTTGCCGTCGACGCAGACCTGTATGTTACTTGCGCTAGATTGGTGTGTCAAACACGGGGGCATCGTTCACAAGATCGGACGTACCCTCCATTGGCCTTGTTCCCAAAGGTTTTGGACGAGAAGCATGCGGGGCACCTTTGCTGGAGTACCCAGTCACATTCGACCCTGGCGTCCCGTAACATCCTCTCCTGAGCATCCTCGAAATCTTCTTTAAGCTCCACTCTGACTCTTCGTTTGCGCGGAGCTGTCGTTTCGCTCGCGGGCTGGTTGGTAGAAGGGTTTGGGGTTGGCTTTGCGGCATTCTTGGGCGGTCTTCCTCGTTTCTTCTTGGTAGTCTCAACGGCGGCAGTTTGCGCCTTCGGGGCGTTTTTTCGTGGCCTTCCCCGTGGTTTCTTTGGTGGATTCGTCGTTGCTGGAGGACTCTCCATTTGCGGTGCGGATGGTGTCGCCGATGGTGGAGGGCCCGGGTCTGTGGGTTGGGAATTCGAGGACAGTTCTTCTGGGGGGGGTTGTAGGACCGTGGTGAGCACTTGGGGCACTATCGGAATTCCCTCGAGCGACGCAGGCTGCAGGGAGGGGAAAAGCATCCGGTCCGCGCTTTGGAGGGCTTCATCGACTGCTTTGGCAATCATTACGAGTAGGTTGTCGTACCATTGGATGGCTTGTGTCAAGGACCGTCGCCATGCATCGTTGTGGTCTTGTCCCTGTCTTCACGATGGGTTTATGCTGGTGGACGTGGATATGACTACTTACGTTGCTGTTCCGATGATGGAATCCTCTGCGCTTGTAGTACTTTCGACACGCCTCAGAAAATGCAGTCACGGCGTCACAGGACTCTTCGAACAGGGAGCGGTAGAAGTCAAGCAGTGGTATGGCAACGGCTAAGCGAGGTACAGCTGGCGATGACGGGAAGAAACCGTTCCGGACAAGTACTTTACACAGTGAGTCGCATTTACACGACAAGGCTGTGATATTCCAAAAACCTAATGGAGATTGAACGTGTGAACGTCTCGGGAGGGTACATGCACTTACCATCTAACTTCAACACCTGAACCTCGTTAGACGAATATACACACTGGCCTGGTGGGTGTTGACATTGAAAGCCGATGCTTGTCGCGAGAGGTGGTACTGGCTTTCCGTATTGTTGCGCTTTGAAATGAAGGTAAGGGTCTTGAAGAGTTGGAAGAGTGGTGGCCCAGTTGGAATGAAGACGCGCAGTCGCAGTCGCGGCTTCGGTTACCTCGCCTCGCATTGTTGGTGCGTCATCGTTGGCGGGGAAAGTCGAGGCGCCGTCGTCGGCGTAGGATTCGTCGGCGTCGTAGGGTGGCATCAGTGCTTCCGAGTCCAAGAGTTCGGTCTCCGTGGCGGCCTCTCCCACGCAATCGTCGCCTCCAAAAAACGAATAAGGACCGAGGTGATTAAAAGGGGAATAAGATGTGTATGTATTCGATGGGAGAGGTGTGCCGGGAGGATATGGTGGATGATAGTGGAAGGGAGATGGATGGGCAGGATAATTTAATGACAATGGATTTCCGAACGCGCGCGATGGTCGTACGTCAGGGGTCATTGGCTGGATCGAGGTCGTCGACGACTGTTGTGAGGGCGCTGGTGAGGCTGGGAAGGGCAGAGGAGGTGGTTGCATTGCTGAGGATGCCGGTGTTTGCGAGGTGGTCGTATGGTTGTGGCCTGGTTGGCCTGGTTGGCCGCCGGAGCGCCGAGCACGAGAGTAGAGTCCCGCAAATCGCCTGTCATTTCGCAATTCGGGGTGCGCTGCGAGGTGAGCCTTGATCAAATCGCATAGTGTGCCCTTGTTGACCACTTTCCCAGTCCCTGAAACAACGACGAGGCCGAGTTTAGACGCGATATCTTCAAGTTCTTCTTTGTTTTTCGACGAGAGGCTGCCCGAATAACAGAAATCGGGACCCCTTGCTGCGCGCCGTGCTTGCTTTTCAGCGGCGACAGCTTGACGTCTGGCGGCAGCCTCCTCTTTCTTCTTCTGCTTCTCCTTCCGCACTGCCATCTCCTTTTCGAATGCTTCCAATCCTGGACCGCTTGTGACCCAGCGAGAGCCGAGGTTGATAGGCTGTGGGTCCGATTTTCGCGACTTTCGAGCGTTGAGCTTACGCTGGGTTGCGGTGAGGTGGTAGGCGGCGATAGCGCAGTGCGTTTCAGCAGCATCCAAGTCGTCTCTCAGCTCAGAGTTTTCCTTTTCAAGTTCCGTGATGCGTTCCATAGCGAGTTTGAGTTGTTCTTTCTTGCTGAGATGTTGATGTGCAGAGAAGGGTTTGGAGCGAGCCCGATGGTGCGGTTGGGTTTGCACAGTTTCCAGTGCAGAGAGAGGTGGCGGCAAGATCTCCGGTTGTTCGGGTATCGGTGTCGATGTAGGAGCCCTGGCAGAAGAGGTTGATGGAGGAGAGACGGGTAGCGGCGGGGAAGCTGTCGATTCGACATGAGGCGGCATCGTGGTGCATGGCAAGGTGTGCACGTGAGAGTTCTCGATAGCTGTGAGTGATGGTGTTTGCTCATCTTGATCAAGTGCCATCTCAGCCTCCCCTTCTTCTCCGACTTCTTCTTCCTCATCATCGTCATCATCGTCATCAACCTCGTCGTCGCTCATGTCGATGTCGTCGCCATCGTCCCAGTCTGTGCTGTCAGAGCCATCCTCGAGTTCTTCATCTGCCTCTAAGGTTGCAGTTGTGATACGAGACGTTGGATAGGAGGACGGAAGGTGGGCTTGGACGGAGGAAGGTTGGCTGGGTGCGTAATCCTCTTCGCTGAAGATATCGGGATTTAGTGGGCAGATTCCCGAGTTCTTGTATGCTTTCTGAATTGTCTCAGGCTTGAAAGACTGGGTACGTGCCTCCATATATTCTTTGACAAAGTCTTGAATCCTAATCTCTTCTCCTGTCTCCCGCAGAATGTCGTCGCAACGTTCGGTAAATGCTGTTGCTAGAGGACCAAAAACGCCAACGTCGAGAGGCTGGAGGTGGTGGGTGGTGTGGGATGGGAGGCAGAGAAGGTGGATGTCGTGCTCGAGTGCGAGCTTATGGAATTCCTCAGTGAGGTGTGACCCATGGCCATCAAAGATAAGGAGAATTGGCTTTCCTGACGTGTTCTTTGCAGTAACCTGGGGAATGAAGCTTTTCTTGAACCACTCCGTTCCAAGGAAATCGTCGGTCCACCCGTTTTCGGAGACGGCGACACTAGAGATCGGAAGTCAGATATGTACGTATTCAGAAATCTATCATTTGAGCGAGGGTACTCACGATATTTCTGGATCGACAGTAAGCCAGGACTTATGCATCGACCCTCCACTTGGAAATATGAACCCCGGCTTGATGCTGTCCCCGACTGCGTTAACACATTCAATAATCGTAACAAGCTTGAGATTGCCACTCCGTTGCCGATAAGCTGGGCGTTGCGTGCGGGGGATGAAGAAAACCTCTGGCGACCTTTTACGACCGCCACCCAATTGACAACCCTTCTCATCCATATTCCACACGTTCTCCCATGGAATTCCGAGGGTAACGAGGATCTCTTTGAGAGTTTCGAAGTGCTGCTGGATAGAAGGTTTGTTGAATGCCTTTGCTCGTTTGGGATCAAGTCCGGAAGGCTTTCCAAGTTTGATCTTGGGATTGCGGTGAAGGAATCGTAACGTCCATTTCCTGCTAGGTGACACTCGTCCTCCCGTGATTTCTTCCACAAGCCGACGGAGATACTTCTTGCTGAGAGGCTGGCCCTGGTTGCTGAGTTGGATGATCCATTCAACGAGAATTTGTTCTTGTATCCGGCTGAGGTGCTGCTGCTTCTCGTGAGCATGCCTTGGAGACTTTGACTCTCCAGTGAAATGCCTTCGAAGCTTATGGTAAGAATTTGCAATGCCAAATTCACGAGCAACGAGAGCAATAGACTTGGATTGGGAGGTTGGGAGGTGCCTCTGGGACTCGAGAAAAAGAAGGGCTTCGTCGAAAGCCTTCTGGATTTTCTTCTTGCTCTTGAGCTGCGGGTAGTTGCTCATCCAGGGGCTGCTGACGAGGGTTTACCAGCGTTTAAACAAACTCTTTCCGGACCTTGGGGTACTCGCACTTTATTTCGGCTGTTTCGGCTGTCGGTGATGTCCGACGGAATTTGAAACTTCAGTATGCCGAATTTTGTCACGCTTTTCCTACCTTCCTCAAATCTCAGGTTTCTGAAAGTCTGTTGTTATTTTAAGTTCTCCAGTGAGTTATTGAAATGGGAAAATGCAATGTTTGGACTTTTCCCGCTCGAAATCGGACATGTGTGAGCTGAAACGCACTTTTCACCCAAATTTTGGTCAATATTTCATGGATCGTAAAACAACGCGAAGCGCCAGGGCTTAGAAAATTATACACCGATGTAGCCATCCAGAATGCCCTTCTAGTAGATTATTTTCACAATTTTCGCGAATTTATTGCAATTTGTGGAAGGCATTTTGCAACACTGGGGTCATTTGCAACACTGGGGTCATGATAGTACGGTGTGCCAAATAATTGGCCTAAGGAGCCGTGGGAAGCGTCCATCACCGGTGCCTGAGGTGGAAAAGGTCTGCTCCCATTTGCCGCGTCTTTGGCTGGTGGGTCGATTCGGCCATCTCGGTGATGGAGACGCGAGCCTTGAGAGCCCAAAACGTCATGTGACAGTCTCGGATATATTCGAATTATTGACCTATTTATTGACTGAATTACCGTAGAGTTGCTCGATCGTGGTGTAGAATGTCTCAATCACTGTAGATTGGCGCAAATAATGTTCATCGTGCACGCATCCATCGTCTCAACGATGTTCGGGTCCATTCCTTTCAATCCATGCAGCGCTTTAGTGAGCCATTGAGCCAAAAGTCATCGACAACGTACATGTGCATTTCCGAGCTCAACCAGAGGTGTGACAACCAAGACCACCGGTTTGGGAGGACAAAAGGATGGAACATTGGGTCTGGGGTTTGCACCAAGGTACTGATAAACAAGAAGAGGCGTGAAAAAAGTCGCCGTTTTGCCCATAGCTGTCGAAGCGATGACGATGAGCGGCCTTTTCTCCATAACGCTCGCACAGGCCTCTACTTGAAAGTCCCTGGGTCCACTGGGCCATTGCTCGATTAGCGATTCAAGAATTCCGCGAATTAAGGCCCTGTTTGCATCATCGAACCACGAGAAGGGCGCCGACATTGTTGAAAGGGGGCAAAGACATGTCTTATTGGAGGATGTGGTATGGTGACAGAACAAGGACCAACAGATCAACGACGCGCGACGCGGTGCCCTCCAGTGCACGTGAGGCCTCCTACCAAATTAAGGATGGCCCGATTGATGTCCGATCGGGTTTATGGCCTTAGTAGGGCCGAATCGACCCACCAGCCAAACGCGCGGCCAATGGGACAAGCCTACGACTTTCACGGCGTGGAAACGTGTCTTCTTTCTCCTTGGGCAAACAGAAGCATACACTATCACACTCCCTGCTCGTCCACCTCCTCAAAAAGAACGTCGACAATTATGAAAACTGCTTTTTCTCCATAGGCGAACTGTAAACCACCTTCCGCAAACTAACGTCGATCCGGATGCGTCCCGCGGCAAGAACATCAAGAAGTTGACGATCGAAGGCCTCGATGATGGACGTCGAGACAGTTGACGAGCCAACGAGGAACGACGTGAAGGGTATCTCGACTTGAAACATCGTCTGGCGGTACTGTGTTGAAAGGCTGCTCTTTCATTGGCTCTGACAATATCATCCAAATTTCCTGTCGTCCTGGATTCGCACATAGCAGGCCCAGCAAGCCGCCTACACACCTACACGCTGCCGGTTGCGACTGCCCTTGTTCTTTGGGGCGCATCGAGGCCCCATCTCATTGCGCTTTCCGCCGTCCTCAAGGAGCGCCTTTCTTGGTCTGATAGGCCTCCCACGGTAATCCACCAGCGTTGTAATGATGGCGGCGATCACCCTCGCTGCGCCTTATACTTTGCTATACTGTTGGTTGGTCTGAGACGATCTTGTTACACGGCCTCTCGACTCTGTCTACGCTTGCGCGCGCGATTAAAGGATTGGATCGAGCGTCAAGTGGTTACTGAGTTAATGTAGCGGCTATGTGCGTCGGCTAGTCGTCTTACATTGACTGAAGAGCTTCGGCTGGGAGTTCGATCCCCCAAGTCAACGGGACATTTGAAAGGTTCCCGACGAAAGTGGCTTGGCGGGATTGTCGTCCACCGGTGACGTACCAGTTGGAAAGGGTCGCACCTTTCAGGTGGCCATGTATGGCCCTCCACCTCACGGCTCCCCTTGACGATGACGATGACTGTCTGACGATTTACCTCCCGGGATTGACGGATTGGGACGAGGCCGGGAGGGGGAGTTTTTCGGGGGGTGGAAGGGTGTAAGACCGGTGGCTTACAGCGGTTCCCATAACGCTCATATACCCGACGGTGGCTGAAGAGATAAGCTCTTCAGTCATGCTGCCTTTTGGTGTAGCGGCTATGTGCGTCGGCTAGTCGTCTTACAGTTAATCTGTATTGAATTTATTCAAGGTGCCCACAAACCGCTACTAGTAGCATTAATACTATTGTCGAATTTCTCGGTATGTCTTCCTCTTGCGCTTTGCGCGGTGTATTTTCCGATTCATTCGCGTTTTCAGCAGGCTCTACCCCACATCCTGGCTCTGCTCACTAATCCGGGATTCCTCCAGAGTGGATTACTGAATTTCGACAATAATGACGATACTATGTGGGCACATGCAGTAAGAACCCTCTACCTTCTGTGTGCACCATTGCTGACTTTAATCGGACTACCATTCCTTCATCAATGCAGATGGAACATCTGCCAACCGTCGCTGTTCTTCTCAGCATCTTGGCCGGCGCTTAGTCGAGCATCGCTGTGCCCACAAACCGCCCACAAATCACTTTCTGTGACCGTCTCGCCAAAGAACAAAAGCCCTTCCTTCCCAATCTGGCTCTTCTTTCAAATCAGGCAAATCTATTGTTTCCGCATCGCCCACAGCCATCGATTCACTGTCGTTTCAGGCTGTTCTACTGGATACCCAGGTGCAAGGACAGGTGATTATAAATATGTTGACTTCTTGAGCAACGGCACCTTCCCCCTTGCCACTCTTTCCTCTCGTTCGTCTTTGTCTTACGCGGCCTGCCGCAATGCTGCCCGGATTCATTTCTGTCGCCGCGATGGGGGTTGTTCTTGTATCACTGGGACTAACAGTGACGCTGGCCGAACCGGTCAATATGACGATCAACGAAGACAGCCCCCTTATCTCGTATGAAGGAACTTGGACGGTGGGGAGAGACCCATCGAGCATCGGGGGGCGACATCTGGTCACCAATGACCCACGTGCGACTGCGACTTTCAGCTTTAAAGGTGTGTCTTCTCTTGTCCCAAAAGACGGTAGGGTTTATCCAGATCCCTAGGCACTGCACTCTACGCCCTCTCCCCCAAGTGGCCCTACCCCGTCGGGGCATTCATACTTGTAGACGGCGTACGTATATTGTCGCTTAATCTTCAGGACTATACACGCAATGGATCCGATAACGGGGTCGCCACTGTCCCAGCGGATGTGGTCGGGAGGATGGAGGATCTCCCGGACATTGATCACGAAGTGCAAATTTCGGTTGGACGGGTGCGCCCTCAGGCTTTTGCGATCGTTGATGCGTTCATGTACGTGTCCTACCAGGGACGTCGCTCATATATCGAGCTGATTGAAAGTACCACGCAGCATCACGTACGACGATAGTACTCCCGACGACACACTACCAACCAGCTCAGCGGCGAATTCTTCCCAGCAGCAGACATCAACCTCGCCCTTGGAACCCTCGCCCTCGCCTTCGGAGACCGCCGACGACGAGGAGATTGTGCTACCCCCACCCGGCAAGCCCAGTCTTCCTCCTGGTATCGCAGCAGCCATCGGCGCCGCCTGCAGTGCCGTTGGCATTCTGTTCATTCTCGGACTCCTCTGGTTCACCCGTCGACGAAAGAAGGCCAAGCGATCAACCCTTGACCCCGTCGATCTCAACCCCCGTGACGATTTCGTTGCAGACAGGAGTAACCAGGCAAACCCACCGAACGCACCAGGCGGCACCATGACCTCCACTGACTGGTCATCCGCCGTCTCCACACCCAATTACCCCGGCTCGCCAAACTTTAAGGGCGGCTACGGGTACGCAGATACACTGCGATCCCAGTCCAGTCGCGATCATCTAGCGAACACCTCGATGGGCTCCAAAGGGACTATGTCTACGGGCGGTATGGTCACACTGGCTCCTCCAGGTCACTATCCCGATGAAGAAGGACGCATGACCTGGTTCAGCGAGGCGTCTTCAAGCCAAAGCCAGACAGCTCTCCTCCCCAATCCATACGGCCATCCTGATCACGCTCAAGCGACTATGCTCGGTGTGCCCGTGACGATGCCGCGGCATGCCGTTGGACCACTCGCACTGGTGGGAAGCCCACCGCCCGAGTATGAGTTGGTCGCAGGGGGCGGGAATCCAGCTGCGGCTCAAGGGTCGACGGCGGGTGGGGCCTCCTCGTTCCCCCCAGAAAAGTCGCGGAGTGACTCTACCTCAGATCTCCGGCCTGGTGCTGCCGCTGTAACGCAGGGAAGCTCTGCCTCAGCGGCAGAAGGAGCCAACCTCTCCCGAAGTAGAACCGCTCCGTCTAGAACATGACTGTCAAACTCGGAGTAATGTTTTCCACGAGATACCTCACGAGTAGCATCCATCCATTTATCACCACTCCTATCTATTGAGTGGGCGCCTTGATTATCGTGATCACGTCTACCACACCCACACATCTTCGCTTCTTCGCACATTAATCCCACATTCCTTCACTTTTCCTATCCGTACTTTGACTGCGTCACATGGTCGCTGTCCTCCCCTTCTCCGATTACATCCCAGAACCTCTTACTGGATAGACATTCATTTCATTTTTCGTTATTGCACGTTGCACATACCCTTCAAGCGCCATTTTTCCACATAACTAAGCTTTTTGTACTTGTATCAGTACCTATTTATTCACTTCGTTCGCTCTTTGGACTCGAATGTACTCATGGGATCATAGAGGTATACAATTTATCGAAGGATGTAGCGGGTGATCCAGAAAATAAAATTCCGCTACGAAGACGAAACGGAGAACGTGTTCAAGGTGAGGTATCGAATTTGAAGAACTGGCACCCACAATGCGAGGTGGGCCCTCAAACGACGGGCTCTAAGATCCAATGCTGATCGAAACTTAGTCAGGCTTCAGCTGACCTCATGGAAATGGATGTTCGTACCTGGTTAGGATTCTGGTAGTTGCATGCCCACAGTTGGATCTAAAGCGCTCATTGGTTAACCTGGCGATTTTCATGGGCCGACGACAATTCGCCTGGACGTACTGGTGTTCCATTCGCGTTACTCCCGTCCGTCAAGTCGACGCATAACCACCAGAAAGGTTTCCAAGTGATATGGTCTCTTGGAATTGAGACTGCATTGGGAAGCCAATGACCCCACTGCTGATTCTGATTCCCGTCGAAGCAAGTCCAGACCTGGACTTTGACGCCGTCCGCCACCACGCCATCGGTTACATCCAGACATTTGTCAGTGGCAAGCGGCTGGATTCGGACATCGTTTAAGTGGAAGACTTGCTCGGGACGCCAGATGTCCGTGCGGCAATCGTAGAAACTCGGGCGTAGAGCAATAGCATTCGTCGGAACTTCTTTGATTGCCTCGGAAGGGATGGTGTGCACACCTGGATTTGAACGGGGGCACCATCATATTCCCCCATCGAGGTGACACATTTAGTGCTATCAACGGAGGTTCTGATCCTGTATATACTGACGAGAGGTAGCGTCGTTGGGCACGCTGGGTGACTATCGAGCGGCAGTGGCGTGTTCGGGTAATGATAGAGGGTATAGTTCTGATACTGTGAGTCCGAAATAATCGTGCGTCAGTGCAGTTTCTCCACGATTAAAGGGAAAGAAGGTCCTTACATCGTACCAGTGGTAGTTCTGCAATGTCCCACCATTCCCGTCTTCAAACTGGTAGATGCAATGGATGTACTGACTGAAGGTGTCAGTGTTCGTCAGTTTGAAGGTTGTGCCGTTGGATAATAAGCTGTTGGCGCAGCCTCGAAGAGTCGCGTCCTGCGCCAGAGTGGCAGGAAAGTAAAAGAGTAGGGAGAGAACGGAGAGAACACCCAGGTCGGTGTCGAGCATGGTCATGATCACAGTGAGCAGTGCGAACTGCCAGGAAAGGCTCGGGGAACAAAGGTCCTGTTTACGGATACCAGGTTATTTATACTACATTCTATTATTAGCCCTCGGTGCATGCGCTCATTTCTGGCTCTAAGTATAAGTACCAGAGTGTGGGGAGGCCCGGTGACATTTCAATGGGACATCACACAAGGTGCGCACTAGATCCTCGGGCCTCCCGTAAAGTGACAAGGATCTTCTGGTGGAAAACGTTGAGTGGTATATGAGCGGTAATCAGAGCTTCAACTACAGCTAGCGCGCTGTCGACAGATCTAATATGCACGCTCGCGGTACAGTTGCGGAGTGGAGGAGGCCCAGCGCTTGGTTGATCCCATCACCGATCCGTGATGCGCCATCAACAGCGTCCGCCATCACTGTGCCCGCTCGTCTCCGCTCGTACGCAGTACTGCCGTTGGGCCCGCCGCCGTCCCGAACCATGCTCTCTTTAGGCGCCACATGAGGCACTCTGCATTGGCTTGGGCCTTTAATGAAAATGGCCGACAAAGCCTGCCCACCCCCCTCAATTCTCTTATTCCAGATGCATCCATTTGGAATGCAATTCCTTCGTCATCAAGCTTCAGCAAGAACAAATGTCCTACGTTTGGTCTCGCTCGACCTGTCGACTTCCAGCAACTGCAGATTGCTCAGTGTGCAGAAATCTAGTTATGTCCACTCGTACGTACAGGCCTTCCTGCAACCCCATCGGGTTTCACTCCTTCCAAAAGTGTCCCTTGTTTGGTTCTTGACCGACCAATCCTCTGGACTTGAACCAATTCCGACAAATTTGACCAGATTAGACCTCATTTGATCGTCACGAGGGTTTTACCGCGCAGCCATCCCCTGGGTTATCAGTAAAAAGCCATCGACCGTTCTCATCATACAAAGCCTTCGATATCACAGAAGGTTATCAAAGCCTTTATTCAAAACATGCGCGCAGCCATGTATATCTCAACGCCACTCAACACTTGGCCTCGCAAGGGTTCTGCGCATGCGCTTCATTCCGCGCCACGGGGACGCTGAACAGGTGTGGCGTCGGCCACACCGTATACGTGGCATCCTCGCGATCAATTCCTCACTTTACATAGGAGGTCACTAACGTCGGCAGTAGCAAAAGTGGTCGGCGATCGACCCCCCCTCAACTTCGTCTTCCCTTCCACCACCACCCGCCGCCATCGTCTCTCTCCCCTCGAATACCGACGTTTTATGAGCGCGCCAAGCGCGCTACATCGCCAATAGGAGAAGAATAGCGTCGTCAAGAAGCCAACTCGTGAAAACCTGGGCAATAGCACGACTGAAAAGCGTCGGGACATCTAGGACCCATCCCCTAATACGATGGCCAGCACTCCTGACCACCTGTCATTCGTGGAAATAGCTTCCATCTCACAGTCCACCTTGTATCTTCAGAGTGCGTCTTTGAATCAGTCTCGATCGCCATTCGTTTCGTGTCTCTTCTAATGATATCATTCTACTCCTGTCTCTCTCTCTGCCCGTGCTGGCTGATATCGATCTATAGTGTCTGCAACGATTGTCGTACTCTGGGACCATAGTAAGTATCAAGTTTTCTCAAAGGGGATGAAGAACAGTTGATTAACCAAAATCGATGATATCGTATAGTCACAACACTTGATCTAGAGGTACACAAAGCCCCCGATCTTCTTGCTTCTTAACCTCTGACCGAACATACTCTTGTTTAGGTCGAACTCATATGGGTAACGTCCCCTTTGCGAATTGCAGCCTCGTTGTCATTTCCAACTGGTGAATAGAAAAAGAAGCCATCTCTGGTTCAACTGCTGTACTTCATCGTAAGAACTCGCCTTGTGGCCGGTTGCAGCAAGGCACTGACATTTGTTTCAGAATCGCTACAGCGGTGATGCTCTGTTTCTGTACGTTTTTCATCCATCTTGCGGCCCCTCTCCTTGCTGATCAGATGTTGTCACCCAGACACGGGACTACCTGTGCGTAAACCTCCTTTCCTACATATCCTCTTCCAACGGAGTTCGTAACCAATGCCCGATGCGTAGACCACATAATATTGAAAGGGGAAGCATTCGCTCGAGTGAGTCTCCTATCAACTGCATCCCGACCGAACCAGGTTCTGACATCCTCAGGCGTGAGTCCCTCCTATCTCTTGTTGCCTTTGCATGACATAGCGATGTGCACCCCCTTTCCAGATGTAGGTGTCCGGCCTTTCTTTTCCTTGCACTTTCCGCTAAACTGCCCACGACAGGTCCATCGGGCAGACATGTACAGTCATGGTTGAGTATGATCGCGCTATGGTCGATGCAAGGTAGGCGTACGCCATCGCGCTGCATCTGGCTGAAAACAACGCCCCCGTCCGTAGGAATCAACATCAACCGCGTGTGGTGCATGTACCGCTATTCCAAGTCGATCCTTGTTCTCCTCCTGGTGGCCTTCTTCTCACAGATAGTAGCTTCCTCAATCGTAGTCGCCCTCGATACGAGCTATCACGTCAGTAAGTCACACCTTCCACCGTATTTCGCACCATCCACCCGTTACTTAACAACATCGCCATTCCTAAACTCAGTCGTCCCGATGTTACCAAACCAAAGCTTCTGCATCAGTGACGGCTGGCTGCCCTGGTCCTGGATATTCCTCTGCTTCATCATCGCCTTCGACACGCTCATCTTCGTCCTCGCCCTCCTCGAAGCGGTTCGCTATCTTCATAGCACCCGCCGCCCACCCGAACTCAAGCGTCGCGGACGACCAAAGCAGACGCTCTTGGGAATGCTGATCTCTCCTTGGGTAACGAGGGGAAGTCTGGTCAGAGTGCTGCTCAGGGACAGTATCTTGTTCCCATTCTTGGGGTTGGCTTCGTCGATTCTTTGTCTCTTGTCGTGGTTGGAAGTCTTGCCGGTGCGTTCCTTCCACTCACTTCTCATGCACCATCATCCTGACCAGCTTTCAGTGGGGCTCGATTCAAGTAACGATGGTGCTCAACGCACTCGCATCCCCCATCCTCGGAAGTCGGCTCATCATCAACCTGCGCGACGCCTACTACCAACCTTTTGCTGAAGAAGTCGACCCCACCGACGACCTCTTCACCTCCACCCACCTTCGCACCTCCACCTCGACCAACGGCATCCGCCTGCGTTCCTTCGAGATGCCCATGACGTTTGCGGATAACGAGACCTTCACCATGGATAGCACGCGGAGTTTGCATCGGGATAGCATATAGTTACGTCGTCTTGTTTTTTTTTTTTATCTAATCTATCTTTATTTCTCTTCTTCCCTTGGCGATTCGTGGAATCCCAGGTTGGATTCCCAAATCCTGGCATGTGAAGAGATTCGAGCAGCTGCTCTTTTACGAGGGTTGTAGCCGAACCGAGGATATGTTCATCATCAGCCCAAGGACCTGAGATCGATGGAGAGCAGACCCTCGAAACGGGAGAACTCCGCAAGGGATATCGATGGTTCGCTCGAAAGCCACTCGTTCTCCGTCTACGAAGCTCTTGGCCTGAAACATCTCCCCACGTCGATCACGGTTGTCCTTAACCCCTGATGGAAAGTCAATCCTCTACGACAGAACTGTGATAGGCACGGATGGGAAGTTGGAACACTTTATGCTGAGCGGATGTGACCAGAGACCCAATCCGACTATTCGACAGATAGGTGGGTCAACGGATGTTTCATTTATAACTGTCCTCGCGAGAAGCATAAGTCAAATGCCAATATACCTGCGTTCCTGGACCCTGTTCCCGCGCCGTGAACGGTGGTTGGGTAAGACGAACGTACACGCTTGTCTTTCGGTAGAATGTTGCATACTGTTCTGCGAAGTGTTGTCCTCATCTCCCTGCGGAGGACTGGGACCAGAATGCCAACTTCTTTGTCTGGCCCCAACTTCGCTGTAACAATCATCCACCGAGAAGCGCTCGAATGTGGATGGACTTCCATCCCCTCGGCCATCGGCATGTCGGAAATAGGGGCAGTCCGATCGCGTTGGCAGGGATTGAAGCGTTGGAGGAAGGGAACCCTCGGGAGTCTGGATTAACAACGAACTATCGCCATGCAAGTTCACTGTGATTGATCCTGGAAGAATCAACATGCTAATGCCAACCTAGCACTTTGCTGGGTTCCTAGACAAGCTCCTGCGGTGGGGTGCCACGATCAACTGCAAGTGAGGCGCCATGAAACTGAACGGTTTCCCAATGTCGTAGGGGACCCCTAAACACACTTGGTTCGGTTCATTGTAAAAAGAGGGTGCGTACAAGTGGGTATAATGACTTTGAAACGAATTTGGATGGATAAAGAGGTCCCCCGAGATGGCACTAGTCCCCCCAGCTCATCACGATGGATGAGGCATCATCGAGAACGACAACAGGTTTCTGGGCGACACGAAAATAAGCAACATTTAGGCCCGAAGGAGAAATGGACGCACTTTCTTTGGAATGGTCTGCGGAGGGGGTTGTTGGGGTTCCGTGATGCTCGTTGGAGAAGGAGGCTGCGGTGATGTGGTTGAAAGGTTGCTGTGTCCCGTCCGTTCCCTAGTCCTTCCCCGAGAAGTGGTTGGTGCATTGTAGCCGACCAGACGGACGTTTAGGATAGGTGAGGGCCGCGGTTGTTCTGTTACTGTGAGTCTGAATCGACTAGAACGCGAACTGTCGGCGTCGTGGTGTGCTGGTGAAGGCGAGCGAGAGTCTAGGTGGTGCTGGCCGTAGCTGGATTGTAGGTACCGGCGCCGAGAGAGGACGTCGTCCAGATGTTGCTCTGAGGACGACTGGTAGCGTCCCATCATGTCCAAAGAGCCAGAATTAGACCGCGAGATGGTCCTATCTGAGGGTAGAAGCGTCCGGTTGTGTAGATTGAACGGTATGTGAGAACCGAGATTGACCATTTTCCTACAACCAATTTAGCGCCTTGAATGGACAAATTGGGAGCTAAACTTACCCTTCTTTCGCCCGCACAATAGTCCCTAATCTTTCCTGTATCTTCTGGTTGTCCAGAAAGCTGTCTGTACTAAAATAACATGGATTCACAACCCTGACCTGTACAAAGTAATTTAGATACGTACTATGTATTTTGCTCGAAATTGGGCGGTATCAGGAGACTGTTCTCGTCTGGTATTTCGTGAATCGGCTCTTCTGCCTGCTGGCGACAGCAGCACAGCAGACCTCTAAGGGATTCCAGGGCCATGGTCGTCGTCCAGAAGAAAGAAAGGCTGCAGACTGTGAGCGGCACCAGCCCCAATGTTCGCCAGTTTGTCGCACCCGGAACACGTGGACCGCGCGCGCCGTGTGATGGCATTTAATTGGCTGCGCCCTCAGGAACAAACAAGGCTCCAAGGTTCCTTGATTTTGAACTGGAGCCACGATCTCGTCGTCTGTATCGAGTCTATCGACCAACTACAGAAAAGCCAGACCAAATCAACGACATTCTACAGCAGTCAAAGGCCATTCAAGACGCAGAAACCATGTAAAGCGAACAATCAAAGGCAGCGCGTGGTGGCGCCCATGCATATTTTGACTCCCAACTTCCAGCAACTCCAGTGGCGGCGATAATTTAGTATCACATTCTCCGGGGCCTTCATCTTCATCTTACGCGACGTTTGTCTGTTCTCAGTGGACTCTTCTTTAGACGCTTGGATCGCTCCTAGGATCTTGTCAATTCCCTGACTTTGGGGTGCGGCTGAAGGCGGAATTGTCTAATGTTGCGACAACCTGCAATGTGATAGGGTAGCGACGACCATGTCCGACTATTTCAGCAACTCCTGTCAGACGTGGTAGGGACGGTCCTTTCTCAGTAGGCCACCCCTTTTCTACCTCCGAAACTTGAAACCCCTGGAGACAAAGGAATGGAACACGGCTTGGGCGTCAATCCTAAACAGCGCTGGAGCGTTCCAATGTCTTCCCTGTCGCTGAGAAGGCGGATACATCCTCACCTATTCCTGCTCAGTCGAGGAAAACCCTAACTGGAGATCTATGATGTGACCGAGGCTCTTCGACTGGCGACTGCTTGATTTTTTTTCGACGGTCCCAGTAATCGTTGCAACCATAATGTGGCGTTTCTTCATCCTTCGAGCTCATCCGTACCCATCGAACTACGCGTTAACAGCACAGATCCCCATCTGCCTCTCGAGAATTCAGGCTTTAGGAGCAGGTGGGTAACTTTGAAACCTAAATCATCATTCTAAACATCACCGTGGAGCGCAGCCGCTCGTAGAGAAGTGAAGACCGAAATAGCCACTCCCTTCACTATCTTCAGTCCTTGCTCTGCGGCGTCGACTTACCAGTGGCCGCGGGGAAATGGCATACTCCCGTCCATGCAGGCCAATTCTTCCTTCTTGTAATGGCCACATGAATCAAGATTGATCCACAGTGCTCCTCGCTTCCTGCTTCCTCAGGCGTCGGTTGTCGTTCAATGCCGAAGGGACATTGAGAGCTAACCAAACGCTATCGACTTCATCTCCCTCCTTCATTTTCGGGCGCCGTGACTATGTAATACAATCGCGTACACAGAATACAATCGCGTACACAGTGCAGCCCAAACTTGGTTCGGGCTGCTTCTGATGGTCTGGAACCAGCCTCATGGCCTGCATCATCCAATGCTCCACCCCCCAAAGACGGCTGACCACCGGGAACCTGAGCCGTTCCGACTCGCATAAGATCATCAAAGGGCATCAAGGCGAGGTCCCCGAAACAACCGTTTTTGACTCTCCCTGGAGCAACTTATCAAGGTCAACGTCCTATCGTCCTTATTTATTTCCTCAAACATTCCGCAGCGACCTCAAAGCCCCCTCTGTCAATCCCTCTGGTGCAGCAACGTAACTTACAGGGTTGAGGGCAAGGCAATCTTGCTTGATTTGGTGAGTCCTACTATTTCCCCGATATGGTTACAGCGGCGAGTAATGGCGGGTCTTGAAGTTGGAAGACGTCTCCGTCCGCTCCGCACGCCTGATCCCGAAATTTCGGTCGCAACATCAGCTCAGCGCCGCCTCTTTACTCTCAGGCCCCAGGGCCACCGTTTCTGTTGGTCGTTTTCTGACGCCGACTGAAAATCTCTTCTCCAGCTCCATTCTCCAGTTCCTTTGATGTCCTCCGATGCTCTCATCCCCATATCTTCAAGTTCTCTGGGCTTGTCCGGGTCTGAGCACTCTATCAACTGATTCCGTCCAGGGACCGGATTGCACTTTCGAACGTTTCGAAACGAGGTTGGCTCGGTCAGCAAGCGACGCAGCAGGGCCGCTTTCCGCTCGTCGGTGCGGTGGTATGTACTCACCTTGAGTCAAATCATCGTCCCGGTAGCGCGAACGTTGACCCTGAAGCGGACAGCTCACGTCTTCCAATGACAACGCGGCCGCCATTCACACTTACGAACACGGTAGCAACATTTGACTCGTTCCAATTGAATCGCAGAAGGCGTGTCATCGTGGGTACAACACTTGGAGAATACCTAGCTATTCTGTTCCGCCTCGACTGTCAATGACTTGAAGTTTGAAGTGCTCCAAGGCCCAGGACACCATCCAGCATACCGAAATGACCGACGCCTACGTTATCGACAGGTGCACAGCCTGGTCGTTTACGAGCACCTTCCGTTCAGGGTGAACCACATGATGATCGACCATGTGCGTCGCTTTCGATCCGGTATTTATTTGATGTCTCTCACTCGACGAAATGGGTAACTCTCCAGTGCTCCCAAGGGAAGGTGTGAAGGAGGCAATGCGGCGTTAGCGCGCGGTTCCTTGCTTTATTGTTGGCGCTTTCCGTACTGGCAGACTCCCCTTGGAGCTTGCTGATTGTGAGTGCTTTCTCGGGCCGTTTTGAGGGCTTGCACGTACACGCCCGCCCAGTCCGTTAGCGCTTGGCTGACGCAGTCCATTATCGCAGTCTCTTCATAATAGTATTCGGTATTAGTGGATTTAGCAACCCCTGCATAACTCCCTCGCCTGTCAAGGATGTCAACCGGCACGCGTCATCGGCACGACCTGTTCCTCAATCAGAATCATTAAAGAGCGCAAGGGCGATGTCTGAGGCCTGAGGGGTCAACCGGTCAAGACTGAGGGAACAAAGGCAACTGACCGAACGGAACCTGGGTGCGATAGTCGAATCCTAGTGGGAAACGAGATCAAACGGCATCTAGAACTTCGCCCTCTGCCCGGGGCGCTTTTTCTCTGTTCCATGCCCTTTACTTGTCTTGCGCCTTTTGGCATTAGAATCGCTTTGCCTCCGCATCGTCGGGAAACTTTGTGTGCGAGAAAAATATCAGAGGGTATCAGTGCAGGCTCTGGGCCGGTCTCTCAATCATTTCCCCAGAGCCTGTCTCTCAATCATTTCCCTTCCCAAGGCCAAGGCCCCTCTTTCACAAGTTGTTCACAACTCGACTTCTCCGCTCCTTGGACCTGACAATCCACACAGCCCTTGATATCATGATGAGTTCATAGAAGGGAAAGAAGACCTTTTATGAATGATGGGGGTGGAACCTAATGAGCAGCGTGACTGGGTGAACAGAGCGATTTCGTCGAGCCTTGCTTCTGCTATACCTTTTCATCATTCCTTATACACACCGCCTCGCTCCACGCAAGTAACGGCCGTCTTGAAGGGTTATTTTTGGCTTTGCGTTTACTTCTGTTGACTTCCGCATTAGATGGATGTAGGCTGGTTACCGTGATCGACGACGTTAGGGACAGAAGCTCTCGAAGCCAACTGGAAGCATTGCCATATGTTCCTGACCATAAGGTTACATTTGGCCCGCAATTATCTCAGACTTCATGGGTGTCGCGATGAAACATCACCTACGACGGCGTCGTCGCTTCCGATCCCGTCTTTTCAGACAGCCTTTGATCCATTTCCCTGCCGTCGCGCTTGAACATGTCTTCCAGTCGCACTACAATTGAATTACTTGTGACGTTAGAATCTCGCTAGCGCCGGCCGCACATACATCCTGCACACATTTCGCACCCAACTCGAGAAATCAAAGACACTCTCCCATAAGGTCGTCGAACAAACACTAAAATACCCAAAGTTGCGATGCTCGAGACTCCCAGAGAGACTACGTGAATTTGATGAAACCGACTCGGCTTTGAATCATAACAGTGGAGGTAGCGACCAACACAAAGGGATGGAACCTTTTCGGCGGGGAAAGAGTCTGGGAGTGTGAGTGTGAATTCTTGAAGCAAAAGGACGTCCCCGTCGCATCGCGGTACTCTTCTCATGGGTGATGGTCGGCTCAGTGATCAGTGAGTATGTTGTTCGCCGCACTCTGATTGGCATTGCGTCCGGTACAAGAAGCGAATTGGACAAGAAAAAGCACACAAACTATACTACAGGAGGTATGGTGGTATACTACGCGATAGTATACAAAAGGAGGGGATGGGATGGGGAGTGATGAACGAAGTCTCATATATAATACACTTTCATAGAGTAAAGAGATTATGAGAATAAAGTAGCTGTCCATATCTGCGCACGTATCTAAATAGCCGACGAAGATTAGGCAAAGTCCATGAAGGAGTAGTATGTTACATCTGGTAAGTTATATCTGACCAAGAACGTCCAGTCCATAGAAGCGACACCAGCTTCGAAGATTTCGTAAAAATTCCGTTTTGACATCGTCTTTGCCGTCGTGGTAGACAGTACATTAGAGCAAACAGGCCTCGCAGTGCACGTCTCAGACGTTCGCGAGTCACTGCTTGGGGTGCTTGGAGCGAGGCTTGATCTTGTTTTTCCTTAGGGAGAGGGGACGGGGTTTGCCTGGCAGCCTGAGGTAGACGCCACATGCGTTGCAGAGTTGAGCTCCCGTCTTGCTTCTCCTCCAGACGGATGTGTGGTGGGTTCGACAGTGGCTGCACTCGGGGCCTACGTAGTTCACATNGGAGTCGTCGGTGGTGTTGCCGTCGTCGGTGTCAGCGTCGATGAGCTCCTGTGGGCGCAGTCGGTTTCGTTGTTGGAGGTACAGACCGCAAGCATTGCAGAGGGGTTTGAAGGTCGAGGGATCGCGTCTCCAGAGGGGAGTAGAGGTGGCTTGGCAATGGGAGCACTTCTTGACTCCTGGCGTATCGTTTTTGACGCGAGGAGACGAGTGCGTGGTCCGTGATGGGAGGATACTTTCTTGGTAGAGGGGCGGAGGCGAGGGTGTGGAGACGGGTGAGAAGCGGTTGGGGAAGATGAGTCCGTTCAGGGACATGGCTTGTTGCGTCGCGCTGTAGGGAGTCACAGCGCTATCCATCTGCGGCATCATCCAGTTCGAGTCGAAGGGGATCTGGAGATTCAATCCACCAGACCAGTCGGGGGAGCTGGTGCTGGAGCGGGACATGCGGGGGTTGGGCGAGGCTCGACCATTGTATGGGTAGTTATAGCTGTTGTGCCACTGGGATGAAGCAGTGGGTTCCGGAGCTTCGTCAGAGTCGGTCGACGGGGAAGAGTCGATGTAGCCGAGTCCTCGAGGGACATGGGCATTGGTCGAGATGGATGGAAGGAGGCCGTTGTCGTTGGGCAGGAGGAGTGGCTGGTAAGCTGGTGAATCCACAGGACTAATGGTCGTCCTGAGATCCGACGACAGGTACGCTTGCTGGAAGCGGACGGAGGACATATCAGTAGGGCTACTCCGCCGAGTGTCTTCCCCCCAAGTATAGCGCTTAGAAGTGATCGACGCTGCGTCTACATCAGAGCGAAAGGTCGCGATATGTCAGAGCGCGCATACGCAGGGGCAGTGTTAGCTATCTCACCATTGGGCCACTGCGACTCGTCAAAGTTGTAGCTGGTCATCGAGTCGTACATCATCGGTTGAGCTGCGGTCATATTTTGTGAGCGTGTCGAAGAGTTAGAGCGAGCTTGAGGATGTTATAGGTGAATGCGAGAGCTGGAAAGTCATTGGTGTGAAAGAGCGAGTTCATGGTTGATTTATATAGACGTGCCGTTGAGCCATCTAAGTGCAGGCAGCGTTTTGTCTCCGGGTAAGAATCGAGATCTCATTTTCAGGGTTGCCTGGATCTGGCGATGGAAAGTGACGTCCGAATCAAGGTCAAGCGCGAGAAAGTCGATCTCGTGGTACCGCGCGTCCAGTGGTTTGGCGGGGTCAATCCGCTTGCCACTCTTGGCACTTGGAGAAAACCTTCCGCTTGCGGTCCACAAATAGAGCAATCATCTCCAGAGCGAGGTTCGCTTGATATGGAGGTTGAGCCGGTCAACGACCCGCTCCGAGATAGACTCGACCCGAGCTTGATGGAGGGAACCAGGTTGGGCTCGCAGGCTCGTTCCAGGATTCTCTCCGTGACGTAAATCTCCAATGTTCCAACAACCGTCTGGTTCGGAATCCGCTGCAACATTCTCCTCCAAAGTCTTTAGGATAGGTCCAAAAAAAGATCCCAATGTGACTCGACTTCCACGAATGCTGTGCTCCTGGATTCGCCTCCGGATGGACGCGGTAAACCTAGACGATGAGCGCTACCCGTGACTGAAGGTCAGCCTATCGGTAGGAATAAGATTGCACCCATTGGCGATAGGCTACAGGCTGCTTGATCAGCACAACATGAGTCATTGAAGACCGTCTGCTCAGGACATAACGTTTCTGGAAAGTGGTCTGGCATGAGGCAATAGGTCGACTGCGGTGGACTGCGTTGTATGTACTAGCTTCGACTACGCTTCTACAGCACTGAGATCATCGATTGCCTAGCTTGGAAAACATCTCTTGTTTGAATAAGAAATACGAAGGTGCGGCGACCTCACTTTACAGCGTCGGCGGTGAATAGCAATTCTATTATCGCAGCTTGCACACCATTGTGGAGAGTCGTTCACTGCAGCTGAGCTCCACGCGATGAGCGAAATGCCCGAGCTATCTCATCTTATTGAGCTTCCATGATCTTCAGGACCTATCAAATCAGGGAGAGCCTTGCAAAGGCTCAACCTGAAACAAGGATGGCCAATTAAGGTCACTTACTCTGAGCACGGGGAACAGTCGTCATGGCCGAATAACGCTCCTTTGAATGGGGGTGCAACTCACCACCAGAGAGAAACGTTCATCAATCTTAGAGACTTCCATCACGTTGGCGACCGACGCAGATTTACTGCTACTAAAGATACTTACAGTTGGGAGTTGAATCAGGCACGAACCCGAAGAAGGTGATTGCCTGAAGGAGTTCTTGTTCGACAAACTCCCAAGCGCTGAAGATGGACTGTGCATCGACATGACATTGGTTCAGCGGGTTCGATCCATCCGCGAAACTAAATCCGGGATCTGGCGCAGTAGTGGGCCTTCACTGGGCTCGCAAGGATCCTAGCCGGAAACACAAGGAGGATGGAGCTTTCATTAGGTGATCAAGAGTCATATGGGTAGGCTTCGAATCTCACGACACTAAAAGAGCGGGATTTCGGAACAGAGAGACCATGCTTTCAGGTACGACGAGAAGCTAAATGGTAACTTTGAATCAACAACGAAGAGGCTGTTCAGAGTCGTCAAGTTGAATTCATCAATTATTCGCTTCGAAGACTTACTTGTACTCGTATTGCTGTAGAAATTGAGAGATAGAGATGGAAGGCGCGTAATGAGTCCTATCGATTATTAGTTGTTCGCGTATATCGGCAGGGTTTGCGGCTTTGATATTCCAATACGGGAATAGGATTAGGATAATGTCACCGATCTGCCAAAAGACTTTCACCGTTACCATCACGGATTATACTCCTTGGATTGAATTGAGTTGGGTCATCATCGATGCATCATGTAATTTGACACCAGCCAGTAGGTGAACCGATTGTGAACGCATACTGGGAGGTCTTTCCAACAACGGATGGTCAGATAGGAAAGGATGTTCAGCCAAAGACATTGACGTGTTACAAGTAGAGAATAACAACAAACCGTCTTTTGTGATTGAGATTGGTACCTCGTTCACTTTTCGCCTTGCTATAGAAATTGCAGGTCCGCCACGGGTACTCACCATCGTGTCTTCCGCCGAGCTTTTGCCGAACGTCAGTAAACGAGTGGCATAACGTCCCGATGTCGAGGATTCACTTCCACCAACCGATGCGCTGCCTAGAAAACCTCTACTCGACTCCAGGCAAAGGGTAAAGCTCGCTGAAACCTGGTCCTGCAAGCCTCCTGTCCGGAAGGTTAAGATAATTAGGAAAAATTTCTGAATTTGGGTTTGACTGGACAGCAACCGGATCAAGATGGCAAGTGGACACACGAGGGAATGTTTGAACGCCGCAACCCACCAGTTTGGGCGAGTGACTCGGCCATCCACAGCCTCGCCGATCAGCTCTGTTCAGTTCAGCTGGAGAGCCAGAAATATGGCATAGGAGGTTGCAAGAATTGTGAAAGCGACTTACGTCCCGCGGGTTCCATTGAGCGCGTCTTGGGCGCGATAGATCACATTGGCCTTCATATCGCTCGTTTAGGAACAAGAGAAGACAGATGAGAATGCAGCGTGATCCTAGGCCTTTTGAGTTTGGGAGATAGCGAGTGAAAGCACGATTTCCGAAAGATACGCAGGCCGAGGACAGTGGAGCGTGTGCCAGAGAAAACCCCAGCCCCAGAGTTATCTGCCGTATTATTGTTGTCTGTGTGAAACTCCAGCAGGACCCATCTTGGAATAGGGAAAACGAGCGCCTAAAGAGAGTTCCAAGATATTCCGGGTGCTTCGGGCACCAGAGGAGCATAGACAACACAGCAGCGTTGTTGAAATGAGAGGTTGAAGGAGGAAAGTCGACGAGACAATTTAGGCTTTACAGGTGATGTCACATCATGTGATTCATCTCCACGTGTATCCACGTGATGCTCGCTGCTCGCTGCCACCGACGACGGCGGTTGAACGTGGACAAAGCTTTTCACCACGACCTTCATGCAGTCTCATCTTCTTTAGTCTCTACAACACACTGTTCACACTCCTTTATTAGTTTCTGACGTTATAATGTCGTTTCTACGACGTATATGGTCCAAGGTGCGCGCCAATATTCATTCATTGACCTGGGAACTAATACAGGTTTTGTAGAAAGCGGATGAGGATTATGAGACTGTGTTGTCGAATCTCGCCAATGACATTCAGAAACGCCAGGTCAAATTGTCGGAAATCCGACTTCGTGAAAGGCGCTCGACTTTACTTGTGACGTTATACACACTCGCGGTATGGGTGGCGTATGTTAGCCTTTGGTATATGGGCATCTTGCCCTCCATCAAAGGAAAACTCGGTGTCCGCAACCTCAAGATTGAAAAGGCGGTCAAGGCCGTTCCTGTAGTCATTGGACCCGTAATGTGTGTGGGAACGACTTTACCGCGACTTTGACTGACCCTTTCACATTAGTATCTTGTTTATTCGCCGAATTGTTCAAATTTGGTACGAGCGGAAAGGGAACGCGGAAGGTACGTGTTATTCGACTTCACATGGCCTTCACCTCAACGTTTTACAGAGAAAACCCTTCAGCAATTGATGAAGCAACGTCGGGATAAGGTTGAGGAAATCAAGAAGAAAACCAACTACTATTCCACGCGGGATCTACTCCAGAAGTACGACGACGTGACCCCTGCTGAAACACCTTTGCGAAGGCGCAACCCTCCCGTTCCCCAAAACCCGTTCGCGACCCCCAAGCCGGGTACACCCCAACTCGATGGTCGGCCCCTGCCTGTTGATCCCAGACTGAACACGCCTGTTGCCGTCAAGACACCAGTTGACCCACGACTCGGTACGTTCCACCAATCTCGTTTAAGCTCTTGTCTCATGTCTCGTAGCTCTATCGCCCTCGTATCCTGTTGCACCTCCAAAGAAGCAGTGGTATGACAAGGTTGCGGATGCATTGCTGGGAGATGATGATCACTCTTACCAATCACCGAGCTCGCGATACGCGCTAATCTGCGAGAAATGCTTCACCCACAACGGTCTCGTGAAGGAGAGTATGTGGGAAGATGCTCGTATGTGTTTTGGATTCCATCAGAAGTTTAGCGCTCGTTAACTCTGCTCTCGTCCAGAATACGTCTGTCCTAAGTGCAACCACTTTAATGCCTCTGTTCGTTCGAAGAAGCTTCAAAGGCAAGGGGGGTCGCCATCCACTCCCGTCGGAATTTCGAGAATTCCATCTCAAACGCCATCTCCTCAATCCGGTCTTTCTCCTTCGCCCGAACCACTTCGATCAGGACAACCAGCGCCTGACCGAGATTTACCCACTGTCGATAATGATGTATCGAACATGGAGGTTGATGAATGAGTATCACCCTCTTCTGTTGTTGTACAACCTGTTCAATGTACGCCATCGTCGATGTTGCTTTGCTCATTCCTGCTCACAAATACGGTGAGCTCCCGTCTCTACTCAGGGACTGTCGGTTTTGATCGCGTATGCATTTTGGTACGTCCACCCTGGTCACATTACTGAACAAAGTTGCCCATTCCGAGCGACGCTGCGCGTCTCTTCCTTTCTCGCGTCCTTTGGTGTAAGGATCTATGCATGCACTGAGCTAAGGCCTTGGGGTTAGCCTCGTGCCAGAATGATCCTGTCAGGATTCCTTTTTGTCGGGCCTTGGCCGTTCTGGGGTTTGTGATGCCGACAATCCTGACATATCCTAAGAAAATCCGGATAAGCCTGGTCTCGCCTCTCCTCAGGCTTCACGGAACTCGACGTCGGCTTTTGTCGGTGCTCGAATCTGCTTCGTCCGGTTGGCAGCTCGCTGAAACTCAACTGGCTTCTTTAGAACGTCGGGCTTGGTGTCGGGCGAAACCGTCATTTGGCCTCGTCCCAACTTTCTATTTCTCTATCTTCAGTCTATCTTTGACCCACGGACGAAGATCGTCTGACTCTACTTTTGATTCACGAAAGCCTGCATGATGTCTACCAGTATGCTTTCTCGATGAGCCACGCGTTCATTTGAGATGAATGGTAGGCCACGGGGCCTGGCGTTGGCACGCTAGCACCGCCGACGTTGCCGTCGCTCCCACTTCCACCTACTTATGTGAAGGTGAGAGGCGATGACGGTGGTTTCCAGAGTCTAAACTGCAATGTGATAATTTCTGTTTTTAGCATTAGGTATTGCTGCGAATGCTCCACACTGTCTTGCGGTTCCCAATATAGTCTTTGAGCCGAGAGCAAGCAATGAAGGGGAGCAAAATAGCACCCCAGGAACTCTCGACTGAGGCGAGTTCGTGGCTTGGCTTGTAGATCTTCTGACCGAAGTGCCCTGGGCACGCACGGCGTTTTTGGCACACTGCAGACATCGAAGTAACAATGTGCTTTTATGATTCGTCCGAGAAGTCGGTCTGGAAATTGATGGAGGGGGAGCGCGCGTCCTTTTGGCAGTATGTATGCCTAGCCCTTGGGTGTGCTCGTGAGGTGAGGTTTCATCTCACTTCGTGCGCTACTCCAGAGTAATCAAACTGAAATGGGGTGGGAGTTCTCTCATGCTGCTGCCTTCACTCCCAACAACAACAACACCCGCGATGGGTGCTCCAAACTCAGACGTATGTACATACGTCCGACCTTTCATCCATCCCAGCCCATTCTTGGAGAAACTGCGCGAAAATGGGTAGGTGGTGTATGTAAAGGATGTCGTTGCGATCTTCAGGTCCCTTTGATTGTTTGATGATGATGATGATCGAACCCTAAATTTCTACACGTCCCAACTTATCGTTTCTGAGGTGATTGTAATTGTTGCAACAATTTGTGTGGTTCCCTTTTTACGATTAGATGTGTGATGGAGAGAAGGTTTGGGGGATTAGAGTACTCGATGTGTTCTATTTTCGAAATGGGGAGCCTGATAGCCTTCAATTGGGTGGGTGTATGCTATCTGAATCATAACGGCGACCTGATCGTTGTGATGGTGGAATTTGAAGGCCCACGGAAACCCAGATAGGTAGAGCATAGAACTGCAAAAGAGGCGCCCAAACTGCTTTACTTCCATTCGAATACATACATATCAAGACGAGGAAAGGTGATGATGGTGGGAGGGTCGTGTATGTGAAAATCGGGGTCTATAGCCTACGTTCCTGTAGAGGACACTCATAGGTATCAAGAATGCGCTTCTACCGAGATGTCACGGGTTCTTACTTCCTTGATGAACACATTTTAAAGAAGCACTTGTCTGGGTGTTTTCGAGGTCGACAATGAAGCAGAGACTTCGCTGTATGCGGCTGTTTCGAGTTCCTGACGGACAGTAGTGACAAGTAGACATATCCTTGGTGAGAATGAGGTCTATTTTGAGAACAGTTTCGAGCAATGAGTTGACATCGACGCGGTCAATCCGCTTGACGGTTTGTCCCAGTGTCCCATGACAGAAAGTGGTTTCGCTGAATCCGCTGATTGTCACCGCCAATCTCGTAGTATTTTTCTTGGATTTTACCCAGAGTTAGCACCCGTCGGCTGCGCTAGTCGCCTGCAGGGAATTTTTGGACAAGGTCCTTTCGATCACGAGGACACCTCTACTGAAAAATTCAGAGAGTAAAGCGTTTACTTGGGTCCAAAGGTCGGATAAACGGTCCTGGAAAGCCTAGGTGGAGGCAGCCGGTGAGATTATCAGAAGGAGGAAAAGAAAATAGTTTGGAGGGAAATCCGATAATGGACGGAGGGCTTCTCATAATTTTTTGAACTTCAATGGGGATGGCTATAGAATGTGCTAGAACATTAGACGCGCAGTTAACTCTGTATCGTTGTGTGTGGGAGTTAACTGAAGATTCTGAGCTCATCCATGACACTGGCTATCGTAAATCTTATCTCAGTGCGGAAGCGCCCCTTCGAGTCAGTCAACGGATGTCAACTAGATCTGTGTTTCAGACCGTTGCTTTGCCCACCAGCAGTCAGTGAGAGCTGCATATATGCTCCAATGTTCCATTCAGTGTCATGCGAGCGTCTGGTAGATAGGTATATGCGAGGACAAGGAAGTCATCGTGCTGGATTCTACCGTCTTCACTCCCAATAATGGCGAAGCGAGCTGCTACCGCTATTGGCACATCCCTCCCCGCTTCTTTTCGCCCAATCAAGTATTATCCATCACCGTCTCCACTCGAAATGCCTCTTGCTTTGATACGGGCTATGCCAGTTGTTAGCATTCAATGGTCCTGAGCCCCGTTTAAATGGCGATCAGGCACGAAATGCCTGTGAGGCAACCGATGATAGGAAGGCATAGCGCCTTGATGAAAGATGGAAGTGGGTGCTTCTCTACTCCCGCTCAATGTCTTACAAACACGGACGACACGGCACGGCTCCAGTGGTTCAGGATTGCATCGGACGAGCCGAACCAACCCAATCCAATGACCGGGCCTGTCAATTCGGGATTCCTCCCTACCTCAGGCTATCTGAAGGCGATGCGCGTGCTTCTTGTGATTTATTTTCGAAACTCGAGCTTAACGACAAACAGAACCATAAGGTGACTCCTTCTTCTCCCCCTTTCGCGATGCCAGCGCCCAAGTGGATCAGGTAATGACTCAGGTCTACATTTCAGGTGATCGACGGGCGGATACTTTACGACGTCCTCGCAGCGACATTGTCGTAACCATTTCGGTCGAGGACCCCGCGATGTCCGAAAGCAAGCAAAATTCCGCTCGAGGCTGGACGGATGCTGGACGACACCGACTGAGCTTCCTCGAGGGATGCCACCCTATGTATTCAAGAAGCTTGATGCGCAGCGAAACCCACGGAGGGGCGAGTAAAATTGTGAAAAGTCCGGGTCTTGCAAGGAGGTTAAACCTGTCCTTTGGAATGATTAGCGCACCGTTTTGGTCGGCTCCGTTCGCCCAATCATAACCCCAAGGGCGTCTACCTACTCTGCGTTGACTCGGCTATGCAACGTGTCTGCTGGCGAACTGGTCCCGAGACTCTGTGCAGGTCCTCTTTTGTTCCTTGAATGTCAACCACCACCTCACCAGCATCGACGTAACGCATTCCATTTTCTTGGGTTCGTCTCGGTAGCGCTGGAAGCAGAAGCGTCTTTTTTGCTTAGAGAGACTCGGTCATGGCTGCCACCATCGCCGATGTTCCCCTGCTGGGCGATGGGAACGGAAATGTACGCATTCTCGTTCTAGGAAACAGCGGTGAGTGAACTTTGCTTCATCGTCGATTCTGGTGGTCGGCCGTGACTGGGGCTGGTTTTTTGGATTTCGTGATGTTTTAATGCTACCCGAGTTTTCTAACGTTGGCTTGGAACAAGGTTCTGGAAAGGTACATCCTTCTCATTCGAGCGATGACGCGGTCGCTCGACCCACGTTCCTGACACACTTGCCAATAGTCGACTGCAGGCGCTCGTCTCGGACAACTGCTTGGTGTCCCTTTCGTGTCTCTGGACCAGGTTCATTGGGAACCCGGGTGGAGGTCGACTCCTAATGATGAATTCAAAGCCAAAGTCAGGGAGCTACTATCGACTCTCGGCCCCTCATGGGTAATCGATGGAGATTACCAAGAAAAATTAGGGACGATGGTGTTGGACGCCAGTACCGATGTTGTTTGTATGTGCTATTTTATCTCGACTCTCTTACTCACCTCAACTGACTTCAATTCATTTGTCACTACCTAGGGCTGGATCCTCCTCTGCTATTGTACTTTCCGCGCCTATTCGTTCGAACTCTGTTACGCCTAGTTGGGTGGGTTGGCCCCTGTAGCCCCGGATGCCCAGAACGCGTCTCAGAGGCGTTCTTCTCCAGAGATAGCATTCTCCTCTGGTGCCTCTCACACCACTTTCCAGATCGGCGAAAGAATCTGGAGAGGATGGCTGAGATTGGAATACGAGTTGGTCCAAGCGAATATGACCCCCGCCGTCGCATGAGAAGACTTGGTGGATGGGGAAAAGAGTACAATAACTGGATGAAACGGGTGGAGGAGTGGGCTGTAGCTAAGAAGCTGGAATAGACTGACGGCAGGCGTACCCCACTGTCAAGTATCCTGATTTGTTGTCAATATGTATGCGTATGTACACACTCTCTCGCGTGTTCAGGCTGTGATTGGAATCTAGGTGATCATTTGCATTGCTGTTAATCTGTTGGCAAGATCAAGCTTAAGACAGAAAGACAGCAGGCGGCGCAAGCGCGTGGTTCCCCCTCTCGCGATTGACAGTTCAGCATTCCATCCAGCTTTGTGGTAACATCTCTATTGGTCGTGGCGATAGCTACATGAAGTACATAAATGAGGTCCATCATATCCTAGGCATGAGAGAGAAGCGAAAAAAGCGTGCGTTATACATAGCCAAACCATAGCCGTCCAATGACTGAGCCTACGTGGGATAGAGGGAATGATCCCTCCTCCCCAGCGGGCTCGAAATGTTCTTGATTGATGGTCGCGAGGTCATGGTGCGTACACGGCCAGAGGAATCAGAGAGCGTGGACGGTGTCTTCTCCCCGTTTATCCCATCGGCCGGGTAGCGCAGTTCCCTCGAGTCGGCGGTGGCTGGCGTGCGAGGGAGCGATGAGGTCCCAGCCGTCGCGGGAGAGTTTTCGACGATGGTCGAGAGGGTATTCCCATGGAGGTACCTCGGAGTCGTTGGACTGACGCTTTTACTCCCAATTCCCGCCAGGCCTGCGCCACCTGAGAAATGGCTAGCCATGGGTGGGCTCGCCGGCGGAGAAGTTGAGGAGGTGGCATGGCCTGTGGGGAACCCATACCGGTAGTGCTGCTCTTCCCATAATGGGTTATCGACCTCTGACACGGGATATAGCGTTGGCGTTGGGAATTTGGTTGGATCCAAATACATCGGTTGCGGTCTCGTGGGTTTGGATATAGGTGGCATAGTCGATCTCGAGCCGCTGGCAATCGTCCACGCCTCTGACCGCGGCCTCTTCCTCCTCCGAGCGCAGAACCAGATGAACAGGGCGACTATCAGTAACCCAAGACAGCCCAACACGGTACCGACGACGATATGCGTTCTTCGTACGCTTGATGGATCTGGTGTTGTGGGTATGGGTCCTGAAGTGGGAAAGCTTGATATTGAAGATGATGAAGATAGAGTGGATGTTTGAATGGAAGATGGGTCTACTGCTGTAGAGCCATCGCCGCCTTCAGAATCTTCGGATTCTTCTTCCAAAATGGTGTATCTGTAACAGTCATTGAAGCACCTCTGAGCGTTACCGAATAACCACAACTCCTTTCACAATAGAGGCCACGTACATTAAGCCGTCAACTATTCCGAATGGCTCCTGGTCACCGATAGACATAACGAGCGTGTGCTGCGTGTTGTTTAGGTCTTCCGCCGCCCACACGACATGGGATTGCACAGTCTCGGGACCACCTCCTCCGGTCTCTGGACGACTGCGATCAATGAGGTCGACGAGTATAGTCGGCCCAGAGTCTAGTGAAAGCGCTGTTGTGACATGATAGGGCCATAACGGGGACAAGAAATAGATCGCTACTCCTGCCTCCCCGTGGATTTCGGGTTGAGTAGCCCATCGCAAACGGTTTCACAAACGAACGGGTAGGTGCGCACCTGTGAAGTTGAACGTCGCTGTAGAATTGGGTGTCTGAGTCAACATATGCGCGTAGCCGTGGTCCAGTGTGCTGTTTTCGGACATGAACCAAGCGTCCGGAGGTTGATAGCTTATTCTTGGGCTATCGTCGTCGATGGTAACGTTTACAGCCACCTGCGCCACCACGAAATACAAGGGCCAGAGGCCTACGAGCAGGAACAATAGAGCGAGGGATATGCGATGATGCATGGAAAAGGTTGAGAGTGAGGATGGCGGCGAGCGGGTGACGTTCCTCGACTACATAGATAGCATAGGCGCGTGTTTCCCTAAATGCATTTAGAACATCCAATAGACTCGCGGGCTAGACGGCCACTATTGTTTATGAAAGCCAACATGGTGTGGGGATGGCACGAGGCTGTCGCGCGGAGTCTGGGATCGTGCGCAGTCACGAGGCCTCGTGTTCAACTTCTGTGTGGGCGCTTGCTTAGAAAGACTTTCACGCGCCCCTTGGTTTATTGGGCGCTTAATTTGAAACGCGATTTGGAAGGCGTCGGGAAGAAGGAGCTTCGGTGGAAGGAACGAAAAGGTTAGATTAGGTCTAACAGATGAATGTTCACTCTACATAGTACAGTATATAACTTAATAACAATTGTCCGTAACGACAGGAAGTTCGAAATAAAGCCCGATTAGTATTACAAATGAGCGCTTTAAAATTGTCAGAGGACATGAATAGGCATTAAGCACAGCGTCCGTGGTTGGTGAAATAAGAGTCTTAAAGGATTGTGGATCAGGAGTATGCGCTTAAAGGCTTACATCCCATCCCCATGAGGTGTCACAGAGTTAACAAGTCCGTCCCGAGGAGGAGACCCAAAGTACTGACTCGGACCCGCATCGCGATTGCCATTCCTCCTCGGGCGCTCGTGCGTTAAGACGACTGGTTTGGGCTTAGCAGTCGAGCTTCTCCTCGGTACAGGGGGTGCCTCAGCCTCGACCGTTGAGTAGCGCGGAGCGGCCGTTTGACGTGACATCCGAGACAAGTGGGAGAAGGGATAAGCAGGAGGCGAGTCGTCGTACAGCCTCATCGGAACGGGCTCATCTACAATCGTCGTGGTTGACGCAGGAGCAGGGCCGGGAGGGCTGGGAGACGAGGAAGTAGGAGTAGGTGGGAGGCCGGTACTGGTGAGGGTGGGATGAGAGACCCGAACTTGGCGGATTTGCGGAGCAGGAGAGCCTGTGGCCGGTCGCAGAGACACTGGAGGAGGCGGGTTACTGAGAAGAGCCGGGAGGGGATTGACAGGAAGTGTTATGTCCATTCTCTCCCTCACACCACCTGCGATCGGCGAAGGCGTACCGGAGACCCCAGTCCTCGACGAATACATAGAGTCGAGCGATTCAGAGCGTTGCGGCTGGTGCATCACGAAACCTGGAATCCTCCCAGTGGCCCACGGCGAGGGTAGACTTTCCTCAATGTCGGGCTTATCTATGATCCGGCTGCTGGTGGGAGAAGGGTCGAAGGTTCTGTGAGGGGCGAAGTCGATGATTTGACGTTTGCGCATGCGCTCTTGGCGGCGCCGTTTGAGCCAGATGAGGACGAAAATGAGGATGAGGATTAGACAGGCGCCGACGCCGATACCGATCCCCAAGGCCATTGCAAGCATATTTCCCCCATCGTCGCCGGGAATAGGAGGAAGCACTTCAGGCTCGCTGGTACTCCTTTCCAAGGCGGTATACCTAAATCCCAGAATTCAATGAGCGAATATTGTTAAGTAACAGAACACTTAGGGCAACTTACATGATTGCATCCAATACAAGGTACGGCTCGCCGGGTCGCGAGTAAACACGAAGTTCGTGCTCATAGTCGGGGTCGAGATTCGTCTGGGAAGCAACAACGTCGCACCAAATGGTAGGTCGAGCACCTTCATCCCACGGGCTATAATGGTCTTGAAGGTCGACTTGGATCGGGGGGCCGCCATCGAGCGAGAGCGTTGCTGCGACGCGGTGAGGCCATTTCGCGGAGAGGTAGTAAAACGCTGTGCCTAAATATTCCGAGTGTGTGATTAGGTCGAGGACACATATAGAGCGGAACGGGTTTGACGTACCATTAAATCTAAACGTTGCGTAGGCGTTATTGTCGTAAGAAGACAGCATGTGGTATCCCCCATGGTCCCTCTCGTCGTACACAGTCATCCTCTCCCAGCCAGGTGAGTACCAGATTCGGGGATCGTTCTCTTCGACAGTGATATTCTTCTCTTTCCAGCCAGGGTATCTTGAGGCCCGAACACCGACGAATGCCTCGGAGACCAGCACCAAGAAGAAATAACCGTAAAGCACGAAGGAAAGGCGGTGGAAAAGAGTGGACGGTGTTCGGGTAGTGGAGGCCATGCTGAGTCGAGAGTCGAGGTTAAGTCGAGTTCATAAAGTAGAAAAAGGTGTAAAGGCCAATGAAGGAAGTTCAAGTGAAGTGGACGTCAATGAAAGAAAGTCGTGAAGGAAGATGGAATTGGAGAGTAGATGAAGATTGAACAAGTTGGGTGATCAAACGAATGGGGGGTATAGGGGAGGAGATGTCGAGCCTGCAATGGTCTCTTCGCCTATATACTCCTCGAACACGGTTTCAGAAAATTGCACGACTCGAACTGCTAACCGACGGTTGGGCACTGTGTAACTAACAAGCGCTAAAAATACAAGGTAAGGCATGTAAGAGGTAAAGGACAGGAACCAACGTAAACAGGATTAAACTCTTCCGCTTTCCCCAGTTGAATAGACCCGTAAATTCGGGCTTGTTTCATGTTTGGCACAAGTTGGGGTTGGAGCCTTGAAAGGGGACTTACAAGCCCATAGAGAGTCGAGCGACGATCAGTGGACCTTCAGGGATTCAGAAGAAAGAAGAGTTACCTTAAGGGAAAACGTATCAATCACTCAACGTAGTGACGACGACGGATGTATAAGGTCGTGTTCGTCGCGGGACAGGAGCTTTCCTCGTCTCGGACTCGGAACGACGCGTCCCCTTGTACTTTTTCGACGCGTCCCTTGCTCGCTGCGGAGCTTTTAGTGAGTTGATCGGACGACTGAGAGTGCAAAGGATTGAAAGAATCTTTGAGGGGAGCCACTTCAGGTCTATTCGCTAGAGTTGAGCATTGGATGAAGATGACTGTATGATAAGATGCAATGAAGGGGTGAGACCAAGTTCCAGCGCTGCCAAAATTTGATGTGGGACTCGAGCGTGGTTTCAATGCCAAGGCCAACTCACCCCCGCCTCAAATGTTCGTGGCGTTTCGTCTACAACACCAGCCCTACAGGGAAGTACCGTGTGCACTCCAGGTGTTTACCGAAAAGAGCTGCAGGCTCGGTCGGAGATAACGGCTTTAGGCAGGAAGCGAGTAGCCAATAGAAATGACAGAATGACTACATTGGGGAGAGCTGGGTCCTTGTTCGAGTCGAGGGGGCACCCAAGGATTCAGACAATGTGGAGCACCCTCTCGACTACGGAACATCTAAGCAATTCTAAAGTGCTGTGCTGTCAGTAGGTTCAGTACAAGTTGTAAGTTCGTTAGTCAGTAGTACTGGACTCATCGTCCCTCCTATAATGTGACTCGGAGTACTGAGGTTGGCTTAGCTATATCCTACCTCTGATAGGCACGGATGCTGATCAAAAAAGCGTCTAGCTTTCCAGAATCCCGACTGTACCCAACGTTGAAGGCAGCGTCGCAGCGACCACTCAGCGCCTAAGATCATGTAGTCACATGACCGCCCTCCGGCATTCGGAAGCCGCCTTGCCGCTGGGTGGTTGTCACTCTTTTCTCGTCCGAACCTCGTCGCCGTCGCTTGACTATTCCCCACAGGACTCAGCGCATTCAGCAGCCCAGCGCATGTAAAAGGACTGGTTAGGCAAGAGGTTACACAGGACCTAGGTATGTCTGGATTTCAAGCTTGTAAAAGGCAAAACTAAACGAATTTATTCAGCTGTGAACAGATCTTTTACCCTGACGGCCTTTATCGTGCTTCACTTTGTGCCAAATTCATGCTCAATCCGATATTAAATGTCCACTTCAGCATCTCTATCTTCTTGAGATGAGAAATGCGTTGCCGCCCGAGGCTGGGAAGAGCATCGAAAAGTTGCCCAAGGGCCGAGCGACGGACGAAACAGTTTCCTACTGTTCTGCTTAACCACTAGAAGCCAGAGGTGTGGACACTGGGAGCTATGTTTCTGACGTTTTAATTTCAGGCGTCTTCGGTCAGATTCACTTCAGGCATTGCCGGGCTATTTTCTCGAGTCTGGTTGTCGTTCTCCTCCCTTGTATCGGCTGCTCCAATGCGCATCCAGGCAGGTTCCGCTACAGGCCGCCAGTTGCTCTGCCTGTCGAGGCGGCGTTATCCTCGACTCACCCCGCGTGAAATCCACAGCCTTCGTGATCCCCCTTCGAACGTTTGAGACGCGACTACGCGGTCTCTTGGTGCGCGACGTTTCCCGTCCTTGAACCCAAGGTCTAACCTAGGCGAAGGACCACATCCATGAAAGAACACCTCCAAATATCCAATTTGGATACCCGGGGTAAATCTCCAAGGCTATCCTGGCGTAAGGGGAGGCGCCTATACATGGTTTTCGACCTAGAAGGAACTACCTCCGTCTCCAGAGCTCTCCTGACGCCCTGATCCGTACCGGCAGCCAGGTCGACGGTTTGAAGCCTTTTTCTTACCTCACAGCCAGTATGTATATGGCTTGGAAGGTGTACCTCTGCTCACCTCTCCCCTCTCGGTAGTGCAGCTCACCCACCGGCATTCGAGGACCCGGTTTGGTGTTTCTTCGGGATTGTCGGGTCAACCGCCGAAGACCGACGACTTTGATGGCGCATCATGATCAACTCTCCGCCTCGCTCCCCAGCTCTTCGAAAGTCTGCGACAAGGTACATGCTCCAACACCAGGCCAGTCACTTTCTCGAGCAGATCCAGGAGCGGTTTCTTTTGGCGAGACGGGATTTAATCGGACTTGACCTTCCGATGATTTCTGTCAGGTCTAGAGAGCTAGAGACTTGGACGATTGCGTCCATTGGCACGCCAGGGGCCAATTCTACCCCTGTTCCAGGCGCTGAAGGTGACTGAAGGTGCTATGCACATTTAACTCTAGTGCCTGTCCTCGCCCAGCACGAGTCACCGGAAGCCTATACTTAATTACCCTGGCGCATGGACTCGGAAGACTCCAGTAAACCCTTTCCTTCAATTATTCTCCTGGTGATGAAGCTCTCTAGCGCCGCTTACCTCTGGGCTTTCGCTGCGCCAGCCTTTGTCATACCCGATGCGCTTGCTCAAGGAAAGCCTCTCTACGCATGCGCCAACTTCTTGTACCACAACGAGACCACCTATCGACTTACGAGCGACTCACGTGCAGCCAATACCTTGAGTGCAAGTACACCTGGGAAGATGGACAGGGCGTGTCAACCGTGAATTATTGCTGGTACGATGTAAGTTCTTTCGTTGATTCTTTTCGGAAACAATGAGAGCTAATTAGAGGGGTTATAGTACAGGAATTACACCTTGTACCACTACCCGAATACGCCGCTGCCCGTCGATAGCCATGTCGCATGTCCAGCAAAGCTGGACATAGCCACCGTGTATAGGATTCGTAGTTCCCTCGATTACAACAAGTGTATCACGGCAATGGGTGAGTACGATGGCGCGCCCGTTGAAATCCAAGTACGTTCTTCCGTTCTCATGGGCCGCTCTACTTAATTCCACACACTCAGGACTGCCGTGCAGACTCCTGGCTACCGAGCCAAATATTTCACTTCACCGGCGACAGCCAGATGCAGCACTTTGCCTCTGACAAGTGCATAGACGTCAAGGACGGTGTCCAACAGAACGGCGTTCGTCTCCAGTCGTGGACCTGCGCTCAGGGCAATAGGAACCAGCAATTCGTGCATTGGCAGAATCCCAATTTCTTGGTGATTCCGGAGGATCATATTAACTGGATGCCGTTCAATTGGCTGTGTGTGGACTTGACGGATGGAAAGTTGGAGAATGGGACGCCAGTACAGATGTGGGCGTGTAATTATCAGAATCCTAATCAGGTGAGTACATCGTCATTTATTAAAACGGGGGAGAAACTGACTGGAGATTCATTGGGTCATTGGCGGTTGGAGCCGGTTGTATGGATCTAGGGCAAGGACCCTCCTTTGGCAATTATCCTTTCTAAATTCTGAGAGCGAACTGACTCGGTTTTATTGGTCTGTTCTCTATGCTGGTTCCTTGGAGCACTTTCGGTTTCGAACTTTGGAGTTTGTGGAAAACTGGTTTCGTTACGGACTGCGTGTGATATGCTATGCACGAACAACGGACTTTAGTCGATTGATAGACTCTAATGTGTGGACACTACACATCGGGATAAATGATATTTTCAATGTTCATTCTCGCCATGTTCCCCATCGGCTCCCTCCACCGAGTCGTCGGCGGATTCTCCAGGGATTCTCTCAGCTTTGCGCATTTGCGCATTTAGACACTCTGCCGGAGCATTGAGTAGGCATGGACTCCAACCTCCAATATACTTCAAGCTACCAAATCAAGAATTCGAAGCTCTAGACGAGATGAATATCAGGCTTCTTCTAGGGACAAAGTGGAGTATCATTGCCCATGATCATCATAGTTCGCTCAGTTGAGACGAGGACTCGACTCGACGACGGAATGATCAGCAAAGCGCATGCGGTGCTCAATGTGACCTGCATGAGAGGATGACGTTCCCTAGCAAGAACGCGGTGCAAGTCGCGACAAGGCCGTGGTCGCCCCAGTATCGTCCCCACGTCAAGTCCAATGTCGATTTTGTCCATCATCGCAAGTTCCCTGTCCTCTTCGGCACAGCAGTTACTAGTGTCGGCACGGTTATTAGTACTTTGATACCCATCGAAGAAATATCGCAGGCGAGGCGGCATGGGCAACGATAGGGTCTCTCTATTCAGATGACCCTGGAGACTGTTGGACGGCGGGTGGATGAGGCCGCCCCGTTGCTCGCACGCAAGATTATTATCACCAAATGTGGGCTAGTACGCTCATTTCCCGGCCGAGCCGTCGGGATTCGGTCGCGTCGAGCTCGAATAAAACGCGACGGCTTTCCTGCCTTCTTCACTCAACATCCATTTCATCTCCCACCATGTCTCTCAAGCTCCACACTGCTGTCGCTCTCGCTCTCTCCCTCGTCGCCGGAAAGGCTGCTGCTGCTCCGTCGCTGCAGGAGTTGCGTGGCTGCTCGAACCAGCTGTTCACCCAGGGCAACCTTTACACCTTGAGCTCTGCTCGAACTAATGAAGGGCTCGTCCAATGTGATTACCTCTATCGTAACCCAGAGGACCAAACCACCGCAGAGGCCCACTGCTGGTACGATGTACGTCTCACGCTTTTACTTCCATCTTCTATTCGCCTCCGAGCTAACCTTTTGGTTCATAGAAAACTGGCAATCTCGTTCGTCTCCCCGACACCCCTGTCCCGGGCATTGACAGCGACGAGCGTTGCGCGACTATTCTCGTCCCAGCTGGGTTCTACAGACTCAGAACCTCAGAGGACGGCAAGTGCGTCACCGCGATGGGTGAGGGCAGTGGCGCCGTCGAGCTCCAAGTACGTCATCTCTCTTCCTTCCCCGAATTAATCTGACCATCGTCGTCTCAATTTGCAGGAGTGTGCCACAGATATCTGGTCCAACGCGAAGCAGATCTGGCACCCCCAGGGCTCGACTCTCCAGGTTGCTGGAACTGCTTTTGACTGCCTCGAAGTCCCCGAGAGCACCTCCGCGAATGGCATGAATCTCAGGATCGCGGCGTGCAATGCTGCGAGCGCGAACCAGCAATTCGAGCACTTGCCCGAGAAGTGGTTTGTTGCTATTCCAAATGAGAAGATCACCTGGTTGGGAGACTCGAGCCAGTGCTTGGATATTCCCAATGGGCAGGCTGCTGATGGAACTCCTGTAAGTGGACTTGGAGTCTGGTAACGAAGGAATTGGCGGCTCATGTGGATCTCACAGGTCCAGCTCAAGGATTGCGATGACAATCGCGCTACTCAGGTACGTTCTCGAGGAATACGCGTTGGACAGGAGACTGACGTACCAATTCCAGACCTGGTACTTGCAACCTGTGTAAGCTTCTGGAGATTGCACCCCCCACAATCGTACCTTATCGTCCGTGATACTTTTAATGAGATTGCTATATTTTGTTTAGAAATCATTTCCTATGTTGAGATAATTAAGCTGAAACTGCGAGAGCTGCTTGTGCTTTGCACGCAAGCGATTCAACTTGAAGCGCTGAAAGAAAGCGCCCACCCCTATGTAACTGCTTGTCAACCCCCCACGTGACATGAGGCGGTCCGGTTATCTACCGAGCGGAGTTGCTAGAAATTGCAGTGGCGAAGGGGAAAGGGCCGGAACATTATTGGTCTTTCTTGTGCCCATCTACCACTGGTACTTTCTCTTGGACATCTGGCGTCGCACTTGAACGAGAAGTTCTCTACTGACTCCCTTGAAAGTTGGATGTCGCTTAAAGCTCGGGTCATGAGAAATTGCCGAACGGCACCTCGCACAAGGGCCCAATTGGCAGTCCGCAACTCGGAATATGCACTGCCAGGTTTCCTTTTGCTGCTCTCCTTCTCTCCTTGAGGATCCCTAAGCCTTGACTTCTCTGACAGCTGTCTCCATCCTAAGTAGTAAACCGACTCGATTGGTGCGCTCACTGATTTCCGTGAATGACCCGGGTACTAATTGTTTGACAGCGATCTCTAGCATGCGTCAACTGTCGACAGCCCTGTCGACCAGCACGTATGCATAGCCTAGTGCTGTAAAAGCAGACATTGAAACGAAAGTTTTAAAGCGCTAGGCGGTATTCTGGCGCCAAGCACCAGCACCATGACTTCTCCAGGGCCCCCCAGTTATTCTGAAACTGGACCTCCGGCGGCTCCGCAAGCGACAAGCGACTTTCGAACGCTACCTCCGGCCTACACGTTCCCAGAGAATTTCAAGATCGGCTCGACCAGGACCAATGGTCTTCTGGTCACTATTCCACAAATCAAAGGCCATTTATCCCTGCTGCACGCATTTGCGACCTTGAGGAAAGAGGTAGAGACATGTAGGGCCGATATACCCAATATGCCGGATGACCTGGAGAAACGATGGGCGTGGTTCGTGCATTTGTCTGTCGAAAGGTTCGTTCTCCTGTTTCGAACCCGAATCCGTGTTCTAATTGATGTTGTTCCAGATTCGACTGCTGGGTGCGAACGTTGATTCCAACAGACACGTTCTTGCCTGTCGAAGACACGCTACCCCCGCTGGATATCTTAATGGTCTGGCACGCGTACATGCTTAATCCAAGGTGGTACATGGAGGATGGTCTACGCATGCAAATGCTCGCGACTCTCCACGGAATGGGCAAACAACTCGCCAATGCCTTGGTGCGCATCATTGTCATCAGCTTTTCCATGAAGGTAACCATTGCCACCAGGATCGACTTCCCGCCATTCTCAACTCCCCGCCCTCTGATACCAGAGTCAGTGCCTTTATGGAGCGCCTCATGCTACCCTTCGATCCCCGGACTCCGCTCCCGCCCTCGAGACCAAGCTTATTGAATGTCCGCGCTGTCAGCGGCCTATTCAAGTCCGTGAGTACCGCTCTTGTAGTGGCCAGAACCTCGCACTCATCCCCGCCTGAATCTCCAGCTTTAATGATGCCCGAAGGCGATGGCTACTTCCAGTCAGATTTCATGACGATATGCGCCCAGGGTGACTTATGCGGGGAGCTCATCATCACGAAGGAAACGTTGAGGGCGAGGAAACTTGCAGATAATCTGAGTCGAGTTGGGGAGGCACCGGACGCCTTTCTCCCGTAAGTCCTTTCTGCGCCTTTCTCTGCGTTGTGTATCTCACGACGCCGTCTACCTCACAGAGGCACATTTTTCACGAATTCATCTTCAGCCGACCAGAAAGCAAGTGGTGTTCTGAAGAAGAGGTTCTGCAATCTCTTGAAGTATAACGAGCGTTTAGCAAGGGTATCCAGCACGGGCGTGGACCGCACACTGGCATTTAAAATCTTGGAGGAATGCGAGTTTTCGCTCGCACACATGAGGGCAAGGTTCGGGCCTCACAAACTGTACGTTAAATGACTTTCTCTGCAATCCCGTATCCTGAACGTGGGCAGTAGAATAGGAAGGATTATGAGTGCTCACCTCGAACCGATGGTTTATTCCGTCGACCTGGCTGGAGCCGTAAGTCGTTCAGTCCTTTGGGCTACAGGATCTAACTGACTCTTCGGGCGATAGGTCCTCCGTCAGGGCAGCTTTGTGAAGAAGATGTACGACTTGGGATGGACGGGGCCTGGATACTTCGACGCTCCTGAAGACGAAATTGCCCTACAGCATGCCCTGGCTCGATATCATGCCTTTATGGACCTTCTTGCGTCTTCGCCTACCAGTTTCTTCGTTCCAACTCTCGACATCGATCTCGTTTGGCATACCCACCAGCTGCGATCTGCGGACTACGCCGCGGATTGCCAGCGATACATTTCTCGCTTCATCGACCAGTTCGTTCCCCTTCCTCCTGTATTTGTGGCTATCCTGACTCCTTGATCTTCAGCGACGACAAGGTGGACGGCTTCAAGCTCTCCTCTGCTTTTGATATCACCTGTCGCGCGTGGAAGGTTCGACCGTTCGTCCCTCCGCGTTCTCCCATCAGCTGACTGGTAACCTTTTAGGACCGTTTCGGCATCGAATACACGTATTGTGGCTGCCCTCTCCCAGGCGACACCATAGGCCAGCGCCTCTCCCGCTTCCTCTCCTCCCAACGCATACCGCCTATCTCGCCATCACACCTCGCACCCCCGCCGAACCGCGTCGACTTCATCTTGGCTACCCACGCCAGCGAGCACAATGGCGTCCACTTTGCGCCATGTAATGAGAGGGTTGCCAAGGTTATGGAGAGGAGGTACAGGAAGCACCTGGCAAGGCAGGAAAGGAGGGGGGAGAGGGAGAGGAAGAAGAGGGAAGAGGATAGGATGTATGGTGATAGGGATGTGTATGGTCACCCGTACGCGTTCCTGTACCCCGTACCGATGTTTTATCCCGTACCCGTTGCGGGAGGGTGCGTCTCCGGACATTCTGGTGTCGTTAATCACGCTGGGGCGTGTGGTAATGTGCGTGTTCCTCTCCCGTTTGTCCTGGTACTGGCCGTTGACTCATGCTCGTGCTTTTTGGTTATAGGGAAACGGACGGTGTGGAGGTGGGGGTTGCAGTGCTGGAGGGTGTGGGTCTGCTGGATGTGGGGGAGGATGTGGAAGCTCTGGAGGAGGGGATGGTGGTGGTGGTGGTGGTGGTGGCGGCTGTGGAGGTGGAGGTGGATGTGGGGGCGGGGGCGGGTGTGGAGGATCTTGAGGTCTCTTCTGAGCTGATGGAAAGAAACAAGTGAAGGGCCCGGGAGACCGAGCTTGGAAGAACCGTGTATACGACGTTTTCGAGGCACTGAATTGATGTCTGCGCTTGTGGTTGACCGGTCCAGAAACTATGGTGTTCGTCACTGCGTTAGCTTACCCTGAGGTTGAGCGCCATCAAGCGCATACGAGGGTACTCGAAGGTAGAGCTGAAGCGCGGGGAGAAGGAAAAGAAACATGGGAAGGAGCGCTATGGCGCATAGGCTCACCCGTATGTATCCCATTACCCTGGTCCAGTGTCCCGTCCCGCTGGAGGGAGCTTTCGACGTAGTTGATCATGCTGGGGCGTGTGGGGTAATTGATGAAATTCCATGAGCCTCGTGAATCCGATAGCCGTTTATGTCACCCTCGAATTGAGTGCTGTAATTCTCTGGTTGTCCTCATTTGTCTGGGAGGCTTAAGCGTCCCAATTCAAGTTGGCGATTGATTTGGCCAGAGGTCGGGCTCGTCGTCTGACGATGGTCTACCTCTTTGCTAAGACTAGGCCTACGGATACGTCTCCGCATACGGGATGCTCCATCTCCTGTTCTTGTCATCTCGAACGTATGTCACTTGCCTATACTGTGGGCATACGACGAATCAACTCGACTTGACTTATGTTTCAATAAATGAGAGAATCAGATGGGTAATAAGTACCAGGGCTCGCTTCTCACCATCAAGCCTCTCTTCGAGCTCATCTGGATCCTGTGACTCGTTTTTCACCTCCATTTGCGAGCGACGCGTGTGTACGATAGTGCCTATTGTGGTGTCGTGTTTCATGCTCAGCATGAAGGGAAGGCCACTTGTAACGTCAGTGCTCTCGTTCTTTGTTCCAGAAGACGATCCGGTGATTGATCGTGCTCGATGATGATGATGGCTCGCGTATCTTGTGTGTGTTTTATCAAGGGCGACCTCAGGTCTTATCAGGACGTCAGTGGGTTTCAGTGAAGTAGGAACTTTGTTGTTTACGAGGTGACAAGTCAGGTTGAGGGAATTCGGAAAGGTCGTTGAGCGCGGGTTACACCGTATAGGACGTTGTCTAGCATGCTGGCCCTTGGTGCCGTTAGTAGCTCGTAGTCTTGCTTCTGGGCACCAGTAGAACAATCCCGTCCCACAGTCTCTTTGATGGCGTATGCTTGATGTTTCGTAGTAAACCTCCCTTTTCCTCTTCCCGTTACAGATCAATCATTTTGACCATGCCCTTTGCATCCGCTCCATCAACGCCAACACTCTGAGAGTGTCAAACTTACCCCTTCCTATCACTTCCTATGCTGTTTTTACTTCTGCGCCGGGCTCGGTACTCATGGACCCGCCTCTGCAATGGCCCATCGAAGAAGCAAGAAGCTCCCGTCAGCAGCTGTCACTGACCGATAAGCGCCCGCCGAGCAACTGCGATGGTGACGCTATTCCCGCTCGATACGGAAGGAGGAATTGGCGTGTCTCTGTGAATGTGGTGTCAAGGAAGCTTAGAGATTGCGGTCAAGGGAAACCGAAAAGACGAAGGCCACCTGCTGTGATGGGCGCTGGGCACGTCGACATGATGAGCGCTTTCGCCACCTCCGAGACAAATTCACGCCTCGAGAGGCGCAAAGAAACATTCTTTGCGCCTGATCTCTATGACACAATCTAGCCTGATACGACAGTTTCCTGCTGCCTTTTTTGAAGGTATTCTGCAGTGATTGGCACCGTCGGATTGATGCTCCTCTCCGTGATGTTGATGATGGGCGCTGAGCGCACCGCGGTAAGATTCTTACAGCATCACGGGAAAGGTTAGAGTACCATGGAGTCGTCATGCTGTGGTTTAAATCCAGGGCTTCTTCCGATCGTGCAGCGGTTTCCCTCACCCCTTCCCCGCGATACCCCTTCCGTATATTGGATCTCCCTCTCCCCCGCCCAGCATGTCCCTCGCAGAGATTGGGAACGCCTTGCGCGAGGCTCGCATAACGCATGTGGGTCCCCGTTTACCGGATTAATCTGAACACGTTCACTGATCATACTTTGTAGATGGTGGCAAGTGAGCGCCGGCATGGTTGTCAATCCATAAATGAGGCAGTACTGATAGTGTACAATGGTGCTTTGCAGTGGGCTCGATCAGCGTTTGGGTGCGTCCTCTGCCTCGAATCACTCCCGAAAGAGCGCTAAACCGGCCCTTTTGTCAGATTTATGATTACTTTCTCGTACTTTCAGACGAGGTGGGTAGCAGTCCAAAGCGAACTGAAAACCTCATCCCTTAACTGACGTTCTCGCAAGATTGACCTCGTATGGCATTCCAAGTGGACCCTCGTGAAGTTCATCTACATCGCGGCACGGGTGATGAACCCCATCTTCTTGACAGTCAGTCGGTACTGTGAGTATCATACCGATTAGGTCTTTCGAGCTACTCACCCTGATCACTCATATAGTTGACCTCTCGACGGACCATACGAGCAAGGTGTGTCTCCCCTATTCGATCCCATATCCCTAGCGCGGCGCATTGACGACAAGATTTAACAGCAATGTCGACTTCTGTTTGGACTGAGCACATGTACGGTCACGTTCTGAATGGTATTTGCGACTTGGTAATGAAACGTTCTCCAACTTTCAGCCCTGGGTTTCATCGAAGGCTTGCTTCTCTGCGATGGTACGTCCTTTAAACTCCCTGGATCTCCAGATGGAGGAAAGGTTATCTAACCATCGCCTACCCAGCCGTCATGTACCTTCAAGTTTATGCATTCTCGCAATGCAATAAATGGGTTGGAATATATCTCATGTTCCAGTGGGTGGTAAGTGAATGGCATGCCCCCGACGCCTCCTACCTGAACTGACCTTGGCTTCTGCAGGCTGCAGTGATCACTGGCGTCACACTTCAGGCCATCCTTTTCTCGACCTCACTGTGTAAGCAATTGGCTCATATAAGTATCTGTGTCGATAGCATCTGACAACGCGTCGGCAGGGCTTCCTTTGGGAATTCCAGAGCTTCATTGCGTCCCCATCAAGATTAATCTCAATCTCTTGGCCGCTATCTTCTCTTCCTCTATTCCTCAGTGGGGTATGCTCGTCATGATCACTCTCTGGATTATGTATCGCAAGTATCGTCAACTCAAGAGTAGCGTGCTAACCGCGCTACTTCGAGATGGTCTTATCTACATGTATGGAATGTTCGGTACGCCTCCTATTCTTGATTCTCTCCCCCACTTTGGCCGACATACCTCTCTCCAACCTTTAAGCATTTTGCATTGCTACCACCATCATCACCTACGAAGCTCCAGTAAGTCTCATCATTTCTACCTTCGGTTACGCGTGACGCTGACTGTGGCTAAAGCCGGGACTACGATTCATCATCGGAGTGTAAGTCTTCAGAAATGATGAACCCCTTGACCGAAGCTGACGTCTCCGGTAGACCGAAGAGTGTGTTCCTCAATATCCTGGTATCAAGGCTTATTCTCCATTTGCGAAGAGCCGCCCGCGCCCACACAGAGCACAAGACAATCGGAGGCTATACCAATCCAACCAAGAGCTTCACCGGAATTCACTTTGCACCAAGGTATCCACCGGGGAAGGGAGTGTCTACCATCCCGAGCTCAGTGGGGAGCGGGTCAACATACGTCGACGCCGCAATTGTACTTTAGGTTTTACAAACGAACAAGGCTTTTCAATCAGCCATCCACTCTTTCAGCATATTTTACTATTTATTGCGTCTTTATGCACCTGTACAGTACTTACTTACATTACGGGCAGATTTGGCCAATTGGAATATCGGGCGTTTCATGGGGATGATGTATCGGTCTTGCCATCAACTGTCTCGCTGCTATTTCTTATCGCCTCACAGCTCACCTCGAGGTGTGAAGGCGTCGAGCGCCGCTCACATCGGCCAAATCCTACCTGCGAACTATTAATACATCTCATCAATCAGAAGCGAGAGGGATCACTGAGAACCACCCTCGAAGATAAGGAGGGCCTGATTGTCAGTGAGTAAAATGAACGTCGGGTTGACCGGTGTCGGGACGGGGTATGATCCTTTACTGTGAACGAATGTATCTCTGCTGGAAATTGTAAGGTGGATATACTGCAACTAAGTGCTGCTTCTACTAATAATGAAATACTCCCACTTTCAAGATTTCACCTCGCGCAGACAACCCTTCCGCGAAAGTAGTCACTTGGCGTCGCTTCTCCATTCACTATGTATCCTGTGGCCATGTACAGCCTGATGTTATCGTAAAGCATTCCAATATGGACGTCAATAGCTCTTTGATCTATGTTCGCTTTTGGTCCCTTGAAACCATGGGCGCTCGGTTCGACCACCTCATAAAAGCGGGTCTGTGGAGGTTGAGCGTTCTCCCGACTATCGAGGACTCGGCCCTAAACATCTCGTCCGATCCCTTGGCCATCTTTCTTCATACTCTACTCCCCTCTGCCGCACAGTGAGAATGGTGTCCTTGTTCGACGTAGAGTCAGCTCTGAGAGACATCCGCGTATCCCATGTAAGTCCCCCATTCCAGTATCTGCACCGAACACCCCAGACTAAACGCCACTCGGAGCTTAGGCTGTACAGGGTAAGTCGCAGACTCGCGAACCCACCTAAATAACGAGTACTATGAAGTCTGACTTGAATTGGGATAGTCGGGTCGATCGGTGTATGGGTGCGTGGGCACAGTGTAGACTGAAATGGGAGAAACTCATCTCTATAAAGGTCTACGATTATTTTCTCGTTCTCTCCGAGGAGGTATATAGAACTCGTTTGGATCTCCTATCACCCAATTTGACTCAGTCGTTTTCTGGATACCTTACTAGATTGAACTAGTGTGGTTTTCGAAATGGAGCCTCGTCAAGTTTATCTATCTGGCAGCCCGAATCGTGAACCCCGTTCACTTAGCCTGCACAGTCTATTGTGGGTAACTGTTCAGCCTTTCGATCTTGTTCTATCAACCTCTGATGTCTGTCCACCTAGTAAACCACAACGTGAGCGCTAATGGGAAGGTTCGCATCATGGTTTAATTTTCTGAGGCTTAAGCACTGACCTCCAGCGTCGACTTAGGATTGTCAACTGTTATTTGGATTGGCGACATGTGAGGATCCTATGAGATACCTTCTTTCCCCGGCTGACTCTTTCAGTCTCTGGATTCGTAGAAGGCCTCCTGCTATGCGACGGTTAGGGTCCCATCGCATACTAAAGACTAGCCGTCGCCATTGACGAGTCGTCATCTAGCCGTTATGTACCTTCAAGTGTATGCTTTCTCGCACTGTAACAAGTGGATCGGGATGTATCTTGGTCTCCAGTTTTTCGTGAGTTGCATTGATATTTGGCGTCTCAGTCCTTGTATTCAACCCCGTCAAAGCTGGCAGTTGTAACAGGCGTCACCCTTCAAGCCATCGTCTTCAAAGAGACGATATGTAGGTGCTTGTGATCATTGTATACCTTCCAGAGCAACTGACCATACTCTAGGGTTCCCTCTGGGGATTCCGGGACTGCATTGCGTACCAATAAATCTTAACCTCGATCTATTTGCTGCCGTTTTCGCCTCGTCTATCCCGCAATGGGCGATCCTTGTCGGGATCACTATTTACATTATGTTCCGCAAGTATCGTCAGTTGAAGAGCGCGGTTTTGAACGCACTACTTCGAGATGGCCTCATCTATATGTATGGAATGTTTGGTAAGCCTCTCGGTCAAGACGTATTCTATGTTGTCTAATAGCATCGCATTTAGCGTTTTGCATTGCTACCACGGTGATCACCTACGAGGCTCCGGTACGTCTGGTCATTCTCGATGTCAGATCACGTCTCTGATACAGCAGTCTCTGCAGCAAACCCTGAAGTTTATCATCGGAATGTAAGTATAAGGTTTCCCCTTTCTTTCAAAACTCACAGCATTTTCGCTAGTCCGAAGAGCGTATTTCTCAACATTCTCGTGTCGAGGCTCATTCTACACTTGCGTGGCGCGGCGCGTGAACACACAGAACAGAAGTCCGTCGGTTTCCGAGACCCCACGAAGAGCTTCACCGGTATTCATTTCGCACCAAGGCGACCACGAGCAAAGACCACGGACTACAGCGCTGGAAGTGGGAGCACATACGTGGACGACGATAGCGCTATTGTCCTGTAATTCCTTTGGTCTCGTGTATTTATATCAGTCCCAAATGCAATGTACTTTGCTTTATACCGACCATGATCACATATCGTTTGTCCAGCATTGACTGAATGGGTCGGGAACCCCAACCCCTGCCCGACCATGCCACCATCAGAGACCACTCCGACAACAGCGCAGCCGCTCGCTCAGTTGCCCTTAATCACCTGACGAACGGCCGTAAGCAGGGCGAAGGACATACGATTGCAATCATTCTAAGTATGACGGGATCCCCCATCTTCGGATGGATGCAATCACAATCATCTTTCGAGCGGGGACGGGAGACAAATTGGGTGTGATGAAACACTGCGTCCTTCGATAGGATTCTCACCTTTACCTCACTTCACCACCCGGCGCGCTCGCCATCGAAACCCCCTTGCTTCTGGGTGTCATCTGTCCTCATCCCCCTTGTCCCTTCTCGCCGTAGGTTGTCGATGCGGCCATGGACTTCACCTCACCTGAGTTCCTGCGCGGTGTCCAAGAGGCGAGGGCCTCGAATGTAAGTGGAATCGGTACTTGGGACAGACTAGCGAAGCTTACATGGAACAGATGATTGCAGGTAAGCTGAACACTCTTTCTGGATTGCACGTATACCAACCTAGGGGAGGGCAGTTGGATCAATAGCTGTATGGGTGAGTCGCAACTGATTTAGTGTGGTGATTCTCTGGCAGTGAGCTAGTGCGAGAGTCTAACGTCTTCCTAGGTTTTTGATTATTTCGAGATGCTTCCGAGTGAGGTACGTGGTTACGGCGCTCTTCTCTTCCTTGGCCAACATTGGTTCTAGATCGAGCTGGTATGGTATTCCAACTGGAGTCTCGTTAAGATTATATACCTTCTCGCTCGGATTGTCAACGTTGTACACCTGACGTGCTCCGTCGTATGTGAGTCGTGTCTCCCTTTCAAGGACAGCCGCACATTCTCAGCAACTGCCCATACCTACAGTAAACAACGGAACGCGACATACAATTGAGGTAGGATTCAAGTTAAAGGTTTCAATGAAGCACATACCAATGGTCGACATGAATATATGAACAGAGGTGTCGGATATTCTTTGGATTTGCAATGGGTACGAATCCAAGTTCCCTTAGGCCCTGCTTCCACTTGACCTCGTCTCTCAATCTTCATAGGTGCAGGATGGGTTGAGGGATTCCTCCTCTCAGATGGTAAGACGTACCCTTTTGCTCGACAAGATTCGCTCTCAGCGAAGCAGCAATCATCTACCTGCAAGTCTATGCGTTCGCCCAGAGCAGATGGGTGGGACGTTACCTTATCCTCCAGTTTGTGGTAAGTTTAGCTTCGAAGAGCATCGTCATACTACCGGTCTCATATTCGCCTCTCAGGCTGGCGTAGTTGTCGGTGTAACACTCCAAACACTGGTCATTCAAGAGACAAAATGTACGCCTTCCCGAGCACTAGTCCAAGATGTAACCAGGTCTAACTGACTTTGGAACCCAGGGATAACGTCAGGAATTCGAGGCCTCCATTGCGTTCCAGTGAACCTCGCAACCGGGTTCATGGGCGCACTTTTTGCGTCATCAATACCCCTGTGGGTTTCCCTAGTCATTATCACCATTTGGACCATGATGCGGAAGTACCGGTATTGCCAGAGCGTAATTCTAAACGCCCTCTTCCGCGACGGACTGGTTTATATGTATGGCATGGCAGGCGAGTATTTATGTCCTGTGCTACCTATCCAACGTGGTCTAACTCGTCTGGATCTAGCCTTCTGCATATCCGCGACGATCATTATGTATGAAGGAACAGTACGTCTCTTTCTAGCTCCACGATCGCCTCGGAACCCACAGAGTTAATCCAGGAATCATTGAAATACGTTATCGGGATGTACGTTCCGTTCCATCTTCTCCACCAGCCTTGAATCAACCTTGCTTACCATTTGAGCCAGCCCAAAAAGCGCCCTCCTAAACATTCTCGTGTCAAGACTTGTCATACAGCTACGACGGGCGGCTGTAGAGCACCGAAGACTGAACCAAGGTTTCGAATCAAAAGACCTTACTGCCGATCCCGTCTTTAGAAGCTACACGGAGGGACTGAGCGTGACCGGAATCGATCTACCCACGCAACGGCCACCATCGCAGAACGACCCCGTTCCAGCGCGTCGACACTGCAGCGACGCGAGGCTCGTTCTGTAGTAGCTCCAGGATCTCGATTACGACGAAGTCATCATAGGACCATGTCGCACACTTTTAAGGAGTTAGTAATTTCATTCAATCACGATTCGTTTTCACTCGGTGAACCGGTGTCCGGGAAACTCTAGAAAGCAGACCTTCCTCTGAATTATTTGATATTCTATTGAAAGTGATGTGGTCCAATTATACGGTTACGCTTCTGTGTAAAGGTCGTCAAACATGGTGATTAGCAGTGACGAACAGCTATGGATGTCATTCGAGAATTAAGCCGTGAAGCGATCGAACCACCCCAAAATACTGTTCGCTGACTCCTGTTTGGCCCAGACTGAGAAACGAACATCAGCACTCATACGGGATAAGAGGACGCATAAAGAGAAGCTCACCAGAGGCAGGGTCAGTCAAATCAGCGCGGGTAGCAAACCCGTGTTCAGTTCCTCCAAAGACTTGGAGGTGGTGGACAGCTCCAATCTCAGAGAGGATGTCCATCGCACGGTTGCGAGAGGAAGTGGGGGAAGGTCATGTCGATCTCGGCGCAGGACATGGAGAGGGGTTCTAGACCGACGGGTTGGGTTTCAAGGGAGAACGGTGTTTAAAACGGCGGGACTTACGAGTAACGTTGTAGAAGTGGCTCTCAGTTAGCAAGGCAGGTTGGCCGAAAGCGGCGGCGACTACTTCGTTGGTGGCGGCAGCTTCCATCGAGAATGGGGCGCCGAAGCAGTACCCCACTGAGACGTATTTAGTTCCGGGAGCTGGATGGAAGGATGGGTTAGTATAAAAGGTTTCCACTGAAGGGGGAGAATTGGAACTCACGGAAGAGCGAGCGAACGGCGGCATTCCATGCGGGTACTAGAGGATCAGCGCGAGCTTTGGCAAATGCGACCCAAGCCTCCACGTCGTACAACTGAACTTGGTTCTGAGCAGAGTCGCCGAGGAAGTAGTCGAGGCCGAACACCCAGTAGCCTGCCATCGGTAAATATCCGTCAGAATCAAGGCATACCATATTAGTCCTTTGATCAACGAGGACGCACCTTGGGAAGCATACCAATCCATAAGCAAGATGTTGTTCATGAAGAAGGGGCTGTAGACGTCGGAGTAGAAGAGGAGAACCTTGGCCGGTCCGGGGTTAGCTTGCCTCCAGGCTAGCGAGGGTTTGTTGTAGTAGGTCGGGACACCAGCGAGCGTGATGTTCCAGCCTTGAGCGACACCGTCGTACTCTTCGCCCGTGAGGCATTGGCGATCGATTGAACCTGCCAGAATAGGGTCACCATGGTCTTCGGAAGAGCTTTCAGTTGGGGCAGGAGTTTCGGAGGTGGTCGAGGTGGGAGGATCCGCCGTGGTCACGGTACTAGGTAGTGGCAGGAACGTCGTGTCCTCGAACCGAGTACCGATCCCTGACCGACTCGCGATCGGCTTGATGAAAAATTGAAATTTACCATAAAATTGCATTCCGCACCGACAATCGCAGCCACGTTTTCGACTTCAAAGGAGCTTGGCGGGCTTCTTGTTCACCGCTGGGGCGAGATGTTTCATCATCCCCGGTAAGCACAAAGAGCTACTCAGCAGGAGTTGTTCGGTTGAGCGAATCGTTCTGGTCGTGAAGTTCGAGAGAAAGAGGAGCGAGAGAAAAGAGCGAAAGAGAAAATCCAAGCATGAGCTTGTAAAGTCGTCTTCAAAGCCAAGGACGCGCAGCGTCGTTCCAGATCGATGTCGAGACAATGCAGAATCAGGAAATAAGATTAATATCTTCCAGGAACCTCGAAGGACCCTGAATTCGGAGGACGGATTTTCAATCGCGGATCTCTTTGTGTGATGTCATGGATGGATGCGGATTAGCTTCCGTGTAGGGAGGCGGAGACGAGGTGAAGGCTGGAACTAGAAGTTCCCCGTATAGAGTAGAATAAAGTCGTGTCTCCTGGAGTGCAACGAGCAGGGTCCGAACCAGAGAGGAGGTATCGAGCTTGACGACAGCTTCCAGACTCCACAAGTCCAGAATTGGCCGTCCCTGAGGCCTGAGATTTCGGAGGCGGTGGTTGATGGTGGAGGCTGGTGGAGGCCACGTTGGGTAAAAAGTGAAAGTCGCGTACTGATGATTCGGGGAATATTTGGTTGTGAAGGCTTTGCCAAACAGATTGGCCTCCGGCTCGGTGGTCATCTGGGCGTTCCGGCCAGCAAGCTGGCCCCAGGCAACCCCAAGGAAACCTGCCCAGGTTTACTTGGCTTCACGCTTCGTCACGGATCTCGAGAGAACGAGCCTATCTTGTTCCAGAATCCTCTGAGCGCTGTCCGATGAAACAGTAGTGCCAATTATTTCATGGATGCAGAGAGTTACACTCTTGGTCCTTGCGCCGTTGGTCCACTCGATAGGTTCGTATCTGAACTCGTATTTGTTGGGATCGGCCCATGCCCTCTACTCACCGTCTGTACGGTCTCCCTCTCTTCCCTCAGAAGCCCTGTAGCACTGTGTCGGTACGACAAGCGCCTGGCGCTTGACTCAATCTTCATTTATCGCTGCCACCGAACCGTGGATGTTGGTCACACCAGTGGGAATTGTGCATCTACGAGGCTGATTCCTCGTGCGGGAGACACTGTTGTTGTGGCTATCGATTCGGGGACGTTTGGGCATAACGATGACGGCAGCACTGTCAACCTGCCGTGTAGATTCGTAGGCATGATTTACGGCTTCCCGGTCCTTATTTTCGCTAGTCGCGCGTAATTATAATCTTCACATGATGTACTTGTACTTGGAAGACGGATAAAAGAACCGGAATCATAGATTATATTTGTAACAAATCTCAATCACAGGAAGAATAGTGAACAGGACCTAACGCTACGGACTCTCAACGTTTCCATCGAACACGAGGAATTTGACCGGAAACATTACATATATACAAATCAAATACAGGTCGAACAGGGAATAACAGAGGAGGGAGGACTACACACGCACTGCATGGATGGCTTTCCCCGAAACTCCAACCAGCTCCGATCCTCGCATGAATCGTACTCTGACATGTGCTCGACCAATCTATGCAGGAACGCGAGTTGCTCCTCCCACCCAGTGTTCTCCTGACCAAAAGTGAAGAAGCTGTAGTCCCAACCGCGAAAGAGTTTCCTCAGCGACGTCCAAATACGCTTGGCTGCTTCGGCAACGGTGGTGTCTTTACTTCTACTTGTGTAAGGCTCGGAGGCGAGCCAGCCCAATTTCTCGTTGCCCACTTGGAGAGCGGTGCCTGAGTCCCAGGTGCTCCGCACCGCCGGCGAGCAGTACCACACCATGCACCAGAGGAAGGATTCAAAATCGTGGCACCAAAGGCGCTTGACTTCTCCATTCGTGGCCCGCAAGAGCTCGACCGCCATGAAGGGTATGGTTCCCGTCCGCTCGAAACCTTTCCTCTCGGGGGAAGTATTTCCTGGGGTCATGATCGCCGCCAAGTCGAAGTCATTTAGAACAGCCTGAACGCTACCACTGCCCGGGCGAAGCATGAGGTTCGTCATGCTGATATCGCCGTGCGCGATCCCGAGTTGCCACAGTAGGAAATTGCCTAGGAGAGAGCAGAGGAAGTGGACGTTAGCTCGATTGAATGGGGAGGTACTAGTACAACGCGCATGAAGTAGTACTTACATCGAATGAGCTGCCAGATAGCACGAACGTACTCCTCCGGGTCTGTGAGTTCGGCACTTGGAAGCAACCATTCAGCAGCTATTCCAGTTGGCACCCGAGCACCTTGGGAAGGTAGGTTCAGGAAATTTCGGATGTGCTTGGTCGAAAAGTCGGAAAATTCGGTGCAGGTTTTTACGCAAGGGAGGTGGTCGATGACATGTTTCTTGTGTTCGCCGAGGTGTCGTTCGGCCCTCTTCAGGGCAGTCTCAATGATGACTCCTTCAGTGTACCGGGCCTCTTCACGCCACAAGAATTTGCCAAACAGTTCCCCCTCCTCATTCGAGGGTACATCGTTGGCCGCGGGGTTGGCATTGCTGCGGGTCGTCCGAGAGCTGCGTGATTCTGACTTCGGTGGTGGTATCTTTCCGTGCGGGAACAGCTTCCCACTGACCGAACGGCGACCTTTGAACATCCAGCGATTGTGGATCTCCGAGTCGTCGAGGGTGTGTGGGACTGTCTCCCCGTCGACATCGATGTTCAACTGGAACTTGCCGTTGCCACGCATCCGATCGTCGAAGCGCTGGAAGATGAGCATCATGGCGACAAGGAGAGGAAGCTGGCTGACGATGTCGATAGGATGGGTTCTGATGCATCCCTGTGGGTCGTACCAGTGGAGGGATAGTTTATTGCCTATAAAATGACGATTCAAATAATTAGGAGCTGTTGCAATTGGAAGGGATATGATGCGCCTACCTTCCAGAAGGACGACGATAGCATGGGTGCGGTTCCACCTCGCTCGCATTAGCTCGAGCCCATAGAAGGCGGCCTGGGTTTCCGCTTTTAGACGGAGGCAGAGAGGTTCTGGTTCTATTTTGGGCCTCTTGCGAGCGCTACTGGTCAGTTTCTCTGTCCGCGGTCGTTTGACCCCTCCAGAAGATTTGACTGAAGTTTGACTACGAGAATCTTTCCCGGTGGAAGAAGGCGGTGGGGCTGAAGGACGCGAACTCGGTGTAATCGCGGGGACGCTCGCCCTGTCGAAGGCTAGGCAAAAAGTGATTAGTTGAAAGCCAACCGAGACAGAAAAACAACCCACGTCGTTCATCAGCACATTTAGCTGTGAATTGGTATTGCTTGTCCGTCAGGCGCGTAAGCTTATCGTCGGACACTGGGTCTCCTCCCTTCTTGATCTCCCAACAATCGATGGGATCCTTCCAATGTACCTTCCCTTTCTTCAATCCGTTTTGGGAGGTTTCGTGCGATTTGGCAAGTTGCGTGAACCAGACGTCGAAGTCCTCGTGGGGGCGCTCCACGATTCGTCCCAGCGCTTGTATCGGCATGCGAATCAGGTCGGGCTTTCGCTTCGGCTTGTAATCGGTGCATTTGGATAAGGCTTCGCATTCCAAGATGTCGGGGTCGTTCACGACCATAATCGATTCGTCCTTATTGTAAACGTGGTCAAATGACCCAATCATCTTCCCTCGGCCGTACTTCAAGATGTTGTTGAGAGCGTATGTCAGGTGGGGATAGCGGTCCTGTTCGGTCGAACATTTCATTCTGAAAGGCGTGAGTAAGAAGTAGGCGGGAAACAAGTACTGCATGACATACGCCTGAATAATGCTGGCTTTCACGTCTTCGGCCTCGGCGCTGTTGCTGTTGCAAAACCGGACCGATTCGTCCAGGAATGCGTTGAACTCATTTGAGGCATCGAATTTGGGTGTGTCCTTCCGCATCTTCCACAAAAACGCAGTGAGCATCTCCTTCAACTGGGTATATAGCGCGCTCTTCAAGTCTTCTTCCATAAGCAGTATCACGGATTGAGCAAGCCTATACTCAAGTGATTTCAGATCTGGCCACTGAGGTTCATAGTCGACTACGCACCTTCCGTCCGTGGCATGTTCCGCATTCGACGCCAAACCCTTGGATTGGGGGGTAGACCCAGTTTTGGGATTGTCAGACTCTCTGTTGGGGGTAACTGGGTCCCCGGATGGCGCAATGCTACAGACGACTGATTTCAGATCCTGCCACTGAGGTGAATAATCGACCACGAACCTTTCATCCGGCGCAAACTCTGCATTCGACGCTTTACACTCTCGGGTGGGAGTAACGTTGGTTTTCGGTAGCTCGATAGGCTTGTTCGTGGGGGTAGTTATCGCCGCGTCCCCCATGTTGAGGTGGTGGTTGTGGAACAAGACTGAAAGCCACAGCAACGTTATCACAGCATTGTTCATTTCAATCTCCGACAACGTGCCTTACCACGTGACCCAGTTCTTTGGCAAGGGCCACGGGGTTCAAGTCATTTGTCACTTGTATTTTATTGTCAATGACTTTTTAGATTTTGGACCCTTTGCCAGCGAGGTGAGAGATGCTAATAACACAGCTGCTCAGGGGACGGAGGCCCCGAACGCAACGCGATCACGTGGATTGTTTATTTCAGCGGCGGGACGCGACCGCGTCATTTCTGGCTCATGGTCTTCCTTTATAAACCTTTCCTTTGAGCACTTAAACAAACCCAGCCTCAACCATCGACCGCAGACGAGCGCTTAAATTATAACCCATGGCAGCCGGGTCATGGTCGACCTTGTCCACTCGAGTGGTACATGCTGCCCTTTGAGCAAGTAGGGTCTTTCAGACTTTGTTTCACGGCCCGGGGAACTGATTTAACGCCATAGAACAAAGGCAGCTTTTGTCCTAGAGGGGGACACGCGTCCAGTCATCGCAGCTGACCATTAAGAGTTACACTGGACATGGTAGTGGACAATACGAGGTCCGATCGCAAGGGGACAGCAGATTGTCCGCCGTGTGATGATGCCGCCAAAAAGCTCGGGGAGAATTCCTAGTTAGGAAGCGCGTTTTAGTGCCCCAGAAAACTTTAGAGTGCGCGTGACTCGTCTCATGGTCACGGGCAAGCACTTTAAGTAAATGGTCCCAGGTCAACAAGAAATCAAGAACGGTTGTAAGGTGACAAGCCTGACGTTCACGTGCTGCGGCTACATCAAAAGGCAACATGATTCATGAGCCTCCTTGCAACGGTCTCAAATGTAGGTTCACTCTCATTCGACGTGTACTATGAATTACAACCGCTTACGCTGCTTGCTAGTTCACGATGCAGCCTTTGCGACTGGCCAAGCGCTTCTCCGCGATTTGGGTAACTTGTACTTGGAAGACGGATAAAAGAACCGGAAACATAGATTATATTTGTAACAAATCTCAATCACAAGAAGAATAGTGAACAGGACCTAACGCTACGGACTTTCAACCTTTCCATCGAACACAAGGAATTTGGGTACCGGAGCCAAATCAAGTACAGGTCGAACAGGGAACAACAGAGGAAGGAGGACTACACACGCACTGCATGGACGGCTTTCCCCGAAACTCCAACCAGCTCCGATCCTCGCATGAATCGTACTCTGACATGTGCTCGACCAATCTATGCAGGAACGCGAGTTGCTCCTCCCACCCAGTGTTCTCCTGACCAAAAGTGAAGAAGCTGTAGTCCCAACCGCGAAAGAGTTTCCTCAGCGACGTCCAAACAGGCTTGGCTGCTTCGGCAACGGTGGTGTCTGTACTTCTACTTGTGTAAGGCTCAAGGGCGAGCCAGAACGTCTTCTTTTGGCCAATTTCGGAACAAGTTCCTGTCTTCCAGGCACTCTGCACTTTGGGTGAACAGTACCACACCATGCACCAGAGGAAGGATTCGAAATCGTGGCACCAAATGCGTCCGACGTCTCCATCCGCGGCGCCCAATAGCTCGACCGCCATAAAGGGTATGGTTCCCGTCCGCTCGAAACCTTTCCTCTCGGGGGAAGTATTTCCTGGGGTCATGATCGCCGCCAAGTCGAAGTCATTTAGAACAGCCTGAACGCTACCACTGCCCGGGCGAAGCATGAGGTTCGTCATGCTGATATCGCCGTGCGCGATCCCGAGTTGCCACAGTAGGAAATTGCCTAGAGAGAGCAGAGGAAGTGGACGTTAGCTCGATTGAATGGGGAGGTACTAGTACAACGCGCATGAAGTAGTACTTACATCGAATGAGCTGCCAGATAGCACGAACGTACTCCTCCGGGTCTGTGAGTTCGGCACTTGGAAGCAACCATTCAGCAGCTATTCCAGTTGGCACCCGAGCACCTTGGGAAGGTAGGTTCAGGAAATTTCGGATGTGCTTGGTCGAAAAGTCGGAAAATTCGGTGCAGGTTTTTACGCAAGGGAGGTGGTCGATGACATGTTTCTTGTGTTCGCCGAGGTGTCGTTCGGCCCTCTTCAGGGCAGTCTCAATGATGACTCCTTCAGTGTGCCGGGCCTCTTCACGCCACAAGAATTTGCCAAACAGTTCCCCCTCCTCATTCGAGGGTACATCGTTGGCCGTGGGGTTGGCATTGCTGCGGGTCGTCCGAGAGCTGCGTGATTCTGACTTCGGTGGTGGTATCTTTCCGTGCGGGAACAGCTTCCCACTGACCGAACGGCGGCCTTTGAACATCCAGCGATTGTGGATCTCCGAGTCGTCGAGGCTGTGTGGGACTGTCTCCCCGTCGACTTCGATGTTCAACTGGAACTTGCCGTTGCCACGCATCCGATCGTCGAAGCGCTGGAAGATGAGCATCATGGCGACAAGGAGAGGAAGCTGGCTAACGATGTCGATAGGGTGGGTTCTGATGCATCCCTGTGGGTCGTACCAGTGGAGGGATAGTTTATTGCCTATAAAATGACGAATCAAATAATTAGGAGCTGTTGCAATTGGAAGGGATATGATGCGCCTACCTTCCAGAAGGATGACGATAGCGTGCGTGCGGTTCCACCTTGTTCGCATGAGCTCGAGCGCGTAGACGCCAACCTGGGTTTCCGGGCTTAGACGGAGGTGGAGAGGGTTTGGTTCTGGGTCAGATTCTGGTTCTGTTTTGGGTCTCTTGTGAGCGGTGTGGGCATTATCGGACTGTGAGTCCTCCGCTGCCCGCGGTCGTTTGAGGATTCCAGAGGATAGGTTGACTGAAGTTTGGCTAGGAGAACTTGTCCCAGTGGAAGAAGGCGGTGGGGCCGAGGGACGTGTGCTCGAGGTATTAGTAGTCGCGGGAATGGGAACGCTCGCCTTGTCGAAAGCTACATACAAACAAAAGTGATTCGAATTTAGCTGAAAGCCAATCCGAGAGAGAGAGAGAGAAAGGTTGTCAACTCACGTCGTTCATCGGCACATTCAACTGTGAATTTGTATTCCTCGTCTGTCAGGCGCTTAAAGCTGTGCTCGGGAATGAGGTCTGTGCCCTTCCTGATCTCCCAACAGTCGATGATGTCCGTCCAATTTGCGTTCTTTTCCTCCAATCTGCTCTTGGAGGTGGCAAGACGCGTCAACAAGACGTCGAAAGGTTCGTTCCTGCCCACAAGGCGTCCCAGCGCTTGTATCGGCATGCGAAGCAGGGCGGGGTTTCGCTTCAAGTAACAATCATGGGTGCATTCACTGGCAGATAGGACGGTGTCGCCGCATTGCACGATGGCGGGATCATTCACGACCATAAGGGATTCGTCTTTATCCAGGCTGTGCTGGAAACTTCCAATAGTCTTCCCTCGGCCATGCTTCAAGATGCTGTTGAGAGCGTATGTCAGGTGGGGATAGCGATCCTTTTCGGTCGAACATCGCATTCTGAAAGACAAAGCAGAGAGTTAGTAATCGTAGGTGGATATACAAGTACTGATGGACATACCCTTCGAGAATGCTGGCTTTCACGGCTTTCGCCTCGGCACTGTTGCTGTTACAAAACCTGACGGATTCGTCCAGGAATGCGTTGAACTCGTTCTGGGCGTCGAAATTGGGCGCGTCTATCCGCATCTTCCTCAGAAACGCAGTGAGCATATCCTTGAGCTGGGTATGCAGAGCATCCTCCAGATCGTCCTCAACAAGTTGGATCATGGACGGAGCAAACCTATACATCCACAAGTGATTTCAGATCCTGCCACCGAGGTGAATAGTCGACTACGACGCAGTGCGCACCAAGGCCCTAACCCGTCTGTCGTATAGTCTGGATTCGTCCCCATATTCCCTGTTTAGGGGGGTAGACCCAGTTTCGGACCTGACGGCGTCTCTGGGTGATGTGACAAGCAGCAAAAGTCGTGAAGCAATGATTGGATCAAAGTGCTTGTTTGGCTGAGAAGGCCATGTCAAACAGAGTCAATTAGCGCCGATACAACCGTCTGGTGTGTAGTAATAAAATTAATATGATGGCAGCTATGTATGTAGGGTCCACGTCTCGACAATTAGGGCACCCCGATGCTCTCGCTCACCTCCCGGTTCCAAAATTCAAATCTTGTGACAGTTGACTTTTAAAGGGATAAGATCAGCCTGATAAAGGCAGGGCCATATATAGCAGGATAGACGATGCGCATTGACATAGGAAGATAAAACATACGAGTGTCCTTTTAGTCCGTCCACTTCTACCGCTCTCGGCTGATCTCCTCCCGACTCGAGCTGGCGTCTCACCCTGACTTCACCTATACGACGTAGCCACCATCGCACCTCAGATTCTGCCCATTAATCCACCTCGCAGCTTCGCTTGCTAGAAACGCCACAAGAGGTGCCACATCTTCCGGTTCGCCAAGTCGCTTCGAGGGCGTTTGTTTCGCGATAGACGAGATTGCATGCGAGGACTTGCCTACAGAAAAATGATTCAACTTTTTATCAAGTGAAGGATGGTTGTAGAGAACCTGAGCTCACCTTCGCGGAACATTGGCGTATCGATCGGCCCGACGCTGATCGTGTTCACAGTGATGCCCCTACTCCCCAAATCCTTCGCCAGAACCCTCGATATTTGCTCGATCGCACCTTTGGTTGCGACGTAGCACAGTGCATTTGGCTGTACAGCTATCCGTCATGATGAGAAATTCTCATAAAAGCAAAAAGGGATCATGGCAACGTACTAGACGCTGCAGTCAACGTCGACGAAAAGAAGATTATCCGCCCTCCAGGTCCCATCATCGGGGCAACCTTCTTGCACATCCATAGCGGGACTTTCACATTCGTTTCAAACGCCCTATCCCAGCTCTTCTCCCCTTCCTCTCCTACCTCACCCAGCCCATCCAACGTACTGCTCTCCATTACGCCCGAATTGAAGACGACGACATCCACCCGGCCAAACGTCTTTATCGTTTCTTCGATGAGCTGGAGACCACCTTGGATGGTCGCTGTGTTGGCTTTGACGGCGATCGCTCCGCCCTTGCCTTGTGAGCGTATGTGGTGTACGACGGAAGAGGCGGAAGTAGCATCTGTCACGTAGTTAACAACGACGGAGCACCCGTGCTCCCCGAGACACTTTGCGATGGATGCACCCGTTCCGCGGCCGGATCCTGTCACAATGGCTACTTTGCCTGGACACACCCTCGTCAGCAATATGCACATGGCAATGGTGAGGACCAGAGGCCAGAAACTCACCCAGTAGCGACGTGGCACCCAAAAACATCGAACTACCTGTGGCGAACTTTCCGACTCCACCGGATCCATTCACGTACGGACCTCCAGTGAGACCTCTACTCGCATGATGACCACCCTCCATCGAGTCGGGCTCGACCGTAATCCCAGGAATACCCAATTTCGTGTTGAGAGGTTTGATTGCGTTCATGAACGAGGTGACGAGTGTCGAGGAGGTGCGTTTTGGAGGTGCCATGAGTCGGATTTTCGGCTTTCTGAGGTCGATGTTGCCGTCAAGCCAAAAGCTGAGAGACAACTCGGGCGAGCGAGACGGGAGTCGATGGGACAGGTGGAAGAGCGCAAAAAGCCTATATAAACTGCCTTCATGCGTCCATGAGGCCTAGGCACACCACATGAAAGACGCGCGGCAGACGACGTCTTCATTCGCAAAGTGTAGCGTCACCCCACGCCTATAGCAGCCTGCGCGTTGCCAATGCCTTATCACATTAAGGCCGCAACATGTTATCATGAGATAGGTCGAGATGACGCTGTTCGATGGACGACTATCCCATCCTCGAGGCAGAGAAGAGACAGAGATGCAGAGAAACGGTTATCCAGCGAATTGTAAAACCGCTGTCCAGAGCCAGGCGGTCCTCGAGCGATTGCACTGAAGATCAACCAACCAGACATGGTGATGGACAAAGCAGAGGAGAAACAACCTTGTCCAGGTTCAGACACCCCTTGATCGGATCATCGGACATTCAACTCAGGCCCTGGCTTCTAAGCCGAACGCAGGGCGCTTAATCTCGACGGCGCGTAAATAATTCGCTCAAGGCGCTCGATGCAAAGACCTCGCGCTTCACGCAACTGTCTCCACGAGAAGACAGAAAGTGGTCCAAGCAAAGGTACCAAGGGCCTGCCTGAATAAGTGAATTTCGTTGTCTAGAAACACGCGTTGGCCTTTGTGCAAGCGAGGCGCAGGTATAAATAGGCAGTCAATGGTGCATCCCAGTTCCTCACCCAGCTCCGGCTTTGTCTCGAGACAGTATTAGTCGTAGCCGAGTCACTGAAACTACACGCAATAATCAAACCAAACCCAAGCATACAGTCTACCCAACAAACTATTCAAGCCTCCTCTCACCACCCAAAGTCATGCCCAAGTTCACCACCTCAGAAATCACAGCAGCTCTTACCATTAAGCCCGCCCTCCTCTCCTCCTTTACAGTCCCCGATCAGATCACAATCGCACAATCACTCGCGCACCTCGAGCTCCTCAGATGCCTCGAAAATGAGCCGCAAGGCCGGCACTGGATAACGCCAAAGAATGGGGGTCATGTATACGAATACGTCGACGTCCCTGGGGCGATAGAGTACCACACCTCTCTTACGAAGGGAAGAGCCGTCAGAGCCCTACCCAACGAAGTCCTCGCCCAAATATTCTCGTACGTCGAGAAAGAGGACGTCGATGGCGTGCGTGCCCCCTACAAGAACTACTCCCTCGTCTGCAAGAAGTGGTACACCTTTGTCCGGAGCCACGCGCCCCTCTGGAATCGACTCAAAATCGACGTCGGACGAATGAACGTCAAGCACAGCCTCCTCAAAAGTGCCCTACTCAGCTCCAAGAACACCAAGCTCGAGGTGACTCTGGAAACCTCCCCGACGCCGCGTACTACCCCAATGTCGGTGGAAGAATTAAGGTGGGTACCAGTCCTGTGCAAGTCGCGCGAGCGCTGGACATCCCTTTGCGTAACCGGCACGGTCATCAAGCGACTCACCGGTCTGCGCATCCTCGGACCGGACGTCACTCTCCCCAACGTCCACGAGCTAACCTTCATCTCGGGGGAGTACCGAAGCGAGGGCACGACACCGCGCGCCATCCGACGCCCGCCCCGCTCCACCATTAACTACCGCGTCGACCGCCTGATCGGAAAACTTCCCCTGTGCACCACCGTCCACGTCGTAGGAACATGCGGTGTGCAGCGCACCATCACCTCGGACCTCCTTGCGGACTCAGTCACCTCTCTCTCTTTCAACGCAGGGCCCCAAGGATGGGTCGTGCAGATGCCCTACATCGTGGACTACCTGCGCCGGGGAGCCAGCCGCCTCGAGCGAGTCGTGCTCGGTGGTAACGAGACGCTCCCCGGCAGCTTCCACCCCCGCATCGTCGAACCCCAACAGGACATCAGGGTAAATTCCAGCTCTATCCCCATCATCACGATGGCCAAGCTGCGCGTCCTAGAGCTCTCAATGCCAAACTCCACCCCCTACCTCCGGTTCATCCGGACACCCGCACTCGAAGAGCTGACCCTCACATTCGGCGATCCATACTTCACCGCCCAGTTCGGACCTTCGGCGAACGGGGGAGACGCGCTCCTCCCCTGGATATTGCAGAATTTACAGGTTGACAGTGAACGCGATTTTGTTGTGAAGAAACTCGTCATCAAGGGATTGGAGGAAGGGGCAATCACCACAGGACTTCTCACCGCCCTGCTCGGCTTCGACAGGGTGGAGAAGTTGGAACTAGTCCTCACTCCTCCCAAGATCTCTCAACCAGAGTCTGAAGCGACGGGCCCGTCCGACGGACCACACCCAGCCACGACATCCATCATCCCCCTCCCCGAAGAGGTCGCACCCGACAACACCAACTTTGAAGCCATCTTTTCAAAACTGCGAACGTACGCTGTGACAAACTTCAGCACCGACCCGGTTCGAAAAGGGCCGTGGTTCTTCTACCTGCCCAAATTGGCCGAGCTTGATGTGAGTTTTGAAACAGAACCCAGCGCAGACCTTTTGGCATTCGTCAATCAGCAGGCTTACATGGTTGCGAGCATGAGGGGGAGTGGAGTTCAAGTTAGAGTTTGTGGTCGAGCCGTGAGATGAGCTCTACAAAATAGGAGCTGCTATTTATTGGCTGGACTTTCTACAGTGAAGAGAGATACTACTTAATATTTATTGGCTGGATTTTATACCGTGTACTAGTACCTGACTATGCAGTTCATCTCATTTCACGTGTGTCGATAAAAATATATCTATCTTTTTCCCAATCATTTACATGTACCTCAGCCCTCGCGCCGTAGGTCAGCCCCTCCCGTAAGCTATGATATGTTACTCTGAACCACAGCAGACCCCTTGGGAATCCAGAGCCACGAACCGTACAAATCGTAACAACAGAAAGAACCAGAACGAAACCCGCCTCTCGTCAATCACAAGTAGTAGGTATATCCAAGGCCAGCCTGGAGTTCAGGTTTGCGAACCACCTGTTCTTCATTGCAATTTGCCGGCCATGACAGAGCGCTTCTTTATCGGGTCTACTTCGTCCTCGATAGCCCATTTGCATCTCCTGCACCATATCAGGCATGCGGTCTCTGTCAGGATGATCGATCGCAGTCGGCTCTCCCGCCCTTCCTCTCGCTGTAACGTGTTTCCCCTTCTCCTTTCACCCTCTGGATGCTCCCCTCCCAGCGCACATCCTAGTTTCTCACCGAAACACGGGTTTGTTGCTCTATCCCGGCCTTCTCGAGGAGTTTGGAAGTTAGCCCCCATAGGGCTTCCTGATCTTAGCCGGGCAATCGGTCAAGGAAGGTGGCCTCTGTTTGAATATATCGTTCCTTTTCTGGCAACTACCATCGTACCTCACCCAACAACTGATCATTCCATGAGCGGTCCTCGCGTTCCCAAGAATCACACCAAGTCTCCAGAACCAGGACTCTATCGAACCCTCCAAAAAACACCCCAAGTCCCCTCACCTCCCCTCCCCTCACCACTCGTAACAATCCCCTTGACTCTCCCACTCAGAACGACACACACACCACCAGCACGAATCCACAAACCACAATATTAACGTATACAACAGAAAAAAAAAACTTGAAAAGAAATACAGAAAAAAAGGACGAAAAGTATAGGTCACATTCCACCTCCTCTATGCCTCTCCCCCTCTTCCATCTCTTCTATGCCTCCTCCCGGTCCACTCCCGATATACTCCTCATCTACTCCTCATCACTCTCCTCATCATCATCGTCATCGTCATCATCCTCATCCTCATCGTCCTCATCATCGTCCTCATCCTCATCCACACCCTCCTTCTCATGCCTCAACGCCTCCTCCCACCCCTCCTCAAACAACTCCTTATGCTCATCAGGATCAGCAATACCCTCCGCAATCTTCGGTCGACCCTTGGCCGTCAAATCAGCTTTCCAAGCTTTCACAGCCGAAGGGACGAGGCTGTTGGATGTTGGTTTCGTTTGCGTGATTTAGAGTTGTAGGTGTTGAGGGAGGGCCGTGGACGCCGATAAGGATGAGACGTCGGTAGGGATCGTAGACGTTGATAAGGATTTGCAGATGTCGATTAAGATGGCAGGCATCAATAACGGGTGGGTGGAAAAGAGGCGAAGAGAGCAAGAACGAACACACAGTCAGAACCCCGCTCTCCTAAAACCAAAACTATATCAAAACGACGCACCTAGGAGCATACGTCCTCGCAAACAATGCAGCCTCCGGAACCCTCTGCGTCTTGATCAAAAGATCAACACAGCCCTTGGTATCACCCAACTGCAAAAGCGTAGCAAACGCGAGGTTGTTCTGGCCCTTCTCCTCTGTACAAAACAAGGACGGTGTTAGTGTTAGCGTTGGTGTGAAGCGTTGGTGTTATCGTTGGTGCTGGTAGGTCGAGGGCGAGGGCGCAGAGGAATGAAACGAACGACCCCAAAACCCAAACCCAACCCCCACCTCCACTAACAAAAGACAAAAGACAGAAAAAACCACTCACCAGCCAACTTAACCAACCCCTGCAACCCCTTCCTATCCCCCTGCGAAAGCAACAAAAGCAACAAACTCCCCAAATCACCCGCTTGCTCAAACGATTCACGCGCAAGATCAAAGCGCCAGACGCTCAATGCTCGATCACCTGTACACAAAAACGAATTAGCACCACGTCAATAGTAAATAATAAAGTAGGTGTAAAAAAAAACGTGATGCAGCCTCGCGCCAGGTCCAGGTTCTCCGTCAACCATCGCGTCAAGGACCAGGAACACGCGGCGTACGCTTCGCCCGCACCCGACATCCAGGACCGTCGAACAATACATCGCCAGAACCCAACATCCAAGACCGACGAACGGTGCCACACCCGCACCCAGAATCCAGGACCAACGAACGTCAACGCAACGACGCACAAAGCGCCAACACAACGACGAAAGCAAATGCCACCACAACGACGAAAGCAAATGCCAACACAACGACGCAAAACCTCCAACGCAAAACCAACTCTAATCCAAACCCAATCCAAAAAAAAAAAAAACAATGCAAAAGAAAAACACTCACCCAACGCCTTCCACTTGACAGCACTCTCCCCACTAGGCAAAACCCTCACAATCTCACTCGCAACATCCAAATCATCCAACGAAAGAGCAAGGTCGAACTTGTGGTCGGGGTCAATCGTGATCTCGAGCGCGAGTTCTTTCAGGTCTGGTACGTCGAATCGGGTTGGATTGAGGATTGAGGATCGAGGATCGCGTGGTCACGGTCGAGGACGGAGGATAGCGTGGTCGAGGATGGAGGATGGAGGCGGGGTAGAACGAGGCAGCATAGAGCGAATCAAATCCCAGATTGAGGTAGGTCAGAGTTGTCAAGTCATTGTCAGGGTTAAACGAGAGGTCGACAGCAGGTCCATTTGAAACGAAAGCGTAATCATAGAACCAAACCAGTAAGCCCCACAAATCCACCCGAACAGCCAAAAAAGCAAATACCACGCACCTCTAGCCTCCAAAAACCTAGCAACTTTACTCCTCTCACTATCCTTGATCCCTCCACTCTCCAAAATCTCCTTGGCACCTACGAGACAGAGAGATCGTCAGTATGCGTTTCCTCGTATTGCCATCACGGAGCCCCAAGTCCCATCGCCAACACACATCCCAAGCTCCCATCATCCTCCTCCCAGCACACCACGTCCTCCCTCGCAGTGGCAGCCGGAGCAGCAACACACACAAATTCGAAACACACACAAATTCGACGAAACCAAAAAAAAAAAAAAAAAAAAAAAAAAAAAAAAAAATAAAAGAAAAAAAAAGAAAAAAAAGGAAAAAAACCAACTCACCTTCCGTATCACCCCTCAAAACAGCAGTCTGATACTCCACAACAGCCAACGACAGCGTATACGAATAGATCGCCATATCCTTGTCCGCCAGGTACACACGGTTGTGCGAGGGGAGGTAGCCAAGGAGGTAGAGTGGGCTGTTGGGGTCGTCGTCGTCGTCGTTGGCGCGTAGTTAGTTGGTTTATCGTTGAAGGTGGTGTCCATCGTTGGTGGGTAGTGGTGGTCATCGTTGGCGGGTAGTGGTGTTCATCGTTGGCATCGTTGGGTAGTGGTGATCGTGGTTAGGTAGCGGTGGTCATCGTTGGTGGTAAGCCGTTATCGGTGGCGGTAGGTCATCGCGGTCGTAGCATGTACATCGTTCGCATCACATCAACATTGGCGCGAATGTCAGCGGGGCCGTACGACACGAGTTGGAGAATCCAGGTCGTTGAAACGAATGCGAGCCATGGCGCAGAGACGAATGGGCGCAATGTCGAACAATCCGTATCGCAGAGACCAACGCAAAGAAAGAAAAAAGAAAAAATGAGAACCAACCCATCAGCAAACCACCTCCCAACCAACACCCAAACCACAAATAAAAAACGCACCTATCAAACGGACTAACAGTATAACTCTCCGTACCCACAAAATAACATAACCGGTTATTCGAAGTCGTATAAATGAAACAATCGCCAACCCATTTGCCCGTCTTCACACTGTTTATTGTTTAACCAAAAAAAAAAAAAAAAACGTTAGCCGTGTGGTCTCCTTGAATCATCGCAAGTTGAAAAAGAGATTGATCGAAAGAAGAGGATGGCCGAAAGAAGAGGATAGGACGATCAAAACAAGAGGATGATCATAACAGAAGACGAAACCAATGAAGAAAATCCACCACTCACCAATCCCCAACCTCCCCAACAACCTCAAACGCCTCTTCAACGCCCTCATCTCCAACTTCAACCCCACTTTCTAGGGTATCAGTATAGGCATCCCGGTCGTATTTCAGGACGTAGAACGAGTCGTCGGTGCAGATGGCCACGTGGGTTGAAGTGGTGGACCAGAATACCTGGTTAGGGTGAGGAGGAGGGGGGTTAGTGTTGTGTTTGAGTGGACGAGGGAGTAGGGATGGACGAAACGAGGAATAGACGAAACGAGGAATGGACAAAACCAGCGATAGACAGAACGAAGGAGATAGCCAAAAAGCCACTCACATTCTTAGCATCAACATCCACCCTCCTCACCACCTCCCCACTCTCCCAATCCCAGAAGATCACAAACCCGTTCCCGCGCGCGCCGAGTACAGGCCCGCCATAGACCTGCTCCAGAGCCCACGAGCCAGCACCTTTCATGATCCCACCCGCACCCGTCTTTTCTTTAAAGTTTTTGAAGAGTTTGAGTTTGACCTACGAGAGCTGAAGGTTAGCATTTCGAGGTAGATAGGAAATCATACGGGAAAGGGGAGAGGTGGACAGGAAAGCATACGGAAAGGGAAGGGTGGGAGGGCACGCACCTTCGACTCCAACACCGCATACGTCGACGAATCCGGAGCCCACGCAAACGACACCGCACTCCCAAACGACTTGTTCCTCCACGCCAACGCCGTATAAATAATATACTCCCCATCACCCACGACAGTCACAAACCGGCCATTCGGCGAATGCACCAGCGCATTCGGGAAGATCTCCGTCGTCCCGATATCCTTCGTACTCAAGGGGATCCGAGCGCCGTCTGTAGCAGCGACGTTCTCGAGGGTGGCGAGGTTGCCAGAGACGACTTCTTGGTTCTTCGTGTATACCAGTTTGCCGGAGGGGTCCATGCTGTAGGTGGGCTCGTCCCGGCCGAGCTTGACGATCACGACGCCCTCGTCGAACCCAACCGCGATCTCATTCGCGCCTTTACGGAGGGCGACGCACCACGCCCGCTCCAACCCATAATTCAACGTGTTCTCAATCCGGTAGGTGTTGGCGTTCCAGATCTTCACCGTCCCGTCCTCGCTGCCGCTCACAATCAGCGGCATCCCCTCGAGCCAGACGGCGAAGGAGACGTTGTTGGTGTGCCCCTCGAGGGTTTGGACGCAGGATTTGGAGAGGTAGTCGTAGACTTTGACGGTCTTGTCGTCGCCGCAGGTTGCGAGGTAGGGTTTGTCCGAGAGAGGGTACAGGTCGACGTAGTTGACGCCCTTGTCGTGTGCTTCGAGGGTGAGGTTGGGCGAGGTCGTCGTCGAGGAGTACGACCCGGAGGCGAGCGACCAGATTTTGATCGTGCGGTCGAGACAGGCGGAGATGAAGGTGTTGGAATCTTTAGGATTGAATTGGAGGGACATGATATAATGCGTATGCCCTTCATATACCTGTACATTCCATTAGATTAGATTATGGATGATATAGAGTAAATCGCACCTGGATACACTTCCAGCCCTTCTCCCAATCCCAAGCCTTGATAGTCATATCATCGCTACCAGTCAGGACAATGCTCAACGTCGGGTGCACCGTCAAACACCGGATATAATCCGGGTGCGCCTCAAAGCTCGCCACCTTCTCGTGCGTGTTATAATTGAACACCCGCAGCTGGAAATCATCGCTGCCCGCAACGAACCAGTTCTTGCGGGCGATGAATTTCGCAGTGCGGACCGGGACCTCGGCGACTTCGAACGACTTGATCAGCGAGCCGGTGGTGTGGTTGTAGATCTGGACTGTCCCGTTGTACAGTGCGCAGAGGAGCCACGGCTCGGTTGGGTGGAAATCGACGGCTTTGACGCGGTCGCTGCGCGCGAAGAGTTTTTTCTGCATTTCGCGTTAGATTAGGCTTTGGTATAGTGGTTGTGGCTACGCACTGTAACGTCGAAGAGCATTGTGGGGTCGCCGCCGCGTAGATGTGGGGAGATGAGCGAGAGATTGCGGACGCGGCGTGCAAGGGGGCGGGCGAGATCTTGATTGCCCTGACGTGGACCATTTGTTTGCCAGATCCCTCATGATCAAATACAGAATCTAATCTTATCTCACCTTGATCGGCCCCTATTCACTCACATACCAACGCTGACGCGCGACTTGCAACACTGTCACTTTGACCGCCGTGTCAGTGGAAGGATTGGACCATCCGGGGCCCAGTTACCCCCAAGAGAAAGAGAGGCTGCCAGTGTGACACTGGTCTACCCGAAGCAGGGGTACGTCGTCGAGTGCAGAACATGCGCATCATGAAAAAACCAAGCTCCAGATATGAGACCAGAGACGCAGAAGTGCCCCAGCTTTAGAGAGATATGCGTACCTGGGAGGAGCTATAGATGTGGATCGGAGACCCAGATTTGTGAGTACTTTCAAATCTGTTTCTCTGTCCCACAGCTGACAGGTGGCCATATCTGCCCTATATCTGCTCCATATCTGGAGAGCAGCTGGTGCATATGGATATGCACTCTCCAGGACCACTGTGATGATTTCACGAGCACGTCCAGCGAAAAATAAGGGAATATCATTACAAATAGTCTACTGTACAAAATCGTACCCTCGTATAATTGAGCCACGCTACAAGACGGACACGAGATGTCAGACCCTCAGAGGATGCCCATCGTGCCCGCCGTCGTCCAAAGGGCGTAAGAAGCCCCAGTGGCGCCGGGCGGGCGCGGACGTGCGGCAAGAGCGAGTCGAGCGCCGGCGTTTAAGAGACACCATAACGAACATCAGTGTTTACGATTCGGAACCAGGAACATTGGTGAAACCCACTTTTAGCGGTACTGATATTGATCTACTGGCTTGTCTGGCCTGTCGCACGCATACACCGCGCTCTACAGCGCTGGCCATCCATAATGCAGGCGCTCGCCCTGCGTGGAATGTCGTCAGTAGTCATAAGGGGGGAATACAGAGTGCATAAACTCACACTTCTTCATCCTGAGGGTCGCATCCAACCTCGCCTTTAGCCCGTTGATGCTTCCATTGCCCAGGTGCCCCTCGCCAGCCTCACCCCTCCACGACGTTGGGAAACACCGATATCCAACCTCAGATCACATCCTAACCACGATTAGAGGTGACTGAGAGCCCAATCGGTAAAGGCGGGTTGCTTAAACAGCCCTACATCGACCGTAAGCCCGACGATTTGGTGGAAAAGTGGTGGAAGGGAAGAAAGAACGACGGGCGCGAGGTGTCGAGCGCGATTCAATTTGAAGTTTCAAGTCCCGCGGATCGATCACGTGCGCCATCAAATGCCAAGCCAGACTTCCAACTTCGAATGAGTGTGCGACCGTGTGCCCCACAATCCTGCCGTTTGCTACCCATTATGCTTTTTTTGGTATTATAGGTATACTTATTCTCTTCCAACGTGCATAAGTCTCTACATTGTTGACCTCAGAACCAGGTCTACCACAGGTCTCCTGTAGCTCAACGTTCCGGCGTCAGCTGGCCCGATATCTGGCCCATATCTGGGCCAGTTCTGGTCTTATCTATCCTCCGAAAGTAAATCCGCCCAATATTTGACCCACACTTAGCCTACATCAGCTATTCACCTTCACATATGACATACCTTACGAGATCTGGTCCATAGATGCTCAGAACGCCCAGATGTCAGAGCAAATCTGCGACATATATTCAGGGAGACCCAGATATCGGACGTACCTGCGTCTCCCACTAGGTATGGAACTTGACATTTTTATGATGCGACGGAAGGACCTTGGTGCGTAGTTTTAGTCGACTATTCACCTCAATGACTGGATCTCAATGTCGAAATCCCTCGTGTATGTATAATACAGCCCTGCCCGATCCATAATACAACATCTCGAGGACAATTTGCAGGATGCTCTGCGTACCCAGCTCAACGATATGCTTACTGCGTTTTTGAGGCAGATGCCGTATGCGGTTGTCCACACCTACTTATGTAGTTAATCTGCCGTACTCAATCCACTTTGGGAAACGAAACCTAGTGCACGGGGTTAAAAAAAAAAAGGCCGGCACCGCATACACACCCCGCACAGCCAATGCGGGCCAGGTATATAAGATCGCGAGGCTGAATCTCCCCAAGATCGTGGACGTGTGAATGCCCCCCTGGGCCCTCCACAGTCGTCCCCCTAATCGTACTAACTGCGCCCAATCCGTAGTTCACAATAGAACCTTGGTCGTCATCGTCGAGTTGAGATTGAGATTGAGGATGAGCTGAACAGTAAGGAAGATCATGAGCTTGAGAAGGAGGATAAAACTGGGAGGACGTCGTAAACCATACCTCCTCGTCGTCGACGTCGTGCCTCGTGTTGCCTGAGCGCCCAAGTGCTGTGCACATCGTCGTCGTCGTCGTCCTCTTCGTCGCTTTCTACACCCTCCCGCCCTGGTATTTCCGCTGGCACCTGCTCGTCCGGTTCACTCCTTTCATCAATGGTATACAGCTCTACAGTGGTCGAACCCAGTTCAATAAGTCTACCATCATCGTCAAACCTAGCCAGGGCAGGCATACCTCTTTGAGCGCTGTCGGCGCTCCGACTTCCTTGACCTCTCGACCCCTCCACATCCCTCCTGGGCACACATTGTCCGCTCCAAGGGCATTGGTAGTAGTGGCGGTGGTGATGATGATGGGTAATGTAGTAAACGCTGCTGTCGACGAATTCTCCATCGTTGACCGTCACGTTCTCTGCGCGTTCGAATAGCGGCATGGCTCGCAAAGCTGGACCTAGGCGAAGTAACAGTAGAGAAGGGGAAGTACAATGCCCGTGAGGAGAATTGAGCGTAATCGTTTGCAGACTCAGTGGTGGCCAAGGGTTACCGTAAGTTGAGTGCGGTAAACGGCGGTAGTGAGCAAAGGTCAAGCACCAACAAAGGAGTATGGAAAGAGCAGTACAAGGCTTACACGACTGCCTCGTGCCTTCACAGCAGTGTGAAGACCCGAGTACAGCTATCTCTGAGTTGCACGATAAATGAAACCTAAATTAAGCGCCGGGCGCCTATTGGCCACCACGTTGTCCAAGCACATACGTCGACGGGCTGATGATGGTCGAGTGCGATGGCCGTCGTCAGAGTCGAGCGCAATGGTTTGCAGCGATGGATGAGTGCACGCAACGGCGGTAGTGAGCAAAGGTCAAACCTCAATGAGGGCAGACAGAAAGAGTAGCACGAGGCCTGCACGACTGCCTCGTGCCTCTACAGCACTTCGAAGGCCCGAGTACAGCTGTTTCCAAGTCGCATGATAAATGAAACCTAAATTAGGCGCCGGGCGCTTATCGGCCGGCATGGTGTCCAATTTTAGACTGTCCCTTTTGCTGCTTCCGCAGCACCAGGGATTAAACATAAACAGACCAATGGTGAAGTCCAGGTGACACTGAGGTACATGCTAGGGGTGTAAGTTATCAACCTCCCATCTTTTCCCAAAGGTTCAACTCATGTACACATCTCCTGGTGCAGCCCCAAAGCCGTGTTCCTCAACATTGTCCTCTGTCGACTCGTTCTACACCTCCGGCCCAATAACGCCACGCCTTCAGCGGCCATGAATCCCACAGCTAGCGACGGTGTTGAGATCTCCTGGAACCAGAACAGCTTCACGGCGAACAGGGCCCATGAACTTGAAGAGATACGATTTGCGACTCGGGTTGTGAGGAATAATTCAGTGGAATCCAGTGTAGTGGTTCTATAGGTACTATTTGTGCCTCAGGCTTAGAGAATCGAGATAATAGCGCATACACGGAATTGTACTGCTAAGCGCCCACTGGCAAGCACTCATAGAGTAAGCGCCAAGGGTTTGTCAGGGAACCTGGGAACGTGGCCTCCTTGTATTGGGATGGTGATGTACGGAGCTTTCTGTAAGCGAGAGCGTTTCTATCTCCAGCACCTCGTATGTTAAGGACTTGAGTCCAGCAGACCGTGGAAGACTGTGGTTCAACCGGTACCCGAAATCCCCGGCATTGTAGGTGAGTAGTTTCACGGTGAATTTGCCGGGCGGATGATGATGATCGGGATGAGCGCTGATACATACTGTCCCTCACCAGGACTTCGGTTTCACCACCTTTTCGGTTTGGCCGCCTTCCACTCCTCCGATCGCCATGAAATTTGGTATATAGGTGTTTTCCGCAACTCTGAGTATGGATATGTACTTTAAACGAAAGAAAACGAAGGGGAACAAGTGAAACCGAACGAGGAGGAAAAATCGCGCCCATCAGTGCCATCACCCGCCATCAGCGAATGGCGTGTCCTCATAGGCTCGTACGCAACGGAGTTGAAAAAGATTGATAGATATCAACATCAAACCGAAAGGGCAGGGAAAACGATGTCCTGGTGAGTGACAGTATCAGCGATGGGCGCAATCTTGAGACTTGAAATGTTTCTTTCCAGCAGCGGCTTTGGTAACTGACACCGAGGGCCGGGGGTAGGCTGTTCGCACTCCTCAGCCCGCTCGCCAGCTCTATTGTGTTGGAACTTGGTTATGGCCCACCTGTGACTTACTGGCTTCCCTTCCCCCCACCTGGCACCCCCTGGCACCCGCCGCTCACCTGAGACCCTGTAAATCAACGACGCGCAGGGATGACCGCAGAGGCAGAGGCCGCTCTCAATGAGCTCTATAGAGCGATCCGGGACAAGAGAATTTCGGATGTATGTTCTTCTACCATCATGTTATGACGCTCCTATGAGCGCGAAAGCTAACTTCGTTTGAACAAGAGTATAGCTGGCAAGTCCACACCACCCTCCATCGCAGCTAACGGGAAATCTGACGTCGGTCTGGTCATATGTCAACAAACAGTTGGTTCGATGGCAGTTTGGGTGTGTGGCAATACATCTCATAGCGATGGTAGCTGGAACAGCTCTAATTAGGTCTTCGACTACCTAATGACATTACCGGAAGAAGTGCGCCCACGTTGAACTATGTTTCGACACCCACTAACGAGTATTGGTCTCAAAGGTCGATTTGGTATGGAGGTCGCAGTGGAGCTTGGTGAAGATCGTGTACGTGCTAGCTCGAGCCGCCAATCCGATCCATTTTGCATTTACGCTCGTACGTGAGTGCCTTATCAATGCTCTTTCATATGGCTGGCGCTGGATCTGACCGTCGAATTTGGCAATCATGCTCTGCTAGACAATCAAGCGCCTTACATCACAGCAAAGGTAAGAATCCCGCATCGTTGGTGCACCACGCCGTAGGCTGACTGGACCATTCAAGGAATGTGACATCGCCTTTGGAATTGCGCTATGTATGCTTTGTGCTAGGCTTCAGGTGTTTTTATCTAAAGGTTGCCACTGACTAGGGACGGGGTTTCTTGAAGCTTTGCTATGCGAAGGTAAATGCGGGTCCAAGTTCTCGACAAGGCTCATTCTGAGCTCCTACAGTGATAATGTATCTACAAGTATACATCTTCGCAAAGAGGAGCAGCTGGGTAGGAACGTACCTCAAGGCCCAATACGTCGTAAGTCTCCCTTCCTTCCATCATTCGCCTACCTACCAGCACTAACTCGCATAAGGTCGCCAATGGTACCAACACCATCCTCCTAGCATTCCTCAGCAAGGGTACAAGGCGTACGCTAGTTTCTGAATCTCTTCCCTCATGATCAATGGCGGCCACGGCTCGTTAATTTCTTTGTTTCCAGATACGACCACTCAATTTCCAGGCCTTCGATGTACTCCCGAAAACATCGATATGGATCTCGTGGGTGCACCCTACGCAGTATCCATCGCGCCTTGGACTGTTCTCGTCCTAATCACCCTCTGGCTAACATTCTACAAGTACCGCTATACCAAAAGCCGGCTGGTTACGGCCCTTCTCAGGGACGGACTTATTTATATGTACGGGACTGTTTGTGAGTTTATCCTGAATGTCGTGAAGCGAAGCTAGCGCTGATTCTTCGATTCTTTTAGTGTTCTGTATAGCATGCACGATAATCGTGTATGAGGCTCCAGTGCGTACCTTCCCAGTTTCTGGCTCTCTGCCTAACATGGTTTGGATTAACATTGACCTGTCTCGACCAGATTACAGTCAGATGGATCCTTGGAGTGTGCGTACTATCTGATCTGAACGGCCACTGCATTGCTCTAAATATGACTGACACGACCCGCCTATTGACAGTCCAAAGGCAGCGCTGGCCAATATTATCTTGTGTCGCCTCATCCTTCATCTCCGAGCCAATAATGGCTCCGTCGTGAGGGGTGAAGACGGTGGGGAAATTACTGGTTGGCGTACTAGTCGCACCCACCACGAACTTGGCGAGATACGATTTGCGACGAGAGAGGTAGAGACGGGGGACATGTACACTACTACTGGTAATTCTGAGGAGTCGGAAGCCGTACTACTATAATGAATCTTCCGGAAGTTGACAATCTGAAGCGGAGTGGGACGACTCTGCAGCGAAATTCTCCATTTCGTCCGACGACATCGCCAATAACAGCAGAGATTTTCGTAGGGTTACTCGATTGCCGGTTGAGGAAATAGGAAACTACTCTTGGGGACTTGAATTGTCGCGGTGTTTGATCTTCGACTATCGCGGCCGTTCGCAGACCTCTTGCGTACTCATTTACCGCCCGTTTCACAGCATCTCATACTATTCATCCTGCTTATACCAATGGATTATATACTGTATTCTCTTTTCGGCGTATCTACGCTTTCGAAATCTAATTGCGATCTAATAGCGGCCGTCATTGCTGACCGCCGGGTGAGCCTCCTGGCAACGTGTCCTCGTTTTCACTTACATGGGGTATTGTAGGTCGGCAATACCCATCGCAGACTGGACCATAACGACTTCATTACGTTCGAGGCAGAAGAGGTTCAAGATAGCAAAGCTGGAGTCGATTAGTCCGCCTTCTTGACTATGTGTACTCAGCGGGTTTTCTGTGCAGCACTTGCATTGAATATTCCTCTGAATCCGCATTCACTCTCTAGTTCGGTACCTGCTCTTCTCATTTTCTCCCTCTTAGGCCTCAGCTTCAACGCCAATTCAGTCGATTTTCATATCCCGGATCCACTCGATTCATTATACATTGACTGAAGCTATTCTACAGCATCGCTCAGTGTGTGTTGTCCAAGTTACATGTATATTCCCGCATCTCAGCTCACAGATCATCCTCTAGAGCTGTATCCCCTTGTCCTCGTCGTAAGTCCCGAAGTTCCATGTACCTGCTGTTCCCGAGGAGTGACTGTGAAGATGTGAATTTTGGAATCTACTGGAGTGTGAGGCGAATTGCATGTTGGAACCGATTGAGATCATGTTGGCGCCTCGCGCTCCAGAGTGGCCCAACTCAACATCTTTTGCCGCTTTGCTTCGTAAATGGAGGATGAGACGCGTGAAAAGAATGTGGGTGAACACTCCTTTAGGTCTGTACATGGTTGAGCTGGAGGACATTCCAAAGTTTGGTGGGTAAAGGATACGTACTGGCCCAAGATAAACTTCAGAGTATCCTACGTTTGTCATGGTCGTCAGTGAGGTGAGGCCGTCCAAAGTTTAGCTGTGCTCGAACATACCGGCGCTCGATAAGCAATAATTGTATTAGCGGTCGATAGCACTGACGTCGAAGAGAATCTCTTGGTTGGCAACTTCTGGCACAGATAGACTTGAACTTACAGACGATCCCATGCATGTAAAGCAATCCATCTCTCAACAGAACTTGTAGCATTCTGCTCCTAGAATGACCATACTTCCGGTATACAATCCAGAACGTTATCAGGACTATCACTATCACAAGGGAGTTATCACGGCGTACGGCTAGAAGAAGCGTAAATCTACTCACCACTTTCAGTAGCGATAGCAGCGTTGTAGGTGGCGGTTGCAAGTCCGTTGTGGAACTTGAAAGGGATACAATGGAAACCCTCGAAAGGCAACACCATGTCTAGGCATCGAGAAAGCCGTGTTCAATGTTAACGGAGGGGAACGAGGGACGTTTTCTCACATGCCATGCTCTTGAAGAAGAGAGCCTGCAAGATTGCAACAGCGATAGCAAAGGCCTTGGTGAGAGTTAGCGTACCCTTCTCCCAGTTCGCGCTTAGTTGTCGGAGGAAAGCTTACCACGAATTGAATGCCCAAGAATATACCCATCCACCGATTTCCCTGTGACAACGCATAGACTTGAAGGTATATAACGGCTTCAGGAAGGGAACATCAGTATCAGAGGGAAATAGGTTGCCTTATGCACCGACCTTCCGCCAGAAAAGAGTGAGCAACGCCCGAAACTGCAACCCGAATTCCACAGAATGAGTAAAGATCCCCGACCTTTGCCCAGAGATTGCGAACGTACTGCTTCCAACGGCGAATACACTGTGACACTCCTAAAAGACTGTTAGGGCTGTTACTGTGTACGCTGGGTCATGACTGTCGCACCGCTTTCGTCAGGACCGGAGAATGGGCATCTGTATATCGTTTGTGACTGGTGTTCAGTGAGAACGTCGAGATGAGAGCTTACATATCAATGTGGAGATGGAATGAAGTGGGAATAACACTCGACCGAAGATGAATATGGATTTTACGAGACCCCATCTCGACTTCCAAATGTGCTCCACCTACGATGAAATCAATATGAGTTTGTGAGCGTGGCGCGGAACTCGATTGTCGGGCACTCCTGACAACCCACCTCGAGTGGAAGTGCGGACAGCCAGTCATACAACTGTGGGCAATGTCGGTTAGTTCTTCATTCGACCATACACCCCCACTAATTCAGGCCCTGACTGACCCATATGGCAACCACCCCAACTATTCACAATGCACGTTTAGCGTACCGTGTCAAGAACGAGACCCTTTCGACCTCTTACTGGCTATAGACTTTGGCATTGTTAACGCAGAAGTTGAATATCACCAACGTAACTCACGTTACTGAGCCTTGCGTGCTCGAGGGCCTGTATTAGAGTCTGTCCTGGATCCATACGAGGGAAGCAAAGGCGGGCCACTGTTCACTGTCGATATCGCTCAATGAAATGACCCTATGATATAGCAGCTTACCCAGCTACGTAACGCCGTGAACCCCGTAAATTATATCGCTGGTTGACCTACCCATTGATCAACCTCAAAGTCATTAAAGCGGATACACTGTACCCGGTTGTGATATTGAAGTTGTCCGAGAAGAGGCCAGAACTTCTCGCCGCATTGTAGACGCACTCTGGCAGGTTCCAGGAGACCGCCCATTGAAGAACTTGTAGAATAGGCTGATGCCAAGTTACGTGTACTCCGTTCCCACATGGGCTTTCCGTAGAAAATCAGGTTCTGTCGTTCCAATCCGTTGACAGAAACTGAGATGAGACCGTGGAATGATTGGAGACCGTTCGCTGTCACGAGAAGCACGGTGTAGTTGGCAGATGGTGATATCATCTTATCTACTCGGAGTGAAGACCATATTGTAAGCTATATTAACCAGGCCAGAGACAGTCCCTACCCTCGCCTCCTGTGCCTCCATGCTGGCGCTCCCCAGCACTGTCCGCTGATCCGCACGATCTTGATCAAGGCTAGCCGAATAATCGCAGGGAGGACTCTACCCCGTGGTGGAAGTATATCTCGTCTAATTCCAGAAGTGCATGAGTCCAGGACACGACCGGAGACCCAATAATCCCGAGAGCCTGCGCACCCCAGGCGGGCACTTAAGCGCTCAGCGCCCAGCTCGCATGGACCCACAATCCGCCCCGACTCCGAGACCCCTTCCATTCCCAATGCCCAACCGCTCTTATGGTTCTCTCAACCTCATCGATCTGATAATTGATTCCCAAAAAACTCAAAACAGATGGACTGGATGATGAAATGAAACTTGAATTCTGATGTACCGTACGTATGTATGAAATGCCAGGTCATGACTACTAGTAGAGACGAGAGAGAGACGGATCGAGCGAGAGTGATGAAAGAAGAAAAAGGAAAGGACGATTAACGAGTCCATCGCCATCTAAAGGGAGGGAGGGAGAGCGGATAATACTACTAGTACGAGTAAAACAGGATGAAAAACGAGCGACAGACACCAAAAATGAAACCGCATCACAATTATCAAGAGTCCAGTGCGCGTCCACAGGGCGAAACAACGTCCAATCAAAAGAGTGAAAATCCGACCAAGGAGGGGACCCTACCCCGTGGTGGTCGTATGTCTGGTCTCATTCGAGAATTGCATTGAATCCAAGACATTTGTTTCTGGTTCGTATTCGTACCATTTCTCCGCATCCACCACCTGGTTCCTCCTCGCCTGATCGCGTAAGTGTAAAATAAACCTCGTCCCTAGGATAGGCGCGGAGATTCCTATAATCCTGTGTAATTTTGAGTGTAAAATTGAGCCGGAGAGAGATCGAGTCCGTTAACCGAGAACATACGGTGCAAGGAATATATTGGCCCCTTTCTGTAATACGTTCTGTAAACTCACTGCACTGACGAGAGAATACCGCTCAACGCACCGAGACGTAGCTGAAGGCAATCGCTAGCGAAGAGAGGGCTGTTGGGTATTGGTAAGCGCGGAGGGCGCAAAATACATCTGAAGAACCTGGCTTACCAGTAACAGTAACGAAGTAGATCATTCCGTTCCGAATCAACACGGTCAGCAGAGCACTTTTCAAATCGCGGTAACCAAAACGATGAATCCATAGTGTGATCGCGATGAGAACTGCGGAGAGAATGAAAAGATGAATTTAGAACTATCGGAGGACAGACGCTCTGCAGCGTACCGTACAGGCCGACAGTTTGGGCGATGAAGACTCCTCCCAGATGAGAGGAAGCGTCCTGACTAGGCGTTATAGCTATGCAGTGAACGTCCTCTGTTAGATCCAGAATTTCGACTTTTCCGTGAATGGGGAATAGCTGTCAATTGGTCACTTATGTGTAAAGGTTACGCTCTACTTACATGCCCCGACGCGAATCGAGTACCGTGTTTGAAGGGCGAACTTGGCACAGTGGAGGGCCTAGCGCGATCAGCTTGAAATGAGCATACCTCGAAGTCGAATACGACTTACGATGAATTGGAACAGCAGGTATACACCCATCAAGCGTTTACCCCCCGAAAAGGCGTAAACCTGAGCATAGAGCAGGCCTAGTAATTTGGGAAGTGACGTTAGAATGAATAGACGATAAGCGGATGAAACGAACCTTCGCAAAACGCCGAGTTCACCATATGCGTCACTAAAGGGACAGAAGGGTAAGATGCGTCATACCCCCCCATTCACAATGTACACTTCTATATCTTCGAACTTACCGGACGTAAGGATATACGTGAGGAAGCATCTCTAGTCACCACCATAGTGAGCAAGGTCTGCTTTATGGCCCTATAGTTGACGAAACACTTACCTCAACCGGAATGTTCGCCCACTTCAGCGTGTCTGAAATCGAGTTGGCGTCGCCCAAGAAACACAATGGAGGAGCTGGGACCCACGCAGAGCCCCGAAAACGTAGCTCAGGAAGACAGTATATCGAGCCAAAAAGTACACTGTCGTGACCAATGTCTTCTTCCCATACCAAATGTATCGTATCTTTGACCCCAGATGAGCTGGTCGCTCTAATTTAAAGGCGGCGGGGCTTCAGACGCACTTCGAGAGGTATCGTTTCGAGATAATCAACAAGCTGATAACACGGGTTATCTCTGGCAATCAGCCCGACCCTGATGAAAACAATCAAAGACCGAGACTTACCAGTGCTGTGATACAACCAGCTATGCGGCAAATAGAAGCATCCGTCCATCACCAAACGAGTGACGAGAAGCCTCTTACCTTTGATGTACTGCGAATAGAACATGAGCATACCAGCACTCGAGCTAGTCATATAACTCAACCCCATATTGCCTGTAATAAGCGATTCGAATCGCATTAAAATTAGAGTCAGACATAGAAAAAGCGTCGTGTCAGGACCTCCGATGGGTTGGCGCTTTAGCCTCCAGTGCCAGGGAACGGGCGACCAAGGACCCACTCAAGAGCTATATACACGAAACCCACAGGGCGGTGCTAATCCATTCTGTTCTGAGAACATGAACAAACTGATGAACTGATAAAAAAGCAGATTTGCCCCAGGATACAGTCGAACAACCGGTCCTAGACTCTCGGAGAATAAGACGCTCAAAAGGCATTGGGCAGAGCACGCCACCCCCCAGCGCTGGCACCGAAACGAATATGGCTGCAAAAGGTGACTATCCATTAGACATCTGCCAGACCGGAACGACACCCATTCATTGCTGTCCCTGCATCTCGTAACACAGTCGACCGGAGACCCAATAACCCCGAGAGCCTGCGCACCCTGGCGGATAAGCGCCCATGGACCCACTATCCCGGGCCGTGGCCCATAACACCCATACCCACCAACATGATACGCACCCACGCACCCCGACTCCCGAGTCTACCACAACCGCTCCATCCCCCCAAACCCTTCCATTCCCAATGCCCAACTGCTCTCATCGTTCTCCTGGACTGGATGATGGAACAAAACTTGAATTCTGATGTACCGTAACGTATGTATGTATGAAAAATGCCAGGTCATGACTACTAGTAGAGACGAGAGAGAGACGGATCGAGAGTGATGAAAGAAGAAAAAGGAAAGGACGATTAACGAGTCCATCGCCATCTAAAGGGAGGGAGGGAGAGCGGATAATACTACTAGTACGAGTAAAACAGGATGAAAAACGAGCGACAGACACCAAAAATGAAACCGCATCACAATTATCAAGAGTCCAGTGCGCGTCCACAGGGCGAAACAACGTCCAATCAAAAAGAGAGAGGAGTGAAAAAGAGGGTCATGACGAGATATTATGCGAGCAATGGAGTACTTGAGAAAAAGAAGACAAGATAAGGAGAGACAGACATATCGATGCAATGAAAAAAAAGGTAATGAAGAAGGAAGAAAGGGAGTGTGCCGTATCGTATCAAAAAAAAAGAGTCGGTATAAGATAAATCCCAATGTCCATATGGATGCACGTATATGAAATGTATGCGAGATGCAGTGGTAATAGTAGTAGCAGAGAGAAGAAAAAAAAAAACGAGTCAACGACGACAAGGGACATCCTCAAACCAATCACGACTCGGAAAGAATCCTATCAATCGACTGGTTCAAGAAATCCTTCTTGCTCGTCAAATCAGCCTTGGGGAACTTGGCCGCAATAGCTTCTCTCGTCGTCCTAACATCACCAAAAACACATCAGCTCTCCGCCCTACAAACCACAAACAAAAACAAAAAAAAGTGCACTCACTTTTTGGTAACACTCATCAAATCCTGCGTACTCAAGTACGTCCTCAACGCACTAAACAACTCCTCGTCCGTCGGGTTCGGATTCATACTCGGGCCAGCAAACGGATTCACACTCGTCGCCATCGAAAACGTCGACATCGGCCTCGCACCTCCTCCCATCATCACTCCATCCTGACTAACCCCACCACCACCACTACCAAACATCCCACCTCCCATCCCAAACCCAGTAGACATCATCGTATTCCGCGGCGCAGTCCCTCCCGTCATCATCGCAGGCATACCATACACACTCCCCGTATTCTGGTACCCCATCATACCAGGCATCATCATTCCACCCGCAGTCGGCCCACCATAATCACTACCCGCCACACTCCCCGTCCCACCAAACGGCATAAACGGAAGCTGAGGCCCACCAAACGTCGACATCGGAGCCGCATTCTGGTACTGCGAGAGCGAGTAGCCGCTGTGCGAGTGCTGGCTTCCATTACCGGTGAGGTGAGGGAGTCGAAGGTTGGGGTTCGAGTTGTTGTTGAGCGGGTTGCCGTCGCGGTAATAGTCCGAACCGTGGCCGTACACACTTCCGCGAGGAGACTCGTTGCGCGATCGGGGAGGGGCGTGGTGCTTGGAGCGGGATTGGTAGCCAGTATCGTCCGAACGACGGGATGCAGTGTCCCAAGCTTCAGCTTCGTATTCTGTCAAACGCATCCATCCATCAGCATCCTCCGCACCGTCCAAGCAAAAACACATTACGCACCACTGAACTTCTTGAGCGGAATCATCGACTCATCAAACTTGTCATCCTCATTCATGAGCACCTTCTTCTCCTTGCCTTCACCAACCACAACACGAGTGTTACCCCAGCTGAACTCGTCCATGCACCAGAACGAATAGACAGGGAGGAAGAACGAGTAGACGGGGTACGAGAGGATGTAGACCACCATCCAACCGATAAGCATGAACTCGCGCTTGATGATGAAGATGATCGCCTACAACAAGGGTCGAACGGCGTCAGTCGTGCACCGACGAGAGAGGAGAGGAATGAACGCACCTGGAGACCGTACACGATACTCAACATGATAATCGCAATCTTGGGGAACGCAGACGCCCTCGTCGCAACCACGATAATCAAGTAAACGAGCTATCCCAAAACCGATCAGCACCCATCCAAACTCCCAAAACCCCAAGGAAACACTCACATAAACAACCGTCGCCGGAAGAATAATCGTACTCAACAAATCAATAAACACAAAGAACCTCATCGAGAAACAACAGAACCCAAACAACTCGGGCAAAATCACCAGTTCACAAAGGTTATGAACAGTAGAGTTGATCCACCGTCGACGCTGCGAGAACAACACACGCCAGCTCTCAGGAGCCATCGTATGCGCCACAGCATCCGGACAAAACTTGGTCTTGAAACTCGGGAAATGCTTCATCAACAACGTCGTCAAGAAACGATCCTCTCCGAGACTGAACAAGTTCTTTTTGTGCAGCGTGTCGACGTTGGGTTCGGCGTACTCCTCGATGATACGGTTCGAGATGATGATCGGGCGTCCCTTGTCGGCGGTACGGATACGGTAGAGCGAGAAACAACCGGGAAGACAGGTGACGGAGCCAAAGAGCGATTCGAAGGCCTTGGAGAGGTGGTGAGAGATGTAGTACTCGTACACCTGGATCATGGTCCACCACGACGTTTCTTCGTTCGCCAACTTGGTCTCGCCACAGATACCGATGATCGAAGAATCGTCCGCGCTGGAAGCAACGAGCCTATTGAGCGAGTCGGGGGTAACAGTCTACACCACCCCATCAGCATCGCACCTCCCTCGCACCAAAAAGGATGAAACGTACCGTATCGGCATCAATGGTGAAGATATACTCGTAGAACGCAGGATCGATTCCAATAACGTTCCTCATCTGGTGATAAATCTCCAACTCGAGCGGGTTCATAGGCGAATCGAAATGGACACGATTGAGGTACTGCATCAACAAGATCTGCGAGTCTCGCTTGCCACGATTGCCAGGCTTGGAGCGCTCAGTCGGCTTGCCGACCTTGACGACGACCATGTACCTAGTAGCGACGAATCGTCAGTCACCGGTTCGCGACGTATGGCAGGTGACTACTTAGTACTCACGGAACAACATGACCCTCAAACTCGTACAACCCACTGTAAACCTTTCCATAGTTCAGCGCCCGACTACCCTCGCCAACACTCTTGAACAGCAAAGGCTCAGGATCAACGCTCGGGTCCACACCAAGAATGTCGAGCACAATCCGAGGCGTCGTCCGATCGTTGCCGCTTCCAATAATGTTGCCCTATTCCCCAATATCACCGTCAGCGCCATCCTCGTTTCAAAAACACCGGTCCTCAACTCCCAGCGAATGATCAAGTACTCACATCGCAAATAATGAAAATCAACTTGCGCTTATCATCATAATTCAAAGCAGCAAGCGAATCAATCGTACGTCGCAACGAATCTTCGCCTTCAGTGTAACATGGCACTTGGCACAGAACGAACTTGTCTTGAAGTTCGGGTGAACGCTTGGATCCGAGTTGCAGGGCAGCGAGGACTAGAAAGGAACGAGGACGAGGAGCGTCAGCGACGAGTCCGGGACATCGATGCAAAACCACGAGTAAGAAAAAGAGAAGCCAGAAAACCAAAAACCACTCACACTTCAACCCCATACTACTCATCAAAATCACCGAAGCAATAATCAACAAATAATTCGAAGCCTGACAACGCGCCGTCTTCCGGAAATCAGTCTCGCCCATGTAGAACGCATTGGTCAGACAGTTCATGTTCACGTCGCGTTCGGCTTTCGAGAGTTGGGTGAAGAGCTGCAAAGGAGAGGTTCGTCAGCGGTGTTGCGGGGTCGGCAGAGGGGTAGGACCAATGGCGGAACCACGCATTACGATTCACGAACAAAAAACACACCTTGTTCAAATTCTCAGTAATATCATCCCCCGCACCCCTCCGGAACACATCCACAATATCATCATTCAAAAACTTGTACGGGCCCGCATTCTGATTGAGGTCGAGCGTATGCACGTAATCCGTCAAATCGTACAACTTGTCTTCGTAGATCGACCAGATCCTACACGTCGTAAGTAGAATGCGTCAGTATCGAGTATTTCAACCAGGAGGACAGAAAAAAGCCGAAGAAAAAGACGAAACGACGAATCTCAAAGTCAACAAAACCAAAAACCAAAAAACATCGCACTCACTTCTCCATATTCTCATCCCTCGCCCACTCCCTAACAAGCTTCCGATCCCAAACAAGCGGTCCCTTCCTAAACTCCCTCATCTTCCTCACAAACTTGTTCACATACCACTCCGGATCCTCCAACCCCTCACTCCCACCCCTCGCAAGCCTCCCACTCTCATGCCTAGCAGTCTCAACCAACACCGTCCAATTCTTCCTCGTCAAAAAGAGGGTATCGTCGTCCACGAGATGCGGGCAGGCGAGGACGAGTGGTGGGGGGAAGTAGTAAGTGAGATCTTGACCAGCGAGGGCTTCCTTGTTCTCGGGCGTGTTGGATCGCAGGTTGGGCATCTTGGCATGATCCGCACGAATAAAATCCGTCAAATCATAAACCCACCCTTGAATCGTAACATAATAATCATCCTCCCCCTGATGCGTAGCAACCTCATCCAAACTCCACGCTCGATCATACTCGGGACACAACAACCTCCCAAACATCACAATAAAGAATATGACCAACGCGTTGAAAAGAACGATCAACCAAAAGATCGTAAACTTTTCACGCCAGGCGAGTCGAACGTCGGGACGCTTCATTCGTCCGATCCGGTGCAGGAGGAAGGAGGGCATCCAGAATGTGGTGAGCCAGACGATGCGGAGCCACCACCGTCGAGTCGAGGATGTCGGAACTTCTTCAACCGCGTTCGAGGCTTCTTTCACTTTGATGTCCCCCCCAGGTGAGCCTCCACCACCCCCACCACCCGCAGACATCTCCTCCTTCGAATCCATACCCGACGGCGAACCAGGGTACTCAGGCGGGAACCCAGGACTCTTCAAGCCTCCACTGCCATACCCAGCACCACCACCTCCACTCCCATACCCCGCACCCCCTCCCCCACCAGCCGACCTCGGAAGCAAAAGATTATCATTGCTCTCCGCCAAGCCCCCATTCCCATACGCCCCATAACTCGAGCTCGGAATCGTCAACATCCCGCCAGCACCAACAGCCCCAGTCCCATGCGTCCAATCCGTCATCGCATCCCCATCCACATCCCCATCCTCCTCATCCCCCTCCCCTCCTTCAACAGTCGTAGCAGCACCCGCACCAAACCTCGCCGCATCCTTCTCAGCCGCCCGGACCCGATCCTCAACAACCTTCCACGCATCATAGGTGAGCCAAACCCGACCATGGTCGTCCGAAGAGGAAATATGCACATCCACACCCTCCTTCCATCCTTCAGCCCGGATACACTGGTTGATGCGCTCCGGCACGCTACCGCGCATACGCGTGACGTAGCGGTCGCAAAAGGCGGAGGCGGGGATACCGATCGACCAGTCATTCTTGAACGTGCGTTGAATGAGGCCTGAGGCGGGGAAAAGGCGAAAAGGCGTCAGTCAGACATCGATCGAACGATTCAAGGAAAAAGAACAAAAACTCACCACTCAACCCACCCAACCCAACCTGATTCCTCACCCTCCTCTTATCAAACGAATTCGGGGTACCAGAATCGTTAGGCCTAATATGGGTGAGCACGAACAACCTCGAACCAGGCGAGGGGATATGGGTTCCTGCTCCCGACACTCCTGACGTGGCTTGAGGCGCTACATCCAAAGAACCCTCATCAGCATCCCAGGCCGAGTGAAGGAAAGAAAAAGAAAAAGACGCCGACGCACCATCATCAAACGGACTCTTCCCATCCTCCCCAAGTCCACCCAACAATCCCCCCTCCTCTCCCACCCCACTGTCCTTCCCTTCAAGCAACCCCTCAACACCCTCCAACCTCCTCCCCCCATCCCTCCCAACACCCGGCTGCACAACAGAAGAGAACACATCCAAAACCTCTCCAACAACCCAACTCATCTGCGTAACAAGCGGGTACGTCTTACCCGAATCCAACCTCGTACGTCCAACACCCAGGGTTCTCTCCTGTACAAACATCTCAACTTCCTTCCGCGCCTGATCGCGTTTCCCAGCTCCCGGTGTCAAAAAATCTCCCAACCCTCCACCAGTCTCGTCCTCCTGAGGCGAGCCGTTGATCTTCTCCTTGATCGAAGCCGAATGTGCGTAAAGAGAAGAGGGGAGAGCAACAACACCCCCAACATCCCCCACACCCGCACTGCCCACCTGTCCAACCACAACAACCCCCTCATCCTTCACATGCCTCTCCGCACTAACCCCCGGCCCACTCATCAACTTTCTAATAAACCCATCACTCGATCCTCTCAACAACGAAAGGAACGCAGGATCCATCAAATCCGCGTTGGTCGACACAAAGTTTGACGCAGAGTATGAAGTCGAATGCGAGTTCATCGAATGCGAGATCGTAAACGCAGTCGGGGCACGGAGTTTGGGTGAAGTCGAGGACGGGGAATCGGCAAACGGCGAGGCACTCTCGTCGATCGCAAAGACATTCGAAGCATACTTGGAAGACGAAACTTCATCCCTCATCTCCCTGACCACTTCGCCCTCCCGCTCCTTCTCCTCCCCGACACCTCCGCCACTCTTCCCGCTCTTCCAGTTGTTCGAAGCGCGCGCTAGGACGCCGACGAGACCACCCAACTTCTTCCCGCTGGAACTGACAACGGCCGTCCCGCCCCACACCCCATTGCCCGCGAGCACTCCACATCCAGGACCCCTAAACACCTCAACGACGCCAGCACTATCCTTGCCCGCCATGCCGGGTTGGACTTCAGGTAGGACAAGCCCGTCGTCCTTGAGGAAGGTATTGAACCCGACACTATCGTCATAAACGTGCTTCGAAATGAACGAGTTGACCATCTCATCCGCAAAATTGACGATAAACTCTTCAAAAGCGTTGGAGGCAAAGGGCGAGACGAGGGGCATCGCACCCGTCAGAGACATCGAAGTCGTACCCGACGGCGAGCGGGTCTGGTATCCAGGCTGGTCGAGGTAGAAGATCGGGATCGTCGAGGCGAGGTTGGCTAGTGCGTCGACAGGCGAGTCGGAAGCGTTGGCGTTGGTGGAGGACGGCGGGGCCAAACGATGGTTACAACTCTCCGCCACATACATGACCAAAATCGCATACAGATCCTTGACACATCTGTCCCTCTGCGCCTCACTCCCCTTCTCATCCAACAGCACACTAAACACCTCCTTCTTCTTCGCATACCTCGTCCTCGTAGTCAGAACATTACCCAACTCCTCCTCCCCCACACCCAAAAGCCTCGCAATCTGCACCAACAGCGCCTGATTGGGGATAGTCGCCTGAGAATCGGGCATCTCGTGCGAGAACTGGAAGGTGAGGTTGCTGAACAGGAGGATGGCGGTGAGAATCGTGAAAATGCTCTGCAGATGCTTGGGTTTGAAGCCCATCGTCGCCAGCGCCGCGCGGGTCTCGGTCATCGCCGTCGCATCGTCCGAGAAGGGGCCAGCAGGTAACCTGTAGCACCCGCTCGACGCTAAGAGGCGGTACTCGGACACATCTTCGAGCCCGAATGTGTCCCGCTCGGCCGAGGTGGCGCCGTTGAGGAACTGGTAAAAGATATGGTACGTGCGTTCCTCCTTGTCGAGCTTGACGACGCGGGACTTGTCGAGGCCGAATGTGAGGATGCGGGCACCGGCGATCCGGCCCTTGGATGGCGAGAAATGGAGAGAGACGAATCGGGAGTGCAGGGATGCGTTGGGGTTCATCAGCGATTTGGCGTTCCCGAATGCATCGAGGATGGTCAGCGTCGCCTTGATCTGGTTGGCCAATGCGATCTCCTTTTTGGAGTGGGCGGACAGAAGCAGGAGTTGGTTCGTCAGAAGACGGAGCGAGGTCGATTTGCCAGATGCCGTTATTCCCCTGTATTCCCATATTAGCCTCCCCTCAAAAATAATAGAAAAAAGAATACAACGCACCTAGCCAAAACACCCTGCGCCTCCTTCTTCCTCCTCATCAACAAATACATCCGAGTCGCAACCTCATACACATGCGGCTGTACACCTCTCACACCCACACCCCCGACACCCTCCCCACTGGTATCCCTCCACCCCCTCTCCGCATACTCCCTCTGACTCTCATCGCTACTACTCCCCAGACTCTTCCAGGGGTTCACAACGACAAGGTGGTGGCTCCCCACACGGGTATAAGGCAGGTCCGAGCGGAAGCGGGTTTGGAGGACACTCAGGAGGGCGTCGTCGGTTGGGTAGATCGTTGCGCTCGGCGAGCTCGAGACGAGGTCGAGGAGGTCGCCCGAGGCGACTGCTTGTGTTGTTTGTGCTGATGACATCGTGGTTGTCGTCCGAGTTGTTGTTGTAGTCTATTAGATGGCTGAAAATAAGTTGTGGCGATAGATGGTTGAACGGTGAATGAAGCCCGCAGGTTTTTTTTTTGGCTGGCGCGGTGTTTGGTAGTGCGTAGTCGGTAGTCGGTCGGTGGTACTCCGTAGTCGGTAGTCCGTCGGTCGGTGGCGGTAAACAACGTCCGCCCCGCTGGCGACGCTGCTAGTCGGTCGTCGGGCTGGTAGTCGATGCTCGTCGCAGTGGTGGTGACGTAGCACACAGAACCTCGAAGAAGAGGACAGAAAGAAGCAACCCAACGAAATCACCCTCGTCGGGGTCTTTTCGTCACCAGTCTCTGCGCAACGTCGACCGTCGCTCTCCGGGCCCTTTCTTCAATCTCGAATGGGAAGGAAAAGAAAGTTCTAGTACTCCCCCAGTGGTGGTGTCTTCTTCGCCTAATGCCCTGGTACCAAACACAGGACCGTCGTCGAAGGAAACGGAAAGAAAGGAGGTGGGGAAAAGGAAAGGTGAGATAGAGAAGGTAGGGTGAATGAATCGATGAAAGAGCAAAGGCCTTGTCGTCAACCACCCCGTGTGTGAACCCAGACCGGCCAGCCAGCCAGCTTGCATTGATGCCCAGCCCTCAGCACGTGCTTTCACACGGTTTTTTTGGAACGAACGGCCGGCATAGGTTGTTCTCTGTCGGGAGTCGGGACTCGGCTTGGCGGCTTGGCTGATCATCAGGTTATTTTAGGAAGCAAAGTGTGATTGCCGTCGGAACCGAGTAGCTTGCCGTTTCACTTGGGCAAGTTCCAGCTCTCGTTCTGCAACTCTAAGTAAGTACGTACTTGGAAGTTCGTAAGTATTCTGACTACGAAAATAACGTACCATATGCGTGATATAAAAGCTCGATCTCTAAAAGGAACAAGGAACAAGAACTCGACCAACGACGATAAGCAGCTAGTATATTGGATTGTCAGCTGTCTGACAGCCGTCTCGATGAGGGTTGTTTACTTATGAATGTCTCGCCTCGGTTATTACTGTACGGGTGTGGTTCTCGAATATCGAGCATTGGTATTGTTGTTTTTCTCGAATACTTAATCCTCCTCCAAACCATGCCTGTACTTAGGATCCTCGGGACTTCCTCTCAACCCCCAGGGCCAGCTCCAAGTCTTCTGACGGTACATAACGATACGCTCTTCTGACGATACATAATGATATATACACCCACCAGTCTGGCTCCCTACTTCCCATAGCGAATGTCAGGGTATGAGGGTTTATCGACCCAAGTGTAATCCCTCCCATGCGCGATATCATTGTCAATCTCCTACCAACCAACCAAGCAGCCAGCCAGGACTGAAGGGCGAATCCAGCCTCGCTATAACTCGGTAACTCAACATACCTTGAAGCTTTGAAGGTCTAACATTTAGAGCAAACGCCTGATCCCTGATCGCGATACACCCTCCAACCTGGGCCCAGCACACAACGAGTCATAGCGAACGTAATCCAGCCTGAGTCTGGTGAAGGTGATGAAATGAAGCTGGCGAAGACGTCCGAGTCTGTCTGTCCGTCTGCCAGGCGCACCGCACACCACGACTCGGATCCGGGAGAGTATATACGAAAATAATAAATCCGGGATAAGCGCCCATGGCATCATGATTCACCGGGCACCCACGCCCCACGCACAACATCACTTCGAGGAATCCTCGATCCGCTTCCGAGTGAGTCGAGAGTCCTTGTTGCGCCATGGCCTCCACTATCATGAAGCTCCAGCTTCAAATCTCTACTCCTACTTATTTATGTACTGCATAGAAAGAAGTGCGACATTGCGACAGGAAGTTGGACGAGGGACGCCCTTCAAAGATGATAAATAAGTAACTATTAAGAGCTCCTCCACTGTAAGTCTAAGTCTTCCTATCACCCTCTGGAATCATCCGATTCTCAACCGACATAGCCGCCGAGACGGACGCTGGGGGACTCTGAGGAATCGATCTTGATAATTGATTTGTCGGGTGGTACTTATTGGATCATTGAGCAACTTAAGTACTGTGGCGGAAACCTGTTCGCGGCACCAAGGCTTTCTATGGCTGATTGTAGTAAGTTCAATTTACGTCGACACATCAGTTATCGAGTTAGGAAAGTTAGTGATACCCATAAAGGCTTAGAGCGAGCGCATAGACTTGATCGTAACACACAAGCCATGGGACGTGATCTCGAGGCTGACTTCGTTCCAGTACTTAAAGTGAGTGAACCAACTTAGTAACGTCGTGAACCTTATCCGCCTTCGGATCACATCTCTATCTTCCCTCCATCAAGCCTGAACCTCCCTGCTGCGAAACCTTCACCTTGAATCTCTTCGAGTTCCCTATCCTCTACCCCTCTTTCTCTCGAGTAACGCTCATCTCTAGTAAGGCTTATCTCCAGGTAAGGCCGTTAAGTACCTACCCCTCGCCCTACACCGAGTAACATAGCACAGCTATGGCGGACATGACGGAACCTGACCACGCGCATCGAGCTTCGAGCTTCGCGTCTCAAGCCGTTGGAGCCCCACACCTTCTACATACGTAACGAAGCCATCTGATCAACAAACTCGCAATTTCAAGTTGGGGTTTTGTTAAGTATGTAAGTAAGGCTGTAGGTTCTTGGGCGCTGTTTCGAAACATACATGACTCCATTGGAACGAATAACCCCCGTCATCCCCATCCTTATCATCCTTGAGCTTCTTCCAGACAATGAACTCCCTTCTTGAAAGGTTCGATACCCACATTTTTTCCAACTTTGATGCCCACAGAAGCAGTCTATTTGGACATACATGCGTATCAACAATCAAAACAAACCGTCTAACTACCTATTACCTACCTAATCTACTGATATTCTAAATATCAAATCAAACCATACTCTACTTCCCCCGCCCCTTTAGACGAGATCACCCGGCGCTTTCACGTAAACTCAATACAGGGTTACATATACTATAATACTTCCTGAGGCCGAAACCAGAAGAACACTCCTCTCCTCCCTCCCCTCCCCTTCCATTCCTCCCTTCTTTCCTCAGCGTCCAAACGCATGGATCCTTCACAAGGCCACCCCATCCAGGCCATCGAACATGCAAGATTAACCAACGTACGTCAGGATTTCACAACCTTATCTGGATTTATTGCGCTGAGGCTGACTCGCGGATTGTGTGTGCTAGTCCATTGCGTGTAGGTCCCCCTGCCTTTCTCGAACTTAAGTGGAAGAAGTTGTTGACTTTCGAGGGCGTTGCGCTGTGTTGGTTGCTTGTGATACATAGTGGGCGTGATCTCAATCTGGGTGCGCACTCCAACCTCAACCTTCCATCCTCCGGCCTCGAAAGAACTAATCAAATCCTTCCACATGGCTAACACGAACAGGCATACGACTACATCGCCGCCCTCCCTCTCGAGGTACCTTCCCCGCACTTCAACGAGCGCGGATTAAAGAGGTTAACGTATCTGAATCGAATACGAACACTTGAAGGTGGAGTTGATCTGGAAGTCAAACTGGGGCCTCGTCAAATCCGTCTTCCTCCTCGCCCGAATCGTCTTCCCGATCCACGCAGCATTTACTTCAGCGTGTAAGTTCGAGTTTGCCTCAATAATGGCGACGACGGCAGGGAGTAGAAAGACGATTATCCGAAAACTGACTCTGGAGTATATACTGAATAGACCTCCATTCGCTCGAGTTGACTGCCAAGGTACGTCAACCAACTACTCCAAATCGTCCCAGCCTCCCTATTCAAACTGAGCAAATCATGTAGGAATGCCACTCCTACTTTATAGTATCCACCGGTACGTACCTTCCCCTCCCCTCCATACACCGCATCAACTCCTCACATCGACGCCTACCATGGCCAATAACGCCAGTCCTAGGCCTCTTCCACTCATTCCTAGCCGAAGGTACGTATACACTCCTCCTCCTCCTCTCTCACCAAGCCCTCAAACCTCTGTTTACGATTTTATTTTCTCCATTTGCAGTGGTAATATACCTCCAAGTCTACGCCCTCTCGCAACGCAACAAGTGGATGGGGATCTTCCTGTTCGTTCAGTACATCGTAAGCCCATCTCCACCTCCATCGCCTTCTTCTACATTCAACAACTTAACGAACTGCAACTTAACGAACTGCAACTTGAAATTCCTTCGGCGCATGGTTATGAAAGGGCTTCGCAGCAGCTTGCGCAACACTCCAAGGACTCTTCTTCAAGAGCATGGAATGTACGTTCCCCCCTCTCTCCCAAAGGTCTGCTAGTCTGATCTTAGGATGCCCACCACCGGGTGGATGCATATGGGTTCATGTACACAGATATTACGCTACCGTACCAAGGCTTCCACTGCGTCCCGTTCAAACTGAACAACGACTACGCCGGGGCAACGTATAACGTTGCGATCGCCACTGAGAACTGTGCGTGTCTCCTGACTTTCCTTCGAGTCTTCGCCCATCTTCCCTGGTTCTGAAGCCCATCTTCATGCTCGATCCTAAACCCGTGTTCCTGCTCGACTCTAAGCCCGTCATCTTCTTTCTCGATTCTAACTCCCTATTTCTGACCCTCGCAGTGCTCGTCTTAATCACGCTCTGGATCGTCTGGCGCAAATACCGCGAGATGAAGAGCGCGGTGCTGAACGCTCTCTTGAGGGATGGGTTGCTGTATATGTATGGGATCGTATGTAAGTTCCAACCTTCCATTTCGGCAAATTCTCTCGTGGCCACGGATGAAGAGGAGCTTCCATTAACTGTTCCTTCGTTGCCTAGTGCTTTCTATCGCGACTACGATTATTGCGTACAGAGCACCGGTATGTCTGCCTCTGATATCAAGAACTATTTTTCATAACCCTCGTCTCGTTCAGGACACACTCAAATTCGTTCTCGGCCAGTAAGCACATCCCCTCCTTCAAAAATACCCCCAGCACTCCAGATCTAATTACTAACGAACCGTCGCACAGACCCAAAGGCGTATTCATCCACATCCTCTTCACCCGCCTCGTCCTCCACCTCCGCAGCACATCAGCCAAAGAAGTGGATTATGGAGTGAGCTCCGAATCTAGGGGGACGAGTCTCACAGCCGTCGACTCGTCCATCCATTTTGCTTCGAGGTCGCGGTACAGGTTTGGTGATACGAGTACGCGGTTTAACGACGTGAGTACACGGTTTAACGATACGAATACATGGTTTAGTGATACGAGAAATTCGTATTTTCAGACTCGGATGAGCGAGACTATGGAGATGGAGACGGGGAATGTCCATGGAGGGGTTGTAGAAGTTCAGGGAGGGAAGAAGGGGATTGTTTTGTAATCTGTAACAGAAGAATGGGGGTTAGAGGGGGTCTACTGGGAGGATCGTCGATGTTTTCTATCACTTACATACATCAAGTATCCATTTGTACTCGAGAAGGGGACTTACTGTGGGCGCCTCACCGGTCACCGTTCGCTATGGGCACATCCGCTGACCATCAACTCGAGCGCCAAGAACCCGATCAGTCACTGCATAGTTCAGGTACACATCGTGAAGCTTTTACAAAGACCGACCTCAGGAACGACTGGAGGCTGTTCGACGCTGTCCTGTTTCTCTTTCCTTTATGACGGGCACCAAGGGTGTGACCTGATACTGCTATTAGCGCTCCATGGACGACTGTCGACAGTAGCGAACAACTGCGCAATTCAACGACAGCGTACTAACCACCCTTCGACCCAAACCGACGGATAACGACGTGGAGGGCTCGGAGCACACCAGACCGACATTCCGCAACGGTCCCGAGCCACTCCTCAAATACCTGCCTGACACGACACGATAACGATACGTGCAGCCTTGCCTACTAGGTTCCCTGCCTGAGGCTGCGCTGCTATGTGTTTCTTCGGCGACGTCTGGGATGGTGCAAGGGGCTTGGGTGGGCAACTATTGCTCTGTGAGTATGTTCATCGATTCACCATTCTTGTGTCCGTACTGAGCATTCCGGTGGCTCGTTTCCGCCTGCTGTTCCTGGTGCTCGCAGTAATACTAGGGTTGATGCACCTCGCATGGTATGCGGCCCAGATTGCATCGGTACGCCCTCTTCGAGACCCTCAACCCACCCGGGGCGTCCACCACTGTCCCTCGCACTAACCTATCCCCCTCTCCTTGGCCGACAGTTCGTAATCGGAACCCGTCTTTCGAAGGATACAGACCCAAAGATGGAGAAAGCAGGGAAAGCGTGTATCGTCTGTGTATGCCTCTTCCACTTGATCCTCTTTTCCAGTTTGAAGTTGAAACATATATGGAAGTTCGTGTTTTCCCTGTTCAAAGTTCTACCTCCGTCGTCTCGTTCTTCAGTCCACAGACTACTTACTCTTGTTTTTGGACGTATGTGGTACCAGGGTCTACAGCTGTGTGACGATCACCTCCCTCCCTCCGCTCATCCTCTACCTCCGCGCGGAAAGTGTACAAGGCGTCCGAGATGCGAAAGGGTCGGTCCTCCCATTCTGTGCAATCTTTATATCTTGGTGAGTTCCTCCGTACTGGTCAATTGAATGTGACGTTGGACTCTGTAAAACTGACGTTTCCAAACCTAACAGGGCCTTCGCTCCTTTTGCAGTGATATCCTTTCTGCTTGTCGTGCTCATCGCAGCCCTCCCTAAGCTCATCGGAGCTCGCGTCAAGGAAATAGGAAACCGATTCGTGGCGTTCATAATCGCACTGGGTCCTAAACCTGTAGTACTGATGTATGGAGACGAGGAGTGCAAGTCCAATAATGTATGATATCGATATCTGGGGCATGGTCCACCTGTGAAGCTATCGCCTAGCCAGCCGTAAGTTCTTCTTGGTCTGTAAGGCGGCTGTCCTGTTGTCCGTGTTTCAGCTGGAATATGAGGAATACTGTATGTACCCCGGTGTGGGAAGAGGCGGTCACGGCCTAGACGTCTACCGGTGGGAGGATCGATTTTTCCACCCGTGAAGGGTATTGTGGGTGCCTCATCGCTCGCTGCATCCGCTGACCATCCGAGTCTCTCATTCATCAGTGCCAAGAAGCCGACCTGTCACCACAGCATTGAGGTGGCAGGCTCGAAGCTAATTATAACTGAAGGATACATAAAGCGGAGACGCTGTTGCTACTTACGTGGATTGTCGTCCACCGTAGGTCCCGATTCGCGCGACAACAGGCTCGAAGAACACCGAGTAACAAGAGGCACGAAACAAGCCAGCACGCCCCCCGTGAATCACCCAGTGTTACAGCCATTGTCAAATACTTGCCGTCTCTGATTTTCTCCTATGTCTACGCCTCAGGAGCACCAGAGATTCATCGATCGTGCGTGGTATGGCCCACCGCGCTCAGAATGGCGACGACGGTTCAGTGAGCATTTGATGACCGTTCCTCGTGCTCAACCGGGGACTGAATTTGTTACAAACACTGGCAGGATGGGTGGCCTACATCGCATGGTATTGGACCCACCTCTTCTCGGTGCGTCTTAATCCAATACCTCCATTCAACTCTGACTCTCTTATGGCCTTACCAGCTTCTAGTTGCATCAAGCCTTCGCCAGGATGCGGACGCGACTCTGAAGAAAGCAGGGATAGCTGGCATCGTCTCTGGATCCATCTTCCACTTCCTCCTCGCGGTCACATTCGTTGCCGGTTCTAGGTTGAACCACCTTCTTTGGTACGGGTCCTTGAGTCTCTTCCGGATCTCCAGCCCCTCGCTTCGGCCGCAGACTCACCTGTATATGATATTTATGATTTTAGGCTCTACCCACCCATAACGATCACAGCCCTCCCCCCTGTCATCCTCTACCTGAGCTCGGAAAGTGTAGAGGATTTCCGAGACAAGAAAGGGTCATTATTTCCTTTCTGTTCATTCTTTCTAGCTTGGTGAGTCCTCTACCTGTACGTGCCATAACTTCACTGCGTTTTCCCGACCGTTTGGAGTACAAGCCGTCCTGCTGGCTTACGCCTTTGGACCACGGTATCCGCGCTTTAATCCAGTCTTGTTTATTATTGGCATCGTCTCTGACTTATCTTTTCCCGAATAACCAAACAGGATCATCGCGCCATTCCTACAGATATTCTTTCTGCTCGTTACATTCATCGGAGCAGCGCTGACTCCCTTACCACTGATGTACGGAGATGAAGAGTGTGGTGATATTTGAGGTCTCGGGTCGAATGAAGTCTGAGATCTGAACCATGGTTACATGATGGTTCAACGTCAGTCATACACGCAACGTGCGAGCAATGGCGATGAGTCCCATCGGTCATGACTCATTAGCCTGCGGCAATTGCTGTACAGCGCTTCGAACCAGACGATGGAGGACGTTTTCCGTCGAAGTTGAACATCGGGTAACAGAGTTATTATTTGTGGCCGAAGTACTTAGGCGCTACATGGTATCAACGAGGATTATACGTGAAGTATCGATTATGAAATGAGGGTATATGGTGAATTTGGGCGCTTAAGCTTCATTTAGGCAGTGAAGCGATCGAACCAGCCGAGGATGCTGTTCGCAGAGGTCTCCTTGGCCCAGACTAGACAGAATTCATCAGAACATGTTAACTGAAATACAGGTGTAGTACATACCATCAGCAGGGTCGGTGAGGTCAGCACGAGTGGCAAAACCGTGTTCAGTTCCACCAAAGACTTGGAGGTGATGAACGGCCTCAATTTCCGAGAGGATGTCCATGGCGCGGTTGCGGGAGGCGGTGGGGAAGGTCATGTCGATCTCGGCGCAGGACATGAAGAGGGGTTCTGGGACGCGATCGTGAGTATACTAGGCAAGAAAGAAACGGGATAGCGGCCACTTACGAGTGATGTTGTAGAAGTGACTCTCAGTCAGCAGAGCGGGTTGAGCGAAGGCGGCAGCGACGACCTCAGTGGTGGCACCAGCCTCCATCGAGTAGGGAGCGCCGAAACAGTAGCCAACAGCGACATACTTAGTACCGGTGGCTAAAGCAGCAGTATTAGATGATTGAAGCAAGAGAATGGAGAGACGAGGACTCACGGAAGAGAGTTCGGACGGCAGCGTTCCAGACGAGGACGAGTGGGTCGGCACGAGCCTTGGCAAACGCGACCCATGCCTCGACGTCGTATGGCTGTTGTTGGTTCTGCGCGGGATCTCCGAGGAAGTAGTCGAGACCGAACACCCAGTAACCTATGCAGAGTGTAAGGACAAATTCAAAAAATATCAAATGAAGAAACGCACCTTGAGAAGCGAACCAATCCATGTGCAAGATGTTGTTCATGAAGAACACACTGTAGACGTCCGAGTAGAACAGGAGGACCCTGGGGGGACCTGGATTGGCCAATCGCCAGGCGAGCGAAGGTCGAGTGTAGTAGGATGGCACACCACCGAGGGTGATGTTCCATCCCTGCGCAACACCTTCGTACTCTTCACCAGTGAGGCAGTCGCGATCGATCGAGCCAGCAAGGACTGGGTCGCCGTCGTCCTCGGGGGAGGTCTCGGTAGGAGCAGGAGCTTCGGTGGTCGTAGTCGCAGTTGTCGTAGTCAGGGGATCCTCAGTCGTCGTGGCTGGCTCCTCGGTGGTGGTGGTGAGAGGGTCGTGGTGGTAGTAGCGACAGGCTCGGTGGTGGTGGGTTCAGCAGTCGTCGTGAGATCAGTGGTCGTGGGCGACCCAGTAGGAACGGCGACGGTGAAAGGCGAAGCAGCCATGAAGGCCACCAGATAGAAAGCGAGCCTAGCGAGTTTGGCCATGGCGAAGATGCGTCAGAAAGTAGAAGGGAAGAGGGTACAGAGGACAGTGGCCTGGTCGTTTCTGGAGCACCTCCTCCGGCCTTTAAACACGTCCGGCTACCATCGGCAACTTAACGCATCGAGCTGGAACCAATCGACCAGCATCCGACGTAGCGTTCTAATATGCGGCCCAAGGGACGTGCCTGGAGGGTGGCATGATCTTCATTGGCGAATACCTTAATGGATGATGGACTCAGGACTGTGAATGTGGAGACGATAGGTCAGGGATATAGTCCATGTCATGTCGCAGCTATGTGTGGACTCACCTTTAGCTTCAGCCGATGGCCTCTGTGGCAGCCATTAAAGACGAGTCAACACCGTGTAACAGTAGGCCCTCTACAGCGTAACTCACCGCCGAATCGTGCCTTTACGAACCTTCAGTGGCGAAGCTCAAAACTAGTTTAAGCGGCATTGTGGGTGTGGGCGTTTCAGGAACAGTAGGTATTTTTCATTTGAGCCACTCTCAAAATGAAAATGTTGCCAGAGGGGGGCAAGCAAGGGGCCAGTGCGACTGGACGATTGAAGCGAAGGCGTCCGATAGCGCAGAGTGAGCCCCATATTCTGTCTCCGCTCCTGTGCTGGCGACGCATTTTCCTATATCCCGAGGGCCTTCGTGTCGTCCAAAGCTGTCTGAGCTACCGCCTCTCCTTCGCATGAAGAGAGCCTGGAACTCCAATGGACCTGGTAGATTTTTGGCGTTAATTTAGGTCTCCAGGGGTACGAGCGTCCGCGTACCTGACATAAACCGCGAGCGTCAATGATGCGCCCCCTGGGCGAGCGACGATCATGGTCCCCTGAAAGCTAATGAACGAGGTCTGTCCAAACTCGACAAGGCCAGGATAGTTCGCTGCTCTTCTCCCAGTCCGCTAGCTGGAGTTGATAGCGGTATCATCCTTGACGGCGAACCGAGATGCACCAGGCCCGGTCTGAAGCACCAACGGGGAGCTGCATTGGCAGCTAACCTCGGGTAACAGAGGCCACCAGAGAGATGGGATTCAAATTCCAGTGCCACCTTTTCCGAATGTTGCGTAGCCCAAAGCAGCAGTGGTGTGTATGATGAGCAGATTCTGAATATGTATCCAGCTTTGAAGTCATGATTCTGGCACCAAGAAATACTTCGAAATGAACGAGGAGGAAGGAAGCAAGGCGAGAGCAGGCGCCGGCGTCTTCCGCAGCCCCCTCTGGTGCGTCATCTCCGCTCCGATAAAAGCCGAAGCGGCCCGGTCAAAGCGGTGGGCGCTTAACCGTTTTGTCGGCGTCCCGACTCGTTTAGGCCCGCGGTTGTAGGGAGCACATCTGTTTTGCTGTTGCGACCAATAGTACGCAGTCCGAGGCTTTCTTATGACATTGAACACACGCGGACAAATTTATTATTAAAGTCAAAGTACGATGGCCTCATCCTCCCCATCAGTGCACGTCGCCGCTTCCCAGCGTGTAGAATCACGGGTAGTGAAATGTAGTTCCCAAGACTCTTCCCCTGCGCTCAAACGCGAGTTGCTACTGGAATGTACTACGAGCATCCTATTATTTTCTCGGAGATGCAGGATTAGGCGACAGATGGAAATGTTGAGAAATGCCACTTTGGGTCTGTTTGGAGTGTGGTCAGCCAACCCAGTAGTAGCCCACTGCGAAAAATGGAACCCACACTACGAGAACGTATTTGATTATGATCTATATCGTAGCCGCAAATTGAACTATAAGGGCCCAGATAGATGATTGCATGGTACGCACCGGAACCGTGGAGAACACGATGATGCTGCATCCCAGACAGAGCGCTTCCGGTTGGAAGTGGGATTTTGCAAACCTGTCAGCCTAGAGCTGATACTGATCACCGCGACTTACCGATAGCTCCATACAGGTGTATCAGCCCATCCCTCAAAAGGGCAGTAATCATTCGACCTCTCGTGAAGCGGTATTTGTAGAACATGAGCCACAGGGTGATTGCGATGAGCGCTGATCCAGGCCACATTGCGGTTGCATACGCTGCACCGATAGGAACCATCTCGACGTTTTGTGGTATACATCGCATATCCGAGAAAGGTGAAATGGTATCTGTGGGAAGGATTGTTTCATTAGGAACTCCGAGGCGATGCCGTTGTTTCAAGACTTACATGTTGAACGGATGGTGATCGCGATTGCAAGACCGTAGATAATACAGGTGGAGACCTAGGTGCGGTGGATTAGAAGCTCGTAGCTTGCTAGTAGCTTCAAGAGCTCGACGTCACTGTAAGGAACTTGACCTACGACGTGTTGAACCTTGAGGTACCTCCCCACCCATCTTCGCCGCTGGGCAAAGATGTATACTTGTAGGTACATGATAACTGCAATTATCCCAATTAGATATTGTCTTACGACCATTGAGAGTAACAGTTGACAGGCACCTTCGCATAGCGTAGCCTGAATCAGCGATGACCCTAGTAAAATGAGTAGACACCCCGTCCCCAGGAGTATAAGGACGCACACAGAGCTATTCCAAAAGCGATTTCACATTCCTACAAGTTGCCATGAACGTCAGCGCTGGTCACCACTCACGAAAGTGAGAGACTAGAGTCCAATACCTTGGCTGAGATTTGACGTGCTTGGTTGTCTAGGATGAGGATGCATTACGGGAGAGGTCGGTCATGCAGCGGGAGTATAACTCACGCATTAGGACAAATCCAAAATGTATCGGGGCCAGACCTCGAGAGACGACGTAGATAGTTTTCACAGGACCCCATTGGGAACGCCACACGAGCACAATCTAGTCGGGTTAGAAGTAAGGATATTGGTGAATGAAAGAATAAGGAAAGAATGTAAGTCGAACGTGCCTCTCTTGGTAGGGTGAGCAAGTAGTCGTAAAGCTAAAACCAAAGGCTTTAGTTACTGTAGGTTCTCTCGAAGGTGTAGAACATTGTGCACCCATATGGCAATTGACCCAACTACAGATTAGACGTGAGTTTAAAATTTGGACTTGTAGTTTGGTAGTTTGGGAGAATCACTGGCTATTCCCTGGAATGTATGCGCGCAGACAGGTCTGCAGTATTGAGAAAAACTATGAAAGACGCGGAAGTCGAAAACCTACGTTCGATATCCGTCTGCCCTTTACTGACATAGAGTCAAGCTCGCCGAGAATGGCGCTGGCTGGAGGTGCTGTCGATACGAGCATTGATGGTTCTCACTCTGTGCGGTACGAGATAGGGAGAGCTGATATTTGGCAGTTGGGAACGAGATGCAGCGGTCCTTATAAATGGAGGTCAACATCCATCAGCTGGTGTCATCATCACGGCCAACTTTAACCTCTCAGCGATCCGTGAACATCCCCGAGACGACAATGTTCGCATCAACCCAGCCTGAGACGAAGCTCAACAAAAAGATAAGTAGAACAACACCAGGCCTCGAGATTGGAAAAAGTGTTGATGGCGAAACGCCATCGAGGCTCAATTGGCATTCGATCTCCTTTCGTCTGCTTTCCATGTTTGCTGGTCCCCCGGGACTGTATCTTCTGACTGTAGAGAAAGTGACTGAGCTTCTGATCTTGGAAAGATTGACCATAGTCATCTCACTTAGGCTAAGCAGTGGCGGTGTCCAGCATGAAAGGCAGTGTCTTCGGCGGGCGCTTAGTTGGTTTCCAACAGACGGTTTATGATGGATGGATACGTAGTATCCAGCGGAAGCTAGGTATACAGCGCAAGTGGACTCATGTCTGAGTACTCGAGGCACAAAAGGATCGTCGAGGGCATCCCATATTTATTCATGTTCGTTGGGGACAGAATCTACTCATGATACATCAAAGCTCGGGAATGCGTTGTCTGCGAATCCTCCGTGCATCTCAACTCGCCTCTCTAACAGCGCTGGGCGAGAAAATACACCGGGAAGAGGTGGTCGTCGCTGGTACTTATTTCGAAAATGTCTCGTGGGGTGGACCTTGAAAACGACCATCAAACCGTCCCGCAACATGCCAAACGCCAAGCGGGCCCCCACAACACAGCGTTGAGCTTCGTTCTCGTACCATCTCTGATGAGAGTGGATATCAGTGGGCTATCCCATCTGAGGTAACATTGGTAGACTGTCCGTTATCAGAACCAGGATTGAGCACAATGGGACGGAAACGGGGTGAGTGGTTGCAATCAGTGATCTCGAACGGGAGCTCACACAGAAGAATGCAAGGTCAATACGGTCAAAGAGGGTACAGTGTATAATCCATAGGTATAAGCAGCAGAATGGAACGGGCTGTAAATGACTAGGCAGAATGTCTGCGAACGGCCGCGGCAATCGAAGATCAGTCACGACGACAATTCAAGTCCCCACCAATAGTAACCTCCAATTTTCTCCACTGGCAATGTCGTAACCCTACGAAAATCTCTGCTGTTATTGGCGATGTCGTCGGGCGTGATGGAGTACTTCGCTGCAGAGTCAAAGTCGATGATCCTCCAGTTATGTTTCCGCCCATGGCGCGCACAAACTCGCGAGTTGGGAGAGGCCAACGTTTCTGAAGGGACCTGTAGAACGTTCGCGGTGCGTAGATCGTGGTGTCGCACTCCAGTCATCCCAATGTCAATCACAAGTTCGGCGGCCTCCCTGTTAGAGCAAAATGTTAGAAGATGAGACGCGATAACACAAAGAGGATTGCCGACTCACTCGAGGTATTCCTTCTCGTGGTCCTTCATATCCGGTTCACTGAACATGCGCGGTCCTAAAACCTCGAAGAGAAGGACGGAGAGGAGGGGGTTCTCTTCGTCATGTTCATAGGCGTACCAGGGAGAGTTCCTGCGATGACGGCCGACGTCATATTTGTGAAAGTTGGGCGAGTCGTCGTTGAGCTTGTCTGGAGGAAGATCCGAGTCGGAGTCGACATAAGGGTCGTGGTCAGAGTCATGAAAACGTGCCTCGACCCAGGGCAGGATGTCGTCGGGGTTCAGCGTCTTTCTAGACTCTCGAGTAGCTGTAGTGGTATTCCTCAAAGGCGCTGTAAAAAAGCCAAAATACCGCGGCGTGGAGGTGCCACTGCAGCCGCTCAAAGCGAGCTGCTCGTGCATCCATGCTTCGCGCGCCGCCCTCCTGGAGAAGCGAGGCTTTATAACCTTCACGCAGAGGGTCGTAGGCAGGGACCCGAGACCCTCCGGATTAGAACGTAAAGTCACGTCCGCCGAGTATACAACCCCGACGCGTCCTTCAGAGATGGGCTCATCGTCGAGACTCAGTTCAATCTCGTCACCGTTGGGAGGTAGAGGCAGGGGCCCCCAAGTCGGAACAGGAGGGCGGTATTCTCGTCCAGCATTGGCGCGACATGCCGGGAAGGACTGGGATTGGACAAGGTTCACTGGCTGCGCTGGATCGCCTTTGACAAGGCCAGCGATTCGGATCCTGCGGAGGAGGTTACAATCTCTCAACTGGAAGATATTTGAGGTTAGCGGTCGGGTTTGGGCAAAATGATAAGGGTATATACCGCCTCCAGAGATTCGGACGACGCCATGACAGACAGGAAGATGGAAGTAAAAGGGAATCCCGCACGCATTTCAAACAATCAGACGGACGTCGGAGTTTTCCAGCTTAGAATGTGATGCACGTGTGCTCGCGGAGGTCGTTGCCAAGCGAGTAAACAATACAGTGAGGGATAGAGGCTACAAGAAGACTGTACTCAATATACGTTCTCCACTTGCACTTGTTTTTGAAGAGTAACCACGGTTGATTAGAACAAACACATAATGTACGAACACTAGGCCTCTAAGGACGAGATAGATTAGCCTTAACGAGACTCCGTCGAGAGCGCCATACCAACTCTATCTAGTCAGGCGAAATGGAAAGTGATAATGGTAGAGGAGACTAAGGACGTCGGTCCAACGTACCTCTCTCGGTATTGCATCTCTCCGTATTGCAATTGTAAGCATGTAGTCGCACATCTGGAAGCTGTAACAAACGCTTTAGCTAATAGACTCTCTTCAGAGCGTTCATACTATGGTAGCGTGCTCACCCAGACGCGGCTGACGCGACTACCGAGTGACAATTCAGTGGTTCCAACGAGAAATTTATAATGGGGGGAGCTCACTGGCTATTGCCTGGAATTTTTATGCGCAAACAAGCCCTCAGCACAGAATATCGATCAGGAAAGAAAATGGTCGACGCCTACGTTCACTATTCTTCGTTCCTTTACTGCGAGAAATTCTGGGTCCATGGGAACGCCGCTGGCTGTCTGTTTCTCCAACACGGAAAATGGTGGGACTGTGTACGGCGCGGGCTAGGGAGGAAGCACTGGTTTTGGACTTAAAGACAAGTCAACAGCAACTACGCGTTTCTTTGAAGTGATGAAGTTGGAAGATCAATCAGCTATCATCACGGCCAATCACGAACGTCGCTCAGAAGGCAATGCGAACATCATGTCATCGTATCTGCTCGTAAGGCAACAGAGCTTGGAAATACGTTTTCCGCGAGTCCTCCATGTATCAACCCACAGCACTGGGCGAGAAAATACACCGCCAGAGGTGGTAGTCGGTATTCGAACTTGGTGCGAACCTGAAGCTGCCGGGAGCGGACCTTGAAATTGGCCATCAAGCAGCCCTGCAACATGCCAAACGCCAAGCGGGCGCCCACAACACAGCGTTGAGCTCTACCATGACATAACTTCTTTGTCCTCGTCCCACCTGTATCCAAGGCCTCCGGTTTCCGTCTTCAAAACACGCTGAATGCAAGTCGTACATGCTCACCTTACGAGAAGATTCACTTTGGAACGACTTTGAACGCGATGTCGGCACGTAGATCGAAATGGGTGGAATTATTTGATGCGTCTTGGAAAGGGCACAGGACTGGGACGGTCTTCCATGCCGTCCGTCGTTCTTTCAGTGAGTAGAGTCCTTATCATACAGCTAGAATACATCCTGACTGGAGTCAATGACAGAAATGATGATAGGGGCCATCTGGATTGGACTTGTAATCCTCACTGTGAGCTTGGAGATGCCTCTACATTCGTTTGGTCACGGTCCTCACTTTCTACAGCTTTCAATAGGCGCAGTCGACGCGAAACAGAGAACCACGAGCTCTATTAATCAGCAAGTAGCTATTGCAGCGATCGTCTCTGCATCAGTATGGATTGTCGCTTTCTTCTACACCCATATTCGTCGCGCAAACCCGATGCTGAGGTGGGTCGCCATTGTCCAACGTTGTCAGCCAAGCTGTCGCTGACTGTTCTCGAGCTTGTACCCAGTCTCCTCTCTGCTGTGGCTACCGCCAATCATTATCCTGCTCGCGAACACTGGTGGGGACAAGAGCCGTATTAAAGAAGAGGAACTCGAGTTTCTGTTCGTTGCGCTGCTCATATCATGGTGCGTCTCTCCACGACGACAATAACTCTGGTCCCGGGGCTCACCTCCTATCATATAGGATTATTGCACCATTCTCACTGATCTTTTGGCCGATATTCACGGCTATCGAAGAAACCTTCGAGAAGCCAACGATTCACATAGGAGACCCTACCTGCGGACCTCGTCACTCATACTACTCGCCTTGGGATTGAACTCGGCTCTAATTCTCCGCTACTATACTATTCTTTGTCCGTTTCCATTGGTAACTTGGGTCCCACTTGATGTCTTGCTGTACGCTGGGAATTGACAAACGAGATCTTGCCTCGAAATAGGTCTCGCGTCAGGGTGCGACGTGTGCTCGTCTTCTGCCAGGCCTGGGGGCTCGCTGAAGGTAGGCATTTCGCTGATGGATTCTGAAACTTCGAGGGAGCCCCAATTGCCATCGGCCGTCTCGGACGCTGTTCTTCGAAGGTGGATGATCAACCTTGAAACTAATATGTTTCCAAATACGCGCGTCGGTCTGCAGTGGGTCAGTACCGTGGATGATGTGAGTACACATTTGGGACCTACATAGCCCATACCCATCGGAGGGTTCGCTAAGCAGAGTTAGGAATAAGCTATTCCACGTGCCCGAAGCACTCACCGGCGCCTGGTACATCGTGATTGTCCCAGCAATGGAGAAACCTGGAGAACGAGAGAGTGTCATGACGAGCGCCTCAGTGGATTCAACCCCATCTTCCACGTACCCACCATCCCATACATATAGATGAGCCCATCTCTGATGAGAGTGGACATCAGTGGGCTATCCCATCTGCGATAACGTCGGTATACTGTCCAGAACGTTATCAGAACGAGGATTGACCACATCGGTATGGAAACTGCGTGAATGGTCGCGATCAGTCCGTACTGGCCGCTGCTGGGCCAGCAGCCTTTGAAGGGCGGTGTGGGCTCAGCATCTGGAGCAGGGTCAGGGGAAGAGCCTATTTGAGAATTAGGTGTATTTGGTCGAACGTACATTCCATCCCCCGGATGAAGACGCCCTCGAGTATTAAGCACATCATTATTTGAGCCTGGATATTGATAAGTTGGGAGTCCAGGGGAGGAATGATGTGAAGCAGACTCGCCGTGAACTGAAGACACAGGTACGCGCCAATCCCTATGCTTTGTTGACAGACTATCCAGACCTGGATATACATCACGGCTAGGCAGGACTGTGAAGCGGTGGTGAGGAGACAGTAGGAACTCGACATACCTTCGCAGACGAAACTTGAGATGGACCCTATGACTGCGAGGATAGGGTAAGAACTACATGAGGCTTAAGGAACTCGAGCCAACTCACAAACGGATAACGCAAAGGCGATATGGCAATCCTATAATGAAGTCTTTGAGTCAGGACATCCTCGAGAGCGTGGAGAGGGGCTTCACCTTCGGAGAGAGGTCGTGAGAGTGAGAGTCTTTCTTACGGGTTAGCATCACACACGATTCCAACTTTGGGTAGTGTCACTCCGACACTCACAATACATCGTTATTGCTAAACACGCGAGCGTGAGGAGACGAGCCGCCCCGTAAAGTCCTTTAACATTGTTGCATCGCGATCGCCATACGAGTTTAATCTTTAATTGGAGCTTTAGTGGGTGAATGGGAATCCAATAGATGAATACCCTCGCACCTCGTGAGGAAGAACCAGGATATAGTCATAAACCTGGATGATTGTTACGTGAACGTTCATTGAATGAGCGAGACGGGCTGAGTCTGTGACGAACCCAGACGGCGATTGACCCCACCGCGATATACTAACAGTACCATTACATGAGCGCACGGGGAAATAGCAGTTCAGAAGCGCAGATTCACGTACATTGGTCGTCTTCACTCCATAAAGCGCGTCCGGGTCCATTGCTCCCAGGGACGAGAGGCAGGTGGTAGACTCGTGGACAACGGTTAGAAAGTATCGTGGGCTTCCGCATGTTGTGGGACTCTGTCTTTAAAGAAAGAAGGGCCCCTCAGGCTGTGGGTGCACGGTTGGCTCCATCTTTTAAAGTGATCATAGGTGTCCACCACAAGTCTGCCACAGTGATACAGGTTTGGAATGCTCTCCGACTATCCCGCTGTTAAAGGTGGAGAATCAAGCTTTAAATGTGTCTGTTGAATAGAACAAAAAGCAAGGTTGTATACACTTGAAGTAGACGCTGTGATTGGCCGGTCACTTCGAATCAATAGCAATTCTCGGTGAGTGGGTGTGCCATTTACTAGGGCAGGTCACCATCCCCCGAAGCTTTGGAACACCAATTGCACTGAATGAGCCGCTTCTTCGCAAACAAACACTGGCAGAGGTTCGTCGCAGGGGATTCCAGAGTCACTGCTATCTTATCTGATCGTTCTGAGACCCATGTGGATCAAGCGGAAGTTCAAATCTGTGATGCCAGTGATGGGCCATGGTCCAGAATTGGCAACCTCGTGAACCGTCCGCTCGAGTCGACGCCGACCCTGTCCTTTACCCACATTTCCAGCCGACTGTGACTTTCGTTGTCAATCTCCAATAGCCTTCAGTTTCCTTTACCGTTATCAGAACACCTAGGATATCACTTTGCGCCAACGTATAGTCCCTCTTGAAACGTCGTTTCCATGAGCCGACAATCGTGGCTCACACGGAACGCTCAATCGAACATATCACTGTTTCTCTGGGGTAATGTGGATTCTATCCTTTTTTCTGGAAAATAGCTAAACAATTGATTGGGTTCTGGATTTAAGGTTGGACTACTCACAGTGGGCATACGTCGTTGACGACTGAGTGAAGATTTACCTTCTCCGGGAACGCGAGTGGAATTTCTTCGTTGGCTTCTGTTACCAATGTCCCCTCCGCGTAGTCATGGTAGAGTAAGACACGACGGGAAACCTGGTTTCAGCCCTAAAGTCTCCTGGCGTTCAGTGATACTTAAGCCCAGGTCCCCGTCTCCATTCAAAGACGCCCCATCCCCTCTTCTAATCTATTGCGCTTCTACACGCGAACATGCCTCCCAGAAAGTTCATCGAACGTGGTAAGCCCCTTTCTTCCGCTACATTTCAATTGATACTGACATATGTACCGAAGCTGAACTCCTCGAAGACGCCACCTACAATGACACCCAACCAAACCTTACGGGGTTTTGCTACTCGTGTATCATCGAGGATAATGACCCTAATGTTCTGTATACCGGAAATTGGGTGATGAACTCGACCTCCTTTGGAACCATTCATATCACAACCGAACCCGGGTCCACGATCCAACTGCAATTCAACGGTAGGTTAGCCATCAGCTCAGCGCACATTGCCCGCTGAAGAGCTCCCAGGATCATGGATTATGGCCTTTGGGACTATCCCTGCCTCTTTACCCCTAGAGGCAGCTGGACCTTCGTCCTCAAAACGGCCGACAAATGCACGTTACACGCTCGACTCTTTCGAACCCGTCAATTCATCCGTTCCCATCACAGATACTTTCGTTCCTATACAACCTTTCTTCTCTGCAAACGGACTTGGATTGGAGGAGCACAACCTGACCATCGAAGTCCTCGAAGCTGATGCAGAGACCCCCTATATCTTCCAACATTTCTTCGTCGTCCCACATCTCCGCGACGGCCTTATCCCAGGTTTCCCTTCGCCCCCAGACCAGGCTGAAGGAATTCCTACGCCGTCTCCAACGGGGCCATCGCTGGACGACCTTCCCCTCGCGGAGCGGGTGGAAATTCCATCGATGAAGCCGATGATCATCATCCTCAGCGTGTTTGGGTCGGTCGTCACGATTCTCTTCGTGGTTACCCTCACCCTTTGCTGTATCCATCGGAAGCGAATGGCAGACAGACTGTCTTCCAACGCGATTTCTAAATTCTGGTCCTACGCTCCTCGCTCGAATCAGAACACTGGTGCCATAGAACCGCCGAAGGACTCGAAGGACTGATTCATACTGATTTGATACGCTGTTTGCATGCATTGGACAATCTCAGGGACTTTGCTTTATGGACTGTATTTTATTCTATATGGACCTTTGGCGAATTTAGCTGTATCAAATATCCTCCCACTTGGAATGTATCGACTAGCTTCACATCCTATACTACCTCTGTTCCCCTACCGACTCATCCCGATTTGAAAGTAGGCCAACGTTTCATGAACTCGGGGTCCGAAACCGGGTCCTCTCATTCCATTGTAAGCATTTTTTACTGTTTTAGGTGACAACATTCGCTTGCTACTTAGCATGAAGGACCCTGACGTCTATGTAACTTGCATCGAGCTTGCTGTCGGCGACATATAATTAAGCTTTCTATGGGAAAGCTGAGAACCATGATGCCACGCGAGGTGAACGCGCTCGGATCCCTTCAACCGTGACTGTACCTTCCTTACCATGCTAATTGTTGCCCCCCTCTACGCCGTGGATAGGCTATGGTCCAGGAGGAGGGACTCGCTATAAGCGCTGAACGGTGACGAGAATTTGTGTGACTACTGCCCCACTCTGGCGACGGAAACTAGCTTCAAACCTCATTAGCAGTTGTGGCGCCCGAACGGCAACCGAATTCAATTGCAACGCGGTCATTACAACTTCATTATACTTACCCCCCCCAAATCATCACTGACCATCAAAGACCATCCAGGTGTGTTCCAGGTGCACACTCTCTTTCGTCTTCCGCTGTGCATGCCGACCTGGCATCTCTAATTATATGACCAGAAATGAATGTGATACTGTCATCTGGAAACGCGGACATTGCGAGAATACCTCACGAACGTGAACCGTTACGTTCGATTCAATACAATCCTAGGTAAGTCCCTGCGGCAGTTGTGGACAGGTTGTGTACGAATTGATTCGAGATTTGACCGTGACTGTCACATTTTCCCCCGTCGATGTCGTTATAATTGAAGGGTTCCCTGATGGGCCGGGTGCTACTTATACCAGGACTCCAAGGTCGCCGTTGGGAGATGCCCACTCTGACACGTCCCACTTTCCCTCGAATAACTCTATCTCGCTATCTAATCTCGCCACACTCGTTTGAAATCCTGGTTATTCACGCTTTGTCCTGGTCAACTGGATCCTACACTTGGGGAACGCTGGCCAACCGCGACGATGGTCTGCCCCGTGCAGGAGGGAGGAGACCCCCGATTCCCTCTCAGCTTTGAGCCAAGTTTCCACCGAATGCAAGGGTCTCAGATGATAGCAGCATACGTCAATATCTTGTAAGTCCCTTTCGCTCTCCTTTCTCACATTTTGACAGCCTTCTCCAGGCTGTGTGGATTCGGTATAGTAAGCTCCGAGGTCGCCGCTTCACTCCTTTGAGCGAGATGATAACCCACGCCAACACATCAGCTGCTGACTGCCCGCTACTTTCAACGATATTCCAAGAATGATGGATGGATCCTCAAGACCGTCGTGGGGGCAATCATGTATGTACGGTCATTGTATGCTTATCGAACCTGCCCTGATTATACGCGAAGCACGTTAGGCATCGTGGAAACCATCTTCACCAGTGTTCAGTCGTATGACACTCTAGTCTCGAAGTGGGGGAAATGCGATATGTTGGATGAGATAATTCCGTGAGTCTCTATTCACCTCCCTTTCCCTCGGGTGCCCACAACTCGACTGGTTTTTTTCACTCCCAGATCAGTTCCCGTAAGTGTAGGCTCTCCGCCGTTTGAATGTCCGTTTGATGCTTTGACAGGGAAAATACCTTTGCGTCGTAGGTATCTCTGCCTGTTTTGCGACAGAACTAGGACTGAGCGCGCCCTTCAGTATCTCACTGCATGTATCGCCCAATTGTGAGTCGCCTCTACCTCTTCCTTTGCATTAACACCGAGTTAAATCCCGATCCTTCGTAGATTCTTGGCCAGTCGAATTTGGCTCGGTGTGCATTTAAGTTCCTGAATGGTGTCTGTTAGCCTCTCACTAATCAAGCGTCGGTAGTCGGGAAATCCTGCGGAAGTTCATGGCGGTTCATGGTCATCCCTGTGGTACGTGTCGAGTATGATCTGGCGTATCCAGCCCATCCTGAGCTGAATGCGTAAATAGGTCGCCTTTTCCATCTTCCAACTCGGTAAGAAAGCCGGCTCCGCGTTCGAAGATCTAAACCCAACTGTCATCGTCGAATAGGAGGAGGTCTGGTCGTCGTAGCGCTCATGTGAGTCGAACCTTCGACGTGTATTTGACGCTCCTAAGTCGCTCAAGCCTTGGCTAGGATCAAGACTTTGTCATTCAAGCAACTTTCTTTGAACGTTCTCGTCCTTAGGGTATGTCTTCGATGGGCTTCCTTGAAAGTATTCTTATAGCTCTATTTGCTCCAGGTGGGAACGGCGATACAAGGCGGGGGTTCTGCCGTTGCAGACGTCTTGATCACCATTGGCCTGGTAGCAATCTTCAGAACCCATGCAGGCATGTCAAGGATTAACAGGTGGGCCGGACACTCTTCAACCTTCTCCCCTGTCACTGACGAAGGTTACACATAGGAGCAAATCGTTACTATCGCGTTTGGCGCGCCTTTTCATCCACAGAGCTTTTGCTACAAGGTGACGAATTTGTTGTCGATCTCGAGTAACCTATTTAAAGAATCCGTCTCAGCATATTGGCAGTGCTGAGTATATTCCTGGTGAGTTTCTCTCATATCACTGGGTATGGAAAGCGTGGACTGAGGGCCGCCAAGTACTTCCATGCTTCAGGAACCTACTACTTGTGAGTTGTGGCTCTCCATCGCAAGGTCATAGGCCCTCATCATGACTCGAACTGTGCCAGTATGATCCCCCTCCTGGCCAACACTCATGGTGAGCGACCAAATGCTGTTGCTCGAGCGCTAATGATCCCATTAATCCAATTCGCATAGTTTATATCATATCAGTAGTCGCCATGTACGTCCAAAACCCACCAACAGAACCGAAGCTCATGTTACACGTCGCCAGCCTTACTTCACGAGACGGAATACGCCGTGAAATGAACCGTTCAGTACACATTTCCGATTTGGTTCTGGAAGTTCCTGTGGACTCCGAATCTGAATCGCACCAATCGTCAAGGTCAACCCGTGAGCACTCTGGGGGTGATGCTGACATGGTGAGTGATCGATCATCTTGTCGAATGGAAATTTGGAACTCACTTTTCCATAGGAAGGAACGAAACCCAGATTGGAGCGTATCGAAAGTCCTTAGCGATGAAGAGAGGGTGAGGGCCTCTCCAATGGACCCCATTCTGTACAGCCATGTTATGTACAACCTGACATACCACGTGTGCCAGAGTAATCCCGAATTGAATAGGTGAAACTTAAAGATTCAGTTGGGTGGATTGGAGCAAAGTCTTCCTCCATTCACGTCTCAGTTAAGCGGGAGTAGATGATCAATCACGGTTCCTGAACGGTTCCTAGATAATCAGCGGACACATCCAGCATTTTCCTTATGCTTATCAGCCCCGTCCCTTATTCTGAAAGTCGTCGATACAGGCCCCAGTCGTCAAGGAATTCCATTCTTGAGCTTGAGCATCGAATAGGCAGGGAGTCACTTGCATTCCTGTGGATATCGCAGCCTACGAACGACAGTACAGGACAGGAGGGAGAGACAACCCGATGGTCATACCCTTCATGGCGTGTTGCAAGCAAGGTGCGCCTCGCTGGAGACATCGATTCTCCAGGCCTCACATTTTCTCCCGCCGTGATACAGGGACCGGTGCCGAAGTTTCCCTCCGCTTCGATACACATTTAGCCCCAGTCAAAACGTGCACTCAGACGACCTCCGATCTGAGCTTAAAATAGGAAAACAACGGAAGATGTATGAATCTGAGTGATGCGGAGAAAGTCTCCGATGGTGTGAGGGATTCCGATTCTCTTAGGGACATCTAGGACTTATGTTGTCGATTGGGTATGACATGGACGGAAGGAATCTGAATCGCTCTGATATGTTAGGAACATAACGGAACGCTCAATCTGGGCCCATAGGAAGTTCTCGGAACATGTCTGAATTGGTAGGAGCGACAACATCTGAACGTAACTGAGCGGTTCTGACGACTTCTGAACCTATCTGAACGCCCGGCCCTCTTTCGCCCTATCACCCTCTCTCCCACCGTCTCTGGCAAAATCTGAGGACATCGGACCACGTCCGAGCCCATCCACCCTCCCGAGCCCTCCACGTGCCACCTGTAAGTCAAACCGCTAAGTCTTTCCTCCTCTCTCCCTGCATCGCATCCGCCCAGGTCGCGTTACGATTTGCAGTTTGAATGCTGAAAGTATTTGCTTTGGAATCTTGTGCATGAGAATGAAGGCGATGGGCATGATGAAACCGAATGAAGATAATGAAGCTGAAGGACAGTGGTGATATGTTGAATTGTACGTGCGCGTGATTCGTGAATCTGAATTTTGAGAACAGCTGTTAAGGAATGGGTCAGATACGAGCGGGGCCCGGGGATAGACAATCTGAAGCAGACCTATAGCGAAACGAAATGACAACACAAATTAATCTGTAGAAGTGCGAGGTCAGGCACATTAACGGTAAAGGAATGACGGGAAAGAAAGCGTACCTTGAACTAAGGTAAGTATGATGCAGCTTGAAAACGAGTTGGTCCATGACGATTAGGTTACACATGCAGCTTGTAGCGTAAAGGCGTTTGAATTCGATAAATAGGCGATAAGTAATGCTGTGATGCCGTGAGGATGGTGAGAGCGACCGAAAGAAAGAAAAAACCATGATCACTCACCGGGATTCTGAACATAAGACGAAACACCTGGGGTCATGACATAAGGTTCACGGAATCCCTTGACAAGTATCGAGGGAAAGAATAACGTACCATCATGCATCGGCACTGGCGCTGGAGGTATCGTTTTTCTTCTTCTTCGACTTGGATTTACCCTTTGACTTCTTCAAATCACCAGACATCGTCTCCCATTTCTAGAACGGCGTCCTGAGTAATATAAACGAATTTCGGGTGAAACACAGACACGTACCGCTTTATCCTCTGGGCTGAGTGTTTTCCAACCATCGACCATCTCTTGGTAGGTCATTTCTTCATGTGTCTTGATATAATCGAGAGCCCACAGGTTCCTGCAGGGATGAGGGAATAATCAGACGAACAGAATTTGAACGATGAACAACACACAACACTGTACCTGGGTCCTGTTCCATCAGGGTCGGGTTTATAGACCTTCTTCCCCTTCTTGGTAACTTCATTTGAACGCGGCAGGTCGGGAAGAGGTTTGACCGTAGGCTCTGGGATGGACATGGAGTGCAGGTCTTTGATCTAATCATTCACGGGTTAGCCAACACGACGGAAAGAAACAAATCAGAAATACTCACAGTAAGGCGGTTGCCCCCCTGAGTTACATCAGGGAGAGGGCCAGGAGTCTCACCAATCTTGGTGGCAGGCGGATCCGTGCTATCAGCCGTACCAACCATACCACTAGCCTCTGGTCTCAGCAGGTCTATAGGAGGCGGGGCAGTTGCTGACGGCACAGGTGGGGTAATCTCAGGTGCCGCAGCTGTATCAGCCGTAGTAGGCGGTGTGGGTTGCGTGGGCAGGTTCGCAGCAGCTGTATCAGCCATAGCAGGCGGCGTGGGCGGCATGGACGGGGTAGTTACTGCCGGAGCAGTCGCACCAGCCGTAGCAGGCGGTGTGGGCGGCATGGACGGGGTAGTTACTGGCGGAGCGGTCGTACCAGCCGTAGCAGGCGGCGTGGGCGGCATGGACGGGGTAGTTACTGCCGGAGCAGTCGTACCAGCCGTAGCAGGCGGTGTGGGCGGCATGGACGGGGTAGTTGCTGGCGAAGCAGTCGTAGCAGCCGTAGCAGGCGGTGTGGGCGGCATGGACGGGGTAGTTGCTGGCGAAGCAGTCGTAGCAGCTTTATAAGCACTTTTAAGAATAGCATCAACAGCTGAAATACAAGTAATGAGTGGGGTGTGATTAAAATGAGGAGACGGGTGACTTACCAGCGAAGCCGCCATTATGTTCGGAAAAGATGAAATCTGTATCGTCTTGATTGGGTGCCGACGTGCCTCCACTCGATGGCTCCCTCAACAACAGTTGAGGCGAGGAAGACCTGGCAGTATCCGGTTGTTGAGGGGGAGGGGGAGCAGGCTGTTGAGGGGGAGGGGGAGCAGGTTGTTGAGGGGGAGGGGGAGCGGAAGTACTTGGGTGAAGGTCGAGTGGTTCACGTCGACTCTTACGGCGTTTCTTTGGTTTCTCTGTGTTACATGTTACGTGTCATCAAGCGGGGCAACAAGAGAAAAAATATATCATCAAACCTTGATTTCTGTTTGCATCGTCGTCAGAGTCGGCCTCAGTAGGCTTCTGACGCTTTCTTGAGGAACCTAAATCTAACACCGGGTCGATTTGATGTACACTAAACGAAAAAACCACATACCTGCAGAATTGTCTTGCATTTGAGCCAGAATCTCGACACGGCGTCCCTTCTTGAAGTCAGGGTACTTGATTGTGGCAAACAAATCTGCCTTCCAGCCAAAGGTCCGGGGGCTATCGTCAGCCAGGCAGAACACAGGGAATGCCTTGAGCATGTGGCTGATAAACCACTCCTTTACGGTATCGTCAACTCCCCTTCCCCACGTCTCTGGGGAAACTTGGGCGTATCCCATTTTCGTCCACAACTTATTCGCGTATGCCGTGAAGACCTCAGCCTCCTTTGACGTCACGTAGGCTCCTGAAGCGTGTTGTAAAAAGCCAAGCGTCTTCACGTGGCAGCCGGTACTATCAAAAACCTTTTTGTCAGTCCAGTCGGATTTATACCAGAATTTAACACCTTCGGGGCGCTCTGGTGTCTCCCAGCCAGTGGCGTTTGGTGGAAGTGGAGCGTATTTAGCTGGGAGAGATGGAGCTGGGGCCTGGGGCGGACTTCTTTGCATCGTTTCCATGACCGTCCGAAGGGTGATGCAGGTAGCCCTAACTCACGTTATTGAACAACACACACAGGTGTAGAAAAGAGAATTCACATACCTCTCGGAATCAAGTTGGCTCCTCAGGCTGACGTTCTCGTTTTGGAGTCGGGTGATCTCTCTGTCCAGGCTGATGATAACTCGATTTTCCGCAAAAGAGAGCAAACGGCGATCAGCGTTCTTGAGAAAGTTCATCTCTTCTGCGGTAGGTATATGAGGCTAGATAGATTAGCATAAAGAGCCGCAAATGGAGAGAAAACTGCTTTACTGCAAGGTATGGCGGCTCATTGAAATTCATAAAACTCGAATCTTCGTCGGTAACTAACGGATGCTATACCGGCAAATTAGCGCTCACTGAATATGACAGTGAAAATGACAAACTTACGCCGCTTGGTCCAGATCGGTGGTATTGCGGCTCCTGTTGGTGATAACGTGGGGTCGATGATGCAGATGGGTAAGGAGTGCCGGAAAAAGTCAGATTAGGGTCCTCCATGTTCCTCTCACTCCTTCCGCTGAGCAAAGGGTTAAAAGGCCGATAATGGCCTTGAAAACTGTTGGAGGACATCGCGGTGGGTAGAAAGCAAGGGAAAGATGTGTGGACGATGGGGTGGAATGAGAAAATAAGGTTTGGCTTATTAATTGGATCAGTGTGATCGCACGAACACCTGCCCTAAAGCAACTTAATTAGGCGCGCGTGGACAAACATTTCATGATATCTTTAAAAGCAAACGTTCAGTCCATATTTCCATCCATAAATATGATATACATGAAAGTTTACATTATTAGTCTTCATCTTCATTATCAGACTCGTCGTAAAGATCATCGGTGTACCCTGTAATCTCCCCATCCTCCAATCCCGACTTCTCGACTGGGAACCACAAATCGTCTCGCTCCCCCGGATGCGCTGGCATGGGTTGCATAGAGATGAGCGAAATGATGGAGGAGATAGGGATAATCCGTAGGGAGTGAGGCCCATGATAGGAGCAGGCATACAGAGTGTTCTTTGACTGTTCCAAAAGTTCGTGGTTTGGTTCAGAATAAAGGGAGACGACAGCCTTTGCAGTGGAAAGATTCTTCTCATCTGCAAGGAAGTAAAATTGCACCTCCGCAAATCGTTTGCTGTTGTCAATGCGAATCTAACACTGAGTCAGAAAAGTTCAATGAAAGACAGGACCAAACTCACAATCGCATTTCGTGAAATCCGAGTATTTTCCCTTTTAGACTTGCGCTCGGAGTAAAGACTTCTGACCTTGTGGCCTTGCGGAATCCATAGCTTTCCCCAAATACGCAGAGTGTCGCTCCCATACTCATCCCTCAGTAAAGCGCCCACGGCCCCTGCTAGAACATCAACAGTCCTTGAGCGTGGAGGTAAGAGAATGTAACCATTCCCAATATTGGAAGCCCCTCGTGGGAGAGGTTTAGGAGGGTCGAGCTCGGGATAGATCACCTTCAACGCGTTCTGTTGTGCCTGCCTCTCCGCTATCCTTGCCAGGTTAGCAAAGGGGTCTGCGCTCTGGCGAATCTCTCCTCCCAGATACCCAATAGCACGTTCGGTAGTGAATTGGGTGTAGTACGTCCCGGGACCGACACGCATGGTCTCAGAGACAGTGTGGAGAAGGGTATGGATCCACGGACGGCAGAAGTGGAGGCGGTCGACACGGCGTTGGTAGTAAAGGAGTTCGTAGCCCTTGACAAATTGGACAAAGTGATGGTGAGCTTCGAATAGCTGTTTGGCAGTGATACTCCTTCCCGTAATTATTCGAACGCCGCGCACTAGGGAACAGAAATTCGACCAATAGTCCGCTGGGAGGATGGTTCTGAAGAATGCGGGGCCAAGGCCAAAGATATAGAGATAGTATTCAGTGGCTTTGTACCCACTGTTGATCTTCTCTGCAGGGTTCCGTGGTGGGCGATGGAATAGAGTTGGAAAGTATTTTGTTGCCGCTGCAACCAATTTCCCGTGTTGGATCCAGGTGTCGTCAACCAGACATCGCCATGGCCAAGTGGAGGGATGATCCGTTTTGTCGTGTGAGAGTGTACCGCGCCATAATGGGATCAGAAGCTCACCACAGTTGATGAAAAGGAGGTGCATGAGATCGACAGAAAAGCATCTGGGAATAGGAAGGAGGTATTTGAGGCCCGAAAGAATGGAGGGCTTGCTGATGCCGGTTTTGAGTCGTGCTTCCTCGAAGGCGGTTTGTGTATGAGTTTGCGTGACTAGTTGTAGGTTCTGTTTATAGATTTCGGGAGTTGGAGTGTCGAGTGTTGCAACGTTGACGTCGGGATGCTGGCAGGTCGCCACGGTATAGTTGTTTGGGAGGCTGTGAGCAGCGTAGTAGTGGCCAGCATTGGGTTTATGCCTCCCTTTCATCGGGCAGCCAATGCGGCACCCATTTGCCCCGTGGTGTCCCACCCTTCCATCGATCTCAGTCAACGCTACAGCATCGGCGGTCCCTAGATATAAGAAAATGCGTGACTGGGTGATAGCCTTCTTTTGCGCGTTGTAAGCTCTCATTCCATTGCCGTCATTCATACGCTGGAGTGCTGAGAGATGGTGGAAGCCGCGGTACATGAAGGAATCGATGTTCTTGGGCTTCTTGGGTCCAGGAACGACGAGTGCTGGGAGGACGTACTTGCGTTTGAAGCGGACCTTGGGGTCGTAATTCTGCACTACCCACACCGCTATCCACGTGTCCGATTCCTTTTTCTGGTACAGCTGGGCACCATCAATGGAAAACCCAACAAGAATGTCGTCCTCGGTCAGCTTCTCCTTCTTGTAGAGGTCAATATAGTCCTGGCTGCAAAAAATATCGTCGTAGACGTCCTTCAGCTTGTCTTCCTCTGTTCGGTTACTAGAGAGACGCGCTAGAACTTGCAGTGTCTTTGAGTGGCGGTATTGCAGGAGTTTTGAACCAAGCTCAGACCGAATGACGGCCTGGAGCTGTGGTCCGAGTGGTAGCGTAGTGGCCTTTCGACGAGGAATGGGTCGGTTCTTGTCATCGAGCTTTGTGCGTGACTCACCGCATGTCGGGCAAGTAGTATGATCCTTGAAAGGACCAACAAAGGCGAGACACGAATTGATGCACATGTCGTCCTCGATCGCAGCAACCCCTGTCACCATCTCGACGTGCTGGCGGGCAAGATACAGGGACTTCAAGGGAGTATTGGGATAGCGGCGGTTATGAGCAGAAGCAACTCCATTGTACACACTTTCTGACGCGCTACTCGTTGCAAGGTACACGTCAAGTTGAAATCGTTCATCTTCATTTGTCAGTTGAGACTGAAACTGGGGGTCATCTTCATCGACACCGTTATCAGGTAGTTGGGGGTTCGTCAATGCATCGATAACATGATCAGGAAGACCACTGCCTTCCAATGTTGCGCCACGGATGTCACGAATAAATTGGTTGACGATTTCGATGTGGTCGATGCGTGATGGTGGGATTTCTGCCTCCTCAGGAAGTTCACCACAAAATGGGAGGGGTGGCTGAACTGGTTCCAGAACAGGAGTGTCATCGCCATCATTAGATGCAGGATTGACACTCACTGCCCCCTCTTCGTGCTCCCTTTGCTCTCGCATCCACGCATCAGGGTTGTGAATCTCTTGGGGCTGTTTGGATGACGAAGAGGAGGACGACGAAGATGTGGAAGATGATGAAATTCTATCTTCGTCATCATTGCGGACTGAGGGGACATCGTGGAGGTGGGGTGGGGAGCCCATCTGCGAGGCAGTAGGAGACACGTCGATCTCAGGCGAGTCTCCTCGGAGGAAGGGATGCCCCAGCAAAGGTTGTTCGTGAGGTTCAGGGCTTTCCTATATAGAAGTGTTAGTTCATGTATACTTCAATCTCGCATGCTATACGCACTGTTCTAGGACGCTTTTGCATTCGCTCATCTCCGTTATCCTCATCGTCTTCAGGCTCCTCAGCTTCGTTGTCCTCTGAGTCAGAATAATCATTATCACTCGAATGGGACTGTCCGAGACTTCGAGGATATCAGTTTTAGTGCGTCACATTATGGTGGACATAAATACGTACCTTGAACTGCCCTCTCCTTGACTTTTCATAAAGGAAGAGAGGTCCTGGATGGGTGCTCGAGATGTGGCATCTTCAAGCATATGTGCCTTTTGAACACTCTTCAACTGATACTTTCCACGGCAATTGTGGGAGGTACAGTAGCACGGTGTTTTACGGGGCATAGTAAATGGAGTATATTGCCGTGTGGGTAGTAGACAGTAGATGGCCAGAAGCTCGAGCTCCGAGACTCGAAGGGATACCGAGTACCCAAACGACTCGGTCACCAGTTTATATAGGTGTAGCGTGGCCTACTGTGGACGGAAATAGGAGATAAGGCTAGTAGATGTAAGACGAGAGACGTACCAATCCAGTCTCAAGCGTTGTATCTCAACTGATTAGTACCAGTTGAGATGAGGGAGTTTGAGGAGAGGTGTACTAAACTGACCTCAAGCGAAGTATCCATCTGCTATTGAAAATGATGAACATTCCACAGAAACGGGTAGATTAGTACCCATTACAAAGGGGGAATTGAGAATGTTACACATACAATGGCAAACGGCATAGCGAACGAGATAGCTGGCAGTGGCTTCACCCCCAAATATCTGGAATTGGTTTTGAGGCTCTATGAAGTGACGAGAGGGGTTAGATGAGTAACACGTAGCTGACGATACCAGCCCAGAGACGTACCAAAGTGATATCCAACGGACAGTTGGCGGAATCCAGATGAGCGAGTCAGGGGTGTTGAACTTGTTCTGGCATGGGCGCGCAACTTGGTGGCTGTACTTGATGCCATCAACTTCGCCTCAATCCAAGATTGCGCGACATCTTTGGGGTCAGCTCTTCTTTTCTTCGGGCTACAATACCTCTTTCATTGATGGTGTCTGAAAAAGACGCTGGTACAGCCTCGAAGACAATCTCCAGCAGTGACACAGACGAAGTCTCTGATGGCTGGTGTGACCGGGTTATCGACAGGATGAAGCGCTCGGAAGAAATAAGCGCCGTCTACGCCACTGCATCCGGTATACCCAATGCCCCCAAAGAAGAAGATCATCTTTCCGACTATGTTGCAAAAATGAAGAACCTTCGCGCCCAACGTCGCCTCCAAGAGACTGGAAGGTATGTGCTGACGCTTGATTGGATGAAGAACAAAAATAAAGTTGCTTTTACCGCCCCATTTATCAGACAAGCTGGTCGGAGAGTCAAGAAAGATCATACAGAGTCTGGAGAGAACGAAGTGAGCTGGCTCAGCGACGAAGAGCTGGTCACAAGGTACATTACTGTTTTGACTTGTCAACAGGTATTCACAGTATGCCTTACAGGGCTTTCGTCCACCCCAAGGGATGTGAGACGGATGGGTGCGCTGAGCGACGACTCACAGGAGAGGCATTGAGAGCAATGGAGAGGGTTTATCGTGGTCCGTTGAATGATGACAGCATTGTTCACGCCACGTCGGACTCAGATGCTGAAGATGTCAGGATGCTGGTGAGTGTTCTGCTCCCTATATTCGTGTTGTGAATGCTCAAAAGCTGTGTATTATTGTTAGAAAGCGCTTAATCGTGTGGCCCTTCCTCAGCACATGTTCTCGACCCCGTCGCCTTATAAAAAGCTCATGAAATTCACCGCATCAAGTAAACCGGTCCCTTTTCCACTCCGTGTCCAGCTCCATAACCTCAAAAATGGACGCTCCCACTTACAGGCGAAGAGCTTCATGGCTTTGAAGAATTGGAAGAAGGTTATACAAATAACATCAGTGACGTCCCCACACTCTTCGAGGCACACCAACGCCATTCATTGCCACAGGAAGTTGCGAGCCTACATGAAGAAGAAGGGGTGGTTGACGCGTAAATAGGTCAGTTACAAGTACGAAAGGCAACACGTCGAATGAATACATCTGGAGACAAGTTACATATACTAGAAATGAAACACCTAAGTCGGAGCTCTGCCTAGGTCTGCGTGTAGGCTGTGTCTGCTGTTCTGTAATGTGGCTTGGCCGGAATTCCCACATGCCTCAAACGCGCCTACGGTGATCATTCCGAAACCTCCAGATTTCCGAACAACTTCCCAACAACTTCCTTCCTCCTCCGTTATCCTCCGTTCTTGTCAGATTGACCTCCGATCAAGCTCAGATCGGAGGTCGTCTGAGTGCACGTTTTGACTGGGATTTAGCCTCAGCGCTCTATCCTTTTGGGGTTACTCAGCGCTTGAAGAGGAAAATGACTTGGCGAACGAATTATCCCATTGTTTAGCCGTCATTCGCTGCCCCCAGCCCTGGTCATACTTTTGTATGTTTAACGCTCCTCGATGTTCGTGAAGTTGAATTCCGCTGAGCAAACATTTTGACCCCTCAGGGGTAGGGAAGTGAAGGTCTGTGGGAGTCGTATCGTAGAACATCCCAAACATGGCATCTAGCGAGCCCGGAGGCCGACTTGCCTTTTCAGTTGTAATTAGCGAAACACATGGTCGACCGGGTTGATGCGCTTTTTCGCGGCGGGACGGTGAGATCAGCAAGGATCGATCAGAACTTGAAGGACCAAATCAGTCAAATTGCCCGAATCTTCATATCCCCCTACGCAAAAACGTGCAAATAAACGCCACGAGCCCAAGTTGGGAGCCGAGTTCGTCCTCGCCTTATTCTGAGTTGCAGTTGCCCGAAGAAGCTCGAGGAAAGCGAAGAGGGAGAAGTGGTCACGATTTTTCCAGGTCTTGGAATCGGACGTGGAAAATTGAAGGATTATCCAGGATTATCCGGAGCGCTCGTATGACAGGTCGACCTTCGGCCCCTGGCAAATCCAGTTTCCATTCCCGACCAGATTCCTTGCGAGCCTTGGATCTAGTGGCGCATGCTTGGAAAATCGGTCAGGGATCAGCCACAACGGAACGTTTAGGGGTCCCGATCGTAATGCGTGCACGCCAAGGTCATGCACATATCCACCTGGTAAAATACTTCATATAACTCGTTCCTTCTCTTCTCTCAACTACTACGACCTAATCCCCCCCACTGTCTCCCTTCCCTTCTTTTTATGCGTGTACCAGTCGCGCACTGCCTTTCATTTCCTTCGAACACTGTAATATTGCAAGATGAGTAACAACATCCCGGCCGATCTTGCTTATGAGGACATGTTATGGATCACTCAGAGGGGGTTTTATTGGCAAGGTGAGCACTTCATTCCGTTGAATTGCGGCGGTTGATTGACTTGCTTCCCATCTTCCAGTCGCGGCAACGGTCATCGCACTCTATGACCACAGTCAGTCGTTTTGATTTTTGAAGTTTTTTGAGGGAGATAGCTTACCGAAGTCGATATTCAGTCACCACGTTCGATCTTGAGGTAAGCCCCCTTTATTTTCTCCTTAGACGCGAATCTAGACTAACCGCGACAACGTAGGTCGAGTTGATTTGGGTACATCGCGCTCTCCTTTCCGTCACTCGATTTTTGTTCTCAACCAGCTACCTCCACTAGAAAAAGAAGTTGTCGATCGTTCAAGTTCTTTACTTTATCGTACGTCAGCTCCTGACTAGAGATTTGTCTCTGGGCTCACCGACTGTTTCAGAATCGGTACTCCGGCGACGCCTTGTTCATGTGCGAACTGCTCCTCCTCCACAACCGATTCGCGAAACTCACCCCTTATCTCTCTTAGTCATGGCACTACATATCAGTTATGGTTGAAGGGAGACGCATTCTACAAGGTATGAGGTTCTTCGCTTTCATAGTATCCCAATTTCCCACTCACCGCTATTCTCGTTTAGGGGTACGCCTTTCATCCTGACTCCCCGTATCGCTGAAGCCAACTTCGAAACTTCTTTCCTCGCAGGTGTATGTCGGCACAGACCGTGCAGATGTGGCTGAGTATGATTACGCTTTGGGCCATGCAAGGTGCGTTCCCCCCGCGATTGAAGTCCGTGTCACCACCCCTAAATCCACTCCCAGGAATCATCATCAACCGATTGTGGTGCATGTACCGCTATTCCAAGACGATCCTCATCCTCCTCCTCGTCACCTTCACCATCCAAGTCGCTGCAGGAATCACGATCCAGTCTCTGAACAAGACAATCAACATCGGTATGCTTCCCACACCTCTCTCTAAACGACCGCTCTGTCTCATATTTTCCGTCTAGTCGTTCCTTTGCTTCCTGGTCTCGATTCCTGCATCCCAACTGGTTTCCTTCCATGGTTCTGGGCCGTCCTCCTGTTCATCATGACCTTCGATCTCCTCATCGTCATTCTCGCCATTTTGGAAGGTATCCGGTTCTATAGGAGGTCCGCACACAGTCGCCACTTGCGTAACAAGGCCCGTGGCCCCTTGAGTGCCGTCCTCGCGCCTTGGCTAGCAGAAGGAAGCATCGTCCGAGTCCTGCTCCGAGACTCCATCCTCTTCCCCTTCATGTGAGTCTATCCTTTCCCATCTGCGCTTCAGAAGCGAGATTATTGACTCGCTCTCGTTGCGATAGCGGTCTGGCGGTTTGCTTCTTCGCGATGTTGTCCTGGCTGGAAGTCTTGCCTGTGCGTCTCCTATTCTTATGCAAACCACCCGCGTCTGCCTAACCATAATCATTTTTTCACGATAGTGGGGCTCCGTCCAAGTTACTATGGTCCTCAATGCCCTCACCGCCCCCGTCCTCGGCAGCCGACTTATCCTCAACCTGCGTGACGCCTACTACCAACCCTTCGCCGAAGAAGCTGGCGGCAAGGAAGGTCCCAGCCGCTACACCGGCGCCACCTCGACCACGGGCAAGCTCCGCACCGTCGAGTTCCCCATGTCCTATACTTCTACCGCCACCAAGACCGGACACATCTCCTATGGCACTAACGAGACTGTTAACACATAGGTTTGTTAAATCGAACGCTCCGTCCTCATGGTCGTTGTTTATCTCTTCTACTATTCTCGGACTGGGAAAGGCCAGGCTCGTTCTGTCATACCCTAATTGTTGTACTTTTGTATTTATTTGGGTAGATTCCAAAAATTCGCAATGAATTGTACTAGCCCGTTATCCTTAGTAGTCCTCCCTCCTCTTGAATCGAGCTGTTAACAGGATTCGTTACTTATATCTGAGCTAGCGAGTCCTCGTCCTCGTCCTCGTGGCGCGACGATCGTGTCAGTTGAATTGAATCCATAACGTTATCCGAGTCGGTTTATAGCTGTTTCTTTGGTGTACGTACATACATTCAGTACATCCCCTGACGTCTTCCAATTGAAAGACAATGGGCAGCCTCTGACGCAAATAATAATGATTCTCATCGTGTTTTTCATTCGCTGTTACCGGTCCCGATGACCTTCCCACGAACGATTCAGAGGGACCCGGTATACCATGGTGCCATGGAATGGTTCTGATTTGTCGGCTGGTTCTCACAAGGAACGTCGAGGAACGGTTACCATTGGTTCCACGACACTCGGTGAGAAATGGGATCCTTTGAAGCCCCACAATGTGCGGGCCCCAGTAACGCAAGCGAATCTGATCACCGGACCCGAGCCTCCTTCGCTGTGGGCGTAGTACTGTAGATGCCAGTGGGACTGGCTTGAACAAGGACGACGACCCAAGTAGCGCGTTGTTCATCGGGAGGTATGTAGGACCAGAAACCGGGCGTAAGGACAGCACCGCAAGAATTCCGAGGAGAAGCATGCCAGCGTGGAGAAAGAGCGAGGGAACGCCTCGCACTCCTCATCCCCCTCCCTCCTAGGCCTAAGCCGTGGAAATCGGACATCAGCATCAACCTCTACAGCCCTCGGGCGATCCTCGTACTTGAATAAGACGGTCATCGGCCTGCCTTTAGCTGGACTTCCCATCGGCTCCGAAACACCCCCAAGGCACTGGCAGCCCATCGTCTTTCATCGCCACCAACAGCCACCCCAGCCACCAACCACCAACCATCGAAGGTCGGTAAGTACATGCAGATCATCAGCCAAATGGCTACCCCGCATCAGAGTGTGGCCATGTAGCCCACTTTCTCAGGCCTTAAGGACCTGTGACGATTTTCTGTGCCTGTAACTCAGACAGTTCCCCATATGGTGCCAAGTGAGCGCGCCTCACTGTGAAATCCGACCGTCGCGGTTGGCGACCATTGGCCATGGGCCCCGTGGAATCGTGCCGCTTAGGCGCTTAACCGTGCCAAGAAGTTGCCCGACATCTCGCATACAACAACTTGCCTGGGGCCCGTGAAGTCGATCAAGCTTCAATCAGCCAGGAGCCCACTATGGCTAGTACACATCGGGAGTCCTGCGTTCCAATTTTCAAACTCCAAGCTCGTCAATATGTCAATGCATCATGCATGACGCACACGGGCACTAATTCGCCCAAGTTCCAGGCAAAAATGGAAAGAGGTAGCAAGAATGAGTATTGAAAGATAGAAGACGGGGGGGGTTAGGAAAGGATAGAATACGAGGTATATATGTACATTGCACAAGGCGCAGAATTGGTGAAGTAGCCAGACGTCGACTCGAAATTAGCAATAGGATGGATCATGGTAGTCTCCCGTAGTCAGACTAACGATACTCACGCGTCCTTTGAAAACTGGAATGAAAACGACTGCCAGCGTAGGGTTCACCGCCCACAATAGACGTGCAATTTTGCATCGTTGGGCGGGATGTGGACGAGCGAGGAAATGGACTTGGACGGATGTCGTGGGAGGACGATGACCTGCAAACCATCAAAGCCACGAGACCAGAACATCGATCACCGCACAATCAACCACCGCCCACTCAACTACCATCACATATCGTGGTCATGATCAACAGGTCCAAATGTATGTATCATTGAAAAAAGCGTCATAACCTTGAGCAAAAGTAATCACACAACGAGTCGAAACAACGTTGAATGACGCAACGAGTCGAGACAAATGTTCAGGGATCATGAAATCAGGGAGTCGAGTCCATGTTCAATGAAGTGAAGTACTAGTACAGGAACAACAACAAACATGCAATGCAAGAAAGGGAGTGGAAAATGAAAATAAACGTGAAAAAGAAACAAAGTAGGCAGGTAAAGGGAAAAGGAAGATCGTCTACACCTAACCAAACCACAGCCTACACCTACACTCTCCCTCCATCCATCCACCACCAACCGACCACGGACGAGTGCGTAACAAGTGGTACATACATACAGGGCAGCGGAGCACAGCCGAGGCAAACGAGTAGTCACATACATACTCCAGGACACACACATACTCCAGACACACACATACTCCAGACGCACACATACTCCAATATTCAATCCAAGGTCGCAGACCAGACACGGTGACGCACAGGTCAGACATGGTGGTCGGACGTAGACTCAGCTGTGCCGCAAGCCCATCGCACCCACATCCATAACCCCATCATCGCACATTCCCCCCTCCGCGACCCAGCCCGACCGACCAGGCCGAGACCGCTTAGGTCGTACCCTTGGGCGCAGTCTTGCTGAACAACTTGGCCTTCTCAATTGCAGCGTTACCTGTAACACGGCGTGGTCAGTACCCCCATATCCGACAACAGACGCATAGCCACGACGCAACGGAGAAACCACCACGACGCAACGGAGAAACCACCACGACGCAAGGGCGAAACCACCACGACGCAACGGCGAAACCACCACAACGACGACGACGACATGACCACTCCGAAAAGAAAAAAGATCAAAGAACCAAGGATAGCAACTCACTCTCTTTAACCAACATCTTCTTATAATCAACAATCGTAATATCCTCCTTGGTAAGATTCCGAATCTTCTTATCTTTCACTTCCCAGAGCTCCTCGGCGACCTATCATCAGGGAGGGGAATGCGTCAACGTTTTGTCCATTCCAGAAGATAACCGGGGGAAGGAGCGATGGGGGGATGGGGAAGGAGCGATGGGGAGATGGGGAAGGAGCGATGGGAAGATGGGGAAGAAAGCGATGGGGAGATGGGGAAGAAACGATGGCAGGATGGGGAGATGGGGAAGAAACGATGGCAGGAAGGGGAAGAAAGCGATGGAGAAAACGGGTGAACAAACGTTCGCGAGGCAGAGGCAGGGAAGGTACGATGGCGAGAAGGGGAAGCCGGGGTTCGAGAACGAACGACGAGGGAGACACAGAAGATGATCCCCAAGTCCACAAGCCCCTCGTTCCTCCTCTTAGGGTTAGGGTTAGGCCTCGTTCCTCCTCTTCTCCTCCCCCTCCATCCACCCTCTCCCTCTCCCCCTCCCGCACCCCCCTCCGCACCATCCCTCTAAACCAAAAATAAAAACCAAAAAACTCACCTGACTAATCAACCTAAAATCATGACTAACAATCACAACTCCACCCTCAAACTCTTTAATCGCCCTCGCCAAAGCATCGATAGAGTTCATGTCCAAGTGGTTGGTAGGCTCGTCGAGCAAGAGGACGTGCGGGTGTTCCATTGAGAGTTGCGAGAAGACGACGCTGTAAGCGGAGAGAGGGTTAGTGGATGGCCGATGTGAAAGGGAAGGTACGAGGAGGAAGGGGAGAGGGGACAGGTACGACGAGGAGAAGGTGCGCCGAGCGAGCGGGATCAGTTCGACCACGTCGAACAAACTCGATCTCCCCTCCCCTTCACAACGCGAACGAAAAGGAATCTCAAAAAGAAAAACGCAAAAGAGATACTCACCGATTCCTCAACCCATCACTCAACTGCCTAATCGGACTCGTCTGATGCGCTCCACTAAGACCGAACCGTCCAAGCTGGGCTCGCCAGAACTGTAAAAAAACGCGACGTAACATCAGTACGCATTCTATCATCAAACAAAACGGTCCGCAGAACAGCGAAAGCCCGGCAAGGTAAAAAAAAGGCGGAGACATCGCCCAACGCCCCATCGCCCAACGCCAATTACTCAGGGAGAGATCCAGGCCGAACGAGAAATCTTCCCTCAGCGAGCGAGCGAGCGAGGACGAACGAGATAAAAACGAAACTCCCAAATCATCTCAACCCCCACAAACGTATAACCATCCAAACCTCCCAAACCTCCCTAACCCCTCAACCAAATAAAGAAAAATGAAAGAAAAACAAAACTCACCTGAACATCCTTATCAGGATACTTCTCACCAAACAAACTCTGGAAATACTCGATCGGACTCTGGTCATAAGGCAACTGATCAGCACTGTGCTGAGAGTACTTGGCCAACTTGAGCGAGATGTGCTTCGAGATCGTGCCTGTAGAGAACGAGGAGAAAGGGTTTCGTTAGTGTAAGGTCGGGTGGGTAAGGGTAGATGGGATAGGGTAGATGGGGTGGGATGTGGTTCGTGGGCGAAGAAATGCATGCGATGAAGAATGGCGTGGATGAAGAATTGGGTGCGATGAAGAAATACGTGGATGAGGAATGCGTGGACGAAGAATGGAATGGACGAAGAAACGCGTGGACGAAGAACGGGTTACCCACCTTCACAAGGCTGCAAAGCCCCAGTAATCAAATGAAGCAGCGTCGACTTGCCAGTGCCGTTCGCACCAAGAATGGCAATACGCGAGTCCATACTGTAAAAAACGAGCGTCAGTGAAGAGTTCAATCGAGCATCCAGTAAGGAGAGAGCAGTAATGCGCGAACAGACGAGAGCAGTAACATGCGGACAGACGAGAGCAGTAACATGCGGAGACAGACGAGAGCAGCAACGTCCAGGGATACGAATCGACCAGGATGGAGACCGGTGGCAGCCAGAACAACCAAGTCGAGAGACAAGCCACGTCCGACCCTACGCCAACCTCCCAAAGCTGACCGCAGGCCCAACCCCGACCTCTACATCCCCATCCCAGCCCGACCACACTGCGAAAATCGACACCACGATCATACCAAGCCCCAACGCGATTCGACCAAACCACAGCACGATCCAACCCAGTCGCCAGCACGATCCAACCCGATCCCCAGCACGATTCAAACACAAGGCCCAGCGCGATCCAACCCCTGCCCCAGCGCAATCCAACCCCACGCCCAAACAAAAGACATCCAAAAAGACAACAAAAATCAAAAAAGAAAACAAATACGCACTCGATACCAAAACTCAACCCCTGATACAAATAATCTTCCTTCTTGCCCGAATACGAAAACGCAACACCATCAAAGGCGATGATGGGAGGCGGGAGACGCGTCACGTCTTCAAAGTTGAATCTGTAAGGGTTCGAGAGAGATATCAGTAAATCGTTGTCCTCGACTTGGGTATAGTAGCCGGTGTAGAGTAGTCGTCAATAGTCGACAAGAATACACCGGGAACCAAGAAACACGATACGCACCGCAAAGGCTTGGGCGTCTCCACCTTCTCAACCAAACCAGCCGCCTCCATCTTATCGATAATCTTCTGCTTCGACTTGGCCTGTCGCACAAGGTTGGCATAGGTACCCGCCGACGCAATGAACCTATCCCACAACCCATCAGCATACATCCCAACTCAAGAACGAAATAAAGAAAAAAGCAAAGAAAAAAGCAACGATAGAAGGAGAGGGAAAGGGACGCACTTTTTGATATGAGCAATCTCCTCCTGCTGTTTATGATACGCCTTCATCTGATTCGTCTCATTCTCCGCCTTGGTCTTGACATACGTCGAATAATTGCCATGATAATACACCAACTTCTTCTTATGCGTCAAATCCATAATATGCGTGCACACGCTATCCATGAAATCCTGCGAATGACTCGTAATAACCAGAATATGATTATACGTCGACAAATACGCTTCAAGCCACACGACGGCGCCCAAATCCAAGTGGTTCGTGGGCTCGTCGAGGAGGAGCAGGTGAGGTTTGACGAATAGGGCCCGGGCGAGGGCGACGCGCATGCGCCAGCCGCCGGACATGTCTTTTGTCGGCCGGCGCATCATCTCCTGCGAGAAGCCGAGACCGTGGAGGATGGACATGGCTTTGGCCTCGAAGGTGCTGGGGTCCATCTCCTCGAGCTGCTCGTACGCGGCCTCGAGCGCGAGCTCGTCAACGTCCTCTTGGATGGACAGCTCCTCGATGTATGTCTCGAGCTTGGCGACCTTTTCGCGGGCGGAGGCGATGATAAAGTCGACGGCGTTGATGTCGGAGGGGTCGGCCTCGCCGCTCACCATGTAGATATCGATGTGGTCGGGGATTTCGATGTCGCGTTCGGCAATCGAGGTGAGGAATGTGGACTGTCGGGCGATGTTAGCCGGGAAGGTATATCGAGGAGTGGGATACACACCTTGCCAGATCCGTTATCACCCAGCAAACCGTATCTGTTTCCATAGTTGAGCGACACCTCGGCGCCCTCGATGAGGAGCCTGCCGTGGAACGAGAGCGTATACGAATCGATCTTGATATCGCGGCCTTTGGGGTCTGACACCAGCACACCAGCCGCGCTCCTGCAAAAGAAAAAATATAACGATCCAATCAGCGTCCATTGAGCAGGCAAATCAATCGATCGAGGACGACGCACCTGTCAGTAGCAATGTTCAGCCTGGCCATGCTCATCAGGTCCTCCTGGCTGCCCGCCCCACTCTGGCTCGTCAAGGGCGTAGAGTACCCGTTGCTCCCCGCGGGCGTCGACGTGCCCGTGCCAGTCACCGAGGACGTGGCATCGCTCGATCCCGCCTTGCCTTTGGCCTTGGCGTTCGCTTTGGCGGCTTTTTCGGCGAGTCGTTTTTGTTTCGAGGCGGAGATGGGTGGCATGTTGAGTTGGGTTTTTGGGGGTGTGTTGGGTCGTAAGTGGAAAGAGACGTGTGTATCTAGTGGTTTCTATGAGGCTGGCGGGTGGTGGTGGTCCAATCAGATCAAGCCCAAAACTAACCGCATAAGACATACCGTTAACCCAAACGTCGTTCGTTACTCGTTCGTAATTCCTCTGCACCTCTCTTCAGATAGGATGATATACCTTCGGTGCCTAGATGCTGATATAGACGTCGAATCGACAAGTAGTCCCTTTTTCACCCAGTAGTGATGAGACCGTTTTTGCACAAGAGAGGATCGTGATAGGTAGCCGCGTTGACCCTTGACAATGACAGAAGAAGGAAGGGGAAAGAACAAAAATTTAGATAAGATCGCGAGGGAGGTTGGGCACAGCTTTTGGAACTCCGCAGTGATGACGTCATCGGTCAGTCCGAGTACGTCGGGGAGGGACCTTTCGACGAGTTCTAGGAGTTTGGAGCAGTGGTCCCCCTCGTTCCCGTCCTCGTTGCCAAGTCTGTTGTTTGGGGTGCGAGTGTCGTTGGAGATGTGTTTTTTTTTTTGGAGGGATGTTGAGACGTGGATATTTACCAGGAGCTAGGAGGCTCGACGAATAGGGGTCTCCCCTCCGTCCATTCGTGCAGAAGTGTCCAAGTGACATCAATCTTCGAGTAATGAGTCTGCTTTGTCGACTCGACCCTGATCTTCGTACACCCGGCTCCGAGAGGGGAGGATGAATGCATTGAGTCACGGTGAGTAGATGGGGTCTAGATCTAGACTTCCATTACAGAAAAATAATCTTCTCGTATGTAACCCACTTTCATTACAAATATGATATGAAGGGAATCCTTCGTATGGGTTCGAAAGGTTTCTAAATTCTGCTCGACGGTGCAGAGGTGTCTGAGTCTGGCCTGGGTGTGTCCAATGCTTCGAAGCCGAAACAGAAACCGACACCGACACCCTGTAGACAACTTTGCGAGTCACCGTACTGTTGTTTATGTAACGTATCCTGAGCTCACAGTACTAGTACGGCGCAAGTTCATCCAACTCAGGAAGACGTGGAGACGACGAGGTGTGAATACTCTAAGCAAGGCGAGAGTAACCACGGGGGACTATCCCAGCCTCTGAATACACGGGGAGATTCAGAGGGTTCAACAAATCCTTTATTCCAACCTTCCGTACGAAACAAAGGAACTTCTCCGTCCCTCCCAGTCGACCTAGAAAAGAACACATTACACCAACCTCAAGGCACAGACTGGGTCCTTCAAAAACCTAAGCACGCGGCCGGTCCGACGTGGGTAACAAACTACATATACAATTCCGAGCAACAGACCAACAGATATCCTTTCGGGAATCAGAATTACCAGACCGTCTCATATCAAGTATGTACCCAAGACTTTCTTACTATTGCGCAACAAGTCGGGCCTACTAGGTTAGAGTCCCAGCGGGACTGAGTAGACGAGTGAGAGTCCGTGGATGTTGTAGTATGTTGGGCGAATACCGTAGGTGTGGCTAAGTAACTTTCCTCCCATCTTACTCTACTTAAGTATTTCCCTTCATTCTTACAATAAGATACAAAAACCGATACCTCAGTAACGACTAGTAGTAGTATGCTTCTCCCTAACGATGTTTGTTCTTATTTAACTCAAATAGCTTGCCCTGATCTCCTTCCCCTGCGCTCGAAAGGTTTAGAACATTGTAGATAGTTCTGTACTTACCTGGAAAGTAACGTGTAAACAATATAAATGGATCCCACTTCTGCTCGAAGGACGATACCGCTTTTCTGACCCTAAAACTTGGACTTCCCAACTACGTAAGAATCTCGTACAGCTTCGGGCTACGACCTTTGAGTTTTGGAACTAGAACAAGACGTGCTTATCCTCGACTACTTCGTCCACACCAGTACTCAGAATCTCCCATAAATTCAGTCTGATACATTAAGACTAGTATCACAAACTGAAACTAAGTAAGGTTCTACTCTATTATTCTAAACTCTCGGCCGTCTTCACCCCGAAGACACCAAAGTTTCGACGCCTCTCAACAGTGGACTCTGGAGTGTGTGTGGAGAATATGTAGCGGTCTTTGGTGAGCCGTGAGGCGCAATGAAGACTCAGGGTGAGGCTATACGGCGAACAGACCACACGAAGAAGAAGAACATCCTACGCTGGAACTTAGCGCGCACAGAAGAGATTATACTTATATTCCGATCCATGATCCTCTAGGCACCTACGTACATACGTAGCGTACGCAGGAAAGGAGGAGCCGGCGCGAGCAGTAGTACTAGTAGGTATTTCGAATTTCGAAAAGCATAGGATAGATGGAACATCCGAGTCGTGCACTTCGTACAACGAAGAGCTGTACCATGAGGACTGCACGCCACTAAGAACTACGCACCACGAAGATAAAGAAAAAAAAAAACTGCACACCACAGCGAAGAAGAACTGTCAGCAGGGGAGGGGAACTGGTGTCCAATACCTGCGGAGCATCACCTAGAACGTCGAGATGGACTCGGACAGAATTTCGGGCCTATCACTCAGGAAGAGTCGGAATATCGAAGGCAAACCTGATACGAGGAGGGTGCATCATGATGAATGACTCAACGCGACGAGGGTCTACGTCGAATGACTCAACACGACGAGGGTCTACATCGACGCATGAACCAAAACGACGAAATTCAAAGGTGGATGGATAAATCGAGGCGAGGAGGGTAGACTGAGGTCATGATAGATGAAGACGACGAGCGGGTGTCCTTGTTATCAAACAATCTGTAGTCGAAGACGCAGGGGATGTTCTCAGGTAAGGCACGGTGGACAAAGTCACGGAGGCACCAGCTAGAGTATAATTACGAAGGTACCAGTTCCACTCGGGAGTCGGTAGTAGCTGCACGTCGGGTGAGCCCTTAAGATTATAGACGGGCGCTAACCGCTGTCCCCTTGACCTTAAGTAACTGAATGTAAGCCGCGTCTTTGGTCGCATCGAACGTTGAAACAATCTAAGCGCCCAGTAGCACCTACTAAGTATGATCATCCCCAAAATCTTATCTGATTTCCTTCCTTATCGCGACATCTGAATCTCCGCTCTATGATTCTACCACAGAAGCGCTCTCACTAAGTCAAGATCATCATGAGCCGAATGGTGCGGTTCGACGGTCCGGCAATGGTATTGGATAATGGATAGTGACAGCTGGACCTAGACCGTCCACCTCCCACCGCCGTGCAGCCCGACGAAGTGCCCAAGGACAACTTCGAACGTGAACGTGTTCTGGCATGGCTCTTATATAGCTCTTATATAGTCTTGGCGTAGGCAGACCGAGGTAAATTCGGGTCAAAGTAGGTCACAATGGCAGGCACTCGGCCAGTAGTACATACATACTTAGTCCCAATCTATGTACAAGTGGTCCTCAAAAGGAGAATGAGGAAGCGTGTAATGACATTACGGCATTATGTATGATTGCAAGGCTCGGACGGTATACCGGGAGGGTATAACTGTGGGCGCTCTCGTTTCTTTTCTTAGAACTGGACGTCCATCATCTCCCTACGTCCGGGTTCTGCGATTATCTTTCCTCCCCTCAATCCAGGTTCTGCTGAGCCCCCTCCATCGTTCAGACTCACTCTAGATTCGATCCATCCACGACTACGACTACGACTACGACACGACTACGCCCTCCCTGCTCAACACACTCTCTCAACTCCACACTTCCGCACCCCACGCGCTTCCAACCCGTCCAACTGCCCTCCCTCGATTGAAAGGGAGGAAGCTGAGCTCGAGTTGGAACTAGCAGTCGCCATATCCTACATGTAGACGAAACCAATCACCAATCCTTCAGTATGACGAGCCAAGGAACCACAGCCGTCCTCTCAAACACCACATCCACAGCGAACGCACCCTCAACAACACCGAACGCACCCTCAACAACACCGAACGCACCCTCAACAACACCGAACGTCAACGCTCTCTCATCTACTCTACCCACCCGGCGATCCAGATGGCGGCCCATGAACACCACCGTGACCTACCTCTCAAACACCCGCTTCGTTAAACTCTGCAACGCGATATGGGATGGACCTGTGTACCCTAATCAAAACTCCCCAGACCCTTCAGCTTCAACCACCAATGACACCGGCGTTCCGACCCATATCGGCGTTCTGTCTCGCGGTTTCAGACTTTACTCCATCTCGCGGGTTCAGAGTAGTAGTAGAGGGACAGGGAGGGGATGGATGTTCGGATTTTTGAGGGGGTGGTTTAGTGAGTACTCAGCCATCTGACGACTCTCTCCTGTTATCCAGGCTGGTGATAGTAACACTGACTATACCGCCTCCGCGATCGATAGAGCTGATACTAACCTTTGCGTGGATGATCGGGGTCGTGGTTATGGTGCGTCACATCTATACAACTATTTCTTTCTTTGGACATACCTATCAATATTGACCCTATCCTGGTTCCGCCTGGTCCCTCCAGCAATGGCATCGCAATCCATACTAATACCTAACTAACTAACTAACAAACCTTCCAACAGGTGTTCATCGGAATGGTCGCAGCGACCACTGGCAACGAGGCCGCAATGCGCACCGTCAGCATCGCTGCATGCGTCTGTGCGGGCGTGTGGATCCTCCTCAGCGGTGTTTTGTGGTACTGTAACGTTAACCCTATGCTTTGGTGAGTGAGAACCCTCCGTTGAGACTCAGTCCTACCATTATATACCAAGTTCGACTTTGCATCCCCGATTCCTTTCGTTAATTCCTGTCTCTTCTCGTGATCACCTATTCATCCATCATCATGATGCCGCTTCGGTATTGATCTCCCCTCCGTCCAGCCTCTACCCACTATCCACACTCATATTCCTCCCACCTGTCATCCTTTTCCTCGTCCAGGCCCCAACGAATGAGGGAGTGGGAGGCCTGCGAGACGCGTTATGGGTGCTGATTCTGTGCTCGTGGTGCGTTGCTCTTTTCACGTCGTTACCAGCCTCTCATCTTAAGTTTTCAACTCCCATTCGTATTGTCCTTTTCCGATTTGAATTCTCTCCATGGACGACAGGACGATTCCCATATTTTCCCTAATCTTCTGGCCCGCGTTCACAGCGCTCGAAGAAACGTATCTAGAGCGGAACGTGGAGTCGACTGCTGCTATGATGAAATGGGGGGATGAGGAGTGTGGGCCGAGGGCTGGGAGGAGGCGGTAGCATTGCGGCGGATTCGACATTTATATTGTCGGAGGTGATGGTACTACTTCGGTGCACTGTGAAAGGTTGACTGAATTAGACGCCCGTTTCCCATTTGCCGCTCATAGTGTACCGGGGGCGCTTGACTCATTAGCTTGGGTGACTCAAGCCGCAAGCGAGTGTTGAAATTTGAGCTCCGACCAGGAAGCCATCAACCGGCGCCCTCTTCACGGGCCGCCGCAGAGCATCCTTCTGGTCCGTCACGGTCATCATGTCGCCTCTCCTGAAATTGCCTCTGGAACTCAAACTACATATCTGTCTCTATCTAGACGCGGAAGCCATCGTTGCCATTCGCCAGGTACAGTCGCAAAACCATATCTTAACACCTCATCTTTGTAACTTATTCGGACACGTCGACAGACTTGCAAAGAGCTTTACACGCTCGAGAAATCCTTCTACGACACCATCTGGACTAACTGTGTGGACAGACTCTGTGAGGCGCACGAGCTGTTCGCTCCGACGTTCAAATGGCGTCCAATGTCTCCCAAAGGCCGAGAAGCCATTGCCAGGAGGATTGATATGATGGAGCCAATCCTCGAAAAGGCTTGGCAAGGGCCGTCTGACTCTGACCACTGCCAGGCCCCGCCGCCGAGCGATGCCGTGGACCTTCTCTCTCGGGTGGACAACCCCGACGAGGATATTAGCTTCGAATTTATCGAGCTCCTCCCTGGGGGAAGGATTTTGTTGCTCTTCAGCGCCAATTTCCTGTATGTGTGGGATCTCGCGCCCTACCTCGACCATCTCGCCACCCCTATCGAGCGGAGAGTGCTTCTGCCTTGGAACTATGCCCCCGATACGCTCGTTCTGCCCGCTTTGGGTCCGGACAAGACCTCTGTGCGGTTCATGATCACGCTGGAACCTTTTCATGGCGAGCTCCAGCCGCTTTAGTACGTCCATTTCCCCGTTCACAAGTCCTGCCTACGTCCGTGGCTGAAAATACTGATTCGACTTTCTTACTGCCCTCTTAGCGCTGGCTGGGATGTGGAGAGGCTGAGGATCTTTCAGGTTATGGAACTCTGTTTCGTCGATGATGGAGACCTTCACCTCGGCAAGATTGGGCGCACCCTCCCTGTCTTCTATCCGTTCTCTGAAATGGACGCCGACTTCGACGAAGGGTATCTCAAGGACCGCGAAGTTACGGAGGACTATGTCTTGTTTCGAATCCGGCGTAGGATACTCGCGTGGAGTTTTAAGGAGAGCACGTACGCTGTTTGGGACCTCGTTGGCAGCGGTGGCGATTCGGAGCGTATCAGATTCCAAGTGAGTTGCAATTGGTTGGATGATGGTAGCTCTGGGAATCCGGACGTAAGCTTACAGTCGTATACCCCTGCTGTAGATCTCGATGGCGGGGGACAGTGTACTGGTCTTCGAGGACGGTGAACTAACGGTATACGAGATGCCTCCATTGATCCCGGTCCCAGCGGGAGGTCAAGTCGTCGATTTTACCCAACTGGGACCGACTCCAATCGCTCGTCGGATATCGGTGCCTCTCCCCAAACACTCACTGGTCTGCGACGGCAAATGCGAAGCGTGGCGCGGCTCCGCCGGCTACCTCACACCGCCATACTACTACGTGCACCACATCGACGTCGCAAAGGCGTGCGCCAAGACAGCGTGGTACCGCGTCGATGTGGACTTCAGCTCGAGCCCGCCTGTACAGGTCACCGAGCTGGAGTGGGACGTGTCCCGCGATTTGGATGGGAAGGAGAGGATTTGGGCGTTCAACAGGCCGTTCAAGGGAAAACTCGTCGCGACGTCTGTATGGGGCTTGCCGTTGCAACCTGATGGCGAGGGTGTGATGCAGTCCTTGGGAGGACCGCAGAGTGCTTCGGTGTACATCGCGGTCACAGCGCCGTCAACATCTGAAGAGCTGAGCTCGCAGCCACCCGAATCGAAATCGCCGACAACCGTGACGAAGGGGTCCGGACTTCCAGTCCCACCGCGCGAATCAACGCTGTTTCATATGGCGGATGTGCAGGATATCGACGGAGATTGGGACCACGAGGTTAATTGTGACTTTTGTCCGCTTTCTGGGATTCTTGTGGTTACGAGTCGGCGGTATCGAGGCTCGCAGGTTCTCCCTGCGAAACGGATACAGGTGTTCGACTTTGTTCGGCCGCGGCTGCGGTAGGAGGGAGGCGCGTTTTGGCTGCATTGGCGAGTATAACTCTGTATTAATCAACTAGACGCTTGTTGTACCTGACCCTAGTCTGGGATATACACTCTGGGTTTTGGTCTTGATATCGTGGTCAGTGGTAAGCAGGTCTTCCTTCGTCTAATGGCAATCCTTCTCGCTCTCCTTTGAATAATCACGATACTTCTAATTCAGAACCGACTTCCATTCTGTAGTCGGCTTGAATCCGCGCATCGCGTGCGGCACATAAGTATGCTCGCTTCGCTCGCAACCAATCCTTCTGCTCAAGCCAGTGGATCATACACTGGCACTATTGAACGAAGTAAGCCCTAAATCATGATATCGACTGTTGATACATCAAGACTCGGGAATGCGTCGTCTGGGGATCCTCCGTGCATAGTATGCAATAAGTACACCGCCCGAGGTGGTGTGTGTGTGTGTGTGTTTCCAAGGTCCAGCAGCCTCGTGGGCACCGTAACCCCCAGGCTGACTAATAGAGAGGAACTCCCAGAACTCTCATCAGCCCAGTAAGTTGTCGGGACAAAGGGCGACTGTCGCCAGCCCGTAGGTAGTCGATGTCCATCCCAGAGTAGCCGACAACCCGAGGAGTTTTAATTCACGATTTCTCCCGTGTTTGGGTCACAAATACTCCCATATACTTCCTATTTTATAAACATTGGTTCTCGAATATATATATGCGGCAGTTTGTGTGTTACGATGCTACCTGTCCAACCGTCTTCATGAACTTGTACGCAAAGGGTGCCACTATCTCGCTGGCCTTGTCGATGCTAATGAGAATGCGCACTTGGTCGGTGCTCCTGCTCCCCACGCTTCGGATGCGTTCCATATCGTCTGGCTTCAAGACGTTCATTAGCAGCTGTCGCCTTCGTAGTGCACGAGTTGTGCGCAAATCAGCTGCTACCGATGGGAGGTGTGTGTTGGGTCCCAGCAGTGCCCAGTACCGCACCAGGCTCCAGCAGACCTTTTCTACTAGATTTTCGCCCAGCATTCCAAGACGATCGAGGGCGGTACTAAGGTTGAGGGAAATGGATGCGACGTGAGCCGGGGCAGCGACAGGTCGTCAGTCTTGCCGGGTTGGAGAACGGGTGTTGCCCCTCGGTCAGCCTGAGCTGCGGCTGTTGCTCGCCATCGTATTCGGAGGTCGAGATCCAAAAAACCCGCGTAGGCCAGGCTGACGCCCATGGGTCCCCGCCCCTTCCCGGGCCGCCTCATCCGTGCTGATGTCACCGCCCTTAGTCAATCAGTGACCAATTTTCACCGCTGCTCGACGCCCTCCTCGCAGCGTGTATCGTCAACCCAGGTCAGTATCCCCCTGCGCAGGTCGTGGTGTTTGGGCCTAACATGTCTTGGGCCTGACATGTCTCATATGTGTTTTGGTGTACTACAAGGGTGGCTCTGCCATTGTCTACGTCAAATTTTGTAATTTCTGATGCGCTCTGGGGGGTGGCTCTGCCATTGCCCATGTTGTAAAGATAACGGTCTGCGCACAATCGTGCACTCTGGGGGTTGGCTCTGCCATTGCCCGTGAAACGAACAGGGGGGTGTGAGCCTCAGTGACGACCACCAGCCGGCAAATATGGCCCCGATGATTTGGTGGTCAAGGAAGGTGTAGTGTTCACCTGCTCTGTACTGCGCCATCAGGTACGCAGCGACCACGCTCACGCTCCGGCTGATCCCCTCCACGCAGTGCACGAGCACGCGCGCGTCGGGGTTGTGCGCCAAAGCGTCCCGGATGAAGGCGGTCGTCGTCGGCAGGTGGGCGGCGAGCTCTGCGCGTGTCGTGGTATTGGTTCCGTGGTCGCTGAACAGTGGTCGTGTCGCTGGAGCGGACCTTGAAAGCGGCCATCAAGCCGTCCCGCAACCTGCCAAACGTCAAGCGGGTGCCCACAGCACAGCGGTGAGCAGCGACATAGCTTCTTCGTCTTCATCCCACCTGTAGCAGGGCGTCCGGTTGCTGCCCTGTTACCTCCATCTTCTTGTCTGTCATGGCATCATCCGAATCTCTGGAGGCGGTATGTACCCTTATCATCTTGTTCAAACCCGACCGCTAACCCCTCAATTATATTCCAGTTGAGAGATTGTAACCTCCTCGGCAGGATCCGAATCGCAGGTCTTGTCAAAGACGATCCAGCGCTAAAAGTGAAGCTTGAACGATCCCAGTCGTTCCCCCCATGTCGCGCCAACACTGGACGAGACTATCGCCCCCCTGTTCCTACGTGGAGTCCCCTGCCTCTACCTCCCAACGGTGACGAGATTGAATTGAGCCTCCACGATGAGCCCATCTCTGAAGGACGCGTTGGTGTTGTATACTCGGCGGACGTGACTACACGTTCTAATCCGGATGGTCTCGGGCCGACGTCCCTTCCTACGATTCTCTGTGTGAAGGTTATCAAACCTCGCTTCTCCAGGAGGGCGGCACGCGAAGCATGGATGCACGAGCAGCTCTCCCTGAGCGGCTGCAGTGGCACCTCCACGCCGCGGTATTTTGGCTTTTTTACAGCGCCTTTGAGTAATACCACTACAGCTACTCAAGAGTCTAGAAAGGCGCTGAACCCCGACGACATCCTGCCCTGGGTCGAGGCACGTTTTCATGACTCTGACCACGACCCTTATGTCGACTCCGACTCGGAACTTCCTCCAGACTCGCTCAACGACGACTCGCCCGAATTTCACAAATATGACGTCGGTCGTCATCGCAGGAACTCTCCCTGGTACGCCTATGAGCATGACGAAGAGAACGCGCTCCTCTCTGTCCTTCTCTTCGAGGTTTTAGGACCGCGCATGTTCGGTGAACCGGACATGAAGGATCGCGAGAAGGAATACCACGAGTGAGTGCACGATCCTCTTTGTGTTATTAAACCTCATCTTCTAACATTTTGCTCCAACAGGGAGGCCGCCGAACTGGTGATTGACATTGGGATGACTGGAGTGCGACACCACGATCTCCGCACCGCGAATGTTCTGCAGGTCCCTTCAGAAACGTTGGCCTCTCCCAACTCACGGGTTTGTCCGCGCCATGGACGAAAACATAACTGGAGGATCATCGACTTTGACTCTGCAGCGAAGTACTCCATCACGCCTGACGACATCGCCAATAACAGCAGAGACTTTCGTAGGGTTACGACATTGCCGGTGCAGGAAATCGGAAAATATTATTGGTGGGGAATTGAATTGTCGCCATGATTGATCGTCAATTGCTGCGGCCGTTCGCAGACATTTCCCCTACTCATTTACGGCCCGATTCTGCTTATTATACCTACGGATTATCAGCACTGTATCGTATTTGACCGTATTGACTTTGTATACAGTATTTCTCTGTGTTAACTCTCGTTCGAGATTACTGATTGCAAACATTCATCCCGTAAGTTCCATCCCATTGTGCTCAATCCTGCTTCCGATAACGGAGAGTCTACCAACATCCCCAGATAGCCCACTGATACCCACTCTCATCTGAAATCGAACGGGGAGGAAGCTCAACACTGTGTTGTGGGGGCCCGCAAGTTGGCGTTTGGCATGTTGCGGGACGATTTGATGGCCGTGTACAAGGTCAGCTCCTGGCAGCTTCAGGTTCACACCAAGTTCGAATACCCGGAGGATGTCTTTCCAAGCTCTGATGCTGCAATCATATCGAGGGTCCATTCAATGGTCATGGAAAAGATGGTGACTCTTTTTCCGCTGTCTTGGACACTTGTGATTGCGAGTCTGCGGTATCAAGTATCGCAGGCGCCAATCGCTCGATTAACAGATTGATGTCTTATCAACCCACAGTACGAAACGCATGGTTACATCGCTCACGACTCGATCAGACCATGTTCCCGGGGCTTTACTCCTGGCTGCGCCGCCACCGCAGGCGCAGCTAGACATATCAACATGGATGTCATGTTACGGGCAACGCGGTGTTTCTATGGGGAACTACGGTATTTAGATGATAAGGTCGTGTTGAATACACTGTGGAATGCGCCGAATCCCTTCCATTCGAAGAAGACATGTCGGTCCAGTATTCGAGGCTAACTTCAATATCCTCGCCGTCGAGCGAGTCAAGATCCAGCTCCATCTCAATCGCAAGTTCGCAAAGTTCTACTTCGACGTCGAAGACACTGGCCAAGACGATCCTATTCTGCGATGCAGTATGGCTGGGACCTACATACTACGACTTCAACCCCATGCGGAAGAACGGGAAAGAAGTGGGGAGGATTTATCAACTTGGGCGGTGGTGTTTGAGTGAGTACACTCTTTGGTTGTGTGCCAAGTACTCGTGGGGCAGTAGGGCTAAATGGCCAATGTGATAGAGAAGGTGGTTATGGGTGGATGGACGGGCGCAGTCCTGGGTCTAGTACGTCTCATTGGTGGAAGCAACACCTACCGTTCTTCGCAGGTATTTAACTTATTCTCACCTCGCGCAGTTCATTGTGGGTATCAAGATCGCCAACGGTCAAGAGCACGCGATGCGTGAAACTGGGATGGCGGCGAGCGTTTGCGCGGGAGTGTGGTTTGTGCTAGGTGTACTTGCGTATATCTGGAAGGTCAATCCTATGTATTGGTGGGTCAAAATTCGGGCTCGTAATTTGTCGATGGTCGTGTTAATGGGCTATCAGTGTTTATCCGCTGTCGGCGCTGATTTTTCTACCACCCCTTGTCCTTTTGCTCTCTCAAACGTCTTTGGGGGACGTAAAGAAACCGGTTGGTGATGGTAGTCTGCGGCATGTACTCTGGGTTTTAGTTTTGATCTCGTGGTAAGGTCTTCCTTCCTCTATTGGCGATCCTTCTCGCTCTCCTTTGAATAATCACAATAATTCTAATTTAGCACCGATAGGCTAATCCCCATCGTCTCGTTCATCTTCTGGCCGGTATATACATTTTTAGAGGAGTGGTACCTGGATGCATGGTACGGGGCGGATAGGGTGATGTATGGCGATCCCCGATGTCAGTGGATCAATGAGACTCGTAGCGAGAGCAGGAGGACACGGCCATGGACGTGCGGTAGTTGTCTGGTAGGTTAGGACAGCTGGAGGAGGGCCAGGGTAGGATGACGGGTAGTCCACCTCATTGAACGGGCTAATTAGAGGAAGGATACAGGGCAATAGATCGATATCGAGGTGCAAAGGTTTTGTATAAATACGCTGAACTTACTTTTTAGTGAAAGAGACAGCGGCTGAGGCCACTCCATTCAATCAGTAGGGTATGACGAGTGTCAGAGACGCTATTGCAACCTCTTTCCTATTCTTCTCCTGTCATTCCTGTATAAATTCGTTTTATGGTTCCGGCTCTCGTATCCGGTTTCTCTCGGTGGAAAGTATCAAAGTCGCGTTTCAAGAACAACGATTACCAATCATCAGGGCGTGTATAATGCACAGATTAGATGACAGTCTTATTTGGTAAGAATGACGTTGGAATATCCCAGAGGAGGATGCGTCGATCACGATTTACAGCACGGCTCATCACATCCGAAATCAAACATAGTCCCGGAACTATACCTGGGCAATTTGGTCAGTTCTACAACAGCTTGGAGGGAGAGGAATGACCGACTCGAACTGCATCATTCCGTGTCCCAGCCTCGAATACACTTCATCGTCAAATTCGTCCGACTTGTCGTAGAGAAACAAGGCATGCAGCCTCGAGTGCGCAAATGGGAACACAAACGAGACCAGCTGTGTCGATCCATCGTCTTCCATCACCTCCGAAACGAGTGCTTCGAATCGCAGAGGTAGCCACGGGGTCATCTTCTTTGCTCGTTCGCGGTACTCGTCGATAGTGATCGTCTCGTGGGATTGCCGGGTATCCTTCTGCATCGCCATCTTGTAGTTGATTCGGACGCATGCTTTGGAATCGATGACAGGGTGACTAGTATTACCGTACCCGCCTCCAACCACGTCCAACATGCCTTCTCTGAGAAGGGCATCCATGAGGTTGGAAATGACGTCCAACGTCCGGAATCGGTGTCTCCACGGCACCCAAAACCCGGTTTCCTTCAGCACTAGATCACAGGGGTAAATGAATCAGGGAACGGCAACGCAGAAACAGGTTGAATACCTCGTCGCGACCGACTGAGCATCAAGCATTCAAACTTGTGCAATGCTTCCCAGTCGTCAGCCTGGCATTCTTCGCAGCAGTAAACGACAGATTGACAACGACTGCAAGTCCTCATGTCCGAATGATCTTCCACTATCTCGACATGAGGACCCTGGTCGAAATATAACGAACATATCAACCGCTGAACGAATGCCGTAGGATCAAAAGACTCGCCTGGATGTAATGGCAATAATTTGGGGGCACCCAAGTAAACACGCGAACATCTTCCGGGATCCTTCCAAGGGTGGAGTTATGAAGAGTCAAGAGCAAATTCATCTCGCCGCAAAGCTTCGCCCCGGTAGTTGAACCCTGCTCAAGCCGTTGAAGAACTGCTGGCGGTAGATTTTCCCAGGCAGAGTTGGCCGCGTCCAGCACCCTCTGGGACCTGAGATGACCGACGATCGTGAGCAGACAGTTGAACGGCATTCGCGTATCGCTCTCCCTTTGCACCTGGGTCAGATCGTCGATGACCAGGGTAAGATATCCGAGCTCGATGAGTTTGCAGATGGTTTGTGACTTGTGGTTGGCCCAGTCGCACACGGCGTGCAGGTTGAGCCCGTTCCAAAGCCATTTACTACCTTGGCTTCTCCCCTCGATTCGAGATACCACTTCGAGCTGTGGTCGAGCGTCTCGCAGGAGAGTGAAGAACCGGAAGATGTAGTCCTCTTTGATAAGGCATCGTCGAAACCGTGAATCCCATGAAAGGACATCGATGACCTTCTGAACGTGCATGATGGACGTTTTCAGGTCGTGGTGCTTCCTAGTGGGTGCCAGTCGGGAGAACGATCGGAGGCTGTCGATGCAGTCTACAATGTTCTTGACAAAAGCTCGTAGGCGGGATTTGTGAAGGCCAGCAAAGTGGTCCAGAATCGGAGAGCGATAAACCTGGTGGATGAAGGCGCTATAGATCAGTGTGATACTCGAAATCAGCCCGTTTCAACTCGTCCGCTGGTTCGTCGACGCTGAAGCGCTCGATCAGGGTGACGAGACAGGGGCCGATCCACGGGGAAGATAGAACGGCCGCCTGCAGTTTCGTGTCGCACGTCATAAGATAGCCGACCGTCGTGACAAAGGTTTCTTCCCGCTGCATGCGCCAGTGGAAGAGGTACCCGTGCCATGAAAGGATAGCATCAATGTTGCCGCCTATGAGCTCCAGCATGCTGGAGTCCTTCAGCATGGCTACATGGCACACGGCCTCTAGCGCTAACCCTGCTCGATAAATGGCCTTTTCCTGTAGCCCAATGATGACCAAGGGTAAGACGGGGTTTCTTGGTTTCGGGACTTCCAGGTGGGCGAGAAAGGCCTCCAAGATTTTAACCACCCATTCGCGCTGGGTGGGCCTGTCAGGGTCGGATACAGAGAGAGAGAGAGAGATGGACGTAGGAGGGCGGAGGGTAGCCTTGGTCTCACGTTATAAGAACGTGTACCCTTCGTCACGGCTCCAAAGGCTGGCTAGGCCGAAGGACCAGACGGAAACGCCTTCCGGCGGAACGACGAGAGTGGAGGACGACTGGAGCTAAGGCTCGACGGTCGAAGGCGATGAGAGAAAGAGTTTTACTGAGGAACTTAGACTAAGAGATTCGATGCGTATGAACCTAGTCGAGATTCCGGATGAGGTACCTACTACAAATTGAGATAGTACTTATAGTAAATACCGGCGGGGAATCTACGGGCGAATCGAGACGAAATGACGAAGTCCAAGAGGGAAAGAACAAGTCGAGAACTAGAACAAGAAAGGCGAAATCGTACACAAGAAAATCTAGAGTACTCGAGAACGACTACAACGACCAATCGTAAACCGGCGGATGAAATCCAAGCAAGAAACGTTCGTACGGAAAGGTCATCTGAGCAAACTGGAAATCAAGTGTAAAGAAATAGAAGCAAGAAGAACAACGACACGGCGGAATAAGAAATAGAAGATTGACAGAATAAAAACATACTTCGAATACACAATACGAGACCCGTTTGACAGCTTGCCAAGCGCGCGTCTAAAGTCCACAGGATTATCCGGCGGATCCGAGAGTTCCGGCACAGCCGCGAGGCCGCGCGCGCGCGCGCCAGATCACGTGATTGCAAGTCACGAGAAACTGGACAATTTCTGGCTCGAATTCTCGTGACCTTTCCCACGCTCCGAGAACGTCGCGCGTCAAAGTCAAGAGAGGAACCGGCGGGCTGAAATGAAGTGGGTGTAACGAATAAAATGTATAAGAGAAAATATAAATAATAATATCGAATGGTGTTGAGGGTGAAGGTAGAGTGTAGTTGTACGTATCGAGACCCGGCGGTTGCACGAGCCCTGACAGTACCCCCCTGTTACGGCTGAGCCCTCGAAGCCAAACGATGAGGTGAAAGAAAAGTTGTGACTTGAAAAATATGGAAAAATTGAAGCATAGAAAAATGAGAAATAGTGAAGGAGGTCGAACAGAAAAAAGAGGAGAGGCAGGCCGGGGAGACAAGGCTGAAGAGGAACAGTATCACCAATCGGGGCCAGGTTTATCGGGATAGCGACGATGGAAGTCCTGGACCAACTCCTGAGCATGGGCTAGCTCGGTAGCAAGCAGCCAAGAACGCTCTTCATCCGTGTTCTCGTAGCCCAACCAGCGCACTTCGTAGAGAAGTTTGCAGGTACGGCGGCGACGATCCACTTTCGAGTCGAGAATTTCAGCTATCTCGTACTCCAATTCGCCATCCACTTCCACCGGCGGTGGAGGGGGATCATGACGAAGAGGAATTTTAGACTCGTGGTGTGGCTCGAGCATGGAGACGTGGAAAACGGGATGGACAGAACGCATAGAGTCAGGGAGTCGAAGGGTGAAGGAGTGGGTGCCAACCTGAGCGATAATCTCGTATGGACCGAGATACCGTTCAGACAACTTCTTGGTAGGACGAGTGATGCGGAAGAAGGCAGCCTTGACGAAGACGCGATCGCTAACCTTGAAGTCCGGCGGAGGTAGACGCTTGCGATCAGCGTAGTGCTGATAGGACTTCTGGGCGATAGCGATGGATTCCCGGAGGTGTTCGTGCAACGAGGCGAGATCGACGGCGAATTCTTGTGCGGCAGAGCTGGCGAGGTCGCGCTCAGGGTGGATGTTGAGAGCTGGATGATAACCCTTGTTCGCGAAGAAGGGGGAGACGCCAGTAGTAGCCGACGGTGCGTTGTTATACGCGAATTCTGCGAGGGGAAGAAGTCGATGCCAATCGTCCTGCTGGTAAGAACAGTAAGCCCGAAGGTACTGCTCCAGGGTCTGGTTCACCCGTTCGGTCTGTCCGTCGCCTTCAGGATGGTATCCTGACGTGAAGTGAAGCTTCATGTCCAAGGCTTCACCCAATGCACGGAAAAAATGCGAAACGAACTCTGAACCTCGATCAGAAGTTACGTTTGAGGGGTACGCCGTGCTTGGAGAAGACATGGATAACGAAAGAGGCGAGCAAGCTCAGCGGACGTGAGGTGAGAGTCCGTCGGGATAAAAATGGCTTGCTTGGACAGGCGGTCGACGATAACGAGGGATGTCGGTGAACCCACCAGAGGAGGGAAGTTGCTCGATGAGGTCCATGGAGATGGACTCCCAAGGACGAAGGGGAATGGGAAGCTGCTTCAGGAGACCGTAGGGCTTGTGACGAGGAGTCTTCGTACGGCGACAAGTCGTGCATGAGTTGACGTAGTCTGCGACGAACGAACGCAGTTTGGGCCAAACATAATCACGGCGGACCAGTTCGATCGTCTTGTTACGACCAAAGTGACCAGCAAGGGGGTGATCGTGTTTGAGCTGCAGGACTCAAAGACGAAGGCCAGGACTATCTGGAACGTAGATACGCCCATCAAGTCGAAGAAGACCGTCGGATGGAAGCTCCCAACGAGGGTCTGAAGGAATAGGAAGTTGTGAAGAGGCGAGGGTGTCCGAAGAATAAGAAGCCTTGATGTCTGCATGAAGACCGGCGGAGTCGACCACGAACGAGGCTCGAAGGGCTGGGATGTAGACTGAGGTAGCCCTCAATGACGAAGCCAGTTGTTCAGACGCGAAGATTGGACGGAAGTTGACTGGATTAACGCTGGCGAAGTCACTACCCCCCTGTTTAAGGTAGACGTCCCACCGTCGTGTTAGCGCATCAGGCTTAGTGCCCAATTTGCCAGGACGAAAACGAACGATGAGGTTAAACTGGGAGAGGTATTCAGACCAACGCGCCTGCCGGCGGGTAAGAACCTTGGTAGTGGAGAAATACTCCAAGTTCTTGTGGTCTGTGACGACGTTGACCGGGTCGCCTGCACCTTCCAAATAATGACGCCAGACTTTGAACGCCTCGAAGATGGCGAGGAGTTCTTTGTCGTGGACATCATAGTTGAGTTCGGCAGCTTGGAATGTGTCAAGAGTGGAAAGCGACAGGGTGTACTTCTCCCGACTCGAGCTGAATCGAGAGAATGGCGGCCAAAGCGTAATCGGATGCGTCTGTTTCAACGATGAGCGGTCGATCGGGTTGCCAATGAACGAGAATGGGAGCAGAAATAAAAGCGGACTTGAGGGTCTCGAAGGATTTTCGAGCGGCGGCGGAGAACTCGAAGGGAACGTCCTTGCGAGTGAGGCGCGTAAGGGGAACGACGATGTCCGAGTAGCCATGGATGAACCGGCGGTAGAAGTTCGCGAACCCAAGGAAAGACTGGATGTCCTTCACTGAACGGGGTTCGGGCCAGTCCTGGATGACTTGGACCTTCTCAGACGACATGGTGAGCCCGTCGGGGGACAGAATGTACCCGAGATACTCAACGCGATCGACATGGAATTCGCACTTCTTTGGGGAAGCGAAAAGACCATGTTTGCGAAGTCGACGGAGTACCTCCTTGACGTGCTGACGATGCTGAGTGATATCGTCCGAGAACACGAGGATGTCGTCGAGGTAGACAATGACTGAGACGTCCGTCATGTCTGCGAAGATGTCGTTCATGAAGCGCTGGAAAGCCGATGGGTGCGTTAGTGAGGCCAAAAGGCATCACCAACCACTCGAAAGACCCCATAACGAGTACGAAAAGCTGTCTTCCACTCATCCCCATCCGCGATGCGCACAAGGTGGTACGCGTGCTTGAGGTCGATCTTGGAGTAGATCTTAGCACGCGCCGGGGCCGCAAGAAGGTCCGAAATGAGAGGTAACGGATAGCGATCCTTCTTTGAGATGCGGTTGAGAGCCCGATAATCCACACAGAGGCGAAGGGAACCATCCTTCTTCTTGACGAAGAGAATGGGTGCACCAAGCGGGGAGTTCGACGAGCGAATGAAACCTGCGCGCAAATTCTCGTCCAAGAACTCGCGTAGCGCTGTGGTTTCCGCCGGGGAGAGGGAGTAAAGCCGACTCGGAGGAAGGGGCTGTGACTCATCCAGATCAATGCGCAAATCATAGGGGCGATGTGGCGCAAGCGAATAAGCCTTCGCGTTACTGAAGACGTCAGCGAATTCGTGATACTCTTCTGGAACGTTGGAGAGATCTGGAGTGTTGTCGCGGCTGGTTGAAGCAGCACAAGCCCGAGAGACGTTGTCCGATGAAGAAATGGAAAGTGAAAAGGCCTGCGAACCACTCATGCGAACAGCCCGGCGGTAAGCAGAGGCGTTCACAAAAGCGATTGGCACAGGGTTAGAAGTAAAAGAAGAGGAAGAAGGAGAGGGGATCGACGACGACGAGTCTTGAGGCGGATCTTGAGGTAAGGGAACAATCGGTTCCCCCGCGGGGATAATTCGTCGGAGTCGAGTGAGACGAAGTCGATAGGGGAAGAAGAAACGAGAGGACAGGTCGATGAAGGGACCACGGATGGTTTGGACGGAAGGCTGGATGATGAAACGGAGGTCTCGACGTTTGCTGCGACGAGTGAGCTCAAGGAGGAGGGGTTATCGGCCGATTCGAACGAAAGTATCTGACCACGACGCCAGTCAATCAACGGATTGTAACGGCGGAGCCAGTTGTGTCCTAGAACCAGGGGATACGGAGCATCCAGCTTGGTGATGAAGCACTTGAGATAGAACTCATCACCGGACGGAAAGCGGAGGATGATGTCCGCGGCGGACGTGAGCCATGTACGAACTGATCCATCGAGGAGTTTGAGTGGTACCGGCGGAATTTCATAAAATTGCAGAGTGGGATGGGAGTATACAAAATCAGAGTCGAGAAAGCAGTCCGTACAACCCGAATCCACCA